GGGAGGCCCCCCCCCCCTTCAAAAAGTTAGATCGGGGGGGGGGGGCCTCCCGCCCTGAGCCCTGGAACATATATTTATAGTTTCTATGTAGTGCCAGAGTTGGTGGTTAGTGAAGACCATTTGAGGTGTAATGATGATGATACCTTACTTATTGCTAGTACTTCTTTAAGTGTTACTTATACTATGTTATCGGAGTACCTTTCCTTAACCTATTGTAAGTAAGTTACATTCATACGAATTTTACTCTCCCCGTCCTCCTTCCCACCTTTTGCGCGTGACCAGTGAACCGGTACCCTAGAGCTAGAGTGGTCAAGCGGGTGCACAAAAGTAGGAAACAGAGCACTTCTCCGAGGCAAGCACAGGCTCACGCCGCCTTCGACGAGAAGACCTCTAGGGCTGTACAGGGCTACTGCGCGGCGCCTAAGATAATCGGATCCTGAATTGAACATAATACCGCTTCTTAACCTATACAGATTACACAAACAAACAAGTCACTTCCCCGCAATTAAATTTCCCTTCCTCACAAAACCTAGCCCCAACAAGGACCTTCAGGTAAAAGGAGACAAGCAGCAGCAGAAACTCCGAAGGACTTCCTTTTGAAGAACATCATGACTTCATGAATCAAAGGGTAGTAGTTCTCCTCAATGTATGTACTATAAGACTCTCGACAATCTGAGTCACGATCTTTGATGGATTAGCATCGATAGCGAGTATTATGGACCACGAGGAGTTTTTGTGTATTTACTAATTCTTTTACTTGTCTTCACAGTATTTTGTCTCCTTTAGGTTCTGAAATCGCCTGAAGCAGAGCGTGCTGACGGGATAATGGCTTTGACGCACCAGAGCAACGCTGATGACGAGCGTATGTTGCATGAGTTTCCGCAACTGAAGTGCCTTCTTGGAGGTCACGACCATGTCCCGTGGAACTCCCGCTCAGCCGACTCGCAGAGGATAGCAGTGAAAGCAGGTCTTGACTGCGAGAACGTAGATGTTTTGGAATACGAGATAAGCGAAAAAGTTGTGTCAAAATCTTCTGGAGGGTCAACCGCTTTAGGCCAGAAGAGCTTCAATCTGAAGCTGGTCTCGCACAAGCTCGTTCCACTTGTGGACAAAGGCAAGGGCGGGTTTGCAGCAGATGGATTTCTCGAAGAGCGCATCGCAGGACACAAAAAGATCCTCTCTTTGAACGACTTCGCTCTGTTCGAATGGCCCTCGCTGAACCACAAGCTCGAAGCGTGGGCAGCCAAAGTTGGAGACGCTTCGCAATCCTCATGCTGGACGACCAAAGACATTCGAACGCGGCAAGTCAATTTCTTTCACTTAGTGGCAGAATGGATCCGGGCAGAGCTAGGGAACGCAGATGCGCTAGACGACACGGTGATGATCGCAAATAGCGGCCAGTTCAGAGCCAACGTGGACTACAACTTCAGCGACAAATTGACTTTCAATTATGACTCGTTTTTATACACAGCAAATACGTGAATCCGTATTACAACAATTAGCATTCTGAACTAGTAGCGCTAGTGTCAAATCGTGTCGAAACTTCTAGCAATTTCTTGAGTATGCTGATTCTCATTTTATTTTGAGTCTTTCTTATCTACTTTTTTATTTGTAAATGTAAGCTATTTGTAATCCGGCAAATCCCTATAAAGTAAAGGTTTTTGCTCAATTTACTGCATTTGCTTCTTCACGTACTACATTTCTTCTAAGAAATTGAGATGAACAAAGAGCTGGCATTTAACAACAAGATGATGAAGGTGAAGCTCCTAGGGTCGGATATTTTGGCGTTGATCACAGAGAGCGAGTTGCGCCGCAAAGGTCAGGGTGGGTATCTTCAGTATGACCCATATGTCCTGGAAGTGGTCGTTGTCGAAGGGGATGATGTCGAGGTTACGGGTAGTTTTTTGGCGTTTCTGTTACCGTTGGTTTTGACTCTCCTAAGAAGGAAGAGCATAACAAACGGGGAACAGAAACACCAAAACCCTAGCGCTAATGAGGGTAGCAGCACGAAGAGAGTGGAGATTCGTTCTCTCAATGGGCACCCCTTTGAACTGACGAAGCAGTACACGGTGATGCTGGTGATCAAGATGATGATGGGAATGGATGATTGGAAGCTGCTGACTGAGTACGGTCGTGAAATCCCAACATTGCAGGCCATGCTCGATTCGAGTCCGGGAATGGCGGATTTGGTGATCAATCACCTGTTGAAAGAGAAGTGGCTTAAGCTAGAGCGGTTCTGGCGGCGTGCGGCCGCGGGAGGAGCTGGCATTAGCTTCGACGATCTGAAAAAATTTCAGCGTCGCGCCGGAAGAGCAGGCAGAACGGATCCTATGCAAATGTCCTCGCCTTTGGGAAGAAGTGGAGCTGCGGACCGATTGCCGGTTTCGCCCAGCCAGAGCGACAGAGAAGATGCGCAGACGTCAACGCCGGGAGACGAGCAGAGCAACGAGGACGAGCTGATGCTGAAAATGATGTTCGATCTATTAGACGTGAACAAAGATGGCGTAGTTGATTTCTCGGAGCTAGAACTAGTCAAGAAGGGAGACCAGAGTCCACAAGCTCGTGCCACCGTGATACTGCATAAAGCGGTCGATGTCAACGCACTTCCACCGCTGCTCGGTGCTGATGTGAGTACGAAGATTGCAGCCACGAATCCGCCCATCACGTGGGAGGTCCTCCGCAATCAGGATGATGTTGCCACGGCCACGGCCATAGCGTATTTCACCGAGGGAGACTGCGAGGAGCAGGACGACCGCGAGGCCGCTTCGTGCGCGGCAGCGTTTCACGCACTAGCGCACGCCGAAACTCGAGACATCCTTGCCCGGGACGCCCAGGATGCGGAGAAACTGAAGGAGGGCATCCGGTTTGCGCAAGAGAAGGGCGTCCTGGACGCGTCACAAGTGCCTGCGCCTTACTGCCAGATCGACGTACTTGGTAAATCGGCTGCCCAAGTCGCAGCCGAAATGATAGCTAAAATTGAGGAAACCGACACTGATGCTGTAAAAAGAGGTTGTGTGCTAGCGCTCGTCGGATTATCTGGAACGGGAAAGGGTACGACCGTCGAAAAATTGAAAGAGCATGTGCAAAATAAGGCAGGAAAGGCAGTTACCTGGAGTAATGGAAACGTTTTTCGCTGTCTTACCATGCACTTCTGCGACCATTGCGAAAGGGTCTTGGGAGGAAGTGGTATCATGATCTATCGTTCTCTTAAAAATACTGAAATGTAGGATGATTCTCTCGACTTTCCCGTGGTTAATATGTCTGGCTCCAATGAACTACTTACATGTTGATGAACTTCGAGAAAACCTCTCAAAATCCACTGTCAGGAAAGAATTTTTTCGTCGGTTCATTCTTCGCCAATCACATTCACAATTTATTCTTTTTTCCTTATGTATTCTCCTTTTCCTATAGTATCTATGATAACGAAAACGATAACCACAACTTTTTATCTTCCTTCGACGTTCAGCGTGTCTGGAGAGTCTGAGTACGATGGAGGAGGAAAAGCTTGGAGAATTGACCGCTGAGAATATCGCGTCTTGGATGCAGAAGATCACTTTCGGTGAGTTTGAGCCGTCGTCTGCCTCGCCTCCGCACTGGGATATTCGTGTGGACCGTGGTGGTGAGCAGCTCTATGTTTACGGCTCAATATTATCATTTCATTTCTTCTTCTACAGGTCCTGTTTGTTCGTTTCTACGTACAGGTCCTCTTTCAGCGTGGTTTTCTATTTGGAACATTGAGAAAATGAAGCTAGAAAATTGATCGTTCTGAGCTCCTCTAATATGTGTCGGAGATTTGCAATACGCTGCTGAAGGAGCCGCGAATCAGCAAGCACATTCCTAGTGTGGCGGGTAAGACACAAGGAGAGGTTGTGCTTTTTGCAGCAAACGCATGCAAGAAAATGGGCGAAGGCGGGAGCGTCGTCGTAGTGGAAGGCAGAGAGGACACAGTGAATTTCATACCAATTAAGGCTCTTGGTGTTGAAGATATTAACTTCTCTTTTTCAGACAGATGATCATGATCATCACCTTTTTATTTTTAGCTTTAATTATAAATATTTCTTTGTACTAGGAATAATCAATGATAATGTGAAAGTGAACGAGAGACGATCCAAGTTTGTTAGAAGATGAATACAATTATCGGGTTCGGGAGTTCTAAGCCAACGCCGCACAGGTTTTGTCTCACGATGTCGGACACGAGTGTGATAGGCCAGAGGCGCGCAGCGCAACGGGTTGTGGCGGAGGCCCTGCGCCTTGAAGGCCACGCGGAACCGACAGAAGGACTCCGGAAGGCAGTAGAAGCGATGACAAACAAATAATGACGTGGTGTCATACATTTCAATTCCGTTGTGGTCATAATGAAATTCCTCGCAGAGTGATTCCACTCTGAGTGAATGTATCCATTTATAAGGAGTTGTAGTACTTAATACTGAGAAGAAAACGCCCGTGTTTGAGAAGTTTTTTGTTGTACCGATACAACCGATAACAAACTTGATGAAGGTAGAACACTAGTTACTTCCAGGCGGGGCGTGCTTCAAGGTCCAGAATGTAGTTTCAACGTGCGAAAAGACATTAGATCCTGTCGGGAAAGAGTGTAAAGGTTTTTCATATTAGTGCCTTGACTACGTTACTAGGCTAATGTTACTTAGTGTAACTCTCCACGTTCTTCGTGTTTATTCTACAACCCTCAACAGAGTGGAAAACACTCAAACAGAAGCGCTCTCCTTTGTTCATGCTTTTCGTTCGTTTCCCTCACTTCTCAACAGAATCAGAACACGCTCATACAGATGCCAACATACTCCCCCTCGAGTATGTCGAATCTGATGAGGCATGCTCGCTCTGCTGATCGTGTTTGAGTGGAAGTCTTTCGTTTTTACTTACTTAGCTAGTGCATGAATTTAGGAGAGGCTTCGCGCTTTATTATGTAACGTGTTCCGTACTAATTTGCTCGACAAGTCTTGCTTTTGCGCTTTGTTCTTTTCTTGGGCTTCGGCCGTCCCAAGCTTATCCAAATAGAGCTACCCGGCGGCTCCACCAGTACGTCACAAGTAAAAAAATAAACCTTGTATAACGCTCCTTCTAGTCAGAAGGCCCACTCTAGTCGGTTTTGACTCATTATTTATCTTTAGATAATCAGTAGTGTGCTACTCGTAGTTTCAGCATGCAGATGGTTTCATATTTAACATCTGTAACTTGTGTTGTGTGGATGGTTTAGTAAAGATATCGGCTAGGTTTTTACTTGTAGGCACGTATGACAATTGGACTAAGCCACTGTCAATGTATTGCTTGACATAGTTGTGTCTTATGTCAAGATGCTTAGATCTATTTGTTGGGAACTCTCTCTTAGCGTGAGCTATGGCCGCCTCGTTGTCACACTGTGTACGATGCGGAATCTTGTCTGAGAATGAAATATGGCACCGAGGCCTTGGGCCATGTTCCACTTCAGAAAAGACGTCCGATAGTACGAAATCCACATACTTCAAGTCTTTAACTAGAGTAGCGAGCGAAATCAGTTCCGCCTCCATAGTGGATTGAGATACTAGTCTCTGGGATGCACACCTCCACCAAATGGGTGATCCGTTGAAAAGTATGCAGTTTCCACTTGTGGACTTCCTAGAAGGGACTTCCCCTGCAAAGTCCGCGTCTGCGAACGCTTCTAAGTTAGATCTAGCGTCATCTATTTTCGTAGCTTTATATGTTAATCCTAGGTCTTTAGTATTGCGCAAGTATGCTACTATTCGGATCACGGCGTCTTTCGTGATCTGTGTGGTTGGCTGATCCAGAAATCTCGCCACTTCCTTTGCCGCGAAACTTAGATCAGGCCGGCAGCTGCACTGTAAGTACTGAAATATGCCTACTAGTTCCCTCATGGGGAATTTTTCTTGTAAAGGCTCACTGTCCTTGTTTGTTAGGTGGTTAATAATAGGCGTTCTACAGTGGATGCCATCGGCTATATATCCGAACTTTTTAAGTAACTTATTTATTACTTCTGTGTTACGTAGATGAAGCAAACCCTTGCCCCTGTTGAGTTCTACGTCTACTCCTAAGTAACTAAAGGACTCAATCCCATTTTTGACTTTTGGGGATTGAATCCTTCCAGGGTAACGCTGAAGTATTTCGTCTTGTGCCTCCTTAAGTTCTTTAGGAGGACCGATGGCGAATACGTCATCAACGTACATACATAACTGCACTGAACCGCGAGAGAATAGGCATGGGTCGCTTGTAGAGCGTGCGAAGCCTAACTCTTTGAGGCAACTCACCAATTTTTCGTTCCACATCATGGGGGCCACGGTAAGTCCATACAAGGACTTCCGCAGTCTCCATAATGGGCGCTCCGGATTGGCGAGCTCCTTTGGTGGACTTACGAAAACTCTCTCGCGCAAGTCCCCATGCAAGAAAGCAGTACTTATGTCAAAGATAGAGTAGCCCAAACTTTTCTCACTTAGCAGTTTTTGTAGCATGATTCTGAATGTTAATTGAGAAGCTACGGGACTATAGACTTCGTCTGGTGCGTTGCGCTGTTTGTTACCTAATGCAACTGCTCGCGCTTTCTTTCTAGTTCCTCCGTCTTTAAGTTCCAATAATACCATAAGAGGTATAGGCTTCTCCCCTGGTAGTAAGGCCTTCGTTGAGACTTCTTCATACACCCCGAGTCTCTTAAAAGTGCCGAACTCTTTGTTTACCGCCTCGCGCCACTCTTCGCCCTGAGGGCCGTTTAGGCCTTCTTTGAGTGGAACCCGAACCGTACAAGCATAGGCTTCTTGTGCGAGTCGGTCTTTAGCTAGCTCCTCCTCGACATCAAGATAACCATCGCGCCATATAGATTCTAGGTCAATATACTTAGAAGCAAAACTATAGAAGTCGTTAGTGTTCAGAGAGTGCACTACGTTAAAGGCATCTACCTCCATTCCCGAGCGTAGATTTTTCTTCGCCTTTTGGTGGAGGCTCTTCCACTTTCTCCACTCTTTTCGTGCCATCTTTTTAGGTCTGTTTTTAACAAAGTAACTATATACACCCTCCAGGGAAGTCCGGTATACATGACTTCGCTTCGCACCTTGTGCTTTCTCCCCTTGCGTAGTCAGTATCCACCAGACTAGACAGATCGACACACCTAATACTGCCCAAATCCAATACAAAGCGACGCTTAACGGGTCTAGTATTGTCTTTGTCCCCAAAAAGTCCCACTTATAAGACACTGAGTCAGTTACCATACAAGAGAACTCCCCCTGAGGCTCTACTTCCTCCTCCTCTTCGTCGAAAGTTATAGGTGCTAAAGGGGCGTCTTTTGCTACTGATACTGGGAAGCGGACTGATCTACAAACGTAAAGCTTTTTAGTTGCTACGTCTTGAACTTTGTATGCCGCTGCTGTTTCAGAATAACCGAGAAGAATGCCCTCCCGAAACTTGGACTGCATCTTGTTCGCCTTGGGATGGTGATCCCGGTAGTAACAAGGAGATCCGAAAGGACGCAAGAAGCCAAGTCTTGGCTTTTCGTCATATCGAACTTCGAAAGGCGACTTCCCCCCAAGTGCCTTCATCGGGGTTCGATTCAACAGAAACGCCGCGGCTTCGATGGCATAGGGCCAGTACGAAGCATCTAACTCGCTATCTTGTAGTAAACATCTGGCCACAGTAAGCAGCTTTTTGTTGGCTGCCTCCGCGAGACCATTTTCTTCTGGGTTGAATGGTGCAGATGTCTCTAGTATAATACCCCTATTAGTGCATTCGGTGACGAATGTTCCAAGAAACTCTTTACCATTGTCCGAACGTATGGCCTTCATCTTCCCCTTTGTTTGGATCCAGTTCCTCATGGCTTTGCAGGAAGATTCAGCGTTTGATCTAACTAAATTAGTAGGCTGGATCCACCTTGTAGCGCCATCGATCATAGTGTTAAAGTACTTGAAACCAGACTGGTTTTTAGGAAGGTTAGGGCCTACGGTGTCTGTGTGGACTTTGTCATTAAAGTCAACTTCGCTACGATTATTCTTAGGGCGTACTTTCTTGTGTGGTTTGCGCTGGGCTTTTTGCTGAAGACAAACTAAGCGCCCTGGCTTAGTTGTAGTGTGTCCTCTAGCTCTGTGCTCTTCATCCGTTTCACGGACTACAAGGCACTCGTAGTCCGGGCGAATTGGATGAAGTGTGATCTGGGGTAGCCCAGTTTTTGCGCACCACTCTATAGGAATATACTTGCGAGTTTTACTCCTCGGCCCTAGTCGTAGTCTTGTGAAGTCATCACTGACGGTTACTCCGTCAGCCATTAATGTACCTAGTGAGAGTATATTAAACTCTGTCGGAGCATAAATAGCTCTTCCGATCGAAATCTGTGTGTCAGCCTCTAGATTTTCGAACTTTACAGCCTCATAAATATCTAGCTTATCTAATCTCTTTCCATCTGCACACGTAATGTTAGCTGTCATGTTGAGTTTGTTCTTGCACAAGTTTGAGTCGTTAATTATGTGTGCTGTAGCACATGAGTCAATCAAAAACTTTGACCCGTAGTCCTTTGGACTACTTTTACTCCTATGTAAATCATTGAAATAATTTACTTCCTCCTCTTTGTCAGTGGTTACTTTCACCTTACAAACCACCTCCCTTTGTAACTCCTCACTGGGAGTTGTTTCCAAACTTCCGAAATCGAAAACAACTCCCTTAGGCCTTCAGGCCTTCTTTCCTCCTTTCTTACCTTTGCCTTTGCCCTTGCCGCTGCTCTTGGCTGCTGCTCCTCCCGGCTTAAGGTGCGGATGCTTGTTCCAACATTGGGCCACGACGTGCCCCGGCTTCCCACAATGCACGCATTTCTTCGTGGTTGTTGTCAGGACCGTGCTGCTCATAGGGGTAGACTCATCGACGAGTTCCGCTGTTGCCGTCCGAATGGCTTGCTTGACTTTGTCGACTTTGAAATCGCCCTTGATGTTGCCAAGTACCACCGTGCGTTCCACCTCCGATAGCTCTGCGGCTTGGAAAAGGAGGATGCCAGCCAAGGTTTCCGCAATCGGCACGCCAGCACGCTGCGCGGCAGTATGAGCGTTCGCCCATTCTTGTAGGTAGAGCTTTACCGGGGTCCCAGATGCTCTCTTGGAGTCCACTAGCGTACTCCACACGGTAAGCTTCTGCTGCGCGTCATCGGGGAGATATAACTCCTTCAGCTTCGCTAGGAAAGGCTCCCACTGGGTCTCGTGCCTCAAAGCTTCACGTAGTTGCGGCTCATCCAGAGCTTGTTTGCGGAAAATGTATAGTATTTCCGAATCCGAAGTAAAATACTGGCCGCATATCCGATGCCATTCGGATACCTCGGTAATGTACTCCATGCGAGAACCGGTAGCCTGCGATATCTTCGGAGGATTTTCTAGAATCACCTTGATCCCTGCTGGTAGTGCGGAAGTGGGTGCTTTCTTGGTGCTCTTGCTCTCGGGCTCCTCCGTGGTATTTTCGTCTTCGTCAGCTTCCTGCGCATCTTCTTCAGCTTCGTCTTCCTCGTCGTCTTCACCGGCCAGCCACCTGTTATACGACGCCAGTAAGGATGCGACTTCTTCGTCAGAAACTGCTTTGTTGAGGAGCTTCAGGTCTTTGCTTTTGTATCCCACTTTCACCACCTTCATGCTGTCGAAGTCCGCCTCTTCCGGGTCCTCTGTGAACTGCAGCAAGACTCTACATCCTCGCTCGTTCGCGATGTAGAAGGAGGCCACTCCTCCGTGCTTGTAAAAGCGGTATAGCGTAACTTGCAAGGCCACCATTTCCGTAGTCTTATTGAAGATAATCCGTAATTATCTGTAAGTACTATATACTTCGCCGCCGCTGGATTTAATCTATTTTCTTCTCACTTACTCGTTTTCAAAATAGTCAAGGGAGCTAAAAAATTTAGTTTCTAGCTAGTTAGCTAAGGTTCTCCTTGAGAACTTTGGTTTTGTAACTTACGCCCTTACCTTGGTGAATTACTTTTGACTTCGTTCTTTGTTTAGTTACTTCCGTGGATAGTTAACTTATTCCGTTTGAATTCTAGGCGAGGTAGACCTTTGAGATTGCACCGTTTGCAATCTCTTTGACTTTTCTAGTACTAGTCAGCTAATTCTGAATTATTCTAATGACTTTAGTGTTGGCCGTGGTTTTAAATCGTTCCGGTTTATTTCTTACTTATGGCCACGCGGTGGTTGGTCAAGCTAGTTACTTTGAGCTTGTTAGCGGTCTAGGAACGTTCTATGACAAGAATAAACCAAAGCGGAACAAAGAAGCTAGAAAAAAAAACTCAATGAATTGTCTAGGGGGTCTACGAATTCAAAAGAAGGAAATCAATGCTATGAATTCTATAAATTCTACATGCAGAGCGAGGCTGATAACCTATGTTGTACCGATACAACCGATAACAAACTTGATGAAGGTAGAACACTAGTTACTTCCAGGCGGGGCGTGCTTCAAGGTCCAGAATGTAGTTTCAACGTGCGAAAAGACATTAGATCCTGTCGGGAAAGAGTGTAAAGGTTTTTCATATTAGTGCCTTGACTACGTTACTAGGCTAATGTTACTTAGTGTAACTCTCCACGTTCTTCGTGTTTATTCTACAACCCTCAACAGAGTGGAAAACACTCAAACAGAAGCGCTCTCCTTTGTTCATGCTTTTCGTTCGTTTCCCTCACTTCTCAACAGAATCAGAACACGCTCATACAGATGCCAACATTTTTACAGTTACAACTTCTTTTGGTTGATTTGAACTTCCTGTGGTACTCGCGAGTTTATGCAATTTCTCAAATGGACTAGCAGGAATTAGAAAGACGCAGAAGATGTAAATGCACCTGCGGAGGTATACTACAACAGTACTACTTATTCATTTCCAAGTATAATGCAATTTGTACACGAAAATTCCGATTAATCGGCAGCTTATCTTCACAGAAGGGTATTAGTGAAAAGTGACTCAATTCACTGTCGCCCTCTCCCGCTTTTCCTTAGTTGTCTAATTTCCAGCATCGACTCTGTTGCTTACAGGTGCCTGAACCACATAGCCGTGTGAACTAGTTTCTTCCTAGTACTTGTTGGCTTCTTGTTTTGCTTGTCACAGTTCCTGCATAGGGAAGATGCTACACCGAAATGAACCAAGATGAGGAAGAAATGCTGTATGCTCGAGCCTTCATGGGAAGAAATGTATCATCTGATTTTTACATACTTCCAGTACTAAATATAGCAGAAGGAGCTGTGTTAGATGAAGCTTTGACAGCTTCAACAACGGCGCGGGCGCCAGCGCGCGTTGTGGTATTATGCTGGTCGTTGTGCGGCTCGAGCAGCTCCACATCACACTGCTGGTTTCATCTTCTGAGAGGAATGAATAAGAATTTTTCTCATCGAGCGAACAAGAATGCTACAGCAACAACAACAACAATAAACTGTACAGCACCATCCACTACCCAACACGAACAAGAACATGATAAGGTTAAGAACGCTTTCCCCCCCGAAGCGCGTATGAAGAATTCTTTCCTCAGTGCTCCTACAGTTCGTCATGACAGTATATGTGATCACAAGAAGAATATTCACGCGCTGATGCGTGGAAATTCGATCCCTTTGTGTGCCGATGGATCGGATGATGAAAGTGAATATGAGTACTCCGCGTTGTAGTACTTGCATAGTGACAGAAGTCTACGTATTTTTTAGAGGAAATTGAGCGAAAAGGACGATCACATCATAGGAGAAGCCGGTAAGTAGCTGTGTAAAATGCTGAGAAAATAGGAGCCGCACAGCTCATCTAGAGAAAATAAGTTAGGTGCTCATGCAGTGGTCCATCAAATGTTACAGCAGCACAGTGTCGATTTTGAGTCCTGAGGGTTTTTTGATTTTTTGGTAGCAGGTGAGCCAGTACGTAGTAGATGTAGACGGAAGGAGGTTATACAGATGTATATGCTTTGCTTGTTGAGCTTGTTGGCCACCAGAACTCAGCTGCGGAACGAGCTCTGTTGTCTTCAATATCCTTGGCAAGAAGATCATGAATGATGTAAGTAAGTAAAAGCAAAGGTAACTAGAGGAATCGGAAAGCTAAATAAACATAACACCAGCATACAACTTTCCTTTTCGCCGTTTTATTTGAGAGACCTGGATTTTCTGACTCTTTGAAGACCACTCTATTTCACGTTTATGTCGAGTACAACAGTTTCAAACTGTTGACGTTGATCATGATTTCCCCGTGGACCATAGTTCCATTTAAAGAAAGATGAGCATAAAACTTCGTGGTGATGGTGAAAAAAGGATGCCGCAGAGCGTCACGCTTCTTTAAGTATCGATTCTCTTGCTGCCATTGCGTCAGAACGAGGCCTATCCCGTTTAACACTGATTTCGCTCCCGCCCACCTGTTCGGGAGCTCGACCACGTCGGTTGTCTCTGCTTGCGGTGCCGGTACATCCAAAACTTGGGGACTGGTTACGGTACCTCCACAACTTGTTCGTGACAGCCAAATATGCAGCCAGCGACACCGAGAAGAAGAACTCTTTTTTTTTCGCTGCTTCTATGGTGCGAATTGTACTTAGACTTCTTCACCTCGTGGTCGACCACTAGCACTATAACAACAGCAAGGATCATTATGAGTGGATCGGCATTTCCGAATAGGTAGCAAGACTAAGACAGGAGATCTGGTGTGTTTTTCGCAAGCCGCGTCTTACAACAACGAGAGAATGCAGTTACGACGGATGCAACAGTATCGGCGGATTTTCCGCGAGCCTGATGTGAAGAGATTTGTCGAGACTGCGCTGAGTTTCGACGTTATTGATCGAGGGCCTGAGCACCTACTACAGATTCAATTTCTCCTAGAAGAGGCAAAGCACAGGCTAGAGCGCGTGCATGTGGCGCTTTTTCCAGAAGCAGACAAGAGCCTTGCCCAATCACTACGAGATGAGGAGAACGTTGGGCAGACAGCTCCGCATCATGGAGGTAGGAGCACTTGCTTCATCACGGTGGAAGACTTCACATTTAGTTAGGAATCATCTTATCCCATCGACGGACACCACCTTGAAACAAGTAAGTGTGTTGTAGAGGAATAAGTACAACTGACTTCTTCTAGAGAGATGATGAGGTGGAGGTGCAAGTGCAAGATGTCGCGTAACATGATCTTGAAGATGAGTTTCAACATCTACTTCATCAATTTTTTTGACTTGTTTTCATGAATTTTTATTCTGTACTAGGTCGTGGTGGCCGCACAGATTCTGTTCCGGCAGACGTTGATGGCGGTTGGGATTTTGACGACGTTGGAGATGTTGCAGCTTCTACTTCTAAGGAGATAGCGGAGCACCTCGGAGACGAAGATGAGAAAAGCGAGGAAGTGTTTTTCTTGTATCGTAGAGTGTGCGCTCAGCTTGATCGGTATCGCATCTTGCAGAGGCTGCAAAGCGGCTCCTCTTCTTCCTCCACCACCTCTTCTTCTAGTCTGACGAGCAAGTACCTCTCATGGGGCCGCTTGCGAGATTTGAAGACGGAAACGGCGCTCGCAGAGGTGCTTGCGCGCTACTCTGCGACGATTGTTCTGCAGCAACAACCGAAGCTCTTGCGGACGCTTTCACCCGAAAAACTGGAGTCCATGATAGCACTCACGGCGCCGCTTCAACCATGGGAGCCACTGCTTAACAGTGTCTTTTCCTGGCACGACCACGAAAGAGGCCAGAAGGAATTTTTAAGATTCTTTCTGATTCGAGGCGTGCGAATGATCAGCGTCAACCTATTTCACCGGGGACAAGAGTGGATACGGTATTGTGATTCCTGATATGGGACTGAGTATCATAATCATGTCCAGTGTACCATCGCCATCGATCATATTGCTTACTTATGAATAATTATTGTCAAGACTTTATGACAGAAAAAAGACTACTCCTACTCAAAAATCACAACCTCGCGAGTGCTCACCCTGAGCCACCTGAGCGGACCGGCGTACCTGAACTGATGGAGGGCCCCCTAGCTAGTTAAAATAGGACTAGATTGACAGGCCCAAACGCCCTCCTCTTCCCCTAGGCTCATTCTCACCTGCCCCCCAGTGAGACTGAGCCCTCCTACCCGCGCGCCGCTGGCTTTCGACGCTTGAAATCGCCCCTCCTGGATGACGTTTTTGCATATTCCAAGCTCCGGCACCTCCAGACACGATTTTGCCGAATGTTCTGCTCATTGCCCCTTCGCTTTCGCGCTCCCGCCACCCCTTCCTAAACCCTAAACTTTAAGTTCTCCCTTACCCTCCTGTCTTGGGCCTGTCAATATATCTAATCTTTAACTAGCTAGTTTAATAAGACCCTGCACTTAACTGCTGCGGTCCACAGCTGGGGCCCACCGTCGGTTCGAACCAGCTTCCAGAGGGCAGCCAAAATCAGCATCAGCGAAGTTTTGACTTTTGAGTAGGAGTAGTCTTTCTTTTGTCATAGACTTAATTCTAATCGCAAGTTGAGCAAGTTATAAGCTCCTAATCTATTTCACCTTGTTTTCCACCAGGTTTGGCATTCACAAACTAGTTGAAGAGCTAGATCGAGCAAAATCACCAGCTGCGGTGTCAGGTATGGATGACGGTGATCCGTGGGACGACGATTTCGACTTCGACGATGATGACGATATCGCACGGGGCGTCGGAGCAAAAAATCAGGGTGGACCAGAAGGAGGCTTGAACAATTTTGGTGCAGCCAGCGGGTACTCGTCGTTACAACAACATGGCAGCGGTGTCATACGAGATTCGATAACCCTTCCCCCGTTTCCGTCGTCATCCGAGACGAAAGTGGTGCCATTGGGACTAGAAATGCTCTATCGCTTACACGATTTAGCGGATGAATATCAGCAATATCGTAACTCAAACGTGAGGTCATACTACTCCTTTCGAGAGTACGCGTGTCTGCGTGAGGCTGACCGCGTCTTGCTTCACCTCTCTGTTGATGCGAGCACCTCCTCGGCTAGCACAACTACAACGTCGGGGGATCCTACAACTGTAGGATCATCCTTAGAAGTAGCTGCATCAAGTACTGGCGCCGCGGGCGAAGCGGCGACATCTTCGATGAAGAGTAATCATTTGAAGAAAGTGGGGCTAACAAGCTCATCGCCAAGCTCGACAGAAGCCACCTTTCTCGAATATTGCAAAAGGACGCTGAGACTACCACCGTATCTTTCCACCGTGTCAGCACCTCCAACATCTTCCTCCTCAATTCCCACGCCTCACCCTGACGATTCCTTTTATGAGACGCTTGAGTTCCCCTCCGAAGCATATCACAATGTCCTTCGGGGGCCCCCTTCCGCCTCCTCGGATAATTTTGAAGATGGAGGATCCTCTAGGTTTTTGATCTCCGCGCTGCGCTTGGCACGCGACGTGCATGCGCGAGAGCAGCATCTGGTGGATGCGTTGATTGCGCAGGTGGCGTGGACCGACCGTGGATCCACGCAGGTAATGCGCAATCTGACGGCTTTGGTCAAGGCCAGCTCTCTAGTGCGACCGCGTCAGGAACGCCTCATCCAGAGCCCGATGCTGTTGCAAAAGCTCTCGCTCGACGCGATCTACTCGACGCGCTGTCCGGCGGCGGTGATCTTCTCGCTGGTGGACCAGATCTATAGCGAGATTCCCGACCCCGCCAAGGTCGCGGATCGCACCCAAAACCTCACCCCTGAACAAAAACAGAATCATGCGGACCTCCAACGACTGGCAGACTTGATGGAGAAGCATCTTAACTTCGTAGAGCATATCCTGCAAAAAAATTTCCTACACCTGAACATGAGTTTTTCGGAACTGCGCGCCTGCCGGGCCGACGCGGTACTGTGCGAAAAAACCCTGTTTCTCCTGTTTCGCTCGCTCACGTGCAGCGGCTACCGCGACGCGACCTTCTGGCGGCACTTCGCGGTCGTTTTCCGCGAGAACGCAGTCGACGCGGTGTTTCGCGCTGTGGGTGTGAAGGAGAATCTCCGCTACTTGCTTTCCGCGATATGCGATCACGAGCATTTTGACATCGTCGACGAGGTGCGTCGCGGGTGGCACCCCGCTGTGCCGGTCGACGACTACCAGGAAATCCTTCTCTCGCTTGCAAGAGACTATCTCGCACGGGCTGCGAGTCTTGCGGCTCCGGAGGTGCATCGAGCCAAACGCTGTGTGCAAATAGCGGAGCGCGCACTGCCACCTGATTTCTTGGAGGCGGACAGCAACTTTTCCTCTCCCGCTGATCGAGGGTTTTCGCCCATGCTTTTGTCACCCGACGACCACTTGGGAGCCACGACGTCACCCGGTCATGACTTTAGTGAACCCCATAGTACTGCAGGAGCCTCCACTGGCGCTGCCGCGGTGCTGCGTTCAGGAGCACCGCCTGGAGGAAGTAGTGCGGCCCCGAAAGTGCGACTTACCTCCGCAGAGCAGTATATGTCTGCAAGTGTGCGTGCTGACTTGGTGCAGCTGCGCACGTGGATTCGCGCGTGCCTCAGCCTGCATGATTTGCTAACGAGTCGACCGGCGCTTGCGGACGTTTTTGTTGAGGACGTGAAAAATACGGTCGGCGCGATCCGAACGGAGGTGCAGGACCGAGCAGCGGACGCGCTGCGGCGTATCCAGGACAGGGTAGACACTGCGGCCGTGAAGGAAAACTTGGGACTGGTCACGGACAAAGTCAAGGAGAAGGTGAAAGAGACGGGTACGGGATTGTTTGGCGTAGCAGGCAAACTTTTTGGCACCTTGTTCGAAGACGAGACTGACCAAGGAGGTCATGACGCAGCAAATGATCTCACAGCTGCACTCGGGCACCTGCGACGCGGGAACGATCTTCATGGTGACGCAGCGCCTTCAACAAATGCCACCTTAACTAGTGCACCTGCGACTGTGGACGTCGCACCAATGTCGACCTTGTCTAACGATACGAACCCACAACCCAAGAGGCCTGTGGTTGCTGCAACAGCTTCATCTGCCGAAAAGAACAAAAGCTCCGCTTTTACTGCTGATACAACTTCTAGGGGAAGGCCGCCACGATGTAGCAAAGGCAGGCGCGGAGGACGACAGCGGGGCTCCATCGCAGAGAGTGATCAAGGAGCGCTGGACGAGGACGAATTTTATTCGCAGCCAGTTCGGAACTTTACTGTTGAAACGCCTCTGCATATGCGACTTTACTTGTTTTCCGAAGCGAGTACTACATCTACATCTTCATCTCCTGGATTATTAGAAGCCAGTAGGACCTCCACTGGAAGTGCAGCATCGCTCAAGAAAAAGCACGAGTTGGTAGCGATGCTAGCGGAGTGGAATCCGTTTCTTCTAGTGCAATTCGAAGAAAAGGTCCAGCAATTTCTCGAAATTCTAGGGGTAGACGGCTACAACGATGTCGAAATTCTTTTCATCCGGTCTGCGGTCTACGTCTTACTCGACAAGTTCGATGTAGCTGTGGAAACACTGCAGCACCTTTCTAGCAAGCTTGGAAGTGCCGCACCAGAGGAGAACATCGTTAAGGCGGCCACAAACTCGAGCAGTACAACGTTGTCTCCATCTAGCCTGTACTCTTCTTGTCGCATTCCAAATGGAAATTATGCAGAAAGAACCGGTAAAAGCATGAAGATCAACACCAATAGCGGTGTCGTAGAACAAGAGCATCAAGAAGCGGCTCATAACCGGACGACTGAAAGTTCTAGTAGGAAGGAACTAAAGAAGAAGGACAAGGCCTGTCAGTTGGTTCTCGGGTTTGTTCGGAGGTGGAGTGGCGATACCACGAAGACGCGCGCCTTGGCTGAGCTTGTTGGCGATTGTTTGAAAATCTGCCAAAGTGTTGAGATGGTGCGTCGTCTGGCTGATGCGTACGAGTCGCTTGTTCTTCGCGCAGCTGCAGCCTCTGCTGCAGCGTCACCTCTTCAACACCCCCTATTCTCATCGAGCACTTTTATCAATGGAGGTAAAAGCAGTGGTGTGTCATCTTCTGGCGTACTGGGAGGCATGGGATCTGGTAGCTCGACATCTTTGTTTAGTGTTGACGGCTCTTGGCTCACCCAGAAAGATACTGGTGCTGGGCGCATCGCCGTGGATCCAGGATATACTTTTCGGCTTGAAGATGCACATCTGCACTTCGCTCACCAGGAGGCACTGGGGTCACTGCTTCATTTGGGAAAAGACGCCTCTGGGCGTATAATTGAGAGCAGTGCCTCCTGCGGCCGACGGTCGGAGAGCAAACGGAGCTCTTTGGAAAGTGCGGCGTCGAGGAGTAGTTATCCTCTCTCAACATACAACGAGGATGCTCAACAAGCTCATTTTAGGAACCGGACAGGTTCCACCACCGGAAGCGAAGCAAGGACTTCTGCTCGCCGTGGACGACCACCACTAGTAGGGAGGAGTGCAGATGAGTTAAAGCAATGGAATGAGCAAGATACTAAGTCTCCTCCTGGTGCCACGCTTGATCTCACGGTAGAGCCTGCGGTTGTCCGGCAGCTGCTGACGCGAGACCCAGCGTTGGGCTGGCTGTACATAGCTGGTCAGGGCTATGACCCGATTGCGACTCTCTTAATGCTTTGCCTGCGACCAGGAGCTCGTAGCCTGCAAACGCGACATCGTCTCATGCAGACGCTAGTCTCGAATCTACGGCAAGATGAGGTGACAACTACAATGTCATCCTCATCACCCCCACAATCAACGACACCAGCATCTCAATTGCAGCAAAGGCATCAACATCATCTTCAACAATCAGAGCCCAATGTTGCAAATCGACTCAGTCTGTCGCCTGTTGCTGCGGCAATGGAGACCTTGGACGCTGCGTTGCCAGCGACTTCGGGCAGTCGCAAATGGCTTGACCGTACCCTCATGACACTAGACCAAGGGCAACGCAGTGCCGCTCAAGAAAAAGCTTTGGTGCTGGTTCCTCATTCGAATAGAGAGTGCGCTTCTCTTCTCTTTTCGTCAGTAGAGCGGTACCAGAACGAAGTGAGCATGCTCTTGTCGTGTACTCCTGATTCCGATCCTGATTCCTCGAACAGTAACTTGTCATCTACATCGATGAGGGCCCAACAAGGCATAATTCTGCAGTTCGGACAACCACAGGGTCCTCTTGAGAGTGAGACAGGCGCACGAGTAAGAGGGACTGGGATCCCCAAGGCACTACAGGATCTGGAAGTTTGGTGGCGGGAGGAGATGCCCACAATTGAGGATGCTGCCACTGCGGACGAAGATGCAACATTTGTGGCAACAAAATTCGACTCCGTCACGAGTGCGTTTGGGCGCAAACTGTCTGGTCCAGAGAAAAGCAAAAAGAAAGATGAAGACTGGGGTTGGGGTGATGACGATGGATGGGATGACTTTCTGTCTGAGGATGAAGATCAGCTGCACACTTCTGCTGTAGAAGGAGCTAGTATTAGTACGACTAACAATAAATGTAGTACTGCAACAAGAACTTCTGCTCCGAAAAATGAGAATGTCGTTGAGGCTTTTGATTCTGATAAAGAAGTCGGTCGTATTGATCAGGATCAAGAAAACACCGGCAAAGGCACAGCCCACTGTGACGATGGAGACCGCAAGGTGGCCAGGGACATGAATATCTTCGGGGGCACGTCTTCATCTAGCTCATCCGGCGTTGCGGCCTATAATGAGCGACATCAACAAGTAAACCTCGAGCAAGACAGCACAGTACGGGGTGGCCTTCAAGAGGACACCGATGAGCCTTCGAAGATTTCCGCACTGCAGGATGATTCTTTGGTGCGGAGTGACCCAGACGATGAGCTTATGCAAGAATTAGGTTTAGGACAGCTTAATACAGTTGCAGTTGGAGGTGGAGTTGACAACCAGCACATCAGGATCAGCGAGAAAGTGGCAGGAGGCCCCTTCAGCACGAAGAATAGCACTGAACTTTTTCCATCGAGAACAGCGAGTGCTGATCCGGCTGCTCCGCCAAGGGAAAACGCTCATCCCACCGAGACAGGTGTGACAAGCGTAAGTGCACAGCAGTCGTCCATGCTAACTTTGAGCAACGAAACCAGCAGTGGCACGACAGGCGTCATCATTACCAAGGAACAACAAGAGCAGGGAGGTCAGCGTCAGCAGCACGACCTTGATGAGGACGACGGATGGAATTGGAGCGATGATGATGAAGATGCTTTGGTGGCGCAGGACAACATGAAGACACTGAGCAGCGCTAGCGGGACGAACAAGAGTAAAGATAACGTTTCCGTTCCTGCTGTGTTGCAGCAAGAAGAGGAAGTTGATGGAGGCGGGGAAATACAGGCTTCTGCTGCACTATTTCCCCAGGATAAGGATGATGTGAGTGCTGCTGTTGAAAAGGTTATGGATGTCGAACAACAAGTCGATCTCTCCTTTAAAAGAACAAGAGTTGCAGACGATGCATTTGTTTGGGAAGATGAGGACGAAAGTGGTTTGCCACCAACTACTTCTCCCGTTATTTCACCTCGTGTAGGTGTAGAAGAACAACTGCGACAGCAGGAGCAGTCCTCCCGTGTAGAACAACAACAACAGCAACAACATCAACAGCAAGGGCGTGCTTGTGCAACTAGGGACGAGCTAGCAGGGCCAGCTCTTTCATCTTCTCGAATACCACCGGCTAACGAGGAGAAAACGAAGCCGGCACATGAAGAAGTAGACGACGACGAAATGTCATGGTTGGATCAGGGTGACAGCGTCGAATTTCACCCCGCACACCAGCATGCACAACCGAAGCAGGACGTCGAGCAACAGAAAATGAACCAAGCACTTGACTCATTCGCAAAGTCTTCCGTAGTTGTCGACGAGACTCTGCATGTCGTCGCGAAGATCAGGACAACATCACCAAAGGAGAAAGACGCAGTACTAGTAGAGGAGAGTGTCGTAAAAACAATAAGTCCGAAGATGTTGTCGTCAAAAGAAGATGGTGTAACAAAAAGTGAATTAAGTAGTTGTGCAGGAGACGACAGGGACAATTTCCCAGGAGATTCATCTAGACGCATCGCAAATGTAGTTGGTGCGAACCCGTTGCTTTCAGGCACCGTTGCTGACCTACTCGCGCTCGATGATGAGGAGGAAGATTTACCTTGGGAACAAGAAACCGAGATGCAAAAAGAACAATTTTCACAACAAGATGTGTCTTCAGGTACAGGAACGAAGAAAGCGACATCAAATGCAGCCGTTCTCCAAGATGCATCATTTGCATTTCCTTCACCGGCAGCGTCCTCAGGGTTTGATTTCGATGACGATGTGGGAGCGATTCTTGCAGGAGCAGGTATGGAGGATCCAGAACCACTGTCATTGAGTATCGACGCCGGGCCGCTTCCATGGGAAATGGACGATATCGAGGATCCTTCGCCTTCGTCTCCCCCAGCAGCAGCTGTGGCAAAGCAAGCAAGTCCTTCACCCATCGTTCCTATTTCAGGAGTTACATCAGGGTCAGACTTTTTATTTGACGATGATGAAGAGATACTCCCATGGGAAGTCGACGAGAGCGAGAAGAATAGGAAAAACTCTCCGCTCCTGCATCCTTGTGCCAAGAATGTTGATGAGGTAGCCAATTCCGTGCCGTACGAAGAGCCATCTATGAACAAGAAGATAAGAACTTCGCCAGATGTGCCATCCACTGCTGGCAATGACCTGCAGGAGCTGAAGCTTGCGCAAATGTCAGCTGCCTTCGATAAGTTCGAGGCATCTTCATCTAATACATCCTCAAGAGTAGGGAAGGACAACATTATGAACGACAAGAAGATTCTGATTCTCCAGGAAGAAGCTGTTGTGTCGTCTTCAATTTTAGAAGATGATGGTGGAGGTTGGGACTTCAGTGACGAAGAGCCTGGGGCCGTCAAGGCAAGTGGATTGCCAGCACAAGCCAACGGCAAGTCTTCAGCATCCGAGAGGAGAGACGGGCTAGATGAATCAAATTATAAGGATGGTCTTCAACTTCAAGTTCAGCCGTTCAATTCCCACATCCCTTCTACGAGCCAAATGGATGATGTGGCCGCTCATCACCAGTCTCTTGGTGCACGAAAAGATGGAGGTGCTGAAAGTTCTCGATTGAACATGAAGATGACTACTAGTACTGAACATGAACAAGAGGCAGGCAAGGGATTGCTGAACAATGGGGCTGCATTTACACAAAAACAATTAGAGCCAGATTTGGCTGCCAATGCGCATAAGTTCGCTGCGGAAGTGGAAGCAATAGCGGAGGACGATCTTCCTTGGGATGACGTCTTTGATGATCCTGTCGAAGGGCGCGGGGACGAGAGCAAGAAGACAGATCATGCAACGTCAACCCCACCTGCTCGAGAACAAGAACGATTAGGCGTCCGCCCACCACAACAAGCGACGAGAAATTCACCTGGAACGTCAACAGCGGCGACGATGTTTTTAAGGGTAGGTTAAAGGTGTTCCTGTTGCCGCTTGTTTTGCCTCTCCTAAGGGAGAAAGACAGAACAAACGGAAAACAGAAACACCAAGACCCTACCTCTAACGTTTGATCGGATTGCGGGAAACACTAAAACTTCCGCCGACGACGTAGGCTCGGTCGCTGCTAAAATAGGGGGAGTCTTTGGGAATTTTGTGACGCAGATCGCCGCGCGCGCCGGGGAAGGAACACTCGTTGCTAGAAATGACGGCATGAGTGATCCGAGTTTGGCTGACGAGGCTTTTCCTGATGTGGAGTCGGCAATACAGGCTCAGTATCTGAAGCTGAGTGTTTTGTCAAAAACATGTGCGCACGTTTCTGTTTCTGCTGCTGTACTCGAGCCGCTCTCAATGGAGGATGAAGTTACGTCAGTGATAGGTTCCGAACTAAACATCAACGTGATCATAAGCCCACGTACTTCAATCATCTATAACATGTAGTCGACGCGACGACCATATTTTTTTGTTCTTAGCATTAATTTCTGCTAATGGTTCTGGCGCACATTTTTATCAAGTAGGAGCCCACACGTGCTAGAGGCACCGAAATTAGAATTACCTAGGACACTATATCTAATCCGATTTAATATTTTTTCCGTTTGTCTTGCTGCGCGATAATTTGTTCGAACATATCCAAATCAGAGGACAGTTGAAGATGAAGATAGCCTGTTCTTGTACTCGTCCTTATCTTTCGTTCTAATTTGAAAAAGAACGAAGTACACCGCTCCGACATGGGTCTTGGCGCATCTGTCCCTTCCAGCAGTCGGATGAATCCTTATGTGGAGCTGTTGTCCGCTGTCAGCTTACTGCAGCAATGTCAGGAGTACATTGGGCCTTCCTCCGAGCTTTTTGCACGATATCATGCCCTTCTGTTGCGCTTTGTGGAGCGGGCAGAGCGTCGTCATCTCCATGCTGGACCAGGAGGAAGTTCTTCTGGGGGAGCACCAGAAGCACGTGCTGTCGTATCCCAACACGAAACGAGCGCCGCCGTCGGAAGAACAATGCCTCTTCAAGTAGAGGAGGAAGAGGATATTGACTTGACGCCGCAGCTGTCCGACGTGAAAGATTTGGCGCAAGGTTTTTTCTCTGCCGCCGTGAGCCTCGCGCAAGAAGTAACGACAAATGTAGTCGCAAACGTAGCGGCAACCACGATTACACCAGGAGGAGACCATAACAATTTTCAACAGATGATGACAGGAGGAGAAGGGGGGCTCTTCTCGACAACGGATGAGGAAGACTTTCTCATGATGTTACCTGAGTTACGACCCTTGCTGCACGACCTTTTTTTCCAAGAAATTTGTGTGTTGTGTCCTCCCGAGTCGCTTTATATGCTCTGCGCGGCGGTCGACGACGCTAACAGCCGCCTCATCCAGGCTTGCGGCGTGACTCCCTCCCCGCTCGCGCTGATAGGCCTGTTGCAGTTTCATTCTAGTGTTACCGAACAACATGAAAAAGTGTTAGATAAACACGGTCAACAAGAACAAGAAGTTGAACAGCTTCGCAGCACAACGCTAGTGCTGCCCTACTTGACTGCGCCTCGCGATATTGTCCGTGTAATTCGAGACTGCCCGCCGTCGGTCTTTCCAGCTGTTCGGAGAAGGATCGCGATGTTAATTGAGGGCGGCCGCATGGAAGGACATCGGCAAATGTTCGCCTCCGACTTGCGCAAACGCGAGTTTCGAGACGCGTGCTTCGACGCCTTTGCCAATCTCTATCCAAGAATTATGGGCCACAGTAGTTGTAGTGCGTCAGTTCTTGGTGATGTCGTTGAGGCTAAGTTGTTGTGAAGGATACCATAATCTTCCATCTCTTTCAAGTTTTTTCCCATCACCAGGAGGAAGGTCAATAATTCTACATAACTAAGAAGGCCATGGCCAAGACGATGACCCACTTCGTTCTTATACATATCATACGTCATGATTTTTGTGCTGATAGTGCTTGTATGTTGGAGTGATCTCTTCTAATGATACAGGCGTATCAGGAGGCGCTGGTGCGAAGAATAGATCTGTAGCGCACTTGCTGAGCACAGCACCAGGCGAAGCCTTCGTTACACTGTTGGAGCAAATTGCAAAACAACGCGGACTCTCCAGTGAGGAAATGCTTGATGTAATGACAACATAATCTTAATCGTCCCCACACCCAAAGCGCGTGATGGTGTCGACAAAAAAAGGTTTGAATCTAGTTTTCAAGACAAGAAAGGGAAACATGACAGCAGAAACAAACCAAGGGCCCTAGTTTAGACTAATATCACAAGACAGGAACGAATACTCTATTTGATACGACGCCGACAACCACGACAGGCACGAGCTGTACTAGCATCGAAGAGGGGTACTATAAGAACTATTGAAGATGATGGTAAGTAGTGCACAAGGCTGTGACGTTTTCGAGCTTTGGGCTTCCACTCTTTTCCTCAACCATAATCTTGAGATCTCCTTTGCGTTTGGGTTTGCGATCTTCACTCTCCTAGCGAGTTTTGCTAGGGAGGTCTTTTGGTTTTGATGTTGGTCTGTCATGATCGATCTTCCGAAAACATGCAAAGAAAATTGTGCAAAGAGTCTCTCTGCCTCTGGGAGTAGTGTAGACTAGATACTAGGTTAAAGTGAAAAATCTGTAAAAAAATTCTTCAGTATAGTTTCTCCTGTTCTCATCCTTCATCCTCTGATCAGAGAGTGACTCTTTTCCGAGTGTGAAACACGCGAGAGCGAAGGGAAATCTATTGGTGAGCTGCTACTTTCGGTCTCGGTTCCCCCCCTCCGCCCCTTGCCCCAGCACAGTCACGCAGTAGAATCAAATTAGAAATATGGATGTGCATCAATCACTCTCCAATACCAATACTCGTCATATTTTTTCATTCACATTTTGTTCAATCATGGGATACGAATTGGGTAGTGCAAAAGGTCCTCAATTTTGTCCGCATGATCATGATCTTCATCTTTGCCCTCGTTTCTTTTTTTTCCGTTGTTGGTTTCGGGGGTTGGGTTACTTTCAAGAAGCACGAAGAAGCGATTGAAAAAGAGAACAGCAGGCAAAAAATACTACAAAACCATTGAAAATATACAAAAGGTGCACACACATGATAAAAGTCACTACAACCTTCTGCTCCTAGCTATCATGCACACAACATCGATTATAACAATATCATCAAGTAGGAGCTCCTGCATCAAATTTTTCTTCGCAATTTCAATAAGAAGAACAGACTTCTACTTGTCCTCGTTTACAACAAGGCACGCTTCCCCTGCGCGTCTACATCAGTCGGGACAATTAGGATAAGCCTTCGTCCCAATAGTTTGGGTCACTCTCAACATTGCGTTTCCGATTATCCTCGTACCACCTACTCTACTAGACGATGGTGTACATCGGCAAGTATTTCCCCATTCGTTTACCGAAGGAGGTTCGAGTGGAAAATGGGAAACTTGCCTGTTGCCAGTTGTGCGTGCAACTTTTGGTCTTGTCGCTTTTGGCCTACCAGTTCATTGAGGAGCGCATGTACCTTGTTGTCCCTATGACTGGACCACGATAAGACTTTCAGTTTTTTTTAGAAGGGGACGTACGAATCGAGCACTAGATTCTTGTTGGGATAAGTATTCTCGTGTAATTAGAAGATATAAAGACTCTAATCTGTGAATCCCACAGGGATTCCCGAATGCATGGGCTGAAGTGACCGAAGCGAGTCAAGCGGCAATCGACAAGGATTACAATGGTTTGATTTGCAAAGGGGACGATGCGTTCCTTTACAGGTTCTTTAACGTCCTTCTTGAATCTATTACTGCCCTTCATCAACTAGACGTACGAGTACCTCCTTGCTACCAACTAGTATCTCAATGTTGTTTCCTTTTTTTTTACCATCATCTAGTACTAAGTAACTTCATCTTGCTTTTTTTGATGTCCTCCTTTTTTGTCAGCGCCAAGTGATACTAGTTCCTTCTTGCTATATTTATTTAATTTGATGTCTTGATCATGTACATGCTCTGTGGTTTAGCATCGTTGCTCACCAGGAGCTTTCTGTTCCTGGTCCTCTGAAGAATGATATGGATGATATGAAAATGAAAAAGAACAACTGTAGCCTCTGTACTACTATCACAATGTGGTCAACAGCACCTCTAGTTGTACAGCTTGTCGCTGCTAGTAGTACTTCTTGTCATATATTACATATTGCATTGGTTGCCTTTCTGTTTCTTATTCATCTAGCTTTTCGCCAGCCTTTACCTTCAGGCATTCGGAGAACTGGAAGCATGGTAAGTATCAGTGCATCGAGACGCCTTCTGCGGAAGCCGGTTACAAGGTTGGAAAGCGCGAAATTTATTTTCCGACGTATTATCGCGAGACTGAAGCAAGGACGTCCTCAGGCGCAGGTGAGCGGTCTGGCTCTACTACATCAAGAAAATAATAATTCTTGGATGCCCACGCGGTAGCTGCGATCAGGTTCGTTTGTTCTTGACTTAGACAGTGGACTAGAGTACATTGGGCGGAGTGATAGGTGGGCCTTATCCCCCTCACTAGCCTCCCCTAGTTAGGTCTCCGACGCGAGGCGTGCTGCAGATCTAGACTCGTTCTCCCAAAAATATCGCCTTTTTGAGAGGGTGTAGGTCCCGCGACGCTCAAAGCACACAAAGACAGAGGAAATTAGCCGGCTAATTTCCCTCGATAGTCGGGAGGTCGTTCGTAACCCTATTATCACTACACCAGGAAAATAATAAGTATATTATCTTTATCTTTATCCGTGATGTTAATAGTGTTTATTTTTGGTTTTCCTCTACTTCCTCGTTTGGTTTGTTTAGAGAATATGGGAAGCCTGTGTAGTACTAGTAGTCCGAGCAGTAGATATTATGATGACCCAAAATGAGTAATTTTTTTTGGACGAGACAGTGTTTCTATGATATGCAACTACAAAATTATGATCAAGGAAGAGCATCAGCATGTTCAATATGATGAGTATCACTTTTCTCATGTACTCAGAACTCATGATAAATCTTTACCCACGGGAACCAGGTTGTGCGGGGTTGTGTCCCACGGCGCTGCCATGCAACAGTACAACATTCGCGAACCCTCCAGCTTACAATTTCGGCCAAGAATGTGCCGCCGATAAGTATGTCCCCGGTATGCCTGTGTGGCAGCAGTTACGGCTTCCACGACCCGTTTAATTGACCATCCATATCCAAGCAGAAGTACTTTTCTACCTTTGTAGTTGTTTTCGCCATGCCAAGTCATATTAAGATGAAAGTACAGGAATGCGAATGTAGTAGAGATGGATGATGACTCTCTTTCTCTAATTCGGAGCGGCGCAGACGTGGGGCAGTGGACCCCAACTGCTGTGCAAACGTGCACGTGCAAGAAGGAGACGCATTTTTTAGTCGCTGGCGTGGCCTCGCGTGCGATGGTTAAGGCTAGTTCTATTTAATCAAGATTTTATCTCGGTGATCATGTACTAGGACCTAGATTTCGGTCGATGCCCTCGACGTTGTCCTTACCAGTGAAATCGTGCTTGTGTATATCAAAATCATATTATTGTGCATAAGTTGTAGGAATGAATCTCAGAGGTCCTCGATTTTTGGTTGTTCCTCTAAGATGAGCTTCGAACACATTTTCAAAGTGGATTCAGACGATAAAGAAGTGTCTGGTTCGTCCTCTGCATCCATAGCAGACGCAAACGAGAACGACAATCAACTTCCTGTCCTGACCATCATCCTGCAAAAAAGCTCAGATGGCCTCTACAAGGAGTTCGACTGCTACAGTGAAAAGTTAAGACTTCTTGTTCTAGTTGTATGTAAAACTGCAGTACTACAACCCTAGGGGACTACTTGGATGTTGTACTTCTAGTGAATGAAAACTCTTCTGTAAGTATACAGGCGACGAGAGGCGGTGGCGGAGGAGTACAAGCAGGAATCGCTAGTGTAATTGAGCACGACTTCTCAAATGAATCAATAGCCAACGTATCTTAACAAGTAAGTGCTACTTCTAAGGAGCAAAGCTCGGGACGCCGGTGCAGTATCCAGTGAAGACGAAGGAAAGTGTCGCTTTGCGGAGAGTAAAACGACTGGTCAAGCAGAAACAATTTGGATGAGTCTTCGCGACTGGGTCTTTGCCGCCAGCTCTGGTTCCATTTAAGAACTGAGAAGTAAATTTAGATGGATACATCAAGAATCGTGTCGATGCCTAAAGAGAATCTATTTTTCACTATCAATTTCATCGTCTTCGTCTTTCGACGCTTACAACTAGTGAGCTGAGCTTGAGATCAAAAATATTTTCATGAGCATGAATCGTTTTCGTATCCTATGCGTCCAACAACAACTGTAGATAACATAAACTTTGCTAATTGCTCGATCTTACCGAACCTGATGCGCGTAACCCTACAATTTCTGGCAATACTGCTGGGCCCACCACCTCTACTTGGAGGACAACTAGCGCGAAGTCTGCAGCGGTGCGACTCACTGGCGTGGAGGTACTCATATCCATGGAGTACCTCTCACCTGCATTCCACCACCTCCTCCCATCTATTATGATCCTGTTGATGTTGATGCTCCTCACAAAAAAGAATTGAGTGCACTACTTATTAGATAACTACGTGTTTGAAGGTGATAGACAGTGGACGGTACACACTAAATAGGTGAGTGATGAAAGCTGCGAGCGGCTCTTCTGGCTCCATGAGAGATTGTCGCATTAGATTTCTGATCCTCTTATAGATTGATCTAAAGATGACTAACCGGTTACTTTTCCTTCGACTCTATTCGCTCGAATCAATGTAGAGACTATCTTCTAAGGATCGCGTCGAATTGGGCAGCGCATACAATGACCACATGGTCGCAGTGGTGAAGCTCTCAGTTAATTAAGGCTATGCCCCTCGTCGAAAATGACATGTTATCTTGGTTGAGTCTCATGTTGAATGATCTACAATCACTTCAAGAACAACTAGGGGTTCGCACCAATGTTCATCGGTGTATGTATCCTTACTTTACTTCTCAAAGGGAAAGATTATACGTCAAACTCAAAAAGGATGAGACTCTCTAGGAGGAACTTAATGGGTTGTAAGATCTAAGTTAATGACGCTATGTGGACTGGTCTCCCGCAGGTAGCCTATGGAAGTCCAGCGCCGTCGACAGTGACGGATCCTAATTTCAATTATGGCTTGGTAACAAGAGTAATGCTGAGATTCATAAATAGATGTAACGTTTGATTGTGATTTTAGAAGTTCTACGTAGCAGAACGGTGGACCTCATGGAGAACATTGAAAGTCAAAATAGAGGTTATTGTAGTGTGATTTGTAGTAGGAAGTTGATCGCGTCGATCTCGATGATAATGATGATGCCGAAAGAGTTAGAGATGCATAGCCATTTAGTTCTTTCCAGATTCGATCAACGGTGATCTTCACGAAGAACGGCCACAACAAAGAAGGGCACAGCATGTATGATACCATTTCTAGAGGTCTAAGGTAGTCAGGGAACCTACCGCGAGCGGTACCACTACGGCATCCGGTTTCTCTTTATGACGAGTACGAGCTCAGCCTATGGTGAATTTTCGTGGGTCGACATGCTCACTGCCTTAGCGGTCTTCAACATTTACTACGCTATGGCTGGTTCCCTTGTTGCTGTCTTCGCCCTGTCAGCTCTCGGCCAGCTCTCAGTGCAGTACAAGCGCGCACAACAGACCACACTAAACCTGCAAGCGGAAGCCAGCAACCACGCCCCAGCCAAGGTACAACCACTCCAATTATTCTTCTTTTTCCACATCAATCTTGTCCTTGTAGATGTCAGACATGGTCACGGACAGTGGTGCATATATTTTTTGTTTTTCTCAAGAACCAAGAACAAACATCCTCCTCCAAATGCAACTTCAGATTCTGGTAGCTGTTGGCGCATTCAACCAGTTGTGTAAGACATTACAGGATGAGAATCCTGCCTATGTGTCGGTCCAGCAACAGAATGGAACGGTTGCACCCATGCAAGTGTTTTATCCGAAGCGCATCGATCGCGTCGTCCTCTACTTAGGGCTTTTTTCTTGCACGTACAATAGAAAAAGTCGCTTATAGAGAACGGGATCAGACCACTAAAATTCTCGTCTGATAAAGCCGCCTATGTATATTATAATACAGATACTTACATAGCTCCTTCATGATCTACTGCAACTTCTATGTACAAGAACACATGTTCATGTTGAATGTTGTTAATAGGCTCCTCTAACCTTTCGAGCCTTCCTGCAAGTCTTTGGAGCTGGCGACATTAAATTGCACGGCTCTGGTATTGAAGCGCTGGTGGAAACAGTCATTTTGTTATGGCTCGATAACAGTCAGTATAAGAAATCAATTCCTGGATCCTCCCATGACGTTGGCCCTCGATCGCGCCTCCTGAGATGACTGTCTATGCCCTTAAAAACTTTAGAAGACTCCTATACCCTTTTTCTTATCTTCAGGTACCCTCACTTTGCTGAGTAGATTGAATCTACTAGATTGCTCACGTCTGCGGCACTTCTTCGTTTGTGATGGTGTGAGTGCGCAGATATTAGCGGCCTCTGTTTGCTTTCTAATGTTTGCGTTTGCCGACAAGGATGGTGGTGTGGATGTGGAAAAATTCGTGAACGCGTTCTGTGAGCACGAGGTGTACGACCTGGAGCAACTCCAGAAGCGCTTCGATCGCCATCGTGAGGTTGGCTTTTTTTAAGGCTAGTATATCTATATCGGGGTACTTCTTCATTGCAAATGAACTATCCCGTGTGGACTATGCCGAGGAGTGGTGTCCCCATTTTTGATTTGAAGGGAAAAAAAGGGGTATGCGCGACCCACTCAACCACGGGTAGGGAAAAGCTACCTCTAATGCTCGGAAGACTACTTCTCTCAGCCACTGAATATCACCCTGCCATGCCTGAAGATCAAGGATGATAGTACCCGCAACAGCGTGGTAGAACCACAGAGGACGCAGATCGCACTGCCGAGCTAATAAACCAAGAAGATTTGAAAGTAGATGGTGGTGAGTGGTTGGCAAGAAGAATCTATAGAAAAAGGGTTTTAGTAGTAGTAGTGGAGGAGTAGAACAAACTGGAACTGCAACATAGACGTTTACAATGGATATGTTTCTGAATTTCAATTTTCTCACCAATTTATTATTATCGGTGGAGGGGCGAACGCGAAGGAGAAGGTAGACCTAGGCGTAGAAGTAGATGAAGATGAGACGAGGGCTACAACCAAGAACAGCAAACAAGGGATTAGCACTTATTTTTTTCATATAGAAAATGAAAAAAAAATTAATTATGTCTTAGTTGACGTGGTTGGCGTTCAATATTTAATTGATTAGCATTCTCACCATGCAAAATTTTGCCGAAACGTTTTGGAGTGGCGCTTCAATTCCTGCTTGTTTTGTGATCAATGAAACGAACTGACGAAGGTGGCCAACATGGTAGGCACATGCAGGAAAGAAGATGTAGAATACGAAAGAAAGAAAACAAAAGTAGAAGAAGAGATAGAAGGAGAGAACACGATTGCAAAGCATCTACAAAAAGTCTACTGCTCCAATGGAAGTATTACAAAAAGTAGACATTGGGCTTCTGCTCCACTGGAAGTATTGCAAAAATTAGACGAGGAGAGTTTTGGCCTCTGGTTGTGTTGATTCTCACTGCGGAATGTCCCAGAGGCAGTTCAGCTCAACTGTAACACGGAGCGACCACAGGACATATCCCAGAGGACCCGGCATTTTTCAGAACGAGAAAGGAGGCATGAATTGTGCAAGCGGAGAACACGCAGAGGTCATGTTGCTCTCTCATATCCAAAAAGCGTATGATCAAAAGTACCAAAAGCCGGAATGTGATCCTAAGTAGAGAGTTGTAGGTCGGTCGCGTATTTGATGAGCAATTAGGTCAGTAGATGATGAGAGCCTCCGCGTGAACATGGTTGATAAAAATAGCGCGGTAAGTTATTTTTAAGAACCTTTGCCTACTGATATCGTCACTACTGCACATCAACAATTATTGACTGCACGTCAGAAGATAAAATCAATATGCCTTCTTCATCTTCTCCAAACGAACCAGAGGAGAGTCTTCTGAGGGTCCGGGCTCTCCTAGAAGACCCACGAGCGACGCCGGAAGACGTAACCGCTCATATATTGGGTCTGAATTAAGGCTCTGCAACTACATGTGAAAATATATCCGGGACACCATCCACATCGATGTAGAAATTGTCCTCTTTTTCAGGTAGAATAAAAAGGGACCAACAGGGATCATGCTTCATCTAGAAGTACGAGCCTCTTCTAGTCCTCTTTTTCAAGTACTTCTTAGATAAGTAGGGCTAGGGGAACACTGACTTTAGATATTATTCCGTGCTTGGTCTAGGGATGAAGATGCGAGCCGCGCGGCAGTTCTAATCAGAGAAGGCTCGTAGCTTCTATCCCGAAGCTCGTTTGACCACTGCTGTCTTCGTCGCGGAAGCTATTCAAGATGCCCTAATCGGACCGCGATTTCTCTTGCTGCTGAAGCTCCTCCTAGCGTTAAGACTTCACAGATTCATTGGGAAAAAGTTCACACTTTCTTCTTAAAAGGTCCAGATGCTCCTGCTTGGCCCAGGGATAAGATTTCTTTCGTCTCTCGGTTCTTGCAGCGTACTGTTACTTCTTCTATACCCCAATGCCAATGTCAAGACGAGCAGACGAATTATAGGCTACTTATCCTTGATATCGAAATCGAAGATGGACTCTCTTCAGCTTTACAACGTTACAAGATCCTTCTAATCACGGAAAGGATAGTGGAACCTAGTGGTTGCCTTCGATGTCTTGAGGAGGTCTTGAAGACGACCACGGTAAAGAAGTCGACCAGTTCTGCTGCCAACATAGAATTTGCCGATGTCAACATTGAGGACGGGTCTGCGGTAGTCGGCGCTCCTTTGAACACGAACGAAGGAGCTATGAGGAGTAGACGCCCACACAGCGACTATGAGGTGAACGCAGATGAGGATCAAGCGGTTGAAAAAGAAAAACGCGAAGTATATGCTCAGATCCTGGATGTCGTTTTTCAAGTCTGCGGCTCACAGACTTTGGTTTTGCCCACACACGTGAAGCGACTTGCAGGAACATTTCGGAAGGAGTTTCCGCGCTTCGCGCAGAATCTCATAGCGCCTCCACCAAATCCGCGTCCACCAAATCCACGTCCATCAACATCTGGATCAGTACGAGCACCTCCACTGTCTGTCGTGCCTGGTGCATCCTCGGCAGCGGCTTCCTCATCAGGAGTTGTAGGAACTAGTTCAAAGCCAACATTAATATTGAGTACTTCTGGCGCAAGGAGCGTCGACTCGGCCCGCTTAGTGGCCGAAAGCGCGCCGATGTGCCTGCCGCTTGCGAAGATGGACTTTGACGCGATTGAGCAGCCGCCTCCACAAGGTTTTTTTGCCACAGCGGAGGATCTGGCAGTACATATGACCGCAACGCCGGAGTCTGAGCATATGCTAGCACGCCTTGCTACGCTCTCTTCGAAAAAAGCTGCGCTTAGCAAGACGGGTTCTTATGGTGCAACAAAGGCTCACATCAAGAAGAAAGCGCTGCAGAAGAGTGGAATAAAGACTGCTAGGACGCAAATGTCACTTTTTCCTCCGGGTTCAGCTTCACGTGAAAAAGAAGCTGAAGAACAAGAAAGGGAGCTAGAACAGATTGAAATGGAAAAACTTAGTATCGCGGAGTCACGTGTTTTGCAGCAGCTGGGACAGCAACAGCACACCGCTGAAAATTTTCCGATTTTTAGCATTGCTTATCTAGACGAGGAAACGCTCTTCTGTGGTACTAACAACGCATTGTGTCGCTTTGACGTCACTGATAACAGTTGCACCGATTGGATTTGGACTGCAACGGACCGCAGTGGAAACGGAATAAGTGTCTCCCCCAGTGCCCCCACTCCCTCCAGTTCATCTTCGTCCTCCGGTACGTCTTCAAGAGTTGGCGGAACTTGCGAGCGCATCGTTTCTCTTTCGCATAATAGACTCGGCGACCGCGTGTGTGCTGGTAGCATGACGCAGATGTTGGGGACCTCCAACGCGGTCTCCGTGCGAGGCTCCTGGGTGCAACTCTGGAAAGATAGCGATGGAGTCTGGCAAGTCGACTCGTCGACGGAGCAATTCAAACGAGTCTCAAGAAGTTGCTTTCTGGGAGACGCGGTTTGCCTCTCCGTAACGACTGTCGAAGAACACGCTGTCTTGGTACAAGGCGAGGCAGGAGGCATGCGAGGAGTTAGGAAGTATCATGATGCTACTTCTACTGATTCATCATGATCTGTTTTCTCGGAACAATGAGATGTAGACGATAGAGCAGCATCAACATCAAGAGCAAAGAGAAAAAAATGCTGGACAAAGCAAATATAGAACATCTACTCGAAGTGGGCTAGTAAATCGGTCTGTAGTGCTAGTGGGTCTCTTGTCCTTTTAACTATTTGTACCCTGTGCATGTTTCTTAAATTTTTTCTCGTTATAGCTTCATAGCTCAAGTATCTGATTCTGACGCAAAGAAAAGAACCTAAAAGTCTCCATTTTTAATCCTGAAAAACACTATTCTAAGGTTTCCGCTTCTTTCGGCGGCCGCAGATCTAGTCGCAGTCGATCCTTTCTGCTTTGCAGCAGTAACGCGTGCGCCGTCCGCGAGCTTGCTGCTGTTTGACATACGACAAAAGGCAGAGTCTGCCACTCAATTTTCTCTCTCGCAGACAGACCTAACTTGCGTCGCTTCTGTCGATCTTCCAGTGGGCACTGAGGGCATTGCAACAAGCACAGTACTCGTAGTTTCATATATATAAAATTACAACTTGCTGCTCGAAATAATCTATGACTGCTGCTACTGGTATAATCAGCATGAAGTACTAGACTCCAGAACTAGATGAAGTAGAAGAAGTCCTCTTGTGCTCCTCTTCCTCGTGCAAATACTATTGCAACTACTTAGTATCGTGGTTTCCCTAGTACTAACCTCTGATGTGCTCGATTCAGGCTATCCTCTGCGCTGGTGACGGTTTGTTTCATTTTGACCGGAGAAACATGTTGAGTGGACCTGTCGCTGGCCGCGAACTGATCGGGACCGCTTTCCGTATGCATGGAATACGACGTAGGAACTTCTGTGCCTTGTTGGATTCTAGTGGCGTATACACTGCAAATGTCTCAGATGGTATCATGTCGCTGGTGCTGTCGGCAGAAGCGCGCACCTCGAATCCGGAAGAGCTAACGTTTGCACGGCAAGCGCCCACGTGCTACGACTTGACGACGGGTGGCGATTCCGTCTTCGTTTCGAACAAATTAGGCGTGGAACACTACAGAACAGAAGTATTACCAGCGCCAGTGGTGTACTGATGAAGAGGAATCGAATCTTCACAACGAACCACTTATGATGGAACAAGTGATGATACATAATGATAAACTTTTCACACTCACTACAGGGACAGGCACAGAAATGGGGACAATAGATATAGAAGATCTCTACCTCAAGTATAAAACTGAACTTGTCCTTGACGCATACGCCGCCAGCGCATAGTCTATTTACGGAACTTTTGAGCATCAAGATCACCTTCATCAACGAACTGAAAAGAAAAGCACCCCACGTAAGTTTGGCAAGATCAATGTTCCTATTAGTCCCAGGTACTAGTGGTACAGGTACTGCGTCTGGGGCTTCTTTGCATGATCTTATAGTTATAGATACACATACTTACATAAAAAAGTATTGATTTTGTTGAGGGTGCACCTCCAACAAGTCTTCTATCTATCTAGTATCGTTCGAAAATGTCACGACAGCTGGGACGTCGCGATCTCCGATCCTTCCCATTGATCAACTCGAGAGCACCATAAAACATAGATCTTAGATCCACCTCATGAAGATCATTCGTCTTCAGATCATGATGAAGCGGCTGTGAGAAAAACTCACTTCTTCATATGAAGATCATCAAATTGACGATCCACCTCAAACCCTAACTTACAATTATATTCTTTTACAACTACGAGGCACAACAAGTTCAAGAAAAAGAACATCACAATTAATAACGCATCTCTACATGCAACAGGGCCATGACATCAAGATCATTTTGCTTTTTTTCCTCCGGCAACGACCACCATCGACTTATTAGATTTCTTTGTACGATAGAAGTTCTCCTAGCAAAATTTCCCTTATCCCACATCATTCGCAACAAGTAGCGTCAAAAACAAAGCGTATTACAACATTCATTCAATTAGTGTGGTGTTCTAGTGTGCCTTCAGAGCATCTTCTTACTCTCCGTCTTCTCCTCGTGCCAGATTTTTTTACTGGCGTTCATAAAAAAAAAATGTCGTCCCCTACAGCAACACAACCCGCCTCTGCATCACTGAGTTCTACTAGTGGCCCTCTCGAGCGCAATGTCGCTCGTGTGGTTCAGCTGGCAGAGTCTCTCGTTGTTGACGAAGATATCCGCGGCTCGTATCTTCCCCGCCTGCGACAAGACGCTAAGATCGCTGCTGACGCTGAAGTGGAGGAGGTTGGTCTTGAGATTTTTGAGGCGGATCGAGAGTTTTACAACGACAATTACGAAGTTATTATGCCCCCCGCATCGACGTCGACCAGGAGGAGCATGGCATCAACAAGTGACGTGACGGATCCGCAAGGTTGTGGCTTGCGCGCTAAGCGTTTTATTCCCCAGTACAACGTCGTTTTCGAGGATCGTCCGGTGTTGAAGCACGACATCTCGAACTGTGAGTTTACCCTGGAAGCCTGTAGTGAGTGGTTTTGGGCACTCAGCAGCACGGAGATGCGAGCGGTGTTGCAATTGAAGTGCAACCCGAAGGCTGGCCTCGGAGTCGCCGGGGTCACAGACCTCTTGGACCAGGTCGCGGCAGGGAAAAGACAAAAAGTTCCAGGGGAACAGCACGACCAAGGTGGTGGCGATGAAGACGCAGAAGATGGTGCATCCTCTCCTGCGGAAGCCAAAGATGACAATGAGGTTCATGGTAATTTTAGGAAAATGAGTCCGGAAGTTTTGGCGCATTTATTAGATCTGACGGAGAGAGGTTTCCCAACGGAAACTGAGATACAAGCCGTCCGCGACTACTTGAGGCAGAACGAGTTGCAAACGTCGATGACAACGATAAACACCGAAAATGTCATGGATGATAAGGAAGTATCGACTAGAGCAATTAGAACAACAAATTCGGGTAATAATCGTGATCAAGATCGTGGGCAAGTCGCGCAGGGGGAAGACCATTTCAAAGAAGTTTTACTTGGTGCACCAGAATCAATCAGGACTCTGGCGGTGAAGATGGCTTTCGGAGCTGTCCGGACGAACAGTATTCGCGAAGAACAAAACGTGCTCTTGTTCCCGTTGTTGAGCCGGGTTAACCACGGCTGCCGGCCGAATGTGTGGCAACAACACGGAGTCATGCTAGCGCTCCGAGACATCGAACCAGGTGAGGAGCTATTTTGGTGCTATCCGCAAGGAAAAGTCTTGGACGAATGGGACGACGATACAGCGCAGCACTTTCTCTTTTTAGGAACGAAAGAACGTCGGGAATACCTGAAGCGCTTCTATGATTTCGAATGCCGCTGTGGCCGGTGCTGCAAGCATGATGAAGAAAAAACAGCAACAAAAGCTTCCAAAAGTGCTCCTTATGCTGACGCTTCTGCAGTTGAGCATCATGATCAAGTAGCACGAGACGCAGCTCAAGAGCAAGAGCGGCTATCTCTTCGTGCGAAGAAACAAGAATTGACGGAAAGTGAAAAGCAAGAAAACGAGGCTTTGCTTACTCTACGACTAGCCTTCACGCTGTTGACAAGATTCATCAACAAAATCTCCCCTGCTGAGAAGGAGAATGACCTTTCGCCGTCTCCTAGGTCTTCTGCGGCGGAAGAAATAAAAGACGAAGAGGACCAGTTGAATGAGAACGGAGAAACTGTAGGTGAGCAACAACAGCAGGAGCAGAAGTATGACTATGACGAAGATGAGGCCGAGCTGTGGCATCGTCATATGGAAAATTGCGATTTGCTGCTCACTGAACTGGCTGAAGCCGATCTCGACGTAGACTTGCGTCTTCTGGCGCGCATTAGCACACTGCGAGCTCTCTACGACAGTACCCGCCTCATGAGTACAAGCATGGTCTTCAACACGGCATCGTCCACGATCATGCATCATGACCCATCATCTGTTGATTTAACGAGAAGTTTTGCGGTCCAAAGGGACTTCGAAAAAGCGTTGACGCAGGCGATTGAGGGTGTCCAGAGCGAGGTGAAATACCACCTGCTCGGTTACGGTCCCGGCGTCAACATGCGAAACAAGGCTGTGGAAGATCTCACCAGGGTGCTGGGGGAACTATACTACCTGCAGAACTTGAAGCAGTACCTGCGTCGCATAGCAGGTTCAGCGGCGACTTTCAATCAGAGCGTTTGCGGTGGGGCATGATACATTTAGGACCACGTCCTTGTTGAGCACGCGGTAAACGCCGGCCCCGGCCATACGTGCAGCTAAACTTTAGTAACCTAAAATTTTTCTAGTGATGATCCTTACGAGGAGGCGTCCTCTGGCACTATTTTCAAACACGACAACTCCCTCTCCCGCTTAAAGCGAACAAGGACAACAATAATCGCGTTTGCTTTGCGACTGCATTGATTTCTAGTGAAGATGAAACCGTCCTCGGACGTTAATATTCGAGTGTTCTCGTAGATTCCTGAAAAATTGAGACTGGGCCACGAAAGAAGTCTGCTCAAAAATGGCGCATGTAGTCGACACACATGTCTCCTCGAACAGAATCGGTCTCCAGGTGGGACGGCCCCACTTCCGCCTCATATGAGAGAAAAAATTGTCTAAATCAAAATGTAAGTCATGTTGATGTAATGGTCATCTAAGTACTGCAAGGATAGTTACGCAACGCAAAAAGGCCAAAAAGAAAAAAGCAACTACGACTAGTACAAGCAAGAGAAGCAAGGAAGGATTTCATGGAATCTAGTGCTTTATTGAGTGTTGTAAGTTCAAGTTTTATCAGAGGTAGAAGTAGGGGCAAGAAAAAAATATAGAGTCACTGAAAGAACTCGCCAGCATAACGACTAAGCCGCTTTCTTTTGCAACCCGCCAACTTCGGGCATCGGTAAAAGTGGTCACATACACTAATTACAATTACACATAGACACACGAGGACCTGGGCAACAATATGGCTCCACCAACAACGAGTGACGAAAAAGTGTCGTTCTTTGCGAGGCAAGCTCTCTCGAGCGAAATACAGCGAGGACTAGACTTCCTCAAATACGATTCGGTCGAGGGCATGGGTCGAGATTGGTCGCTCCTTGTTGGCCAGAAGCTTGGCAAGCTGCAACAACTGAAGGTACTAGTACTTCCATATTTCTTACTTCAGATTGAGGACATAATTTTGATCATCTGTTCCGTGTCTCGTTAGATTTCTATCAGGTAGGGCATCTGAGCCAAAACGAGGATGCTCCAGCCTTTGCGCGCAATGGATGCCCATTCCAATCGCAAAAAAAGGCCACTCTCGCCCCGCCTTGTCGCCTTTGCTCGGTTTGGGTTCGCTTAGTTTTCTTCCTTTTTAGCTGGAGGCGCGCTTTTCCTTCATTTTGTTTGCTAATCTAATGCTGGCATATTTGTACTATGTGTTGCCTTAACTTTTCATCTCAAAAATTTTTGCGCTTTTCAAGTATAATCTCTTTGGGATCGTAATCAGCTAAAACAAGTCGCGTCCGACCTAATAAACCTAGCCCCATTATAGACCCAACCGCTCGGGGAAGATCTTGTTATTGAGGATTTGACTGCTTGATGGATTGATTTGTTGAGCGCAGCCATACGTGTACCAGAACAATCGATCCTAGGCATTAACTATGCGGTTGGGTCTCTCTGTTGGCAGGTAACGGGCAACAAGGACGAAGCCTTGAGCCAGTGAACTACAGCTAGTGCAGAGTTGCAGTGAGGGTCAAAACTACAACATTAGCCGATGCGTTTGCCTGTGCTTTGATGCTGTAATAGTTAATCTACGTACTTGATATTAATTTCTTCTACTCGTGTTAACTCTGCAGGGATCTCCAGGCCAGCCGCCTGTTAGTTGTGGAATTGAGAATACCGGGGTTTTGGACGAAGTAATTTCAGAGGATCAACATGCTGAGCTTGAGCAGGTAGTAAAGTCTTCGACGGTGAAGCAACAGCATCCGCACGGATTTGGGGTCGAAGATTTGACAGTTTCTAGCTGCAGCATCGAGACGGTGGTAAGTGTGGAGCATCCTGCCACCAGTGGGAGCGACAGTGAGCCACGAGATTCCCAAGTCACTATTGGAAAGGCTTGTGCAAGTCCAGTGATGAGTGCACCAGGTGGAATTCTTGGTCAACATCATCGAGACAATGATGTCACCGACGAAGCGCAACTGCGTGTCCTAGATACAAAAACAAGTGCTTTTCTAGCCAGTGGGCGTTGTGAATGTGATTTTTTACAACCCGCTGTAGATGAGGGAGAACTTCGAGATCGGGACAGCGGTGGAGTGTCATCCCATGGAGCGATGCACCACTCACGCAGCACGACCGATCATGGAAGGTCGCCGCCTCTTGGTTTTGGCTTTGGACATGGTCATGAGCTCCGCCACTTGAAGAGCCGAAATTCGTTCACTCGCAGTAGGAGTAGCCCAGTCCTCTTTTACAAGGACATGTACAACTACACGGACTATCGCTCCTCGTCTGGTGGTTCGTCAGTCGAGATGGATGGGCTTTTACAAGAGAGTCAATCAAGCAAAAGTTTTGGGAGGAAGTCCTCTGACCGGGAAAAGCGCTCTCGTGGAAGCAATTCCCACAATTACCACAATTTTTACGACCAGCATTTTCACCCCGCAGCACCACGTTCCCCTAATGATTCCATCGCGGATGGTGGCGACGTGAACCTTCGCGACAATGGAAATGCCTCACTTTCGTCGGGTCGTCTTAGCCCACCTTCGTCGTCGACATCCGAATCATCTACTGGGAGGTCTTCGGCTCTAGGCGGTTCGAGCGCTCGCGATAAACCTGCACGGCCAAGCTCACTGATGTCCAATAGCGAATATCGTCGAAGTTGGTGGAACAGTTTCAAGTACGATCTGGGTCGCGACATGCGAACTAAGCGGCCGGCGGAAGGTGGCTTAGTCGATCGAAATGCGCACCGAATCACTAGTAAAGTTTGGTCGAACTGCACAACCAATTTGAATTCACTTTCAACCTCTTCCTCCTCGAGTACATCCTGCGCATCATCCTCTTCAATTTGCCCGGTGCATCATGTATGGGACGGGGCAGGAGGTACGACTTCAGCAGTTGCAGACTTTAACAATGCAGCAACATCAGGAGCAAAATATGGCGGTCGTCGTACTTGTTCGTCGGTCGAAGACCAAGATGACTCGACACATCAATCACATCAAGACCAACGTCTGCAGCCTGGTCCTGCTACTTTTTTGAGAGAATATCCGGACGCTGCGCTCGGGTCCAGCTTTCTGAACTCTTCCTTATCTTTCTCCCTTCTGGATACAGCACAAGCTAGAAATGCCACTAATTCTAAAGGTACGAGAAACAAGAAGATGACCACCTCTCGCTCCTGGGCCCATCTGCACGAGCGGGGACGACGTCAGAGCGACAACACATCATCAGCGTCCTCGTGCATTCATGATCCGGCAATAGGTGGACGCGGTATTCATAAGAATCTTGGAGGAGACGCAGATCAAGGCGTAGATGTAGATGAGGACCAGGATCAAGAGGTCGACGATACGAGTTCGTTGCGCGAATACACTTTCGCCCGTTGCTTGAGCTCGCGGAGGCGCGAATCATCTCCTCCAATGCGAGCAGAGTTGGTCCGCCGAGTGCGATCACAACAGCGCGAGATCCGGCATCGAGATCGCGAAATTCGACGCCTGGAGTGCGAATGGCAACGCGACGTCTCCCGTCTGCGTCAGCAAATTGGACTCATTGCATTGCAAAAATGCAGTCAAAAACTACCACTTTCGTCCTCAAAAAACAAGACGCCAGCTCCTGTAGTGGACGTGGGCGGTGCTGTTGCCGTCAGGAACGATCAAGGCTTCTTTACGAACATAAACATAGAAAGCATGTCTACGGAGCAAGGCCAAAGACGTGGCATTCAGGAACAAGCTCCTACTTCCGACATGAAGACGAGTGCGTCGATATCGAACGAAGGCGTCGCATCAGAGCCACAGTACATGAAGAACCTCGAATGCTCCAAGCAAGAGGTCGCGCGAGTTGTACTCGATGACGCCAGATCGTCCCCGGGGACGAGCAGTCTGCAAAGCGATTCTACAGGGACTAGTTTGCAAGAACTGCACGCCTCATATTACGAACAGGCAGCTGCGTCTTTGGAATTGGATGCGAAACAAGGACGAACTCAAGGTCAAGCAATTCCTGTTGAAAACAGCAAATTTAACACAGAACCAGGATCGATTTCGGCCTCATCAGCCTCGTTGTCGGTTGTCTCTCGACGACAGACTTTTTCGCATTCCGCGAGCTCCCATCTTTCGCTTCAGGACCGTGAGCCGCATGGTCGGCAAAATGGAGATACCGGTCGAGATGCTCTAGAATATCAAATAAAACAAAAACTAGCACCATTACCAGAAGCACAGCAGCACGACGAACTAGGTCGACAAGAATGCCTCCATGTCCATTTTCAAGCGCAGCAACACCAGGAGGAGCAGCATCAATATGAAGAAGAATTTTCGTTCATATCTGGGCTGTCTTCAGTGCGCGATGAAATAGAAGAACATCAAGGCGAAACGCCTCTTTTCACAACGGTCCAGGCCGAAGAGCTGAAAACGTGCCGGCTTGATGCGGAGAGGTGTGACGAATCCAATGTTGACGACCCAACGACAACGACGCTCCGCGAGCCTCCGACAAGCGAACAGCAACATACTGAGCAGCGACGTGCTGTTGTTCATAGTGCAGGAGTAGAAAGTGACGAAAAACGAAAGCAAGTTGGACAAGCGAGTCCGCTTCTGAACAACGTTGTTCGCTTGAATAAGCGGTACTTATCAAGCGAGGAATCCTCGTCCTGTCTGAATAATGGTGCTTCGGGGGGTTCTAGACAGACAACAACCTCTAGTAAAAAGGGCCAGGGCGAGGATAGTGCCATTTGCACCTCTGATGAAAGTAAAAACGGGAGTTGTAAAAGCGCCTACATGTTTAGCAGCAAGAATGATTGTTCATCTATAGCAACTACTTCCAAAAACAGTGATTATTCACCGAGCATCGTGACAGTGAAATTACCAGCAGGCATCGATGAGTTGACACCGACGACAGTGGAGCAAGATCCTCATCTTAATACTCTTGGCGCTGGTGAAGGACGAGTCAGCACTGAGTTACAGACGCTTCGACGGAACGAGGTTCCTGTGCAACTGCGTGATCCGCAAGCGACTGTAAGTACGCAAAAAAGCGAGCCAACTTTGCCGCCTCATCATCTTGCTGGAGGGAACGAAGACCTTCAACGGCCGTCCGACCATTCGTCGTCCTCTGATATTAAGATGAAGCAGCTACTTCAGCTTCATCCACGTAGTCGTGGTGGTGCGCAACCGGCCTGTTTCTCTTCTACGTCCACACTTGGAACAACTAGCGACGGATCCTCTGCGTCCGTCGTGCAAGTCGTATCGGCGGATCACTCGACCTCTGGCTCTGTGTCTGTCGTTCGAGAGCACGCGGGTGCAACGCCGCATCCTGGTGCGGCCTTAAAAGGCGCAGGCGGCTCACTTGTGGTTGGCTTTGCTAGTACGCATCCGGAACCAGCAGCACCGCGTCGACAAGAACATGTTGACCCAGCTCGTCCACCTGCATCTTCATGCGCAACTTCATCGGCGGTTGCAACAGTAAAAGAGGATGAGTCTCCGTCTGTGGTCACAACTACTGTCTCAGTTGGTAGCAGTGGTGTATCTACTCTGCGGGTTCTTGGTACCAGTGGTCCGCGAGACGGGGAGCTTCAAAGTATTCGTGTTGGTTCCGCAAAAAGTGACTACATCGCGAGATCTGGTTGTGTACGCAAGATCATAAGCAAATCTGGAGGGCAGTGCTTCGTGAACGCGTACGCCTCTCGAAAAATGGCTTCCACGTCTCCTGTACCGTCACTAGAAGAGAGTCTTCGACGCCGCCAAGCAGAAATGCACCAGGAGGGTAATATAGGACTTCAAAGTTCATCACGTTTGCCAACTAGGGTTGCTGGTTCGTCAGCCAGCCTGCCAGAAGGCTCTGAGGACGACAGGGCACGGAGCACTATCCCAGTTCCGGAACGTAGTCCACACCTTTCTGACATGTCGATGTCTCGCGACAACATTGTGGCTCAGGAGCAGGTGGAAAGGGAGGATATCGCGACATCAAACAAAAAAATCACAGGAAATGCTCCGATCATCATGTATGCCGGCCATGCCATCAACAACTACAACAATAAGGACGACTCCAATCAGCATGAGCATGAGCAGAAGATGAACAAGAAAGGAGCATTGAAAGGATATATCACGTCAGCTAGTGTCGTGCCTCTCTCCGAATCACGATCAGCACCGGATGTCCATGGGTTCGGAAATGCAAGCGCGCTAAGCCCTATCATCTGCCATCGCACTACACTGCTCGAGGATTCCCCACAAAGCAAGCGCGGTCCAGTTGTCGGCTTTCTTTTAGATGAAGAAACACTTCGAGATGAGCAGGAGCAGGACGAGCAACAAATCCATAGTTCTTGTGCGAATTATGTGGCGGCGAACAACACGGCAGGAGGTGGTGGACGAATCACAGCAACCACCTCCAACATCAAAATCAAGCCCACCGACAATCAACAACAAGACGTAGATGAGCCGGCCATAATCGTAGTTGAGGACGATTGCATCGAGGACATGAAAACTGAGCAAGATCATGTAGCTGCCACGCGGCATCTCAAACCTCACCAGAACAAGAGGGTGGAATGTCAACTACAAAAACAGGCCGCGAGTAGCATTAACAAGTCGCTTTTGAACAACACCTGTTCTTCCAGCAAGAGCATGCTGCATGACACTGACTGGAAACGACACGTGCATGCCCGCGAACGCGACTTGTGCCTTCGTGAAGCTGCTGTTTTCGCAAGGGAAGAGCAAGTCAAAGACTGGGAGGCCCGTCTCTGGCTTGTCCAAGACGAACTGGAAAAGGAGCGGCACCTTGCGCGAGTACGAGAACAGAAGCTGCAACTGGAGATTGAGGATATCGAACAGTATCGATGCGAATTCGAAAAACTCAGGACAGACTTAATCCATCGCGAAGCAGAGCTTGGCGAGCGCGTACGCCGTGTTGCGCCAGCAGAATTGGAAGCACTCTTATCGTGTGGGACGAACGGATTACCGAAACTATCGAACAACAAAAAACTAAAGGAATCGTTGTTCTCGGAGAAAAATACGAGCAAAGTAAAAAGAAATAAAGCGTCAGAGCGAGTTGTTCTGAGCAGAAATGATGAACAAGTCCAAGTGTCCGAACACGGCCAGGACCAGGAGCATCTACATCTACTCCAGGAGAAAGAATTCGACGATGTTGAAGAAATGAAATATTGGGACGAGCGAGACGAAGTTCGCGCAGTGTCCGGATCGTTTCATCAACAGACAGTGACAAAGAGTGATGCTGCATCATCAAAACGAACCGAGCAGGAACCACCAAGAGTACTGCTTCATCTAGATGGAGTCAATTGATAGCATATGAGCAGCTATATATAACAGAGCAGTTTATAGCACACATGGCGCATGATGGAGTAGCATGGAGTGCATGGAGCGCAGATCTCTAAGGGACGCAAGAAGCGCGCCCTTTAGCTCCATGCAGCTCCATGCGATCCACGATCCACTCCATGCCATGCGAGCTGGCAAACCGAAGAAGAGTGCTGCTGTCAGTGTCTGTCTAGTACTTTTCTTGGTTTTGAGTTTGATGTTAGAAGAGAAGATGGTTGTATCTATAAATTTTGTTTTATGTATATATAACGAACAAGAATAATCCAAGTCCTCGTCCCCCAGGAGGAGGAGCTGCACTTGTGAAAATATCAAAATCATTCTTCACACCATATCCTTCAGCTTAGCGTTGTCGCGACCGCCGACTTGGAACGTCTGGACAGTAGAGTACGCCGCTTTGTCCGCATGTTGAGGTGGGATTGTGATGCGAAGATGCGCGGGCTACAGGAGGAAAATGAGAGACTTCACAATGAGGTGAATATCTTGTTGGGAGAAAAGTCTGCAGAAAAAAAGTTGCGGACGGACGATTCTATTGACGCCTTGTTGAAAATGGAGATGGACGGGCGGCGCTACGGGGAAGAACTTGGGGATCGCGATATGCAGAGTTCGGAGAATGAAGATGAAGCCAGTAGTTCTTGTAGCTCGGTCTCTTCGTCTGACAGTGGTGGGCAAGAAGTGTTGAATGACAACGATAACTACAAGGATCAGGATGACGATCAGGGGAGAGATGTTGAACATTACGACAGACTCGTACATCATGACGTTGAGCAGCTCGAGGAGCGTGATGCGACGCGTAGCCAGATCATGATGAAAGCTAGCAAGAGCCTCCACACGGCGTACTCAGGAGAACGCCCGCCAGCTGGGGGAAATGAACAACCTAGCGCTGCCACGATCAATACTGGAAAGAACTCATTAGACACAGGCACATCGAGTACATTTACTTCGCGTGAAATCAAAGGAAATAGCAAGGAGGAGCGAGTGGCCGCGGTCAAGAACAATTCTGCCACATCTATTCGCAGTGATCAAGTGCAGGAAAAGTCCAAACTGCAACACGAAGAGGTTACGGCGACTTTCTCCCGAATCATGTCCGTGCCCTCACGCAGAACTCCACCTGGTGCGAGTAGCGAAGATATAAGGACAGCTACTAGAGTTTGCTCAACCTCAAGGTCAAGTGCTGGCGGACGAGGAGGGGGACGTGGTCAAGCAGGCGCGTCTCTAGAAGTAGGGTCCTCGCATAATTGTTCTCATCGTCTTAAGTTTAAGAAGCATGCGCAGGATCCTCCACTTAAACAACAACATACAACGGAAGCACCAAAAGCACAAGAAGAACTAGCCGTGTCCGACGAGAACTACCTCTGCGAAATAAATGACGAAGATGGTCGTGCGCCACTGCTGAATTTAGAGCCGTTCGTTTTGTTTAAAAGTCAATGCCAGCGAGCGCGCGAGCACAGTCGCCAGTTGCAGCAGACTCACAAAGCAGCGGGGATGCAAAAGCTGCGACAAGCGATTAACTCGACGAATGCACGTCTGAAGAAAGGCGCGACAACGACCCAAAATCTTTGCGCTGCTGCTTCCTTGCCGAACTACAGAACGAATCAACAAGAACCTGCTGTAGTGATCAAAGGCAAAGCACGACCTAACAAGAAGACGAAGCAAGATAATGCACTGGATGAACCCGTCAAAGCGATTGCGATTTCCTATGGCGACCAACAGAAGAACGGCCATGTATTTAAAAATTCTCAAGAGCAGGTGCCATTTAAATCTAATGGCCCAGCAGCGGAAGGGGAAGGGGAACAACAACCAGAACCAGCAGTGCTTGCCCTACAAAAACAAGAGAGACCACCAGTTTCATCTCAAGCTCATGTTCCAAGCATGTCTCATACGCTCACGACTACATCCGCATATGGAGATGGACAACAAGACGATGTCAAGAACAGCCTTTGCATTCAACATGACAAGATTAGTCAGACTTTGGTTTCTGCTGCTTCCACCGGACCGGGGCCACGCAGGTACCTGACTGCATCGCGAGCGTCGCGCATGTCCTCACTGCGGGGCTCAGCATCGGCTTCACCTGGAGAGGCAGACGACACTACTGTACTCTATTATGAAGAGCAAGACGAAAGCAGGCTTTTTCCGACTGATGGAGTGCGCCAGTACGTCACGCGACCATTGCCAGGAAATGCCACTGGTGTCGAACAAACTACAAGACTTATGCGATAATATGGTTTTACATTTGATGACGATGAGTTTGATGAAACCCGAAATTTTTTGTCTCTCTTGTTTAAATACGAGACCACCACCACCATGACGAAACCATAATAATTAAAAGTGTGTGACTTGTGTTTGTGACTATTGTACTTATAATATCATTCTTGCGAATAACGTCAAGACTTCGCGGTTGCAGTGGATCTTTTTCTTGTTCGAGCAGAACGCGTATTCTAAATGAGGTTTGGTTTTCGACCATCTCTAACAATAGCAGTCGCCGACTAAACACGAACAGTGCGATGAAGAACATGGTGAGTGGGATGCTGCCACGAGGGTCTAGAATGGAGCAATTTTTTGCGCGCGATGAAGATTTCCAAGAACGTGACCGATTAGTAGAAATAGAAGATTCTACCTCCTGCCGCTCCTGTCTTGACGATATCAACTATCACAACAGCGTCCAGGATGACACATTGCTACATTCTTACGCTGCCACTCGTCAAATTCCGACGTTGCTCGGAACTCGCATTGAAAGCACACCCTTGCCACTCGAACAACCGGATCGCAAAAGCGCACCGCCGAGACAGCGACCTGACCTGCCGCCGTAACAAAATTAAGGACTCAAGAACGAACTTATTTGAACAACTCGATCTGGATACGAAGGTAACATTTCTTGTACAGAACTACCGGACACGAAGAAAGACTACCGAATCAATCAAGTTTTGACTGCTTACTCAGGATTTCTACTTCGTACTCAATTGATTTTTCGCTATTTCAAGAAAGCGACTTTCCCTAGTTGTAGCATCATCTATAACTTGCAAGACACTTCTCGATGCTGTCGAGGGATATCACGCAAAAGGATTACAGACAATATTCAGAGATTTGTACTTCCACATGCACATGCGGGAACATTTTGCGTCATCAAAGTCAGAAAGCTAAAGAAATGCAGTAAAATAAAACAAGTTTATTTTTCATTTCAGAGTAGTTTATAGCACGCATGGTGCATGGAGTGCATGGAGTAGCATGGAGTGCATGGAGCGCAGAGCTTTAAGGGGCGCAAGAAGCTCCCCCTTTAGCTCCATGCTACTCCATGTGATCCATGCACTCCATGCCATGCGAGCCGTGAAACCTTATAAACTGCTCTATCATTTTCATACTCCTGTTCGTGCTCGCAGACGCAGAGTAAGTAGAAAGTAGTTTTGAGTTTTTTTGCTTCGGCAGAAGCCATGACCACGACTAAGCACATACCTACTCATGATTTAATAGAGCCATCACGAGTACATACCTCATGATTCGAACCTGAAGTATAGCATAAAAAAGTCGTTGTGAGTTGTTGTTCTAATATTGAAGATGAATTCCGCTCTTACATTTGCACAGGATTGTATATCCAGTGATGAAAATTTTCTCGAGAAGATAATTTTCTTCCACGAACATTAAATGTAGGTACTTACGTTAAATTTCTGACTCGACGGATGATTGTTATATATAGTTTGATATTACATTTTCTTTTTGTATATGTATCTATAATGATACTCGCGTTTCCGACCTCATTAAAGAAGTAGAGAAAAAGAATGAACCTCCAGAATTCCATTCAGGCATGAGTATAGCAGATGTGTTTGGGGAGAAACAAAGTCAGCTGAGGGACCACGCGCTAACACATCTACGTCGACGTCGCCACATCATGATATCACTTATGTTCTCTTCTCCAGGTCGAGGATGAATCATGAATTACGACAAAAATAACGCTTGAAAGCATCATTCTCATTGGTTGTTTTACAGCGATCCATCCTAAGATCCGAAAATAGATCTGCAGCTTGGCGCTTTAACAGTGTTAATCACAGAACAAAGATCCACAGATAAAAATGTGAAAAAATCAAGGATAAAGATCTACCAGGTACTCTTCACCTCTTCTGTTAGGATCTGTGCCTATGATCTGCAGATCATGACGAGTATCTTCACGCAACAAGGATTCAGGACGGGCACTACTAGAGGTCGGCATCGGAGATGCAGTATTGTTATTCTTTCATGTAAGTAGGTTGAAAATGAAATGAAAACAAATATTGTCATTCTCCACTTCCACCGTTTTTTAGTACTTTGTAATTCCATTTCTTTATCGTACTCGTCGTAAGTTCTGCGTATAGGTATACACTTCCGGAAATGACAGGGACCGTTGGCATCTATGAAAGAAACCAACTCTCAAGAAGTGCAAGCGCCTGTTGAAGATTGTTTTTCACGTGATAAAAGTTCAAGTGAGTTGGCGTTTTTAGATTTTTTGTCTACTGTTGACTTTCTTTCATCCAATACTACAACGTACTATTGCTTGCTACGTGAAGCAGCTATCCAAGAAAATGGGTAAAAAGAACAAGCTACAGAAGCGGCAGCTCGCTTCGTCCAACAAATCGGCGGGCGACGGGAGGAGCGCTGAACCGCAACGGATAGAGGTTCAAAAGCAAAAAAAACAGCTCGTCAAGAATGGAAGACAAGACAAAATAGTTACCAAGGGACCAAGATTAGCCGTCGAGATCAAGGTGCAAGCGGATGCCGGTCTACCTGGTGGTGAACGCAAAAACAAGAAGGGCAACCACCAGATACCACCGTTATACGAAGCTGGTGATCTCATTTTGACAGTGGGTGATGGAGACTTGAGCTTTAGCGTCGCATTAGCAAGAAGGTTAGGAGCCGGCAATTTCTTTATGCAACCGACCTTGTTTGACACTCGAAAGGATGCAATTCGGAAGTATCCTGACACCCTCCAGCAAAATGTAAAGCAGTTGCAGTCTGTCCATAAGACGCAACCAGTGCAGTTCGGTATAGATGCGCGGTCGCTGCTGAGTTCCGGAGATTCACGATGGAGCGGACTCTTTTCTAAAGTCGTTTTCAATTTTCCACATTGCGGAGCCGAAGATAGAGATGGCAATGAAGTCATAGAACACGAACAGGCGAAGCCAAATCAAAGCTCAAAACATAACGATACCAGTCACGGCCCAACTGGAATCCTAGCCCGTGAAGGCAGTAGCGCCCGTGTGCACCAGGATCTCCTGGTCTCTTTTTTGGCCGGCGCAGCCGATTGTCTTGACCAGAGTGCAGAACGGTCAGAAATTCATATCGCGGTTAGAAACGACACTAGTTTCTCGTCGAATTCAAGTAAACAGTGGCGGGTTCCGAGTTTGGCGAAGCTAGTTTTATGTCCTGCCACCGGAAAACCACGATTGAAACTGGATCGGACAGTGCCGTTTCAAAAGTTGCCTGGATATTGCCATAGAAGAACAAACGGTCTGGCATACGAAAAAGCAAAAGACTTTAACAGCGAGAACATTCACAAGGATGCGGTGGTGCATGTCTTTACTCTGAAAAAAAATCCACGCAATTCTTCAGACAAAAATGTTGAACCATCTTCGTGATCAACAATCTTCTCCTGAAATTTGGATTTCCACCTCTGAGCCGCGTTGTTGATTCTTGATGGAGCTCACAATATTACTTATAATTCCTCAATCGCTCCTCCCTGAACCTGTGATATAAGCATTTCCTCTGATTTCTCTTGTGCCCGACAGGTACAGGAGTGTAAATCTAAGTACCCAATTTTACCTCAGCCAAAGCGACAAATGCTGGCTCCAGTCTAATTCGAAAGCGCAGAATAAGCATGTGTCCCGTTTTTCCAAGACGAAGATAAGGTAGTGTGTCGTGTTCATGTCGACCGCTAACCACTTAAAATTTATGATCTGTGCATATTAGGGTAGCTTAACATCAAGCAAGGCAGCGGCTCCGGGTTGAGGTAGGTCGTTCGAGCGAATGAATTATACCCAAGCTGACTGCGCGTTTGTTGTTCGTAATTAACCGCAGTAATCAATGACATTCTGATACGCGTGGATGCCCTAAAGAAAAACCAGTCTTGGAATCCTCCGATACGTTGAATTTCTAGAAGTAGTGCGGTTGTCCTCATCGGTCAGAGGGTGAGAACGACGACGAGATCGACGAGTGGGCGCGACAGCATCTGATGTCATTTGATATTGATAGCATGAGCATCAATACTGTAAGCATGATACCATTGCTAAGAGCCTTTTTAGGGACAATTACATACTACAAGAAAATATAGAAACATGGAGTTCGCAAGGTCGCTTCAGTTTTCCCTCACCGGTCTTCGGCGGTCATGCCGCCCTCTTCTCCGATTTATTTTGGGATCAATCGTGCTCGGGGATCATGCCTGTCCCCGTCCAGTATTTGGTCTGTGCGTCACTTTGCGCAGAGCACAGAACTCGCCTGACGCTGGAGCGGGACCTCCTGAGTACCTCTCTTCATCGCCTGGTGGACATAGGCATCGCAGCATGGCAACAAGCAGTAATCCTCGTAGAAGTGGAGGTGCTGTTGGTGCTGACAGCACCAGTAGTCGAGGCGCAACTTCGAGTAGAGCAGCAGGTGAAGAAAGTACAACTTCATCTAGTAGTAGAGCTAAGAATCCTGCCTTGGCTGCTCAAATCGCTAGATGGGAACATAGTTCTGTCACTGGCAGTTCTCTACGCCCTCCTCCTGCTGCAGTAGATGATATGACGGTGATGAAGGCACCACCGAGGTCTAGCGTTGATGTTACATCAGCTTCACGGAGCGTCGGGGAGAACAGCAGTAGAGATGCTGGGCAGAAATATTTCTACATCGGAAGTACGAGTACATCACCGGAGCCCGAGGAAGGGTGCGGAGGTGCTGGAGAGTTGGAAGATCGCGCTGCAGCACGAAAATACGAACGAGCAGAAGAAGATGATTCACTTAACAAGGCGGATTATCTCCTCACCGGTTCCAAGCGCGGACGACATGCCAACAAAGGGGCCGTACGAGAGGTTGGGGGAAAGACCAAACGTGCTGTAGCTGATTACCATATGCATATGGACGAGCCCTATCCTCATGACCACTCCAGTACTAGTTGTGGGAAAAGCTGGATGTTGTGTAGGGACTTGCCGCGAGGAGTCAAGCGAGCGATTTGGATTTCCAGCGGAGTCGCTGCCGCATACCTTTCAACAGCACTAGGATCATCGTCCGGACCACACGGCGACAACATCCCTCCCATGGTTGCTTTAGCAGCCTCCCGTGGCCTCGCGGGTTGCGATTTGAGCGTGGCAGGTTGCGGAACAAGAACATTATGAACTCCAGTGGGAAAGTTGGAAATTAGTCGGCCATAATAAGTATGTGATTTAGGGCTACGTAAGTTTAAGTTTAACTTAATGAACTCTACAACTAGTTCCACTGGAGATAGGTTATACCACTTCTGCACACTGTGAATAGAAATATTTATCATTCGACGTTAATGTTAAACCGAATGATACATAGAGATAGAAACCGGGTCTAACATAGACGACGGCCCCGAGCGCCCCGCTGCGGGAACTATTGGCGACGTTTCCATTTAATGAGGACGTTGAAAACGGCGACGAAAAAGAGAATTAGAGTTTGGTCGTACAATAATAAGTCAAGTGTACTTATGTTTTTTCATGATGCGCGAGGGCGAGAGCGAGACGGTGCATCATATTGTAGCTACGTTACAGTTTCAGTTGTAGAAGATATAACTTTGCCATAATTTGATAGTTCTCTTGGTCTGTTTAAAATACGACACTGATCGATGATCATGATGTACCTATCATGTAGGTACCTAGTTTTTTTACCTCCTCTCCCTCAATAGATCATGTACGCGAACATCTGAACTAAACATTACGAGCATAGATAACTTGTCATGAATTGTAACTGGTCCTAGATGATTGATAATCCGAGCTATTGAGATTGAGCACATGAAAATGATATGGAGTAGATTTTTGTCCATTGTGGCCTTAAAAATACTGCTCTCTGATTTCGTCTTCACCCTTCGCTTCTGAAGAAATATCTTTTGTAGCCTCTGTCTATCTTGTTCTTGTTTGAAAATACAGCAAAAAATAATGGGACGGTTGAAATGTTGAGTGGTACAACTACAACTACTATTGATCGGGGATGCAATCCTGCTTCTACAACATCTGCACCTTCATGAAGAAAGATTATTTCAGATCGGACTCTCTGTGGTAGCACCACACGCAAAAAAGCGGTACTAGCTCGTCCGAGCTCAACATATCGCACTGCAAAGGAGCTCGTTTGATCATGGCGACTCTACTTTATTACTGGAAGAAAGCGAATGTGTTTTCTAAGTACAACTTAGGAAGCTGCTATCGCGATCACCTACTGGAAGTATTTCATGAGTATATTCCGAACAAGGTCAAGGCCCTTCTTCGTTTTGCCATAAATTTCTGCGGTGCCGCGTTCGTGATTGATCTCTTAATATTCATGAACATGAAGTTGAAGCTCTTACCATAATAGTCATACTTAGCATTCTGGTTTTTGAGGAGAGGGACGAGACCAGACGAGACCGAGAGTCCGGAAAGAAATCAAGCGCGCAGTTTTACAGCGGCTACAGAATGTCAAGTTTAGTTTCCACCGACTAAGAAGGCAAAGATATACAACTTCGCGAGCGATAAAAATTCAACTGCACATGAAAAAAGAGTGAAGTAGTTAAACTTGGTGTCCAAATTAAAACAAATCCGATTAGCAGTTCTTTACGTGCACGACCTGCTGAAAAAATGTCGTCATCTATAGAGCTCGATCGCGCGAAGAAGCGGATGCCTACACTAGGCGACTTCGCCTTGGAGAAATTTCTTCGTAACGAACGGCATCCAATTTCAGAACGCAGTGATCTTCGCATTCCACAGGCAACGGACGACTGGGATGTTGAAGTACAATTGCTGGGAGTTGTTGATAGAGATGCGCACGGAGATGAGGAATGTACCTCTCGTCATCGCGAAATAAATCAAGATGAGGACGTAGCCGGCGCGGAGGAGTTGCTGGGTGCGGGTGGGGGAATAGATTATGAAATTAAGACAGGTGGCGCAGGTGCAGCTGATGATAGTGGTCGTGTCGTGCTGCTGCTGGCAGTACACTAAAGTTTCGGTTGCGTACTCGTACTAGTAGTACTAGTTGTAGAAGTTGCAGTAATTGTTCTCGGTGAGGTGGCCCAATGGGTAGCTTTTACATCTTCTAAGTAGTATCTTCCTCAACAGTTCTAGTTTTTGATCTAATGCATGCCTGTCGCGTGCGGTAGCGGCTGAAATCGCTGCGCTAAACGAGGAGGCCAAAGCGGCATCCACGAACGGCAGTAGAACTTCATCAAAAAGCAGAGAGGTTTTTTCAGCAAATCTCAATGGTGCTACAACTCCTACTTCAAACAAAGCCTCTTCGTCGTCAGCATCAAGTTCAAGAACCTCGTCCAAATACGGTGGTGCCTCTCAGCATGGTACAATACATTTACATAAGCCCACGATTTCGAACGGCGGGAGTAATATGACATCACGCACAGCGAGAGCGACTCCGAGAAGGCAAAGCAAGGCGCAACATGCAAACATCTGCGGAATATCAAGGACGAGAGATCAACATGTTCCAAAATGCTACGAACCCGCTCTCAGCAGCAGAACGACTACGCCTAGACGGAGCTCTTCTAAGTCCGATGAACAGGTCGATCGCATCGATGCTAGATCTGGAGCAGTATTGAGCAATGACAAGAACAACAGCGATAAGACTAAGGTCAGTCGTGATCTTGTTCTGTGCAACCAGGATGAACGGGCATCAGTGGTGCGTCATCAAGGAGAACTACAGCAACAAACAAAGCAGAAAAGCTACAAGGTAGTAGAAGAGCAAGAGACAGCAGCTCATTCTTCTACACCAAGAAGTAGTCACCGAACAAAGGAAGGAAATTTTTACAAGACCACGTCGTCAAAAGTCAAGAGCAGTAGAGGTGCTAATCGTGCAGTTCCAGCAGCTTCTTTCCAAGCAAAAAATAGAATCATGACAAATGCTAACGCTCTTCCCTGTAACTTTTCCGAAAACATTCATGACCTCCACAGAGCGCTTGCTGATACGAAAACGAAGAGGACGCGGATGCCAGTCCCATTGCTCACAAATTACAAAGTAGACGCTGGTGCGGTTCCTGGTCCACTAATTGATCGAGCGGGAGCTTCTCATGAAGATCAAGCGCAACATACAAATAGAAAACAACAACCTGCTCCTAGTCCTCCACTAGATCGACCTATTCTATTGCGAAAGATGACGCCGATGCTGGTTTCTACATCACCGAAACGGACTAGCACCTCCCCGAGTCGAAAACATAGAGCACAATAACTCGCGCCTCGTTTACTTCTCACGTGTCGTCGTGGTCATTGTGACTCAACTAAGCGAACAAGGAGAGTATTCACAATCACAAATAACATCTGCAAAAACAACGTTTAGATCACGAGTGAGATCAAGAGTTTCTTGTTTTCGTATTAAAGTCAACAAATTAAAAGATGTCACCAGCTCTTAATATCAATCTTGTTTTACTACGAGAACTTCATCTAAAATTAGAAGTTTTACTTCCAGGACGAGTCAAGGCCTCCGCTCACTCATCGCAATCTAGATCATTGCATAGAGAAGATCTTCTCCACATGCATGAAAAAAGAACGAAAATATACTATAGCACGCATGGCGCATGGAGTAGCATGGAGTGCATGGAGCGCAGAGCTTTAAGGGGCGGAAGAAGCTCCCCCTTTAGCTCCATGCTACTCCATGTGATCCATGCACTCCATGCCATGCGAGCTGTGGAGCCTTACAAATTGCTCTGATATAGTACTCTGACGATCCGACAAAGTTGAGGTTGTAAAAGTAGAATTTACAATAGCATTGTACACTCAACACAGATAAAAGGGACCACTTCATCACAAGTGAGTGGTCGCAAGTATGCGGCAATGAAGTGAGACAGAAAAAGGAATAAAAAGCCGAAGGAGCGGGAGCAAAAAGGACTAAGCTTCCTTCTACATTTGACGTATTGCATTTTTTGCAGTGAGAAGTAGAAATCTTTTTGCATTTGCAGCGTCTGTCGGTGAAGCGTGTATTTTCAACGTTTTGTTACAAATATAATTGCCAGCAGATTTATAAATATGAATCTATCTTCACCATGATCACCGGATTTTTGCCAACTTGCGCGTACGACGAGGAGCCTGCACATAAACTCAAATGACCTGGCTTGTGCATATTTCTAGCATTTCTTTCTCATATAGTTGCAATAAATTTTGTTTTGCTTTCACTACAAGAAAAAATGAGCGACAAACCGGACTTTTTAGCTTTGCTGTAGCACGAAGCATGTTTAAAGAACGAACATGGCACGCTGCTGCATGTTGTTTCTTGTTGTTGTTCTGTGTTTGTCTGCCCAAAAGATGCATCCATGGTACCGAAAACACTGAAAACCAAGCAAGTTCTTTTATTAGCTTCTTGAGAACATCCCTGTGGGGAACCACATAAAGTAGATGAAGAGAAATATCTGTCTGAGTCTGTGTGGCTCAGGAGCTGTGGAAGGCCACAAGAACTAGACCGAAGTCAGTGACCACTACGAAAAAAGCAAGCATGCAGATCTAAGACAAGTCCGTCCATTCATTTCTGTTGTTCCTCATCTCCCGACCCTTCTCAACTAGTATAGGCAACGCAAGCGATGAACATAACAAAGATAGGGTGCCATAGTAATTTCTTCATTGTCTCCGCTGGTCTGATGCACTTACGTCGTCTATATGTCGCCACAAATACAAAGATGACGTAGTAAATTCCAGTCCCTCTTCCCTGGTGGTGTCATTTTCGTCATAAAGACCCGCCTTCTCAAAGTCAAGCTTGCTAGTTTTCAAATTGTCATGAATTACTTGCTTCTATGGAACAGAAGGGATTGATACCTTCCAACATCGTGTTCGAGATTTCTACCTAACAAAACATTGTATGTAAGTAGTTTGTTCTGACGAAAAATACATGTCCTAACTGCAGGTGATACGCGTTATGATTCTCACTGCTGGCACGTTGTGGTTGTGACGCAACTCTATCGTTTGGGAAACCGAAACGTAAACCAGTAAGGTTTTTATATACAAACCGAGGAACTTCCAGATGATCTAGATTCATACCTCCTTCTCGTTCTCCTCGTCGTGAGCTAGAACTTCTCAGTTGCAGAGCAAATCCAAAGGCAAAACATGTCAGACGCTGCGAAGGTTCGTAAGCAGGCCGTTTCCGCCTTTTCGCTGAAGGGGCTCCAGCTCAGGCCAAAAGCGCTGAAGGCAATTGTCGAAGACCTGAGCGGGAAGGGTGGGGATTTGACCAAGAGCATCCGCGATTTTGCGGAGATGTGCAAGCAAGACTTACGACGAAACACGACAGGGAGTGCAAAAATTAAGGCGTACCGTAATTCATCCTAAGAAGCAGCTTTGACCCCTTTACTAAGGGGGAAATGCGTCAAAGATGCTTTTCAAGATGAATATAAGTAAGGTCTAAAAATACCAATGTCGTTGAGGCCGAGATGGTCGAGCGGCTGCTACGCCGCTTTGCCCTAGTGCAAGACGGAGACCCAATGGACATCGATGGCTTAGCGGAGGAAGGGGCGGCGGACACGCTCATTATGATCTGAAGAGAAGGTGAAAGTTTAACTTTGAGTTCAAATATATCTTCAGGAGCGTGAAGTCCATACTTCTTAGGTCTCAACCTCGTCCTGGCTATTTAGGCTAATCATTTTTATCGTGAATGGCCATCGTCGTGTTCATCTTGATGTTCCCGTGCTCCTGTTTCACTTTCATCCACTACGGTTTCGTCTCAATGTTAAAGTTAAGTAGACGTTGAAATTAATGGGACGTTTGCCTGCCAACAAGGTTCACTAAAGCGACGACCACTTTCTTACTTCCCTGCTACGTACTTACCTCACTTTTTCTTGCTGCGGGGCTGTGCCACGACCGCCAGAGGCTTCGCTATTGTTATCTTCTAATCCCGAGACAGTCTACGACAGGAGCACAGAGCGGAATCCCAAAGCTTTTGCCCATTTGGGCGATGGAGTCCTTGTTTACAACGTGTGGCACGACGTGCCTTTGCTGGAATACAATACCCGTGCGCGGACGTTTCAGGTGTCGCCGCTACGTGCGGAACTGTTTCCAGCGGCAGACAGGCGCCCGAAAATGATGCAGGAACGAATGCATTTGTGCGCCAACAACCTCTACCAGCGAGGCGGGAGCTCATCCTCGAGCTACGATAAGGAGCGCGAGCAGTTCGTGCAAGCAGCAGGAGGCAGAGGAGCTTTGGGTGGACCTTTACGTGTTTCTTGAGGACTACTTAACTAAGTACTACACCTTGACAATACAATTAGAAAGATGTTCCTCGTAAGATATCTAGTCCCCCTCCCCAAACGCAAGCTGTAACCGGATATTTTACTACATAATAATTGATGTTCTTCTTCGTCTTCTAATGGCAGACGCACGAGGCCTCCGTAGCGACTACATATATTTCCCTGCCACACACGAGTTTCCAAATAAGCAGGAAATTTGTCGAGGGCAGACCAGTCTATATCGCATAAAAATACCCGTTGTGCCTCGACCGACACACCACGCGAGACTGATGGACATCGAGAACGACGACGATGAAGATCGAGGAGAACCGCTGATGCCAGGCTCTATGGTCGCAGTGTCCGAATGGTAGCAATCGTGATGTTTCTATCGTGGCCCATATAATTATAAATTGATGATTAATACGACATACTATGTATGACTATGAATCTATAATGGTCGAAGCACGCCTTATGTGCCTTACTCCTACTGCGTTATTTATATGTGATCACTTGTGGTAGTGGTAGTGGTCTTCGAACAGGAGCCGATAACATCTTCTGCGGTCCTCCGACATCACTCAAATTAGATTGATGAATACTTTCTTGAATAAGTAACTGTATCTACCGCCGGTAGCGGTAGGCTAGGAGTACTACTAGGGATGCGAATGAATGGTCTCAATGTTTTTGGTCCACAACATTCATCATGATTGGCCGTTTCATCCTGTACTACAGGTATACTTCTGCGCATGAGCGACCAGAGTGGTTTTTGAAGCTGCAGAGTGGCCGCGGTTGGATTCCCTATCGAGTCTCCCACTTCGGGGTTGAGCAGGACGTTGTGGAGCCTGCGGGAGTACCAACAAAGTGTTTAGTTACAAGTGTCGAGAGTTTGGTCGGAAATTTCGGCCATAAGGTGACATTTGGGCTCCTCGTAGACATGCCAGATATCGGATCAGGGAAAAAGTACGCCCTGCAGGAAGGCCGGAAACGGGTATTGTACTTCTAATTCTAGTACAACAAGTGTCAAAGAATCGTTGTGAAAATCGTGTGAGTAAATAGGGCATTTTTATGGTTATGCGGGTATGGAAAATAAAAAAAAAGATTAAGATTCCTTCTAGCCTTGATGTTACTCTCGTTCTCACGTTGCTGAAGTAGATTCAGACTCACGTACATTTAGTACTTTTTTTTAGTTTTATTCTATGTACAACTTTCAAGTTCAACCCCTACTACGGCTACGAAGGCGAAGCATTCTTCCACTTTATTTCACACCACACGTAGTTTTCCTCCATTTTTTCCTCCTCCGTCAGATCGAGCTAGATTTGAAGAGGTTTTCGTCTTCTCCAGAGTTGATCATTCATGGCGGTTTTTACGTAGCTGAGGGCATTGTGGATAATGAGCATGGCGTTCTGCACGTTCTCGCACTCTGGAACCCGCCAATTCCTCGAACCTATATGATCCCCTACGGAACAACAGACCCACACGCCCGTTTGAGGATACATGTTATGGTCTATGCTTGAGATGTATTGTCGAGGATGTACTTGAAGTTGTACTTGACCGTGTCGCAAGCGGCTGCAGGTGATACCTAGCACTAGTGGTACTGCTTTTGTGATTGAAGTTTCAATCTGCTCATGAGGACGCTCCCTGCCCGCAGCGCACTGAATTCTTTTGTCAATCTCTCCGTCTCCTCCTGAGCTCCACCTATTCCCTTTCATGCCAAACGCAGTGAATCATTTCGGCGGAAATGTCACGCAGGAAGACGTGAAATATCTGACGCAGCTGGAAAACGGCGACGCTTTCGCAAAAGCATATTACGTCATCCTCGCGGATGTAAATCTAGACGACCCGAATACGTTCTTGATGTTGCGCGTCATTTTCGATCGGTACGAGGACAGCGACGAACAGCCGCACTATGTACAATTAATTGGATTAGAGGAATAGCTGCCTATGATGAAGGGCCCGCCATATTTACAATTACATCTTCACTGTTGGACAACTTTGCTGGTCCACTCCTACTTCTAGAAGATCAGCCGTCATGATCTGTTTGCTTAAATTGAAGTAGGCTTCTTGTAGAAGAAGATGCTCAGCCGAGCGCACTCTTTCTCTTGTCGGAGAAGTTCGAAGTGGTGTGCCTTCTCAATGCCATTCTTGTTTTGAAACTGCTCCACCAGATCCTGATGGGAAATTTTCGCAGCCCGGACTACTACTACGACCCTCGGCAGGAAGGCACTTCCGCCAGTTGGTCCGAAAAGCTGTGGAATCTGTGCAGTTTACTGCAAACTTACCAGCATACACAACAGAAGCGCGTGATCCTGATTCCCGGACCGAACGACTGCTGCGGGAATCCAGACATGATGCCGATGATGCCCTTGCACGTGTACGACGTGCCCTTCCCGCCAAATGTGGTCCTGGCGTCGAATCCCTGCCGCATACGCCACTTCTCGAGGCAAATCGTCATTTGTCGTAGCAACATCTGGACAGAACTGGCACATGCGGAAGTGGTTAAGTTCGATGATCAAGGGAACCGAGCAACACGCTTTGACGCAGTGGCACACTACCTGCTTTCGCAAGCGCACCTGTGCCCGATTTTGCCCGTCACGCAAAGGACGACCTTGATAGGGTAATATTGTTGAGATGAAAATGCAAATGCTTGTAGTTGTAAGTAGATGAAAAATATTTTTGAGGTAGGACTAAATTGACGAAGAAGAGCCTGGCAAATGCTATTTAGTTTTGAATTTTACAAATACAAAGCCTTCTTGGCCTTCCTCTAGTACCTCAAATCAGGTTTGACCATTCTCTCCGTCTCCATCCTGTGCCGGACGTGCTAATGCTTGGTCTCGGAATGTGGCGAAGTCATCACAGAAGTGTCGGTCCCGATAATGATACTGTATTCATCCCGAGCTTTACGCAGCGATCGCAGTACGCCTTCTATGTTTTTTATCCTGCAGAAAATAGCAGCGAGGAGATGCTCCAACTGTCCAACGCTGTGGTGGTGTAGACCTATTTGTTATGTTTTTCGGGACTGTTGGAGGTTCCAAGCTCGTAATCATCATTATGGTTTTTGTCAGCTTCTGGAGGAGTGCGCTCGCTACAAGTGACGTGTTTTTGATGTACTTATACCAATACCTTCTTCGGCGAATACTAGTACGGTGTTGAATTGCTCGGGTTGCTCGGGCTTGTTCTACTTGAAGGGATCTTCAGGCGGATGAACGCAACGTCTGCGCTTCTTAAAAGGAAGTGGCTCTCTGATGATATTGACTTTCGGGCTGCAAGTTTCCCTGGTTACGCAAATAGCCCGCTGTGCCCGTTTAGTTTTGCACAGACACTCAGTCAGATGAGAGACGGTTAAAGTGGCGTCCAGGGCTCTGATAACGTTCAGAGTTATTGTCTGAAGAACTAGACCTTCGTATACATAGTCGCTTACCGAGATTGACTGAGGGAACTGATGTACAAGCAGCGACGAGACGCCCGAGGCCGTACGGGAAAAATATCAAAGAGGGGCACGAATATGAATAGATGATGCGCTTTGAGCAGTTTTGTTTTGTGATCAAAAAGCTGAAAATGGCAGATGCACAAGCATCGAAAATAAAGATGAATGTTTACTTACAAAATTCACCTCCGGGTCCAAGGCGACCGCTTGGCAATTTTTAGGTTGGTGCTGAGGAAGAGGACTTCTATCTGAATAACAAAAGTAAACTTTCACGACCGTCTTAATTGCTATGATTCAGGATTGTGTAGTAGTAGTTGAAACTACAGTTACATAGCAGCTAGAGAAAGTCTAGTTCATTTTTAAAATGGTGTTGAAACTACAGTCATAGCAGCTAGAGAAAGTCTAGTTCATTTTTAAGATGGCCGCCCCCAAAAGCAACCTTTGGCCTCTGCTGCGCCTTGGTCAACGCAGTGTCTTCATTTGCCTTCTACTTGGTGTAAGCCGCGTGAGCAGTGAGGCCTTCGTGCATTTGATCGCGCCCGCCGATGTGAGAAAAGACGGTGGACTCAAATTTCGAGCGAATTTGCCTATCCCGGAGCGCTTAGTCGAACTGAAAGAGAGCTTCCGGCTAGCGCATCTGGAACGGTATGGTTCACCAGGATACGTCGATTTCGAATTTTTCAATACAAGACTCGAACAAACTGTCGACAGCGTAGACCAACTCGAGGATGGAGACGAGCTCCGCCTTTTTCGCAAGCGCGGCACAACCAGTTTGAGCAGAGGAGCACAACATCCAGATTCAGAAGTTGTTGCTGGAGATGTTGCTGGACAGCATCAGCAAGCACAAGAGCAGGAACAAAGTAAAGCTCCTTCAAGGTCGGAAGATGCTGCAGGAAAAGAACGAGATCGTTTTCATGGAAGATCGGCTGAAGAAATCATTGGTGGTCCGACGCAAGGGAAAGCAGAAAATTATGCAGACGGGGTAGCTGCTTCGCCTCCGAATGTTGCTGCGGGCGAAGATGTGAAGAAAAAGACTGGTCCTGCTGGTGTCAATGATGGGACGACCGGTACAAGCTCGCCGCAACAACAACAATCCGAGACTTCAACGCCCCGGCGAACGAGGAATCGCGGCCTGGACGCTCTGACGTCAGCGCCAATGGACAGTGAGGCTCAGAATGACGCGCCTAGTGCAAGTCTCCCAGACCCGTCCTCACCATTTTACCTTTCCGAATTGCTATACACATTGACATCTGCAGCGAATGTCCCGACTAAACTCCGGCGGCAGGTCCTGCATAAGGTGAATGAGGCACCCTTGTCGGACTTCCAACGACGGCAAATCTTGGATGATTACCCCGTTTCCCTTGAAGATTGTCGTGAAGTTGACAAGGAAGAAGCAGTTGGCACAGCGGTGGCTGCGTCCTCGTCGTCCAGTGACAGCAGCGTGGGAAGAACATCACCCGAAAATCCACATCATCAAGATGAAGGTATAGATGCTTCATCTCCTTCGATGAGTTTTCGGGCTTTTGCAGAGCGTTTTGTGCATCTGCATCCGACCGCTCGTGGTATTTTACGGCTCGCAGAATGTCAGCCGGCTTTTCGCGAAGGTCTAGTGCGATCGCATTTCGAGCGGAAGTGGACGCACCAACTGAAGCCGCTCTTCGAAAAAGCGGCTCGAGGATTGACGTCAACCACAGGGGACTCAGGAACGCAACTGTCAACCGCTTACTTTACCGGCTACATCGGTCAGGAGGAGGCGTTGAAGATGATACGGCCGTTGGTCCAAGAGCAAGTGCTGGGACGGAGGATCTCAGATTCGCCATTGAGTTTCCTTTTTCTAGGGCCATCAGGAGTGGGAAAAACGGAACTAGCAAGAAAAGTCGCGGAGAAAATACATTGTGGTAATGCCCCCGCAGTAATATTGTCTCTGAGAAAATACATTGTAGTGGTAGAAGTGACACAAGAGGACCGCTTCTTTCACTTGACTCAACTTCAATCATCTTCAATCACGATCTTTTATAGCCAATTAGTTTCGAACTTGAAACCCATGACATGCTTCCGCTGGCGCATGTCGTGTTTGGGTTAAAGTCTTGCTCGTGTGTAATACTTCTACGATGTTCACCTCCACGACCAGTACTATTGCCACTGCGTACAACTACCAGGTGACCAGCAATCATCTGACGGCGATCATCAAGCCCTCACTGCTGGGGCAGCAAGTTCTTCCTGTAACATCAAGTCGCTGACAAAGGCGGGGAAATTTGTGGAGTTCAAGATGGGCAACTACCGAAATGAGGAGCAGTTCACGTCATGGATCGGCGTGCCAGATGGTGTTAAAGGTAGCGACGGAAAGCTGTCAGAAATCCTTTTCTCGAACCCCGATGCAGTAATTTACCTGGACGAGATAGAGAAGGCCATTCCGACAGCGGGTGATCTTCTCTTGGCTATGCTGGACAATAAGGGCAGTGTTCAAGTGTCCAAGACGGGACAACATATTTCGACGGTGAAGGCGACTTTCATCCTGAGCAGCAACCTTGCAACCAACGAAATTCTATCGGTCTGGGCTAGCACGACCGGATCGTACTACATTATGCCTGTGAAAATATACTAGGTAGAAGTTCTAGTGCTGGTTGAACTGGAACTCCGCCTTCCAGAAACAAGCATTTGAAATACGGTCTACTACCAGCGGAGCAAGAACTACTTCTGGTTGAACGTATTCATTGCTCTCGTGTTGTTATGATTACGCTGATGCACAAGTACTTATTTGTTCGCCCTTTATCACTAGCGAAAGTAGTTTAACTTCACGGTTCTGGTTTCTTGAAAAATTGATACACAACCTAATGCTTGCTCTACGCCTTTGACGCCTCGTGAGAAGTACGAAAAGATACTGGGAAAATTGGACTACGCGTTGTCGCAATCCAAGATGTTCGCTCGTCCAGAGGTACGCAACCGGATTGCAGCGATCGTGCCCTTCACACCTTTCCTCGATTCTGAGATCCGGCAGGTGATCGATTTAGAGCTGAAAAAATTGCGACGCAGCTACAAAAAGAGTGAAGGATGGGGTCATCCGAACATTGTCTGGACGCAACGCGTTGTGGATTTTTTGGCGGACCCCTTGCGGAATGTCCACTTTGAAAACGCTCTGTCGAAGGGGAACTTGCGCGAGTTGATCCGCTTTTTGGAGCAGACTGTCAATCGCGCGTTAAATCTCGCCAAAGACTGCGAAAACGCCGTTTGTGAGGTCTTTTCGAGCACCCTCACTGTCGCTGGTGGGACCACGAGCCCAACATCTACTGCCATCGTTGCAGCAGGCACGACCAGCATTTGTCGTCCAAAAGCCTCTGACGTGATATCTGGAGCGACCGACAACTTCCTACTAGACGTGCGGGACGAGACTGGAGGAAGCGGTGGGTTGCCGCACATCGTCGCAGATTCTGTACCCACTAGCCTTCGAGAGGCGCTTCTTTTTTGTAACTTGCCTGACACAGCGTCAGGGGGTCTTTCGGGAGTACTCTTAGGCACTAGCACACCAGGGAAAGCCTTAACCGACTTGCAAAATCTTGCAGCGGATACCTTGGGAGGCGTTTTCGGGGGTTTGCTGAATAGTGGAAGCGATGCCTCATCAGGAAGTGGAACGTTGTCCGGTAGTGTCGTGCGTGGTGGACAACAAAAACATCAAGGTCCCGCCACAGGCTCTTCTGCAACTTCTAGGAGAACGACGGGTCTCCAGCCGCAAGGACCAGAAGTAGGGACGGACGGGACGCGAACAAGCCGTAGCTCAGGAGGAGTTTCGCCGTCTTCATTTACGCCAGCAGCCACAGGCAGCTCGGCACCAGGAGCATCCAGTGAAAGTGGTGGCTCTCTGTTCGAGAGTGATTTTGAATATGATTGTGTTTGGCAATTCGTTTTTTCCTATCAACGCACTTGGTCTTCCTTGATTGCTTGGAGCTTCTTCTTGCTAGTCGGGTTCTGGTCGGCTGCTCTTGCTTTTGTGCTTCTGAACTACGGAATTCTTCCACTCGCGGAAGTGCTGTACTCGGCTTGGCGCGCTTTGCCTCCTGGAGTGCAGCAGGTGATAATCGCAGGGGGTGAGGCAGCGGCGCAGATCGGAAAAAAAGCCGTGGAGCATTTCGATTACACCTTCATGGTACTCCTCTTTTTCGAGTACCAATTCGGTTTGCTGCGGTTCGTGGGACGACACCTCTTGTCTCTGCTTTGCTGGTTCGGCCAGCGAATCAAGAAACGCCTAGGGGAAGTTCAAAAAGTTTACGGACGAGGAGACTTTGGTGCGACGATCTCTTCATCATCCTCGCTTCCAAAAAGTGGAAGTATAGAGTTGCCGCTTGTTCTTGGAAAAGAGGGCACCTTCAAGTCCACTCCTCCTGCCACGATTTCGAGTACTTTCCCAGCCGACGATAATGAAGCAAGCAAAAGACGGAAATTGTACGCGAGAGCAGTGGCTGCGGCTGTGATTCGAAGGCTGAAAGAAGATGGATGCGTCTCACTAGAGAAGAAGAAGGACGAGCCGACCTTAGGCGCAACGACCGCAAGCAGCGGTGCGCCGACCGTCACTTCTCAGGCAGACATTTGCGAAACGTATTTAGCGACCGCGATTCTTCGGATATTGCAGGTAAACGCGCAAATGATGAAATCAGATTCTAGCGGCATGGTTCCTCAGGATTCTCATCCGTCATTGGGGAGAAAAAAGGGTGGAAATCAATCATCTGATGCTCCTGACAGTAGCATGTACAGGCATCCGCATCTTCTTGCTGATTCTTTACAAATTGGTGGAGATGCCGTTTTTCCAGATCAAAGATCAGCCGGCTTTACCCAGATGGATGTACGCTTTCTGAAGGGATTTGCGACTTCTATGTTGCAGCAACTATCGACTGAGAACCTGTCAAGCATCGCTGATACCACATTCGGAGCCCTAGATCGAGAACAGCAAAATATGGGTGACCATAATAGCACCACGCAAGACGTGGTTGATGCACCAGATGAAGTGACAACGAATGGAAGTGGGAAAATGAAAGGTGCGGGAGCTGCTCCGACTCCTTCTGCCCTATCTTTGAGATCCGATGGTAAAAAGGTAGAGATGACGAAAACTACTAATCACGCATTTGGACCAAACAAGGCAGTCGGTAAGAGCAAGCCGGGCGCTGTGGGAAATATAGCGCAGGGTCATAGGCTTTCAGGTGGAGATTCTGGCAAAAGCTCCCCCCACGAAGATAATGATGATACAGATGACGAACTTGCCTCCTGATTATGTAACAACAGTGACACTTCAACAAGTACATGTCGCTGCAGCGCCTCAGCTCATCTTGGTCTCAGATAGGATTTGCATCTTCGCGCTTTCGTTATAGCAGATCCATGTGATGCTACATGGAGGCACAGCAGGGAACTGCGTTTGTTCCTCCTTTACTGCTCTCATTGCCTATTCATCCTACAAATATGTTGTACTTTTACAGAGTCCTCCAGAAGAGGAAGACGCAAACACTGAGTACCTATAATGCACAATACAGACCTGGAGCGAGAGCAGGAGCGTGGCAACGGCGAGTGAAAAGTGTCAAGTAGACAAGAATCATAGCTACGTGCATCTTCTGCATGATGAAAATGCTAATCTTTGTAACAAAGTTTTTCTTTGAGCAAAGGGAAGGCAGGTAGAGGTACTAGCTGATCCTTTTCAATAAAGGAGAACCTTATGTTCTAGCATGCTGGTTGAAATTTTACTTTATCCCAGCCTATCCTAAGTAATCTTTAGCAGGATCTATTTGAGAGAGAGAGAGCGTCAAGTTGTTGAGAAAAGTTTTGACATTCGAGGAAGCACTTTAGAACATGCTTCATAGGTTGAACACGTGGTGAAGACATATTGTTACGGGTGCAGGGAATTCATCTCCAAAGGCATCCGGAAGGAGAAGACAAGAAGAAAAAGAGACCCAGATGCAGATGATTCCTAGGATAAATTCCCTACACCTCTGATATTGATATTTTGTGTTTGTTTCGGTAAAAAAAAGAGTACTTATTTGAAAAGCAAATCTTCTTTGTGACAGATCAGAACGACCCAGAAGACCCACAACACGACATCACTTCTACATCTTCATCAAGTTCAAGAATGTGAAAGCAACTTCTACAACAAGAGTTGTATCATCGAGAACAACAAGTGAAAACTACAAGAACTACATTCTACATCAAGAACTACGAGAAGCCGTAGACGACCTAGTACTAGTAGAATTTATGTGATGCAGCTGCTATTCCGTAATATCATTGTTTATGTCTCGTACAACTACTTCAGAGCTTCTGGGCTGGAGCGACTGCGGCGAGTTCTTCAACATTCATTTCTGAAAGAATAACTTCATCTACCACGACGACAACTTTGCATTTTCGACTTGCTTGTTGGTTTCGATTGAAGGACTCGATCACAATCATAACTCAGCCTAGTGGAGGAGAAGATGGAGAAAGAGAACAAGACTTCTGCGCCTCTGATCCCAAGAACTACTTATTCGTACAGCACCAGAACTTCAACTCCTGCGTACAGGAAGCAGAGCTGAGGTAGAAGACTGCAACTTCATTTCCTCAACACAGGGAGCAGAGCTGATCAGAGAGAGCCAGCACGAGGTAGCTAGAAGTCTGCAACACCGAATGTTGGAAGGAAGCACCATCAACGAAGAGCATGACTTCTTGCACCTCCACCAGAACATCGGTTCTAGTTCTCCTTGTGAGTACTTGAAGAATAAGAATACAATTATATTCATCTTAATAGAAATACATCACGACGAAGAACAAACTATTGACTTCAGAAAGTAGGAGCAGCGAGCATAATACTAGTAGAAATACGCCGCGAGGACGATGTTGATAAAATCAAACGAGCAGTGGGAGGCGCAGCACGCCGTACCCCAAACCCTCGGAAGTGGTAGACTTTTTAAATGCTCTCTCTCTCTTCCTCTTCGTCTAATTCATGCTGGTGAGTATAGATATACCATAGTAGACGCTCAAAGCACTTAGAGAAAAGTAACCGAGTAGCTTTCCCTCCAACCTGCGAAAATTGTAACATGCAAATTTTTGATGCTTTAAGAAGAACGGCTTAAAAAATGCTAAAAACTAGTACTAGTACTTCTATGCTTAGTAGACTAGGACAAGGCTTACACCTTCTAGGTATAAGGCGTATCGTCGAGTATACAACTTAAGTTAGTAGTACTAGAAGTACTCTCACTCTTCCCCGACATAATCAACTGCAACAGGAGAGCAAAGTCAGCAGAACAGCAATGGTGGACGGGGAAACACTGGCTCAATAGGCTACAATAGCAGCGCAGGCACAAAGCCGGCAAATTTGAAAGCGGTTGAGGCACGCATACGCCAAGTTGTCGCTCAATGCGAATTCAAGGATGCCCGTGGTGGTGCGATATCTAATAAGAGCATCGAGGTCCGTGTTTTCGGGTCATGCTGTAACGGATTCGGCACTGCTGCTAGTGACCTAGACGTCACGTACTCACTTACTCATGCTTTCGCTTATTCCACCTTCTTCAGTATCAGTATTGATTAGTTAGTAAAGTAAAAGTTATTTTTTTTCGAGTTCTGCTTCATCTAGAAGTCCACATAAGAAATTGCTTACGCGGGTGGGATAAATGATCCTCATGTTGACCTTCGTAATCATACTTTCATCTTAGAAAACTCTGTTTCACGACCATAACAGATGAAGTTTATTTCTACTTCTTTATTCTCTCACCAGAAGTCACATCCCAATCCCATAGGCTTCTGACACCTGATGGTTTGTCCGTTTCGCCGGCTGCGATCCTTAGGGAGGTAGCTGCAGTCGCGACGGATACGTTTCAAAATGTCACCAGAATTCTTACGGCACAGGTATAGTGTCGCTTTGTATAGTGGAGGCTCACTGTCACTTTATCGCAATTTCATAGATATAACTTGGACGCATACGCAAAACACGCATCTGGATCTACTGCTATTCGCTCTTGTTTTTGAAGAAGATGGAGAATTTTTGAAACCAATTCTGAGCCCGATAAAGAAAAGGGTTGATGGTGTAAGTGATCAACTACGCTTTAGGTTCCGGTTTTGAAGTTAACTGACCCAGTGAGCAAAATGGAGGTCGATTTGTGCGTAAACAACAGGCTAGGCCTGCGAAATACAGAGCTTCTCCAGACATACGTCTCTTTGGATCCTAGGGCAGCGCAACTCGGAAAGATTATCAAGACGTGGGCAAAGCGCAAGGAAATCGTGGGTACTTCTTACTCTTATCGGAAAAGTGTTACCTTTGAATACAGAAGCTGTAGCAAGACTGGCATTACTAGCCTCCACAAGCTTCGCCCGGCTTCAAGTTTAGCTTAAACACTTCGCCGCCCACGGGCTACAGCTAGGGACAGCCCGCGGGTTCGCTATAGGTAGCCCACCTTGAAAAATTGACTACGACGAGAGTGCCGGCTCTGACACATTGACCCCCGGGAGGATGAGTGGGCTGCCTTCGGGTTTTTTTTTGGACTGCCGGGGGGGTCACGCAAATTCTTGAGAATTTGCAAGACGCACCACCGTACCCGCAAAAGGACCCGCAGGCCCCCCCGCTCATATATAGCCGGGCCGCGGTGGCAGGCAAAAGGGGCGACCTTGATGGGTCAAGAAACAAAACGCATAGGCGTGCTGGTTGGGTCTTTCTACGTACAGCTGGTGGGATATCTTGCTTCGTCGGACGCCTTTGGAGTTGGATGGTCGGGGGTCTCGTCCAAACGAAGTGCGTCCGTCACTCACGGCACGTCTTGCGTCGGACTGACGTCTTCCGCGGGGCCGACGTCTTTCGTCGGACCGAGTTCTTTCGTCAGGTTGACGCCTTTCGTCAGGGTGACGCCTTTTCTTTGTCGGACGGGTGCCTTTCGTCAGACTGATGCGCTTCGTCAGACTGATGCATACCGTCGGGCGCATATCTTGCGTGGTCCGACGCCTATCGTCAGGCGTCTTTCGTCTCTCGTTCGTCAGATGTCTTGCGTCAGATGTTTGAGTATCGTTAGATGTACTTCGCCAGATGTCGATGCATTTCGTCGGATATTTTTCGTCAGATGTGTTTCGTCGTGCGTCTCTCCCCAGACGTGCCGCGCCTGGTTGGCTTTTGCCTAGACGTCTCCCCTCAGGCGTCATTCGTCGGCCGCCGGGCGTCATTCGTCGGCTGTCGGGCGTCTTTCGTCTGGCGTGGACGTCTTTCGTCTGACGTCTTGCGGCGGACGTCTTTCGCCCAGCATCGGTCTTCCGTCAGGTGTCCTTGCTTCAGGAGGTGTCAGTCTTTCGTCTGGTGTCAGTCTTCTTTCGTCCGACTTCTATCCCCAACTTGCGTCCCTACCCCCGTCGGAAAATTTTCCGGCTTCATTCTCTTCTGGAAGTATGCCCGGGGGCTTTCTCGTGATTCCTTGCAAGAAAACTGATGGAGACTATCGGGGCTCTCGCGAAAGGGGTGGACTAATATCCGGCTGGGTAGGCGGGGAGGTCTATAGCGGTGATCGGTGCCGTGATTAATATAGATGAATCAGGCAGATTGATATTATAGGTTAAGAGTATATTTTTTGCAATGTTTCAGGACTATTAGCATCAATTATACTAATTATACCCCTAGTTGTAGATATGCTAGAAGACGTTCTTCGCGTTATTTGCTATTCTTGATGTTGGGCGCAGCCTGCACAAGGGACGCCTGAGATACTTCGTTGCAATAGTGTGTGAAAACGGGGATCCTTGTACTTGTTCATTTCTTTAGTGTCTTCTTTCTCGTCTTTGTCGAGGATTAGGACATCATGATCAATATGTTTTTGTGATTCAGAATCCACCTTCGATACTCGTCACTCTCTCCACCAGGAACCACCGACGGGTACTTGAATTCGTACGCTTACATGTTGATGGTAATTTTCTTCCTGCAGAAGAGAGGAATCTTGCCAAATTTGCAAGAGCTAGGGAAGAAATTTGGCGATACACCGGTCTGGGTGGGAGGAGAATCGACAGGGGAGAATTGGGACACGACATTTCATACCAGATATCAGGGACACTCGCGAAACGGAGCACGAATATACGACTTGACGCTAGATTTTTTCCGGTTCTACAAAGACTTCGATTGGAAGGTAGTTCTAGATGCAGCTCGTGCAGAAACAGGAACTAGTTACATCATTTGCAGGGACATACTCCGTAAAGCTTATGACAGCAATAGACGCCGGACCAATAATATTGGATCCTCAAAGGAGATCACTTCTAAGTAGCAATCTTCGGCTGTGATCGATTACGATTTTGTCACACCATTGATCAAAAAATACTTAGTTCCTGAAAATAAAAATCTAGACCCGCGCTGTCTCGGTGAAGAGCGGACCCCAGGACTGCGACAAATCAGGCCTCTTCGAACGCAATCCGCTCATCAAAACGGTACCTGAGCAATGCGCAGGAGATCGAATCAAGATTACAGGCCCTCCCACGGAACATTGGTGGATACAAGATCCGTTCGACTTGTACCACAACCTAGCAGGAAAATGCACTTTGAGAGGTACATAGTCAACATGATCAAGGGCACACTGTTGGAACTGTATCATCTCGTCGGTAGGCTAGGAGAACTACTATGGATGCGAATGAATGAGAGCAGTATTCGTTTTCTCGTATTATAGCTATTCCTAGAGAAGTACTGTCCTTATAGTTGAATATTTGTTAACTCTTGTTTAATATAATTGCTTTGGGTTTGGAATTGATAAATTTTTTTTTTGACGAAGTGAAGATAGTGTTGCTGATCGTCAGTAAGTAGAAATACCCACAGACTGTGACTGTTGTAGTTCTCGCTCCTTCTATTTACAACGAAATGGACGCGACGCAGAAATCAGATAATGTCATACCATGACCCCACGACAACATGCAGGTAAAAAGCACATCTACAATTGCATTCTCGAGACGATCACGGATATGGGGCGACGAGGACGTGGCTTGCCATGGATGAATACGTGGATGAACGGCGATCCGTCCGAAGACGAATACAAGACTACTTACTTTTAAGCCGTGGTTTGAGACAGTGACCTGCTTACAGCGTAGAGAAATTGCTCTCGTCATAATCTTCGTGTTCGTTTCCTCTAACTCAAGCGCTTTCGAATTAGCGACCACCTTCCAAGTCAGAGCTCGTTGGTCGCGCATAACTCGAATGGATCGGGTGCTCCGGCGAATCTGGTGAAGTATCCTGGAACAAACACGACCGGCGTTGTAACGGGACAGCAGATTCTCGGTCGCTTTCTTCGATATCAAGTTCAGCACGTCTACGTGATCGAACAACCGGAACGCAAGACAAAGGATGTGTTTCTCTCCTTCATCTTAAGACCTATGTATTCAGGACAGCTTCTGCTCGATTTCATTTAGAGTTAGATCAAATTAAAATTTGTCATGACGACGACCTGAGTGAGCTGCTTTGTTTTTGATAAAGCGAGAACCATGTTGCTGTTGTTGTACTGAACACGACCACTTTGCCTGCATTTTATTAACCAAATGGAGTTCGAGGTGAGTGTGACTTACCATGTGCACGAGGACTAGGTCCTCCAACTGCAGTTTAACTCTAATGATAGGTGCAAGTGATCGACGCAGAGCACACGCTGAAAACGAAAGCTTTATTGGCGACTGGCAATTGCAAATGTCGCGAACGTCGCACGCGGCTTATCTTGACGCGATCTCGCAATCAAATCGAAATTACCAAGTTTTCACCAATCCGTTACCGACCTGCGCGGCCGCAAAAAGTTCGCCTGGAGGAGGAAGTATTATCTTACTAAATTTGTCATTTTTCGAGTCGTCGTATGTTAGAGACTTCGCCATTTTTTTCTAGGAATCAATCGTCCTTGTTGGTTCTGATATTCCTAGGGTAGTTCCTATCCACTAGCACTATCCTGCAGGAGATTCGACAACGGCTGCGTCATCGAGTCCAAGTACAACATCGGTAGGAAGCAGTCGAAGTGGAAGCCTCCTTTCGGTTGAGGGTCTTAAGGCGAATGCGCAGCCATTTGTTCCAGCATGGAAAGCTTTTAATCCGGCAGCCGCGGCCTTCGTTCCTTCACCGGCACTAGTGCCAAATAGCACGCCAGAGAAGCAAGGTAGCTTTAGCTAGTTAAATTGGAGATGAAATACCTCTCAAATGCCAATCGCAATCGTCTTCTATGTTTCTTGATCAGTAAAGAAGCAAGCACGAAGAAGCTAGAACAAAAGTACAACTAGCTCGTTTATATTTGGTCCCCGGAGGTAGTGCTTCCACCATTTAAGAAAAAGGAAGGTACAACAATCACGTCTCCATCGGGCAAGCGGCAAGAGGACTGGGGCAGCGGGAAGACCGAAGCTAGTTCTCTAGGTTCCTTACAGTGCAGTAGCTACGCAGATTCGCCGCTGTTTCATTTCAAAGAAAAAGAAAAATTAGACGCGGCAGGAGCAGGGGTGCGCCTTCCTGCGGTGCCACCGGTTCCGGCTACCAATCTGCCTGATCATGTGAAAACGGTAGCGACATGGACATCTACAACTAAACATAGTCGTTGTATCTTCAAACTCACTGTACGCTAATCCGCATGTTTGATGGAAGAGGTTCCGGTTTGTGTATTGAAAATCCCTTTCTTTGTTCTTCTATCGTGAATATCGAAATCAAACTTGTTCTTGTAGTGCAGCTGGCTGTTCCTTTCGCTGTATTACGATACAGAATTCTTCTTCGAATTACTTCTCCATCATTTTCACGAAATCCATGAATTTCTCTTCCAGCTCGAGACGCGTATTGAGATGTTAACCCAGCTGCTGCGGGAGAAGGAAGTCGCCATGAGTCAATTGCTGGTGAAGAACCATGCACTCGAGGCTGAGGTTGCAGAATTGAAGAAGCGAGATAGGTGGGGGAAAGAGCCCGGAAATGGTAATCTTATTAGTCTTGCTTGGACTGTCAGCAAGAATTGATGTCTTCAACACGAACAAGGTATTTGCAGCAGTTGTTGTAGTCCTCTCTCACTTTCCCCTTCATCTGAAGAAAAGTGTATTGGCGTAACTTCTCTCTTTGTGAGCTCAACAGGACTCTCTGATAAGGTGCCAGCGTTGGTTCTGGTGCCGCATCCAACGCGACAAGTGCGCCTGGAGGGGTGTCCGCGAACCGCGTATCGAGAGATGGCATTCGGAGTGCCGTGAACGGTTCAGGAAGCGCGTCGACGGATCGTGGTAGTGGAGTATCGTCCGCCCCACCCGGCTTATCGCTTCCGACACAGACTGGCGGTGCTGGCACGACCACGGGAGCAGCAAATGGCACATCGACCACAGGAGCGTCGTCGACCTCGACAGAGGGTGCATTCCAACCCCCACCGCCGCCGCGCGCAGCAGCGCCTGATAAACGACCTATGCCGCTGCCGCCTCCGATACCGTCGCTCTACTCACTCTTCGACACGGCGACAAGCCATCAACAGCAGCAAGCTGCAGCGGCAGTAATTCAAATTTGAATGATATTCAAACGAGAAGTATAATAATGCTATTTTTGTACCGAGCAGTTCTCCTAAGCGTCACGAACTGTTTATATTACTAAAAATTTCTGTTTCTTCATTCAACATAATTAAGTACAACTATTGTTTCATTGAATTTTTGTAAATATACTACTTACAACAATATATTACAACTCCAACTTACTACAGAGTGCTGCAATGGCTGCCAGTGCGCACCAATCGCAACATCAATCAAGGCTGCTGGCAAATATGATGCACCAATTATGGGTGTAGGGAATTCATCTCCAAAGACAAAGTCATCTGGAAGAAAAAGACAAGGAAGAGGAAAAAGGGACCCAGATGATCCCTGAGATGAGTCCCCGATGCCTCTAAACCAATATCACGGACAGGGAGACTCGATGCAACATCACAACACGGCAATGATGAAACTGTATTCTCAACACCTTTCAGCCGCAGCAGCCGCCGGAGGAGGTGCAGCTCCTATTGCTCAGATGATGTACTACTAGTGCCGTTCCTGTTGGAGGGGTCTCCTCGTTGTGTTGGAGGAGCAAAAACATAACCTTATCTAGCTAGTAAGTCCTAGATGACATCAAGAACAACACAGGGAGGGGTATCCTCGTTGGGAGGTGCAAGGCCAGGCCCAGGAGAAGTATTAAGGGAAGTAAAGAACAGCAAGCCACGATAGCTTTTGATTCTTATTTGTTGTCCTGCAAAGGCGAGGAAAAGGTGGACGTGGTCATTCCTGTAATCCATTAGAGATGCAAATGTTGCTCAGATCCTGCCACACCTACTTTGACATTTCTTTACTTGATAATCATTGATAGTTGTCGGACGTGTTGTGTTGGAACTTTATGGAATGAAACTCTTAATTAGCTGAATTCAGAAGCTCAAGCTCACAGAGTGCTCAATTTTTGCTTTCGCTTTTCTTGATGTTTTGTATACACTAATTCTTTTATATCTTGCAAAATCTGCATCTTCTTGTTAGCAAAAATAAATTAGTACTAGTGTCACGACGACGGCTACGAACCACCACGGAAAAAGTGGGTATTCATTGACGTCAGAAAGAAAATGAACCGGGTATTGTAACAAGCCAGATACGAAGAGAGTACGAGGAGGGCACTGCCTACGTAGAACCACGAACTGCAGCAGAACTGGTGGGATTCAATGCTTTGACGTATTTTTTCTCCATGTTGATTTTGTGATGTGGAATGCGCACTCTGCCAAGCCAGGAGCAAGTGCGTCTATAGCGGAAACAAGATCACCAACTGTATTAGTACTTAGAATTTGGAATCTCCCAGCAGGAATTGTACACAGGAGGCATACTAAAGAACACGCTTAAGGACATAATATAATAAACGACCGTAGTTCTAGTTACTTGGCAACTGCAACATATTAAATGTTATATTTCTTTGTTAAAATAGATTATCTGCATTTTTTCCCATTCATCTTCTGCTCGCCTCCGGCAACATAGACAAAGCGCTTTCCCTGTTCGTAGTTTCCATTACCTAAAGGATGCGCATATGATAATGTCAATATGTCGATCAAAACAAGAAGACGAAAATTGCCTTTGAGTATACATACTGATAGAGTGCTATAATTCCTATTACTTCATCGTATATATTTGTCGTATTGTTCATGGTCTTTTGCAATTGTCACGCCGAGTGGTAATCGGCAAAGACATGAGAACAAGTTTCATCAGCCTCCTTTACTACGTGGGAGATGCGTGCTAGTTGCTAGTTTCAGCAGTAGTTGGTTATGTTTATCTTGTATCAATGATTCACATGGCCATTAGCATGAGTTACTTCTATCTCGTTAAAACTAAATTTTTTCTAACTTTCCTAGTTAGGCCGGCTCCATCTTGTATCAATGAAAAAAGATGTATTTTTATCGCTGCCACAGCTGTATGTCGTGTATCTTCGTCAACGAGTACTTTTTTTAATCAAGAAGTGACGAAAACGCGACGACTATATGAAGGAATCGAAATAAAGCGTCAATAAAAATGAAACAAGTAGTTATACTAGAAGAAATGATGCTTGTTGTTCGTTTCAATCCACGACGGCCATACGTGGGAAAGAAGTCGGTCGTAACAGATATGCGCCTTTTCATGTTCCTGGTGGGAAGGGAGACAATTGCCTCTGAGAGGACAAGCGCCAGCCCCTGGTGGGGCGAGATAAGGCCAACTCTGGGAGGGAGCGCTGGCGTTACACGCTGAGTCCCAGGCGGGACACAATGAAGCTCCGCAACGCTTTGCGAGAGGTGCGCCGCGACTGGTGCGGAGCATGGGGAGGCTGGGGCGCGTGGAGCCCCTGCCTGTGCTTACTAGGGAGATACCTGGTTGGAGGCCGCCCACTGGCGTGGCTGATGGTTGTTCCTCCGGGAATGCAAGAACAGAACGAAAGAGAGACGGCCAGCCCGGGGCGCCCTCCTCCATTGCGTGCCAGGGCCTTCTCTCTCTTGATGAGATGAACCGCCAGCGGCACAGCAGGAGCGGGGGACGCGTTGGCTTCCGTGCCTCGTGTCTCTTGAGTATCCAAGGCGAGGAGAGCCCCATAGCTTGGGCAGGCCGGTGCCGCCTCGTTTTCTCCCAAAGAGAGGAGATTCGGCGGGCTCGCTGGTTGGCTGCCTTGGGGTGGTTGCTTTCTCGGCCCGTGTCTGTCGTGTGGTGTGTATGGTCTAGTGGCTCGCCTCGCCCTCGTTGGGATCCGACCGCCCCCCCTCCGCCTTCTTCCCTTATTCGGTGCGCCCTCCTTGCGGTCGTTCTTGTGGAGGGTGGACGGACCCCAGCCACGGACCCGCACACCGGTCGCCAGTGCTTACCCGCAGGCGGGCAGACAACGCGCCAAACTTACGCAAAGCCTACATCTGGGCTCTGGTCGCTCTGCTCTGGTAGCTGAGTTGAGGAGGCCAAGGCGGACCTGGTCACTTAGGGCGGAGCTTTTCTGATGAACACCTGCCGCCGGCTCCGCAGCTGGAGTTTTTCCCCCGCTAGTCTGGAACATGCGCGCGCGTGATGGCGAGGCCCTCGGCCCGGCCTCAAGTTCTTTCTTGGGAGACTGAACACGGGCGACGTCCAACTCTGCACAGCAGCACCATCTGAGCCCCCGCGTGTTGCTGCTTCATGGGTCCCCTTACGTAAATACATACCTTTACCCGCACGAATGAACAAGCTGGGCCTGAAAAATGCTGGAATTTTTACCACAGACATATTGAAGATTTCACTTTGATTTATATGACTTACTAGACTTGGACTTCAACATTTTCTGCAGCGCCTTTGAGTCATTTTAAACAAGAAGTGCGTGCATCAAGGAATTGAGTAACCAACCAATATATTCACCTACACATTGCTTTTGCACCTTGCTCTCCTGCAGCCGAAGATTATACTTCTGAAAGAATGTAAATGAAATAGGAACACTAGTAGAAGAGATGAAATGAAATGTTCTTATTTATTCTATGTATTCGACTAAATGTAGTTGTAGTAGAAGAGCGTTAAGGGGGGTAACGACAACGCACCCAGTCCCGGTCAACGACCGGGACGCTTACATCCATTTGTAGCAACCGATTATAATTACTAGCGAGTGAAGATAGAAGTGTCCTGCTTCAAAATCATGATGCTACAGGGGAAGAGGTTTAGACTTGGCAAAGGCTGTCGTGGCTAGGACGACGCGACTAATTTTTGTGTCCTTCTTGGTGGATGATCGAATTCCGTAGTGGTTGTTGTTGTTGTAGAAGGAGTAGAAAAAGTCACATGATCAAAGTCGTTTTCATATGCTGCCCGCCATTGTGATGCTGATGCTGTATGAATAAAGCCTAATCTTTAATGGTCTTGTAGTCCTTATTGTCTTGATTTTCTCTTGACTGCGTCGCGGTCTTTTCATCTCTTCAGTATTGATGTCGTTGTTAATTGTGTCCATTCTCGATGAGTTCTGTTTAGAAAGAGATTGATGAACATATTATGGACGTGAATCGCAGTACCAGAGCTATCTTGCTGACGGGGGAAGACGCTGGCACCTTGTGGGTTGGTAGCTTCTCAGGGGGAGCTAAAGGCACGACTACGAACGAGGATCATATGTAAGATTTTAACAACATCAACATATGGATATCCTCAATCCCCGGTTGTTGTCCCAGTCCTTGGCAGATGAACTTGAAAAGAGCGTTTTGACCGAGCAGTACAAGTAGCTCCTTGATCAGGTCCACCTGATCATGTAGAGCATCTTTAATACACGATTACGTTGCTGAAGTAAATAGATGTAAACAAGATGTAACTTGTAGTTGATGTAGGTGTTGTGGTCATCTGGGTTAGTCTATTGATGTTACAAGTGGGTATAATGATTTGAATCCTTATCGTAAAAATGTTACCTAAAATTCGCCCTTCTTGTATGTATCTGCTAGAAATAAGTGGAACTATCATTGATATATCTTGAGTATGACTTCTACATCAGGTACTTTTTCTCGTACTACCTCGGTTCGTCTAGGTGCACGAAGTTGTGTTCTTGATCAACCACTAATTCCTCGTCGATTGATAGATCATCATGGTATAATCTAGCCGGGTATCTTCAACGTCATGAAGATCTCACGGAAAAAGTCGGAGAACTTCCATCGCGCGCCAGCATCCTCCTGCTCTAGTGAATCTGTTGCGGTGGGTGGTCAATAAACTCACAGTTCCTCTGCTTCCAGAAGATGAGGTTCTGCCCGACACGCGGCTCACGTTGAGATCCACAACATGTTCAACAACAAGACTTCGCCAAGACCAGTCGTAGCTCGAAAAATTTATTTTGTGCTTAGGGGCGGTGCAACAAGTTGAGGTTGACCTATCTATCATCTTAGGCGGGACGATTAAAGTGTGTTGACCTGCTTGTCAAGGGGGATGAAAGGAATGAACGCTAGATGTAAACAGATAGGTGAAAGGGAAACTAAAGCTAAAATCTCCTTGTTGAAGTTTATCGTTGTGAACAACAATGTTGTTAAAAAGTGGGAGCACTTCTGCTACATCGATATTGACGAAGTCCATCTAGTACAACTTATTTGTCTCCATGTTTTGGCATACTCCTCAATTTGGAGCATCGATTCATTTTCTCTCACATTCAACATTTTCAGTTCTTGCTTGTACAGTCAATGTCACGATATGCTATTATAACAAAAAAAACTATTGAAGAATGAAGTACTACTAGGAGAGGTTTTAATATGCTAATAAATACAACTACTACCAGAAGATGAAGACAGAGGAAGACGCTGTGAAGATGATAGAGATGTAGTGGAACATCAATCTTCAACCTCAACATGGATTCAACATTCATTGGTTGCCATCGGAATCAACGCTCATTGCAGATTGTTCCGATTTTTTTGATGAAGATACTGCTCAAATTTCATCAACAACGATAAATACATCTGCTGCAACATTAATGGATGATAATAGAGCATCTTCGATTTCGAATGGTCGATATTGTGAAAAAAGGGAGCATGTCGTGAGGATGTTCATGGTGTGAGCATGAAGAACCACAAGAAGTGACCTACGACGAATACTTGTTTACAAGGTACGTGTATTCATTAGTACTAGAATTGTTGAATATGAAGAACCGCTACTTACTACTTCATCGGCGACCGACGAGTGAGACCCACGACAAGCATCTCTGAAGACAGCTCTATTAGATGTAAAGAGCGAAAATTGTAGCGAAAGTAGGTTAGACACGTTTTGACCCTACTTTTTATTCTTACTTGTTTGTGTAGTCCACGGCAACGTACTACTTAAACTTATTATCGCGTAGCGGGTTTCAGATGAACATCATAGAACGTATTTGAACTTCTTCTATCTAAGTCATCGAACTTCTTACTATCACGACTTCTATCACTAGCACTACACGTCAGACACGACTCACGGTCGCCACCGCCAACAAGCGCAACTACTCAAGAACAGAAAATAATGCAGGATGTCGTCCGTCTTCTTCCGGCCCCATTGCGGCGATGTACGCCAATGAATTATCCACGAGGTGGTGCTGGTGGACGATGATCACGATGAAAAGATGACTGCACCTCCGTTCCTCCACATTGAAGACGCTTTGTCTGAAGTCCTCCACCGTGAAGATGTTGTAAGCGTAATAAGGTGCCGCCCGCTAGTGTTTGGCATCTTCAGCTGCTCCTCCATAATAACAAGAACTCAAGGAAGGGCAGCATGTCCATGTTGTACCTGTCCCTGATGTACGAGAACAAAAAAGGCGGCAATCCTGGGCGGACACGCGCAGCTTGTGTTCCTCGAAAAAAGTTCGTGTAAGATCAACACCCAATTCAAAAAAATCCACTGATGAGGATCTCCGAAAACAGAATCTAAAATCGCGGTTGAGAAAGATGACACGGCTACCACTAGGATGCGGGTCAAGGTGGTGACTACGACCAGGCTGCTGCTGATGATGATGATAATGATGATGACGTCGATGCATGAGAACGAACAGGGAACCGGGGACCTTGATGGTGTTCGTGATTCTGGTGGAACGTTGTGGGGGTCTCTATGCGTGGGAGGAACGAGGCGGAGCGAGTTGATTGAAATCAGAACCAGCGACAAGGATCGAACTGGGCCAGGATCCTCGTGCTGATTCTTCACATAAGTAGCAACGATCTGGGTGATCTTATGCCTACAAAGATGAAGAGCGATAGGCTGCGCATTAAGTACATCCCAACTCGAAGAAAGAAGTCCGCGGCGCGAGCCTGTTTGTAATTGCTTCTTCGTTGTCCTTGTCTCGAGTCTAATCCGGGAGACTGATCATTCTGAATGCATACAAAGTCTACTGAAACAACTGCAACATCGAGAGTGAATTCTGAATGAAGATGTTGAGCTTGAATTTGTGAACGATGTTGATTGACGAAGATGTTCCTTGTTGTTCTAGTCGAAAAGATTTTCTTGAAGATCAGGTTCGTTATACCGTTGCCGTGCTGTTCATATTGAGAGATAAGGATGAGAATATAGCCTGTGCGCTTGATGTTCATGTTGACCCTCAATATGATATTTAGTAAATGCATTCTCTTTCTGTTCGGCGGAGCGACGACTACTTCAAGAACCATTTCCAACCTGATCTCTCTTGAATCTTCTCTTATCTCAATCAAAAACCCATTCTAGCAGGTTGTTGATGTTAAAAACTAAAAGATATTCGATCGATTACGATTTCCTAGTCTGATAGATAGAGATTCTGGTCTTTTTCTTGTCACAAGAAGAAGAGCCGCGTCTACTTCCGCTTTATCTAGATTCGTGTTGTTTGTCTAGCTCTAGAACCACGAGATCCTCTACTTATACAGCAAATTGGCAGAAAATAAAGCCTACCCTCGCTCCTTGTCTTCTTGTCAGTGCAACATTGTGCGCCATTTTCTCTTCTGGGTGGTGTTGAGAAAGCCTCACTCTGTTGAATGCGGTGCGTGGTGCCCCCTGCGTTCCATGAAAGAACTACGAGAATCTTAAAAGAACACGGTGCTGGACCAGGAACCTCCGACACACCGTTACAAACCCGAACGACCTGCCACGACATTTTCTACAACAAGAACAAGCAGTTCTTGTAGGAAAACCCATCGTCGATTCGTAGGTGGTGAGAAGATCCATGTACATCTTCAAGTAGTGCAAGGGAAGAACAACTACTAGCACTAGAAAGGTGGTAGCTTGCTCACAACTACAACAGGGGTTGGGTTTGGTTCTACGGCGTGGTGATGAGCAGAACTACTTACATATTCCTCCAGCATTTATAATCAATCACTTCATGATTCACATTCAGTGTATTTTGTTGATCAGTTGCGCTTGATACCAGAAATGAATTCAATCCTTTCCCACCGATGAATATATTGATACAAAAAGTTGGAGTTAGTCGAGGAAGGTGTTTTCCTGCATTTGTAGGTTTAGCTTGTGCGAGCATTTCTACTAACAGGGTGTCTGTTCAAAATTGACATTTGAATTTATCATTCTCAGTGTCTAAAAACTACAATATAACTTCTCGTCTGTAGAGGTCGTACTTGTAGGTGCAGACGTCGATGGGCAAGATGAGTTGTGCCTTCAATGATGTGATGAGTCCGCTCTTTCTTGTAATTCTGATTTTTACGTGCAAGACTGCGATCCTCTCGCGAGAACGCCATAAGCAGTAGCCTGATTACTTACGCGTAGAACCAAGGACGAACAGGAGGAAAAGGTACTGCAGAAGAAGGACGCCGGGGGTGTAATCAATGATTGAGCAAACGTTGGCACTGAATTTTCTCTGCCGCGAGTTCTACATTTAATTTCTAAATACCAGAGGTAACGTCAGTTCTTGTCCGTGATAATGGAGTCTTTTTCACCTTGAAGATTTGTTGTCTTTGAACACATCCATCGTCGTTCACGGATCCTAGTTGTAGATGAGGTTGACGAAGGCGCAGGAGATGAAGTAGAATAGGAAAAGAACAACAAATACTGCTAGGATTACTAAAAATGAAAAATGCGATGCAGATGCCAGACAGAGGTCCTCTGTGATGACCCCAGTTGGTTCTTCTTCTCATTTGTTGAAAAGGCAAATGATAATGAACATGAAAAGTTTGAAGTCCTATTCGTCTTGAGAAATAAATAGAATACTTGATAGGCCGTACCACTGCGGAAGTTGTTAGAAGTTGTTGTTTCGTCACGGTCATAATGTATGAGCAGTTGGAGCCATGATTCGTACAACATTTTTGATCCATGACAATCTCTGAGCACTGTTGTACGTAAAAATTCTTGTTGTCTTTACTTATATTCTTTGAGATTTCATCTGAAAATGATCTCACCATGACGTTCTTTTCTCCGGTGTGTGTATTTTTTAGTACTTTTCATCAAGACAAACAACATAATAAGTATTAGCTCCTCGTCCTTCGTTTCTTGTTGTCGGGGGGGGAAACAAAGAACGAGACCAAGAGAACTGATGGTTAAGAATTTTTTCAGATGTTGATTGAAAAAATGTTGACGTGGGGTGTGCTACTACTCGACATGATCATCATGATCACCGCATAGTATAAATCTGCTTCGCCTATTCGTGGTGGTCAAGAATTCTTGTCATGCTTTTACTAGATTAGTTCAACATTCATGTCGATAGTCAGTTCATGGTTGTAAGTAAGTAAGTTCTAGTCTTTTTTGATTTTCATATAGAAGCACTCGATTGTCCATGTGTACAGGTTGTATTGAATTCTTTGTGTCTGTCCCTCAAAAAGCATAGTGGGTAAGGCTACAATAGAAATAGTAGACGCCCGCCCTTGCATAGTTTCATTGTATCAACAATATATTCAGACGCACGAGGTGGATCAACATAAGCAAAGGTAATAATGGAAGCAAAACACAAGCACGGCCAAGGATGAGAACTTCTGTTGTCTTCTATTGTTGAGCAATTATGATGCATGATTAGAGGTAAAAAAAGACATCAAGAAAGAGTAGTGCTCTGATTAACGCCCAAAGTTTCTGGTTTCGTGGAGAACCTTCTGAAGGTGAGCGTGAAGCTGAAGGTGCATCCAATTTATTATAATACAGAGAGGTGGACCTGGACGAGGTAGAGCAGGTTGCTATTGTTTCATCAGTTTCATTCATTCCAAGTTTCATCACGACTCGAGTAGGGGGAAAACACGAACCTTGTGTGCTCTGAAAAAAGACTCTCCTCTGGTTTCAAATGAGATGGTTGTACTGTAGATTTTACTACTCACTTGTTGTTTCATTACATACCGAGGTGGAGGGACGACAGCACCAAGAACAAGCAGTAGAACTAGTACAACATAAAAAAAAAGGGCAAGAAGGAGAAATTGGTTTATACCACAGCACTGCCACTGCCTCAACCTCGAGGAAGCACGAGAAGCCTCAAAGAACAGCGTCGTGATCTCTCTTGTTAGTAGAGGCACTATCTACGACTAAAAGGCTCCCAAGTACTCTATCACCGGGCTAAAACAACTTAGACTTGTTCCACAGATACTTAGATACGAAAGAACTAGTGCGATCCGGTCTGGAGGTGCAGTAATTCGATCGACAATTGTTTCATCAATCCTGCTCAAGAGGACATCTGTCTTCACGTCGAAGACAAGCAGATAGGACTAGGTAGTAGTACCATTCCCAAAGAAGCCCAGTATTCACATCAAAATGGCAGAAAGAGGGAACAACAAGACGGGCTCCGTGTCGCCTGCAGATACCAGTACGAGATCCGCAAAACACCTGCAAGGAGGTGCAGGTTCAGGAGATTACGGCGCTTTTTTGTGCCAAATCGACCGGTCCCTGGCGCCCCACATTAATGAAAATGGGAATATCGCGACACAGGAAGCACGCGCGAAGAAAGTCCTCGAGCGTCTCACCAGCCTCATCGAGGAGGCCAAAAGCAGCGGAGGTACTTAGAGTTCTATCTTCATCTTGTTAGAAGACTACAACTGAATCTGCATCTGAAACCCCTTACTCATTTCTTATGACCATGTGGATCCAGACTCAGACGGTGTCTGTGTCTCTCGTTTTCGGGGTCCATCATTAGCTCACCAAATTTCTATCCCGAGGAGAATTTCACATGATCAATCTTCACCTTCACGACCATAACGAACTGCATTTCTTCAATTTTCAACATCGCCACTTTCGTTATAACCAGGTCTTCCCGCAGGAGAGATTCTTGTATTCGGTTCCTTTTCGAACGGTTTTAAGACCGGCGGATCGGACTTGGACATTGTCTATACTTCAGACGACATAGGCAACAATGGCAGCAAAACGACTATTCAAGTTCTGAATGCGGTCATGAACCTCGCAGAAAAATACGAGTTCTGCAATATCACAAAAATATTCCAAGCCAACGTACTTACAACTACAACTACTTACTCCTTTTACTTTGATGTTGGATTGTAGTCTAGACATTATAATAATTCTGTAGTAAGTGCTAGTGCACTAGCCTCCACAAGCTTCGCCCGGCTTTAAGTTTAGCACTTTTCTCCCTCCCACGGGTTGCAGCCGCTAGAGTAGAGACAGCCCGCGGGTGAGCTGTTGCACTTTACGAGTTCACTACGACACGAGCCGAGTGCCGGCGCTGGCCGACTCAGGTGCTTCGACTTATGGGCAGGGCATTGCGCTGCCTTCGGTTTTTTTTATGGGATTGAGTACGGCAGTGATAACGAAAAAACCAGAAGAGAGCCACCAGACACGCACAAGAATCCGCAGGCCTCAACGCGCGCAAACGCCTCGCGGTTGCGCCAGGCAGGGACGAGGGGCGGCCTTGACAGGTCAAACAAGAAAAAGCAACGCATGGCCGCGCTGCTTGGGTCTCTCTACACGCTCACACCTGGCGGGGCTTCTTCCTTGCTTCGTCCGACGTCTCTCGTCAGAAACAGATGGGCGCACTTCGCGGGGGCGTGAGGCGTCGCGCTTCGGGCTGAGGCTGAAGCCTCTCGTCCGGCTGACGTCTTTCGTCGGGCTGACGTCTTTCGCCAGGGTGGAGACTGAGGCCCTTCATCAGACTGATGCTATTCGTCAGACCAACGCTGTGCGCCGCGCTGGCGACTTAGCTTGCGCCGGGCAGGCCGGCGCCCTTCCTTCGGCAGGTGTCTTGGGTCAGGCTGAGGCTTTTCGTCAGGGCGACGCCTCTCGTCAGGCTGACGCCTTTCGTCAGACTGAAGCGCTTCGCTTGGCTGACATTTTCCGCCCCCGGCCGGAGGCTCACGCCTTTGGTCAGGTTTGTTGCTGGCCTTTTTCAGCTTGGCGCCGTTCGTCAGGCTGATGCACTGACCGTGACCAGCCAGGTGACGCCCCTCGCCAGACTGGCGCACTACTTCGCCAGGCGTCTGCCTTGCGTCGGAACAGGCTTGGCGGAGCCTTTCCGCGGGCTGCGGATGTCTCTCGTCAAATTGGCTTCTTTCGTCGGACTGACGTCTTATCTTTCGCCAGACTGATCGCTTTCGTCGGACTGACGTGCTTCGTCAAAGGTCTTCTGCTTCTCTAACTCTATCGTCAAGGGCCTCTCGCCACGGGTCGTTTTTTCTGGCAGAGGTCTTTCGTCGCATGTCTATCGTCGAGGGTCTCTTGTCAGAGATTTCCTGTCAGGGGTCTTCTGTCAAAGCTACCCTGCCAAAGGTTTAGGTCTTTTGCCAAGGGTCTTCCGTTAAAGGTCTTCTGTCGGAGGTCTTTGCCGAAGGTGTGGCGTCAAAGGTCTTCGGTCAGCGGTCTCTTGTCACGTCAAAGGCCTTTCGCCTGAGGTCTCTCGTGAAAGGTCTTTCGTCAGAGGTCCCTCGTCGGGGGTCTTTCGTCAGCTGTTTCCCTGCGGATTTATCTCCCCAGGAGCGTGCGCCCCTACCTCCGTCGGGCATTTTTCTGGCTTCTTTTCTGGTAGTCTGCCACGGGGCCGCAGCGTAAGTCCCAACGCGAAAACGGTCGGAGGGTGTCGGGCTTTGAGAGTGCGGGGAAGGGGCGGGAGGCTATGGGCAATAGCCTCGCGGAAGATGCTGGCTAATCTCCGGCGGAGTAGGCGGGGACTTTCGTGGCGGTGATCAGTGGGGTGATGTCTTTCTCGCTTCAAATTGTGAACTTATCAGTCTTTATGTAGTTGCTCAACGTTTTTGGGTTTGCGTTTGCCTCGAGTAGAAGAATACCAAGAACATCAACATCACCGCAAAGGCAACTTTTACTCAATCATGGAAGTAGATGTTTTTGTGACTCTTTTTCCTAGGTGCCGATCCTGAAGTTCACAGCAAAAGAAAGCAATGTGGAGGTTGACTTTTGCATAAACAATCGCCTCGGAGCACGCAATTCGCTTCTTTTGCAACAGTATTCCGCTATTGATAAGCGGGTGCAGGACGTTGGCCGATTAGTGAAAGCTTGGGTCAAACGGAAGGAGCTTGTTGGTACTAGAAATGACTACGGGTTCAAGTACTAAATGCAATATATTGTCTGCGTCTGATAGACTGAAGTCCTTTTTATTTACTTTGGTAAAAAAGATTTAGATTGATTTTTACCCGAGTCCAGTACCAGTGAAGCTTTTTCCATTTCGTCGTCCTGCGTCCCTCTCAACACAGGCACCGCGGATGGCTTTTTAAACTCCTATGCTTACATGCTACTGGTGATTTATTTCCTTCAAGTGGGTCTCGAAGATCCTCTCCTGCCGAACCTCCAGAGAATGGCTACTGAGCCGGTATTTTTTCAAGATAGAATATGAAGTAAGAATTTTACAACAGCTACAATTATTGAAAATGAAAACAGGAGAGGCTTCTACAGATGCTTTAATATTTTGATTCAGGAATAAAATCCTTTGTCACGACTGCCCTTAAGCTTAAGGCAGTCTGCACTGTACTTGGTGCGAGATTTATTCATTGTATTGCTATTGCATAGGGGAAATAGGTATAGGTTGCCTCAATAGGTATCTAACACCCTGCACGATCTTTTTCTAATGCTGGAAATGCAATTTCTCCTGCTAATTTTCACCGACGATTCTTCGTGAAATGATGTTTCCTCCCAAAAATTCTTCATGGAATCATAGTCCTTTCTTCCTCCCAAACAGCACCTCGTGCAAGACGGAAAATGGGGTCGCGACGATAGATGGGACACAAAGTTTTTCTCGGAAAAAGAGCAAGGCCCCTTGACAGCGGAAAGGTGTCGAGAACTGACCGGCGGAAAATTCCATCTGGGGCAAAACAAGATGTCTCTCGCAGAGCTTCTATTCACATTCTTTCACTTCTATACGAGGTACTTACACCTTATTTGGAACTTCTTGGAACTACAACAAGCGGGATCGGGAACTAGGAACTCTTGAAACTGAAAAATATTATTGATACAATGTATATTAGAGTAGTTTATAGACGCTGGGCTACGCTGGGTGGCTGGGCAGCCTCGCTGGGCACGCTGGGCGGCAACACGGGGCACACTGGGCGGCAACGCTGGGCACACTGGGCGGGCGCTTGGATAGCGCTTAGCGGACTTGAGGGCCACACATTGGGCATGCCGAGCCTGTGCGGCCGATGGATTAACTTGCGCCGCGGGGACGCGGTGCAGCGCGTCCCGTGAGGACAAACAAAGGCGGCGCGCCGCCCTCAAGGTTCAGGGCAGCGCTGGCGCAGTGCTGCGCCAGTTTGCGCAGTAGCGGGCTGCGCGGCGCCTGCTCTGTTCAGGCTTGCACTGCGTCGCGCTGCACTGCGCTGCTCGATGCGTGCGATGCTGCGCCGCTCTTGTGCACAGCGGTAAACTCGCCAGCGCCGTTGGCTTTGTCCTACGCTAGACTAGCACTGCTGGTGGGGTTCTCAAGCGGGCGCCCGAAGGGCGCCCCGCAATTGTAGACGCCCAGCGTCACGCTGGGCGCAGAATTCGGCAGATCTGGCGCATTTGGGTCGCCCAGCGACCCAGTGTGCCCAGCGTGGCCAGCCCAGCCATGTTGGGAACCCTTATAAACTGTTCTAGTGTATACTTCTCGGAAAGATCCGATTGGACACCGGTCATTTGGCAACGACTTTACTCACGTCGCCTGCCTCGGTGCTCGTAGACTTTACACAGGTCACCCATCATCCTCGGAGACGAGCATGTGCCGGTGGGGCTCGTTGTGCAAGATGCATAGCCTAACCTAACCTCTGCTCCTACTAGTCCTTGTGTGGTTGATCTTGATTTCATCAAACTTTCATCTTCATCTCAGGATATTCGACTGGAAAACTGAAGCTGTAGTCATACGACTGGCAGATCCAATTACAAAGAACGCGGGCCAGACAGAGCGTGGTGGACCCGCATGGGATCGTCAAAGAAACGAAAAGAAAGATGTAAAGTTTTATCTTTTACCATAGTTAGTACATAGTTTACGTTTCTGATTCAGATTCTGTAGTAGGTGTATACAAATTTGAATTTGTATTAGTACTAGTAGAAGTAGCAGATGAACGACAAGTACAACTTGAACTTCTGTCTCCGCGTAAGCAATCTCTTCACTCACGGTCTTCACGAATTTCACCAATTACAGGTAATGGAATCGACATCCAAGATAACAGGCCAGAGTATGCCTGCGCTCAATAGCGAAGCAGCAGCTAACCTGTGGTATATTGAAGACCCGTTCGATCTCCGGCATAATCTTGCAGGCAAAATGACAGCTAACGGGAAGAAACGTACAACTTCTGGCTGTAAATTTTTACCACAATTGTTTATCTGATAGATCCTGTTTTTCTAGTACTGGTACAACGAGAAAAATTACATCGAGCTTGAATTGATTATGGTGTTCCCAATGTGCTACGTCGAAGTTCAGCAGGAGTAAAAAATTCAACAGCTGCAGCTTTGCGTTTGCTACTACTTAGCCATTGATTATCAATCTCGATGGGAACAAGTCACATGCCTCCTGAGTCATATATCTTCGCCATCATCAATACAGGCATGTTACAGCAAATGGAGCGCACAATGCGGGAACTGGCCCAGACCGGGAACTGGGATCTCGTCGTCCCCGCGGACGATTTGATGATCTGTTATTTTCTGAAGTGCAGAATATCACAGAGTGTAGGGCCGGATCTTTTCATTCGTGAGCTGGCGCCGTTCGGAGTGACGCGCATTCACATGCCCAAAGATTTCAAGAAGAACAGGTACGGGATGGCCTTCCTAGAGTTCGCAAACTCGACCGACAGGCGCCGCTGCCACACCAAAAACGAGTCGTACCTCGCAGATTGCCAGTTGCAAATTCACTACAGCAGCAGATGGGCATTAGAGGACGCCGTTGCACAGCAACAGTAATGGTCTTATGAATGTGGTATTTATTGTCGTGTCCGCGTCACGTACATCATAACACTACTCATCTTGTAGTCCTCGGCAGCTTGATGAACATGAATGCGACTTTCTTACCCCCAATTCCTTCACCAGGTATGTGCATTACGACATCCGTGCGTACATCACCTCATCCGGGCAAGGCGGACAGCTTGAAGCGGAGCCCGGAAAAATGCCTGCCGCCCCGAAGCATCTGCGCGCTGGGTTGCTTGCTCGGGACCAAGAGAAACGTGCGGTTGCAGCGATGAGGCGCATGAATCCGAACGGGACTCAAGGGGCGGCGAGCGCTTCTTACCCGTCGCTTTTCAGCGGAGGAATGCCAGGCGCGGGACCACCCTCAGCACTCATGCAAGGAGCAGGCACCCAGCTCCTTCCAGCGCCGGGGCTGGTAGATCCGGACACGACCACCGACGTGCATCGCAAGTTAATGGCACAAGCGCAACAGCAACAGAGCCAGCCGTGGGCTTATGCGCACATGATGAACCAGCAGCATCAACAGGTAAGTACTTACAACTACAAGGATTTTTGCAAACCATGGTCCACAGTTTCATTCTACTACTAGATTAGGATTACAAGAAATTCAAATTCAATTTTTAATACTAGATGATGAAGTTGAAGACGATAGTGGAAACCTCCAGCTTTCTGGTCTTGATCTAATATCATAAAACTAACAGCACCAGGCTTTGCAGGCACAGGCAGCGGCACGTAACGCATTGCAGCAGCATTCCGGAGCTGCGTATCCTCCACCTGGTGCTTTTCTGAATAAAAAGGGAGCCGCGGCAAGGCCGAAGATGACAGTTCCTTTTCAGTTAGTGGACGGCGAAAACCGGCATGAGCCCCTCGAAAGTTACCGGGTTCCTATGCTCTACCAGCATCCCTCAGACGGAAATGGTTTGCCGCGCGGAGTGCCTGGCCCTCCCGGATTAACACCATCACACGCCGGATCATACGCGGCGCCGTTAGGAAGTAGCGCTGCTGCACTCGGAGCTGCGCCTGCGGCAAGAATGCGAGCGAGCAGCAGCACAGCGAGCGCGGCCTCCGCTGGCACAACGCCACCAGCTCCCGGCACAATCAGCCGCGCTAGTATTGGTGGAAAACACGGGGCAGGAGCAGCGGCGAGCGTGCCGGTTTCTGGAGCATCACTGGGTGCCACCACGTCTACTAGCTCCTCCGCGCCAAGCTCAACTGCAGCGAACGGACTCGCCTCTTCACCTCTTGTCCGAACCATCGGATCAGCAGCTGAACTAGCTGGAATAGGCCGACAGAGTGCAGCGGCGGGAGCGGGACCAGGCGGCGGCGCACCGCAAGAACCGTTTATCCAGGGAGCGCGGCTTGCGGGAACGGGAGGAGCCGCGTCTTCGAGTTCGTCTTCCTCAATCGCGTCCGTAGGCAGCGGCGCCGCCGCGCAGCAGTACCACAACGGGAATGCATACTCGCACCATCACGCGTACAGTGCTGCCGCACATCTACATCACTATGGTGCAGCGGGGGGAGCGTATCCAGGCGCACACTCCGCGAGCCACAAGACCACAGCTCCACCACCACCACCCTCCGTCGTCGCACAGCTCCCCCCTGGTTCTTATCAGCAGCACAATGGTCCTCAGGCAACAGCAACTGCGGCAGCGCAAGCCTATCACGCCCCTGTTCTAGGAACGGGCCCCACATACCGCGAGGGCACCCACCGCAATATGCCGCCCGAACGACTGCAGCGAAACCACAGCGGGGAGGACATTGCAATATCTACGTCAGCTGCGAACAAAAACCCTCCACATTCCTTGAGGTCAGCAAGTGCTGCGCCAATGCAGCCCCAGCATCCTCACCCAGGGGGCTCGCGAGGACCACCTCCGCGAGGCTCTACCCAACAGCATCATCATGCGACTGGTGGCGGATACAACAGTCACCAGCACCAGACTCCTCCCCCTTCAACCCACCATCACCAACATCACAGAAACCAAACCCCTCCCGACTACACGACCTCGTCTTCGTATAATGGTGGATTAGCTTGTACTTCGGCATCCAGCAGCAGCTACCACAATCAGGGTAACCAGCATAATACTTACAACAAGAACTACAGCAACAACTCAACAGCTGCATCAAATAGAATTAGCACCTCCGCAAGGGCGGACGCGAGTGGCGCTGGTGGCGGGCGTGGGGGCACCATGACAACGGCAAATGGTTCCACTGGCGTCTCGGCGTCTGGCGGTGCCGCCCGGCTCGGTGCAAGCCGATCGAGCGGACCTGCTGCGAAGTACAACGGGGGAGCGACATATGCTGAAATGGGAGGATCCACTTCATCACTCACCGTAAAGCCGAGTAGAGCTGCCGGTGGGAGCAGCGCGCCGGCTATCGTAGCGACAACTACGTCAGCGGCATTGTCCGGAGAATCATCGAGATCATCAAACGGAGCAACTGAAACTTCAATTCACACTGCAGTAATAGGGGTCCGTGCATCTAGTGCTAGCGCTTCCACTTCCACTCTACTAGTTGGAGGTAGTTCCTCGACATCATCGTTTTCGACATCTTCCGCGGCCGTGAACTCAGCGGGGGGAGCACCGCCACCACCACCGCCGGCATCTCACCACACACCACCGGTGGAGCGCACGAGCAGCACCGGATCCTCAGGGACCGCACGATTAGGAGGTGCTGGGATCAAGCCATTGCGCAAGACGGCCTCCGTAAGCCCAGCGTGCGATGCACGAGAGTTTTTGGATGCAGGCCCGACCGAAATGCTTAAGAAAGTACCACCGCCCCCGCCGCCGGTAATAGCCGCAGGAAGCTCGACCGGTATAGAATCTATGATAGATCCAGTTATTTCTTTCCTGTTTCTTGTATTTTATTCTGCAGCTCCGCTTCGGCGACAGTGTATCGACTTGATGAACTTGTGTAGATTCTACGTACTAGAAGAAGAAGAAGAAGAAGAACAAGATGATCGAGTAGTTGTGAGGAGGAGGAGCATACTACCAGGATATTAAATAGGCGCTTCATAAAGATGCTTGTCATCCTCTTAATCACAGGTAATGCAGGTGAAGCATCCCTCGTCACACCGGAGAAAACTCAGTCGGCTGTGAATCAAAAATTTCAGTGAGAGATCTTGGTGATTTGGCTCGCCGCAGACACGACAGCCAATCATGTCCTACGGCACCGGTTCCAGGAACTGCAAATGGCCCTATCATCGAAAAGTATACTAATTGCTCTACGGCGCCCCCTCCCGATTCAGGGAGCGATGTGCGCCGTTCGCTGCATCGCGTAATTCTAGCTAGAGTAAATTAAATAGTGACTACATGTTAGAAAAAGCAAGCAACGGCATTTTTAAGACTTATTTGCTAGGCCGTTCTGAGTATGTGTACGTGACGATATGGATGTCTTTTGTATTGACCACATTGATTCAAAGTACTATTAATGTCTTCGAGTTGTTAGCTGTTTGCACTTGCAGCTAGCACAGCAAACACAGTTTTCCAACAGTACACGTGGATTCCGAAAGAATGAGCAGATTCAGAGTCATTATCATTTTTTCTCCTGCGTAGTCCTTCCTGTCTTGCCCAATAAATATTAACCTCGTCAGTATCATATAGATACTTACCGAATTTACAGTGCTCGCAAAGAAAAATAAAAGAAGTAGCCTCAGATTTTACGACAATTTGTTTTAGTGACTCTTGGGTACTACCTAACAGCGTGCTAAAGTTCTCGTTTTTCTCTCCTAGAATAATACTAACAATAACATGACGCATATGATTATCATTTTAATGTCCTCAATGAAAAGTGTTCTTGTTAAAAAGATATATGCGTTTGATTTCGGTATAGTTCAGATGTTGATGTACGACGTTGAATTCGATTTCTTTCTTGATGAACAAGTACACGTAAGTAGGTACCTTCAACATGCACACGCAGTACAACGCGATACCTACTTGTTGTTGCTCCTAGCACAACTACTACTAGATATCATATTGATCAACCGATCATGTTTCGTCCGCGTGTACGTCGTAGGTCCCGAAGTAGCGCAAAGAATGATTTCGGGTGTTTCAGGACTATGCGGAGCCGCATAGAAGTAGGAGCAGGCCACAAGTGTTGCAGGAATTTCGATCTTCCTAGAATGTCTTTACCTACTTTCATTGCAGGTTTCGACTTTATGGCTCGTGACCACGAACAGGTGGCTAAAAACGTTTCTGGATCTCCATTACCTAAGAATCATCCTTAGTCGCGACCGAAGTAGTTGATGTAGGCCCTGGTGGTCCAATTCACTCTAATATTCTAATTCTTCGAGTCTTCATGCAAAGTAGGACTGTAAAACTGCACGCAAGTCACTACATCTAGCTACAGTACTACATACATAGATACGAAGCGAAAGCATCTTATCGTAAAAATGTATTCATCCAGTTTTCGAGTTTATGTACGACGAGCAGCGAGATTTTGCAGCGCTAGCGCTCCTAAGGTCAGTATTCTGAGGTGCTGGAAGAAGTCGTGCTTGTTGTAGTGTACTATGCTGGTTGCAATATACTTCAAGGTGTAGTTGTCGTACTAACAGGTTTCGGAGGACTGGCACGAATTGTTTGTCAAAAGTTAAGACTATTATAACCAGGTGGTAGTCTGACGCTTTTGATGAGCACTTTAGATTTTTGCGCGCGGTCCCCCGGCCGGGCGAGGTAATTATGCTGCCCATGTTTGCCCAGGACAGGAGTTGCAAAGAAATCCACTTGTACTTCGTGTGCGTGTCGTTTATTGTTATTCAGAGGTGGTAAATATTACATTGAACTAATTGCAATTTTTGTTCTGCTCGATTTAGAAACAAAGCACATTTTGCATAATCTTCTACCAGCTTAAATGATTGAAAAGCAGCACGTAAAACATCAACGGCCTCACATCAACACACTATCGAGATCATGGAGAAACATTCTCAGTTAGAGATTGAGACTCTTCTTGCTCTACCTCCTAAGAAGATTTAGTTCCGTAGAAGCAGTTCCTTTTTTTGCATGTTTGTGCTCTTGCAAATTTCCAACATCCTTTTCATCCATCAATTGCAGCAACATGCGTAATCGAAGTAAAGCGCCTCCATCAAGACCAACAGAGCAAGATGACAAGTAAACAACCGCAAAAAATGAATACTTATAAATATATGTAAGTGGAGGTGGTATGAGTGTCAATGTACCAAATTAAGTATAGAAAAAAACCATAACCATAACCTAACCTAACCTAACCATGTTGGTGTAGCAAATACTTCTGATCTTCTACCAAAAATGATATTAAAGGCAACTATTTGAAAATATTTACACATGAAGGTACTTCAATAGTTATTGACTATTTACTAGTTCCCCTCTTTGTCGTAGTCTTTCGGCAAGCTGAAGACGAACAATTACACTAGAATGTAGAACTACCTATTTAACGCAATTAATTCATCATGATTGACGATATTTTTATTGCATGTCATCAAGTCGATACTCCTCGTCTCCTTAGGCAGCATAGGCCCTGCTGAGCATTAAAAGAGGAATAGGCTCTCTTAGAGATAGAAATCCGTTCTGCTGCAGCTGCGTGGCTCTGAGTTCTATTTCTAGCATGGTGCAGTATTAAAGTAGTCTTGGTTGGAGTATATGCCTCCAGCACCAGCTTCATTTTGTTCATTATCATTTTGAAGATGGAGAGTTAAGAAGGAGTTACTAGGATGCAATGTTCTTGGCAGCTCATTGTCACTCCTCTTGCCTGTTCAGGAGGGATCTCATAAACAATTTTGTTCTTTTTCATTGGAGGTCAACTACACCGCTTCCACCATTATTTCGTTCGTGGGTGTGCTCGTAGATTCTTATGCGACAGCTAGAGATGCATCGCGCAAAAAATTAAGCAATTTGATGAATTATATTTACAGTTGCTCAACAAGATATAGGTCAAGTTACTTAGGTCGTTTCCTGTGACGTAGGCCTCTCTCATTTATTCTGTGAGTATTGTCCTGGTCATCAACGTCGTTCTCCTCATAGCATAGCAGAATCTTTTCTTCATGCAGTAGTAGTTGAATGATCGCTATCGCATCCTCCAACAATTATGATGCTCACGGGCAAGCGACTCACCTATCATGATCAACACGATGAGGAGGTCCGTGGTTGAGATATGACAAGCTGCGCGTTCCATCATTCCTCATATTTTAGATCGATGTAACATTCTTTGATGAACAAGTTGTAGATAATTCCCCGTCAGGCATGATGAACAACATCACGGTGTGTCAGAAGAGTAGATAGTTGGATGAACAGTGGCCAACCAGTACCAACTACAACAACATGAACATTGATTAGGGAGAAGAATCAGAATGATGAGTTGTATTTTGATCTTCGACAATTTGCAAAGGAAGATATATTACAGCACCTTTTATTTCGACTACAACATCATCTATGATTTTCTGAAAAAATGTCTATTATCATTATGTTTATCATGGGATTATCATTTTTACGGGATACTTATTATGTCAGTCGTGTAATGTGTGACGCGGTCGTTGTTCTTATGCGAGGAGAAGTTGTCGTAGGAGGTGGACTAGGACAGATAGACAATTTATCGTGGCTCCATGAATGTGTTGCGAGTCGCAGCAGCGATAGCCTTGGGCATACTAGCATGCTCGGAGCTCAAACTCCGGACGAAGACGAACGACTGGCTGACGAGTTCGATGGCAGCAACGAGATGGTTGCAACTTGATATACATATACTTAGGTGGAACGTCCACCATCGCTAAGTTAAATTACTCCCATTCATTCATCGAAGCTGATGTGCAACCCCCGTGCACAAATATTACGATTGGTGAATAGATACACGACATACAATCGCAAACGACAGTACCTGCTGCATAATTGACGACGTAGTGTAGGTATCCTTGTATCTGTCACAATGAAGAGGTGAAAGAACAATGAGATGAAAGTAGAGCTAGTAAAAGGTGATGTACACAGAGGAAGGAGGTGGCATAAGGAAGAAGTGTAAGTACCAATATGGACATGACCAACATCATCATGATTATGTATCTACAATTTCTTCATGGAGGGCGTTATTTGTTGGTCATGCTGATTTCTGTCGACGTGTCAATAACATCAAGATGAACTAGGATCATATTATATGCCACAGACGAGGAAGATCGTGAAGATGTGCCATCGTCGTTGTCAACAAGGAAGTCCTATTTTTGTATTCACATCTTCACGACTGCTCGTGGTCAGTTTTCTTCATTCATCTTGTTAGTGGTCTTGGCTTGTCGGTGCTGCGCGAGCTGCTACGAGAAAATACGACTGCTCCAAACGGGCGCAGTGCCGGCCTTCATCTTCTATCGTCGTGGGTGTAACCAGTAGACATATTCCGCTCGAGCGAAATGATGAAAAAAGAAAAATACAAACTTCTATTTTAATCTGGATCTCCCATGAACAAAGAAGATATACACTCTGCCCTAGTCGTAGATCTATCATTTAGTCGAAGTTTGGGTATTTCTGAAGAAATAGATGAAGGTGACGGGGCGAAATGAATTTCAATGGTGGTACACTATTCAATTGGAATACCTTCTACACCTTCTAGGAGATGACATTGACTACATCAGAAGGGGCGGGCGCTTTTTAGCTGGTATCGAGCAGGAGGTTACAGGTTATATAAATCTGCTATGTTAATATGAAGAAAATTTAGATTGATGTCATCCTTACAACCAAGAACACGGGCAATTACAACAACTACAACAAAAGCTCGTCCTCGCCTCTCTGGTGGATCCGGGTGAAGCCATGATGATGAAGATAATATGAATATATAGGTATCTTAAATGCGCTTGAAGAATCTTCATCTTCATCGAGGAGGTTGATGCATCATAGTTCTCTATCCTTGCGCTTGCACTTGCTTGATGGGAGACACCCAAAAACAGAATGTACTTCAACTAGAAGGAACACTAAGAAATCAGAAATGCTCTGTGCCATGGACAATCGAAGTGTTGCTTTGAAAGTAAAAATCAAGCTCCTTATCCTCTCAGTCAATGTCAAATGTGCTGGAAGATGCGGATGCAGCTCAGGGTTGGACTCAGGGAGCATAAACATCACGAAGAACAGGTGGCGATAAATCTTGTGTGGCAGGCGTATCTGCTATTACTAGAAGCACAGCAGGTGCGTGCTGCTGCCACCGTGTTCTCTCAATGCTATCTGTCAGAGTCTTGTTGCTGTGCTGCTCTGTAGGCCTGCTCAAAAAGGGTAGAAGTAGATCTCATGGGAAGACATGAGAAAAAACGCAAAGGAGGGGCAAAAGAGGAAGAGAAGAAGAGATAGAGATCTTCCAACAGCATCCATTGACCTCTTGCCAGGAGGCACATCAATCAATCAATCAATCAATCAATCAATGTACTACGCCTCTTACCTCGTGTGAGCAGCAAAAGGCTTCGTCTGAAAATTCAATGATCAATGGGATTTCGGTTCATTCACCGCATCTGTCAGAGAGATGTAATGGTGAATCCAAGAAGTTCTGGCTGACCAAGATATTCGGTGGAAGACATATAACTTTAGTCTGCACCCTTCCCGGCGTTTTTCTTCGTCCACCTTCACCCTTTGCCCTCGTTGTTGCTCATCTATGAATCACAACACCGTCAAGAACGCAAAGCCGCTATAGGCAAATGTCCAGTTTTTGTAATGCGTTTCTGTCAGTCTAAAAGGAATGGGATTCATTTTCGCCCTGCTAAGTCTAAAGTTTTTGATCTTGAAAAGGTTCAACCCGTGTGTTTGCACGAGAGACTTTATGGTCGTTCTGTTTGTCACGGAGCAAGAAATTGAAGCGAAAAATAAATAAAGAATGCTGCTTGGAGGCGAGAACAGCCTTTGCCAACGCATGGGGGCATTTCCGTTTCACTTGCTTGGGGCATTCCTGACGTTGTTGCATTTCCAGGATTGCGGAGCGCAGGAACAGCTCGAAAGGCTGTCAGGACCTGGGTCTTCGCAGGGGATTTCATCGCCTATTTACACGAGCGTGGCCGACGCCGACTCGACGCCCTCTCTGCCAGCAGGAATTAGTGCAGGAACAACCGGTGCTCGTGCTTCATCGAACAATTACAATTATCCTGCGGGTCCTCTTCCAAGAACATTTGCATTTACTACAACAGGGATGACGCCCAAGCCCAGCAGCGGTCGTCCGCCATCAAGTCCTTTAGGAAGAGGAGTTCCTGGAACGTATTTCACGACTGGTACAACGCCGATGGTAGCTCAGGAGCAGCAGCTTGTGACGACTAATTCCTTTATGCAGCCTTTGATGCCTGCACAGATGATGCAACAGCCTGTTGCTCTCACTTCATCTCAGCCCGCGGTATTCGTCCCTCCTGGCGGCTTCAGCGTCGGACAGCCTCAAATGTACCCTGCGTATGCAACTGTGAGCCCTTGGCCTAGTATTACACCTTTTGCAAACCCATTTGCCGCACCCTCTACTCCGTATTATACAAGCACGACTTACATGCCAACATCAACAGGCATGGGAGTATCGCCAGGATTCGTGCCGCAGCCGAACTTTGACAGTATTAGCACGAGCAGTGCTGGTGGCCCATATGATTTCTACCCGCCCCGCGCAGGGCGAGCAGTGACGTCGTCGGACCATCAATACCAAGTTGTCCAATCGACATCAAACAATCTTGGACAAGCTGAAGATCAGGATGAAAGTCCTACTGCGTTTGCTGCTTCTACCAGCAGGAGAAGAAATAAATTCACCTCACCTTTCCGAGAAAAACGAGATGAAGCGAATCGATTATCCACAGGTAGACCGGCGTCTAGTACGCCCGTCATAAGCTCTGCTCTCGAACAATCCGCTGAGCATGTGGTCGTGACCGGTGCAGGAGGTGGCGAAACAAGAACGAGGGATGTAATAGCTGGACGAGCTTCTACCACGTCGACTGAAGAAGTAGACCGCACAGAGGACAAGAATGATGAACGAGAAAAGGATAATCGAAGTGAAGATGCTTCTGAAGAGAATGCAAGACATAGTACAGCAACTACATCAGAAAGTAGAATTACAAGTAGTTTGGCAGACGAGACGCATCACGATCAACAAGAAGTACATCAACAAAATCAGCAGGACGAACGGGAGCTTGATGCTTCAGACAAGACTGGCATCAGGCACGACCCAGAAGTGACTGCTACAGACGCATCTTTTATTGAGCGAAGTAGAAGTACTCCAGATAATAAGAGAACAAATTCTTCTTCTACTACAGCAAATAACTACGTGCATCATGACGATGAGGCTGCTGCTCACAAGCAAGTGCACAAGAACACGAAAATTGAAGACAAGCTACAACTGTTCACGAGCGATTTGGAACTGAAGAAGCGTGTGCATGACCAACGGAAACGGCATCAACATGAAGATGAAGCTCATTCTCATCATGATCGCGGAAAAGAACGCAAACTGGATGAGTTTTTCAAAAACATGAGTCCTGCAATTCCGCGTGCAGCCAGAGAAGTACACGAGTGCGAGATCGGGCTACAACGTGCTCTTCGCCATTTCGAGGACGATAGGTGGACCTTGCATCATGCTAGCGGTCACAGCCTCGATCAAGATGCAAATGCTGATGTGACAAGCGAAGGAGGAGGGCAGCGCCAGCATTTGAATCGCGATCATCATCATCAACATCACCAGCTACGACACGAGGAGTCCTCAGACGAGGACTCGTCATCGCGAACACTTGTAGAGGAAAGCACGTCAAGGTACTACTATCCCTTCTTAGCCGATCAACGGTTTGCCGACGATGATGACTATCGAGGTGCTCTGGATTTGCAGCGCGCGACACTGGAAAAAGCCCGTGCAATCAACAAAGAGCTTGTGAAGCATGTTCAGTTTCGACTTTCCGGAAAAGATCATCAAGACGCAGGAGGCAACTTCGGGGATTCGCAACACAACGTTGTTCCTGGTATTTTTGGTGTTGACCCTGAGACAAGCGAGAGACAAGAACTTTCAACGCAACAAAAAGAGGTTTTAGCTGAAGCAAGGGAGAGGGTTCTGGAAGAGCGCGTTAGAAAAGTGCACGATCGTCAGCTACGAGAGCGGGAAACAGTCTTACAGTGTCTGGATGAAGCGGCGCGGCGTCTGGAAATTATGAAAGGAAGTAAACAAATACAAATGATTCTACTCGGTTCACGTTGGCGATTTCCAACTTCATCGATTTAGTAGAAGCTGTTCATCGATCACCCGTTGGTTCGTAAAAATAGGGCCGCCATTGTAGCGATTCTCTAAAAGATGAATATCCAATATCCGCAAAATAATTCCTGATTAGGTCAGAAAAGTTTAGACTCAATTGCTTGAAAAACAAAATTATTGATACAAGTCGTGTCTCTAAGAAGCGTGCGGAAGCTTCTGTTGTCCATGGGACTCGTGCACATCGGACACTCACCGCAGTGGAGCACCGCTGGATTGCACTACAGAAGGCGACGGTAGCATTGGAGACTCAACAAAAAATAGTAACAATCCAGAAAAGAGCAAAGAAGATGGTACTGACTACGAGAACTTCATCTATCACCCACAATTTTTTTGGGTTCATGAATTTTGACACATGCATTTGCATGCCCTTCAGCTTCACCATTCAACAAAGTAAGAATAACAAACTAGACAAAGAAAAGTAGAAGCAGAAGCTCTTTGGCTTTGGGTCGTTCAAACTTACAGTATGTAATTTATTTTTCGAAGTATCTTGTTCACCTCTATCATACAGGACGCACAGAAATTCGTCGCACAGCGTAGCTGGAAAGAATCCGAGAAGATACGAGATCATTTCAACGATTTCTTCAAGCAAATCAAGCCTTTTACAGCCGCGGTGGTGGACGCAGTGAAAGGGTATTTTCATCTAATCAATTTCTTGCACTTCTCTTTGTCTTTGATTACACGACATCGATCATGTATGAAGTTTTGACAAGGTTGGCTCGTATTTATGAAAAAGGCATCACGGTTACAACCAATGAAATAGATGATGTTTTAATATTTCTATAAGCTGCTTGTTTTAGTTATAGTTTTTGATCTTGATGCAGTTGTACAACGAACTAAGACGACTTGTTGGTACAACTACAAGTGCACGTGCATTATGCATACAGCAATATTTATCACATTACCACGACCGGCACCCTGCTTACGACCGCCTACAATGTCTTCATCCAACAGGAGCCGTGATTTGCAACGCCAGATGGGTAAATTGAGCCGGAATCTGCATGGCGCCGAGCTCTCAAGGAAGATGGAGGAGGAACACTGGAAGAGGATGCGGGATGCTCACGAAGTGGACGCATTCTACAAAGTCGGGGATGTCTCACTCACAGGAAAGTACATCCCTCCAAGCGATCTTCCAAAGACGTACAACCCAAACACACGCCCCACTGTGGTACACAACCTTGCGCATGCGCATAAAAACAAACACAGGTAGCGTCGAGAAGCGAAACACGGCAGATGATTAAGTGTTAGATAGATGGCTACCTGCGTGTCGGTGTGGACGTTCATGAAGATGTTGATGAACTTTTCCAGGATGAATGTTGTATCTTTTTTTCATGATGATGATCCGGATATTTCTGATTTTTCTTATCCTCGAGCTTTAAGCATAAGCAGACGTCGAGCGTGCTTCTCGGTGTTCGTGGATGAAAGGCATTTCACGACACTGTCGCTAGATGCTTTTCTGGACACATGAAGTGTGAAATTCACTTGTAGTGCTAGTTCGATGGTTCTTTCGCTCTGAGATTGAGTACATCGAAGCTGACATGAGATTGGGGAACGAGAGAGCGACTCATGAGATGAATCCTGATTAGCGACTCATGAATCAACAAAATGAACTCTCGTAGCTGTTCGTCTGCTTCATCTGTACTTGTGCGCGGTTCGATCCCTAGTTCACCATCATCGTCCTCCTCGAGCCGCTGCTTGTGGACAACGAGAACGTGTCGACCTACGCCAACCCGAGTTCGACGCGATAAAGCTGGAGGTATTTGTGGCACGACAAGGGGCGCACTACCACTTCCACAGCCGCAGATCTCACCAAGCTTTTCTCATGCAACTGCGGCTAGTGCAAACCTTTTCGTTTCTCCGCGTGGTCGAAGATGTATCACTACATTCATCTTGGATCATGATAGGAATCCTTCCGTGGTAGACGCTGGCGAAGCTTTTTTTTCTCCACGGCAGACTGGAGTTGGAGGGGTATTCGAATCCGAAAACAAGACGGAGTCCGGTTCTTCATCATCTTTTTCCGCGGCAGACAGTGCGAGTGACCGCTCTCCCGCGTCCTTACCACCAGATGCAAGTAGCACTTCGGCTCCTGCACGACTCAGTTCAGTGGACGAAACTGCTACTTTGGTTCCTTCCAGTCCTGATCACCTTGCAGTTCCACCAGACACTCTCAGGAGCCACGTTGGACTGCATTCAGAAAGTGTATCTTCTGGAGGTGGTGCTTCAGCGTCCGACGCCGCCGAGGTTTCTAGTATGCCAATATTGGTGGAACGACCTGTACAGCATCAAGCGGATGTGGTTCTTACAAACGTCTCTGATACTGCTGGTTCTGATGCTTTCGCTGCTCCGGCACCAGAAGCGGCCATTCTGGAGAAAGTGATGGTCACGTGGTGGGGCGGCGATGGCAGTACTCCACTCAGCCCGACATGGTTTCCCACACAAGCTGCAAGCGATACGCTCTACACCGTGCATGACTATCTGTGTGCGCCTTGTTCTCTCGGTTGGTGTGGCACGCTTATCGCGACCTCTTTCCTTGTCCAGCTTGGCGTGTCATCGTTGCGCAGCTGTCTGCTCAGTCTATCCAAGGGCGCGACACCAGACGGCAACCCGCAGAGGATGCAGGAAATGCAGCAGCTTCGAGAAAAAGTATTCAAAATGAGAAAAAACGGAGTCGAGACCTCTGCGGAAATGTATCTCGCCAGAATGGAAGACCTTCTGTGGCAAAACAGATACTCCTACATCGCGCAGTACGCTCCGAACTTAATCCACAGCTTGTTAAGGCTAGTAGCAATGAAAAAATAGTTCTTCCTGGTGTTAGTTTCTCTTGTATTACCTAGTGTGGTCGTCTTGTTTCTTCCTGTTCATTCTCCGAGTCCGACAAAGCATGTAAATTAATTATAATTTCTTTGTTCATAAGTAGATGTAGCATTAGTTTACAAAGGACGAAAACTCATGAGTTGTGCTACAAGTAGAGTCCACTTGTTGTTCCCTATAATGCGATGATCTTGATTCATCTCAACGACCACGACGTCGACCTCGACGCACAGAGGAGAATACAAGATAGTGCTTGACGAAAATAGATTGACATTCAACTAAGTACATTCTACTGCTCTGTCATTGTTGTGGTAGATTAGGTAGACTCTCTCTGACTCTAGTTGTACTTGCAGTTCTAAACCACCGATATTCCTTTTGCTCTAGAACTTCTTCTAATTTAGGTTTTCGCATCGACTCTACGAGCGCTGCGTCGCATGTCTTTGGAGTCCAGTGTTCATCTCTCATTTGTCAACGAGCATTGTGCGTTTCCATGGTCTGAGAGTTTGGCCTTGCCGCATGCAGATGCGTCCTTCGTATATCTAGCGGCAAGTGGAGTGGCGCTGGTGGCCTACTCACAGGCGACAAAAAGCGTGTCAAACTGGCTTGCGCTTCTCAGTACCAAAACTTTAGATTTATACAGTTATTGTTTTCGTTTTGTTTTGCTTGTTGAAAGGCATACAAAAAAAACACAACACAAAAAAAGGGAAGACGCGCAAATATCGGGTCGTTTGAAAGTCGGCACGTTTGAAATCTCGCCCCCCAAAAAGATGCTGCATTGACTGAAGATTCATTTCTTCTACTCGGCGAACTCGATTACGATTGTAGCTCCTTCTATGTAATCTTGTTGTAGCAGCTGCACTTGTACTGAAGATCATGTTGTTGAAAATGAGCTGGAGCATGAAGATTCAGAAGATCATCCAAAACGAACGACACAAGGCGACCCTGATCGGTGGCGCGCTGTTTTCGGAGGGAAAGGGCAAGAGTGGCGTGACCGTTTGCTTGGGAAATCAACGGTGGAGGAGAAGGAATTTGCAATGCGACTGGCGCCGCCAGGACTTGCTTTCGGCTCAGCAGGTCTCATCGTTTATTTGCAAAATATACAGTACTTCAGCGCAGCAGAGGAGTTGTTTCTTCTGTCTACCCTGGTCTGCAAATTTCGGGGAGCACCGGTGTTTGAAAGTAGTACAGCCTTTGGTAGAAACTACCTCAACTTGGTCGTTGGTGCCAATCCATCGAGCGAGGAAAGACACTTCCTGAAGATGACGCAACCAGAGGCGGCGGCGGGGCTACTGCCTGCTAGTTCCAGTCTTGGTGGTACTGCGCGTAAACTTCACCAGGAGAGCGAGCGGCAGGACAACCACAATAGCTCCATTGCGGCCGCGAGAGGTGGTAGAAATGTCGAAGTTGGTGCAGTAAATCGAAGTCATGCGGTAGACGAGACAGGAGCTGCTGAGCGGGGAAGAGTAGAACAAGAACAGAGAACAACTCCACCAGAGGAGAAAATACCGCTGTTCACAACGAGAAACGGTCGTAAATTTTTTCACGCTACGCATATTCCTATTTCCATGAATTATTCGCGGCGAGGCCGCTACAAGTCCGCTCGTGAGGCTAGCCTCTTCCAGGGTAAGGGGAAAGAGGCTAAAGATGAGAGTGCGCAAGCACCTTCTCGACTTCTCATCCCTCTAGCGCTCTGGCGTAATCCGCGCGAAGCTCACCGACAATTCGACAAGCTCTTGTGTGGCACAACATTAACTGGGTCAGAGCGTCGAAGAGAGCGAGAAAATTATCGCTGTAGCCCGATAAAGACCGCTGTCGAGGCCTGGTATGCAAAAGAGGAGGAGCGCAAAAAGAAACATCAAATACCTGCACGTAAGTTCGCGTTCGCAAGCGGGAAAACGCTTTTCGGACTCCGGCAGGCGATTTTGGGGTACAAAACACAGGCCACGAATGCAGTCGAAGACGAGAGACGCATGTTGGCTTCGCGAAGAGCCACAACCACTTTAGTAGACACTGAGGAGGTGCAACATATCTCGGCAAGACCACTGGACCTACCTTTTCCTCGGACAATATCATGCGGCGCTTGAAGATGAATCTCCGTACTCAACCACGTATTTTTGCATATCAATGTCTTCCGAGTCCAACATAGATGCAAAAATACGAATACTGTTTCTCTCTTCGGAATCTATTTATACCTAATGCAGATTGACGCATCGGCTCGTTCCGCATTGGTAGAGATAACAGACTCACCATCAGCACTTAACTTCTTCACCTTCAAAAAGTACTTACAACTTATCGCTCAAAACCTAATGAATAGAGACAAAGTCTACGATCATTCTGCAGCGGTTGCCGGATTATTCTGCTTGTAAAACAAGTGAACTTACTAGTGCTGGGCGTGCAGGAAGGTGTACTTGGCACTACATTTGTCCTCGGCTCAACCGCTTAGTATGCCACCTATTCAGTTCTTACGAAATTTCGTCCAAGAAGATGCTTCTGTAGTCGAATTTATGTTGATCATCGGTCCAAGATTCTCCCCGAGTGAGAAAGAGAAGGAGAACCAAGTGCGTAAGTACCAACGTCGTTCTAGCTTTTGTTTCGCGGCGAGTCACCGATTTTTATCGTGGAGAGATAAAAGTGAAACTAGAAGTTGTGTAGAGCCACGTGTTTCTGCTGCTAACTCAGCCACCTCGTAAAAAGTCTACCATGCCTCGCTAAGTACTTAATTCAAGGCCCCCTCTTGCCCGGCGATGTGCCCAACGCCCCTACCCCTCCACCCCATTCTCCCCGACGCTTGCACATAAAGTATTCATATTCATTGTGGTTGTGCTCTCCTTATTCTGATCAAGATCCCTTTGCTTGACGAGAACAGCTTGTTCATATTACAGCTACCAAAGAACAACGAATTTAAAAGACTCTACTACTTCTAGATCTTCAACTTCGTCATCGTCTACTACTAACAAATAATTATGATTGGTCTGGTATCTTCTTCAACTTGTTGAAGAACAAAATGGAAGGCCTAGGCCTCTAGTTCTAGTAATAAAAATGTTAAGTTGATGGTCATCGTCATCGTCATCGTCATGTTTCTGATTGTGGTCGCTTCGATGAGAAACAAAATGTCAACAGCATCATTGTCACGTTCTTACTATATAAGAGCAACTACGCACAAGAAAATGAAACGACCACCTACCTTTCCCACCACCTTCCGTAGAAAGAACGCTACTATACCACCATGAGTAATTGGGAAAATGACTCACTTTCGTAACGAGGGCGTAAGGGGGGCTAGCTAAGGACGAGATCATGGAGCACGACACTGACAGCGCACCACCTGGTGCGACTTCAGGCGTTGTAGACCTGCAGGATATCGCGTTGGTTGAATGGGAAGGTAGTGCGAAGGCGAGCAAAGAAGTGCTTGCACCTGTTGTAGATCGACCAATATCTTCATTATGAAACGTTCAGCTACTTCAAATGAAGTTTTCTCTTCCTCAGATTAAGTTCTGTGACCTTTTGTGAAGCTGAAGGGCGATTCATCGTTTCATGCTCTTATCTTCGACGTCGCGGATGAAACCACGAGCACTTAGATGAATGAATCCAAACTTACTAGCTCTCAACGACCTTTTAGACTCTCTAAAAGCTATTAAGTCCACCAACGGGGTATCAAGAAAGGAGCTCGCATACCCCGAACACGATTTTGCGCGAGATGGCGCACCGGTGTTTATGTTCGTTAACGCGAGTAGCGGCAACAGGCGTGGGGCGCTCTATTTGGACTCAGGCAATGCGATGCCTGAGACCCGTGGGCGACGCCTCACCTTAGATGTCGATCTCCCACCTCACATGGGCACTGGCAAGGCCACGGTGTATGTCTACAACATGAAGCAGGGCAGCGCAGGCAATAAGCCGGGATTTCATCATTTGCGGCGCTTGATTTTAGATCCAGACTCGTGGATGGAGCCAAGAACATGGGAAATAGGAGGAGGTGCAACTTCCTCGTCGAGTAACAAGGCCGCGTCTTCACCACCGACTACGGCCCCGGGAACAGCAGCAACCAGTGCAGCTCCGTCTTCCGCTCCCAGTGTCTCCGCTTCGTCGCCCGAAGCAGCCGTTGCCGTTCCCAGCGGCGGAGACGTCCAAATATCCAGCGCAGTACTGCAACAGGGCCAAGAAGCGACGACCAGTAGAGGCACTTCGACCGCTAGCGATTCGTGCGTCTCCAAGGGAAACCACGTTGGAGGTGCTCCTGGCAGCGCTGCAACCAGCTCCACAACGGGTGCAGAAGCGACAAGCAAACCCTCAACTTCATCATCTTCCAATCATGTTCCACCTGGCTCAGGAGCAGGAGTTCGCCTCCACGGTAATAGTACTGAAGCCAGCACTGCGACGACGGCGAAAGAAGCGTCTTCGGCAGAAATAGCTGTTCATGACGTTCGTCTCCCACCTTCTTCGAGAACAAACGGAACAACTATAGAGGCATCACCCTCGTGCTCGTCAAATGTTCAAGATGGAGGCGGAGTCTCTTCTTCTAGCGAGGGTGCAATGACAACAGCGAAAGCTGCACCAAATAACAATAAGGCGTCTACTACTAGTAATTCCAGTTCTACTCACGCTAATCCACCTCGTCCTGCTCAGACGAGGATACGCGTCATAGTGTGTGGTGGAGATGGTACAATACCTTGGACCTGTGATGAGCTTCGGTCACATGATGTTCCGATGGATCTACTTGCCTTAGGAATCGTCCCTTTCGGCACGGGAAACGATTTTTCGCAGAGTTACAATTGGGGCCAGTTTCCGAAATACAATGTGCTCGGAAAAAACTTTTCACAACTTAAAGCCGACATTCGTTCTTGGCTTACCGCGCCTGATGCACCACACGACCTTTTCACATGCGAAATCGAGACACAAACAGGAGGCGGATTCGCTTTCGTTTCAGGGTAAGATATTCTACTTATGAATAATACAAACTCATATACTTGTACAGTTACAGAGCAGTTCTGAACCATATTTATATATAAAGATAGATATACCTATAGAAGTACAGACTTCTGCTTCTGTTAGATTGAACGTGGATGTGCCCCTGCATGACCTCAAACTCAAAGACTCCCCTGAACCTTCTTCCCTAAAAGTAGCACTCCCTCGGGTAGAAAAAATCATGTTGACACCAAGTCGTTGTACACGACGGCACTCTCACTCAATAACTTGAGGCTTCTACTTCATCCGAACCCACTGTTCGAACCAGGTACAACAAGAAGGGGCTCAACGATGATTTGATGGCACAACATGGAGTTCGCGTTGTAGAAAACACCTCGTCTTGCTCCTCTTCTACGTCATCAACGTCCATGATATGCACGAAAACGGTCTGCAATTACTTCAGTATGGGTCCCGAGAGCAGAGCGGGAATGGGGTACAACCGACCCGTCTTGTGGTCATGCTTAATAGAATGATGATAGAGTAGATAGATCAAGATCAACTAGTTGAATTAAAAAATGAAAATAAATACAATGAGGTAGTACTAGAACTCTACAGGCGTTAGACTAATGACGATGACCAAAGACCAAAGTAGTCGTGTCGACATGTTGACAATATGAGCACTACCTGGCAGCTGATCATCTTCGTCTTTTTCAGATGAAAATGATATCAACAAAGCTAATATTGATTCAGCATGGAACGGCGGCGGCAGAAGTCGTGGACGGCCAACAAGCTTATGTACGGAGTGAGCGGGGCAACAACGACACTGTTCAAGTCAACTCCCAGAATTAAGGATGTTATGGAAAGCGCAGTGGAAATCTTACCAGACAAAAGTAAACGAACAATCTTCCAATTGGACCCGAACCGCGCTGGTGAGCCATACTTGCGAAGAACGCCGTCCGTCCTCGCCCTCTGCAATACAGACACAATGGGAGCGTACCAATATTTTGCTGATGACTGCATCTCAATGACGAGTTCGTCGCATAAGTGCATGAAGAATAATAAATTACTAGTACTAGTCTCTTGTTCTTCTTTTTTTGAAATTGAATGAGAATGTCGAGCACCAGCAAAAAAAGTACAATAGCATTTTTCGAAAGAAGTCACCAACACCTCCACCCAGTGGCGTGAAGATGTGGGACCGCACATCGAGGCGTTCGGCCGCAAAGAATTTGCCGCCAGGATACCTAGAAAATGTTCCGGACTACGAGACGCCACACCAGATGGGAGACGGGAAAGCGGACTTCATGGTGTGGGACAGTTTTTTCCGCTTCGAAATGGACGTGATGGCTGGTACTTTTTGTGGAGGGTGCTTTCGACGAACGCCGATTATCGGTGGCGGTCACAGGTTGTTCTCAACGCACAACCCCGTCGAGTTCAACTTCAAAAATAAAGACGACGCATCCTACCGAAAAAAGGGCCGAGTTTACATGGAAGTCGATGGTGAATACTTCATCTGCCTATTCCCGAAGAAAATAACAATACGCCACCGAGAAACGCTCAGAGTGCTCGATAACAGACCCCCGGCAATGGCGGCGATAAAGAAATCAAGACCATGATTCTAAGATGACAGTTTCTGATTTTCCTGATGTAATTCTACTAGCTATACTGATTCCCATATTACACTTACAGGATGATAGAAGATTTGACTTTGAGTTGAAATTGATGTTGACACATCAACTTATGCATAGGTTCTTGATAGTTGTATTCCTCCTTTTCTTTGATGAGACACAGTGCTTCTCCTGTCTTTGCGGCAGATGAAAAAACCTCGTCAATAATCCTCCTATCACGTCGCTCTTATATTTGTGCTTTTCTTCTCGTGAAATTATCGTAGATGTAGTTCTAAGCCTCAGTGCAGGTACCAGAAGAAGTTATTACAATATTTTCTGACTCGTTGTCGTTTCCTGCGTCTCCCTCCACGATTTCCCATAAAAAAATCAACAAATTTTGTTCCAACGAAGCATGAGCAAGAACAACTTCCAGACAAAGCTGATTGTCTCAGCTCTGTTTGTCGATGAAGCAAACTTTTTGGGACCGCACCTTGATCTTAACGATACTAAGAAGTGTAAACAAAGTACTCATTTTTTTTTCAACATCCATACGTAGTTGCTTTTAGTTTTTCAGTACTAGAAGACCTAGCTGCCACATGAGCTCAATTCTCGTCCGTGTTGGAGGTACTAGTCCTTGTGAAGGTCGTCTCTCTTGGTGCTATGTACGTCGGCGACTGCTTATGGAAAACGTGTGTGTTTGCTACCAGTGATTACTTTTGTATGCAGAAGAATAGAGGAACAGTGCAGGACTCCTCATTCGCATTCTATTCATATTGAAATCAATTTTGTTTAGTTTTCAAGTTCAAGTAAAGTAAGCCTGAGACAGTGCTCAGCTCGAGTTTCCCCTTTTTTACAAGCACCCATCACTCATACTAGAAGAAGATAAAAGATGGCTGGTGAATGTCAATGTGGTGGCAACTAGTGAAATAGCGACCTTGAAATCTGAAATCTCGTACATGGAATGATCTTCTATACTTTTTTGCCTCACAATTGAAATTATTGACGCGCGTCAATGCATTTTTTTTTACCATTGGTTCTCACCTCTTACGTACCAAGGAGTTTTGAAAATTGAAATTTGAACTGAGACAGTATGCAGATGCATTGACGCAGAAAGACATGGACACGTGAAAATGAAATATGATGCTGCATTTTGTCGGCCCCCTCACCTTCTTCTTGTCGTCTTCTAGTACCGCGCTCTCCTCTTCTAACGTTTTCTCGTCAAAACCGACGCAGTCGTGTTTGGCAGTGTTTTTTTTCTGTCAGAGTCTTCACTCAAGACTCAACAAATAAAACGATGGAGCAAAAGATCAGTATTATAGAGCAAAAATCTTCAGGATCTGTCTTCTACTGATGAGGTAAACGCCAGCACAGACACAGGGCGTTTTTTTGTCTTGACGAACCAAGAACTACCAAATAAAGATTAAGATCCGCACTGCACGCGCACGCCGCAAACATAACGATCCAAAAGAGAAGTAAGATCCTCATACAACTGTTTGTCAACATATTGCCGTGTTCACTCGCCTCAGTTGAACATTTTTAGTGAATGACGCGAAAGCTTTCTGCAATGTAAAATACTAGTCCAACAGAGCAGCTCTTTTAGTTTCAACTTGTAACTGAAAGTTTGGACCTCTCCAGACATCAGAGAACCACTCGTCGCTTTCAAATATGGTATACTCACATGTTTAGCTGTATCTAAAGCGAATCCGAATGCCATTTGATGAACTCATCTAATTACTTATTCGCTATTAGTTCATCATCAGCCGTGTATATCCGAACCCATTTTTGAGGTTGAAAAACTATAACCCGTTAGGTGGTTGACGTTGAGCTTGAGTACCGCCCTCTAATGACTTTGAGCCCACGCCCTATAAGGAGGTAAAAAAAACAAAAACAAAAAAACTAAGTCAGGGTGACGCACGTGAATGAGCCATCATCTGACGAATTTGAAACGACCACGACAGGCGGACCTGAGCATGTCCCTTTGCCCCATTTGGGCAGCGAACTGTTCCTTAACCATCTTTCTCGAATCCTAGAAGTTCCTTCAAGCTTTTCCTTTTCCCGTTGATTGTTGAACCTAGAACAACGCCGCGACAAGAACGACCTCTATCTTTCTTCTACGAATACGCGTTCATGATTAAATATTGTTCCAGTATATCATTTCATTTTCAGTCGTTTTTATTTTCCTTTGTTTACGACAAGGATCATCTTCGCCACGCCTTCTTCCTCCTTTTTCCTCCTCTTTGATTCATCTCATATATCAGAGATTGAAGTACTAGACTTCTTCCTCAAGAAGAAAATAAAAGATGCAGTCCCACGACGACATTCTTTGTTGCTCCATTCCTGTCGAGACGGAGAAGCGTCTCGAATTGTTGGAAATCGCGAAGGCGCGTGCCAAGGGTGCCTTCCAGACAAAAGACATACGTTCCGCGGAAAAGCTTTATTCTCGCTGCATTGAGGTCGCAGACATTCTCGGAACTGCGGGTGTGGAGGGCAAGCATTTGCTCTATTCCAACCGAGCGGCGGTTCGATTGCTAAAATGCAACTTTCAACTGGCACTAGATGACTGCGAAGCCTGCATGGATCTAGATGCGGCATTCATCAAAGCCCACTTCCGTACTTCACGTTCACAGCTAGTTAAAACATGAACTGAAGAGTTTCTTGCTGAATTTCTTTATATTTATGATGACGAAATATCTACTGACTTCTTGTACGTAGTTTTCCATACATTTCCGAACGTATAGATATGTTATCATGGTCGTCGACGTCGTCGTTTCAGGATAAAAGGAAGGTTCTTCTGTTGCCAATATTTTCTAACTACCACGTTGACCTTCGCATTTTTTTGTATTTGTTGAATACAATTAATTTTACTACGTCTAGCGATTCTTCATTCTGAATAATACACTTGCTAAAAATAGCCAAATGTGTTTTTTTTTACTATTAACTTCAGGCAAATGCCAAGCACTTAACGGTCTTGAGCGATTTGAGGATGCTGTTGCAGCAGCAAAAACAGCGCTCGAATTGCACGTGGGTAACAAAGAGCTAACAGAAATCCTTGCAACCGCAGAAACGAAGCTGCAGGAAGCAAAAGACAAGCCCAAAAAAGTCGAAAATCCAGACGACTATAGACCCAAAAGGATAGAGCCAATTGCAGCTAGCGGAGCAGCGAATGGAGGTGGTGGTATAAAAACTTATAGTTTATAAATCTCTCACTTTTTCTATAATGTTCTGGTCGCTGCCTTTCAATAAAGAACTGTACAAGAAGATCCACTGTTGAAAAATATAATTCTGGAATACAGTCTTAGACTAAGTCCGTGTTGAACGAAAAGATGAACTACATCTACAACAGCTGAAGAAGAGACGAGCTCGCCTTCGAAGAAGAAGTGCCCTAGTGAGGAAAATGCCATGCGAGGTTACAAGAAGACGGCCGATGGCAAAACCACGTCTTATTTCCATACGGAGCTGTCAGCTGAAGCGAAGGCCCTTATCGGCGATTGTAGACCTCAAAAGTTAGAGGGTTCCAGTTCCACGACGTCAACGGCTGGTGGAGCGGGGAGCGCATGGAACCAAGCTGGTACTTTCATTTCTTTGATTTGAATATCATCTTCTCGATTGTGATTGATTAGTTGGTAAAAATGCACGAAAGGGAAAGATAATATTTTTACGAAAACTAATCATCTTCGCCGCAAATTAGTATTAGACCTCCACCTCTTGTTCATCATCATGTTAAGCAATAACCAAAAACCAAAAGGTACTTTCGAGGAACGGAATTTCACTACTTGGTTCTCTGAAGCGGTTAAAAAGGACGTGAAGGGCAAATTTACGATAAAATGTAAAAAGACCCCAAGTGATGAGTCCGTTTTGTCTTTCAGCGTGACCAACGTGAGCGGAAATGCGCAGATCACGAGCTCCCGTGGCAAGCTTCGGCACTTGGTAGATTGTACCATCGAACTAAAATGGAAGTTTCCGGTTCCCTCTACTACAGCTGGTGCGTCCTCCGCCACTGAAGAAGGTGAACCTCCTGCATCTACGACTCTTGAGACTACGAAGTACTGTCGGGGCACGATGAAGCTGGAGAGCGACGGCGCAGGCGAGTACGATATCAACACGACAGCAGGCGAAAACCAACATTTAGCGAAATCTCTTGTGAACCAACACATCCTCCAAGGTGATCGCACACTCCAAGACCAGGTAGTCGCAAAAATTCGAGCGGTCGAAGCAGAATTCAGGAAGCAGAATCCGTTTGCGAGGTGAGGGTGACCAGGACCATATAGATGTAGGCCATCATAAAGCTGACCAGCATGGTCGTGTGGTGATGTAGGCCATCATAAAGCTGAGCAACATCGTGTGTGGATGTGCGATGCAGTAAATCATCGAATTTCAATATCGAGACTCAAGAGAATGCCGGATTTTTTGAGATGATCGCGGGGAGAAATGTAGTATTGGACATGGAAGACTTTCAAATGAACCAAGGGGCTGTAGCGGTCAAGGTAATCCGAGTAGTTACGAGATGAATAAGACGATTTTTCTAAATCTTTGCCAGACTCTATGACCTGATGCAGGAGTGAGGTGGAGCAACTACGGCGGATGCAGACGAATGCGATGAAGAAAAAAATGAAGATACAATAGCACAGCACCGCCATCCTTACAGCCGCTGTAATGACTTGATCCTTAGTTTTTTATTACTTATAGATACTCCTTACGCCTTGGCATTCAATTTTTTCGACATCATTTCTATTGACGCGGGACGCTAACTCTGACTCCTTCAATCATTCTCACACTTACGTTCCGCTTAGGAGCGTAATGTGTATCTCAATCTAGACCAACAAATCCTGTTGGTGTAACTACACCAGCCCCCTCCAATAGTGTACGTCGCAAAAAGCTGCTGCATGATGCCCCTCGTTGTTCACGTGGTGCCAAAGCTTCAACACCGATTTTTGCAACGGCGAGAACGAATAATCCACCAAGAACAAATGTGTCTCCATCATATTCAAGCTGTCGTGGTCAGTGTCAGTCTGTCTGTGCGAATAAACAACCCTACAGTGAGTGGTAGTCCTGGTGTTGACTGACGAAATCTTGATCTTTTTGTCGGTTAGGCGAGGGAATACACCGAAAAGCGATGACAATAATACCAAGATCCAGATCAAGACGACAATTCTTGTGCTTTGAGTCGGTGATGGATTCTCAGTGGCATTGATGTAATTGCATACAAAATCATTGTTGCTGGCTCAATCCATCATCATCATGAAGATATTCATATGTTACGACGTTTCTTTTGATGACTATCTTCAGTAAGAGTTGTGAGTAATTTGGATAATTCTATCTTTGATGAAACATACAAGTACAACAAGCAGAAAGAAGTCCAACTTCTGCTCCTAGTCCTAGTGTAGTTTCTTTCTCGTTGTTCCTCTGCTGAATCGACAGTGAATCCAATAAATGGAATTTGCTACATTCATTCGATGCGCATCTTCAGCAAACAAGTTGGATTCATCGTTCAATTGAAGAATTCTTGAATGCAGGGTGTACTTGAAACAAAATGTTCTTCTTCAATATTCACAAGCTTGATCGGGGACCGCGCAGGTCAAGCTTCACGTCCGCAATGCTTGCGGTTCTCCGCCTCCTGATATTGATCTTCCCACCACGAGTTCACTTCGTCTATGGGCTAAGCAGCAGTTCTCTCGCACCGACAACTTCGGGCAGCTCTCGAGAGGACGATGAAAGAGCCGCAGCATCTCGAGGTGCAGCACTTCTAACACCAGGGCCTGGAGATATATTAAGGGATCGATATGGAGTTCCACTTTTGCTCGAACAAGATCACACCCCCCAAAACCGATTGGATATCGACGCTCCTCCTACGTCAACGACGAGGCCTCGACTACAAGAGGTGATACAAACCATGCAGTGGGATACAAGTGGCTATTTTTCTGCTGAAGAAGTGTCGATGCCATTTAGGAGTGTACAGCGTGGCATGACATGCTATGAGCGTCTAGTGCAGTTCATTCCAGGACACAAGAGCCTGGCGGACAGCACCTCGAATTCATCGTCCAATATAACAAATATATGGCGGAGTAGAAGCAGAACATTATGGGTTGAAGCATTTCATTTCTACACGCCTTTTTCACTAATTGACGACACTGAAAAGTGAATTGCTTCAACGTTTAAGAACAAGTAGGGAAGCCAGGAGTAGAGACAACTCACGTCGTGGTCGTCGAGAAGGAACTTCGTTGCGTGGCTCCCGTTCTTCAAATGAAACTTCTTGTTGGGATTGGACCTCAGCTGCTGCAACTGCGTCTACAACTATGGTATCGGGTGCCGCTACTTCGATGCTGAACTGCGCCAAGGACTGGCTTTTGGCACAAGCGGAGCCTGCGAATGAGGGAGGGCACGATCATGTTGATCAAGAGCATGATTATTCGAGAAGTAGCCGATATCAACAGGATGAGCGAGCAGGTCGGTTTCATCAGCGTCATCACCGACCTGGGATGTCTTCTATACCTGAAAATGCCGCACAGGCCCCGTTTTTCGTTGACGTGGAGGATGCGTTGTTGGATGAACTACTCTCCGCGGATGGCACCATAGAGTTTGAGGAAGACTTTGAGCCGAAAAATTCCGAGGAGGTGCTGGATGTGCTACGTCGAGGACACATAGATCCAAAAACTGGTATCTTAACGCTTGACGCAGCGAAAGCGTTAGAAGAAGTTCCGCCAGTTAGTGGAACACCGCATGGAGATCAGCAGAAAAGTCGTGGACGTGGCTTTTACACGCCTGTGAAGAGAGAAGATCACTCCTCGGCGGCATTATCAGGCCACCCTTTTACTACTCGATTAGGATCGCTCTTTCGAAATCCACAGAGTCATAACCTCGACACACACGATGCGCAGAGCAAACCTGAAGCTGACTCTGCAAATGGCAAAAGAAAAGAAACAAGCACACTGAATGAGGGAAGCTCAGCGAATTCCGCTGGCCCTTCGACTGTAGTTCTCGACATGGATGAGACGATTTCCATGATTACATTTTTGCCGGGCTACGCTAAAGACGCACGCGAGGACGACTTGGTGTGTGTCGCTAGCACTGGAGGGGCACCGACTGACATAGCCGCAGGTCTGCGTGCCTATGAACATTATCACGCGCAGTTCATGGGCGAAATTGGTGCACCACTGCGAATGCGTGCCCTGCAGCGGTTCTTCGAAGATCTTGGCGTGAAAATAACGAAGCCTCGCTCTAGAGATTCAACAAAGCTAAGCTCATTCTCACTATATGAACATTCCCAAGGACGACACGGTATTCAATGGGACCGAGCTGTACAGCCGAAAAAAGCAGATGTTGAAAAGAGCAGCCTGCAAAATTCGGGCGGGAACGACACAAGAACTATCTTCACTAAAGGAGGAAAGACAGATCTTGTTGATCGTGGTCGTGATGAATCCACACAAACTGCGTCTGAAGCTAGAAGACGCTCATCGTCAAGAATCCGCTCCTTGTCACAGGATAACGCCAATAGTACAGCAAGTGAAGGGCGTGAGATTGACACTAAGACGAGGAACTCCAAGGATAAAGTTCGAGAGGGTTCAACTTCAAGAAACGGTACTGAAGATACTTCTGAAGATGACGCGCATACAACGAGTGACCAAGTAGAGCATGTCGGAGTTGAGGCCACGTCCATCATCAAGGGGCACAACATCTTTTTGGAAAATGACGACGATGAAGGCTTTGAAGATCCGGACCGTGTTCGTCTCATTCTCATGACGCGCAATGCCGATGGGCTTTCAGGTGTTCTGCTGTTTTTACTTCGTTGTATTCGCTTCGAAGACGGTAGCTCGCTACTCGATTACATCGACTATCTCGTAGCCTTGTACCCAGAAAACCTCTTTCTCGATGTCCGGCGAGCACGCTTTCGCGATGTCGATCTGTGGCGAAAACACGAGATCGATTTTCCCTGGTTTTCTATTGGATCCTCGTTGCACGGCGATAAACGTGATGGGGATTCAGATTCTGCAGAGGAAGATGAGATCGTTAACATTGAGCAAGGCAAATCGGGAGGCGAGGCAGCAGAATATCAGCGCGAAACGCCTACAATTCCGATAAGCCATGTAAATGTAGTTGTTCAAGTAGAGGGACAGGAAAATTCAGCTGAAACTGAAAAAACGCGCAGCGAGCATATTCGCGCAGCGGCGCGAAGACGACGACGTGCCACTCTCAGTCATATTCAAGCGTACCTAGCCGACGCAGAAGCGCGCGACCTAGCTGAGTCAACACAGCTGAAAACTACATTACCCAGAGAGGTCATGAAAGAGCACGACCAAGGGGGAGTAGGCGCAGGCAACTCCCATCCCCATGCTCCTCATAGGACGAGCAAGCAAGAAGAAGAAACAAAGTTTTCAACAGACAGGCATCAAGATTCCGGGACTGTCAAACAGCTGCAGCGCGATCAAGGTGGACAAGAAGAGCAGAAGCAGAATCACAAAATCGATATTCCCGATGAGGAATACTATAGTCCGTACGTGGCGAGCTTTTACTCAACGGTTACAACTTCTAGTACTACTTCTACTAAGGGAATCATGGGAACACCAGCACCAACGGCGACCGCATCTCCGTCACAAGTGAAGCATGTTGCGCCAGACGAAGAACCAAAGCGGCTGCATGTTGAAGATGATGGTGTTGAAACTCGAAAAAAATCATCCGCAGATCCTGACCAAATTGAAATTGACAAGTGTTCATCGTCTTCTGCCGAAATTGCCACAGGGTGCCACGGACAGCACGGCTGCTGTGATTCTGCGAAGAAGGAAGTGGTAGATTGGCGAGCAAGTGATAGCGTGAAAAGTAAAACAAACTCCAGTGACACATCTGCAGTGGAGCAACGTCAACAAAGCTTGAGCGACATAAATTGGAAAACTCTGATTGGGAAAGTAGATGTACAACATTCGAAGTCGTCTGTGAACGAGACTAGCAGCGGCAGCGGCACTCCTGTTCGAGATTATGAAGAAGAGCAGCAGCAACAGGATGTACGGAATAAAAGAAGAAACACAAGCGCACAGTCAGCATCGCTGGCTACAGAAGCAGGAACTTCAGCGCGAACACAAGAAGATACAATGACGTCTAAGACGAGCAAACCTGCGCGTACGTCTGTGCTGCACAATCTGGATGAGCTGCTTCCTCATGATTTCTGGTGCGATCTGTGCGAAGAAGAGCAGCGACTGACTAAAGCTGCGATTTTACGAGGTCTCTCAACGTTTCTAGGATTGCCTTTCAGCAAAATGATTCTCGTAGATGATAATGCGAAGGAACATTTCGAGCACCGAGTTGTCACTCCGGGTGGTAGTTATGGTAGTCGTGATCATGAACATGAAGAAGGAGGGGCGAGGGCGACACAAAAACAGCGCGATAATCGACGTGGTTGTGGTGCGCTGAATTCTACTACCAGATCTACCATTGCCGCAACAAGTACGGCCGAAACAAGACTTGGTCCTTCGGGTATGCGGAGCAGAGCAACAGGAGCAGGAGATCATGATGTTGGAGCGGGAACAGGTGGCCTCATCCAGACAGGCACAGCGCTATTGGAAGATCTACAAAATAACACGCTAACATGGCTGAAGCCAGTTTTCTTGGACAAAATTGTGAATAGTTCAAGCCTATTTTCAGGCTTGCCTTCATCTTCTTCTCAGGAGCTAGGTGCCATGATCAGTCACCGCGGTGCCAACAATGCGCTTCCCGATAGACACGCCGCTTTCCTCGCCGAGAGACAACCGACATTGCAAGCTTTGAGAAATGTTAACAGCAACGGTGGATTTGATGACATAGAGGTGACGTCCGGTGGGGAAGACCTTGATCACAAGAGCCGAAATGCAGACGCAAGAACAGGCACGGATTCGCATACTAGTAGGGGAAGAGGATCTTCTTCTTCTTCCACTACAACTACTTTCCCTTTCGGAAGTGCCATACATCAGCCTGCTCATCCTCCAGCACTGCGACGACGGCTCGCAAGCATGCGGCGGGGCTGTGTCGTTCGCAAATGCAATGACTTTGCCTCACAGGTCGAACAGATGTTGCATCCGGACGACAATGACTCGATGAAAATCGGAGGTATTGGCGGATGCATGGCGCAATCACCTTCTTCTGGTGCCTCGTCCTCTTTCCGACAGCAAAAACTGAGTGGGAGTACCCCTCAACGCAGTACCCCGCCTCAACATATTATGCATGGTTACGAGTACCGTTAACCCATCCTTTTTACACCATATTTTTTTAGCTAAGTCAAACAATAGTTCCAGGATGTAGATTCCTTAAGCTACAAGGTCGTGATGTTCCATTTCTTCATCTTGAAACATCAAGCTAAAAGTAGATGTTCATGTTCTAAGATATGCGCTGTCGGCTGCCGCCTCTTCATAATAGATAAGAGATAAATAATGTTCTAAGATATGAGATGTTCTACGGTATGAGATGACACCTCATCTAATCAAAGTAGTATGCCACCTCTTCAACCATGGACGAATCCTCGAGCGGAGGATGTTCAGGCGGCTGTTTCTACAGCAACTATTAAAGCGACAGTTTGGCGAGCAGTGGGAGCACAGATGAATGAAGATCATCTTCATCTTCAGGCAGAACAAGATTATCTTGTTGACGCTCATAATGGAGGACTACTAGCAGCATCTCAACCACACGCAGGTCCAACAACGTTGCATGCTCCAGTGCAACAAGATGAACTGCAAGATGGAGAAAGAAATCAGGTATTTGCGCAAGATCATGCTCATGGACAAAGTGGCGATCAACAAATAGCTCGAAACTCTTCATCGTCGACGGGTCCTCCTGCCTTCTACTGGCCAGGCTCACATGCAGAGCATATCCAACAGGAATTCGCAATGCTGCGGCAACTAGTAGACCAAAGTCTATCTACTACAACTAGGACTTCGAACCGGGTAGGCCGAGCCCGATCTGCAGAAAGAAATAATTATGAAGCTGAAGAGCAAGTAGAGGGTGCCGCATTCAGCGCGGCCCTAGTTGTTCTACAACAAAGTGGAGCAACTAGTTCTACTGGGCCTGGGGAGCGCAGTACTAAGAAGATAATCGACGTGTATACCTCCGTTCGGGATTTTCGAGAGTACTTGCGTTTTGAACAAGGCTTTACCCAACTTGGAGCATACTGATACTAAGGTTTAGGGCTTTACCTTTACCCAACTTGGAGGAGAATAGGGGATTCTGCTGTACTTCTTACAATAACCCAAGTTGTAAAACTAGCTTCAAATAATACCTTTTATGAATGTCTGTCATGATTCTGACCTTCATGTTTTTGTTTTTGCTAGGTAGGTCTAGGAATGCTATTGATGACCAAAAGTCAAGGCTGAATAGATCATGATGCTCTTGATGATCATTGTGATACACTGGCCTTCACAAGCTTCGCCCGGCTTCAAGTTTAGCTTTAGCACTTCGCCGCCCACCGGCTACAGGAAACTTTTTGACTTTGCAATGTGTTAGCACTATTTATCTACCTAGAGTAACTATCGTTTCTCGTAGTCAGTTGGCACTTCCCCCAAAGAGACCTTATGAGCAGAAGCGGATACCTCTTACGTTGAAAGTTAAAAGTAAATAGGTAAACGTAAACTGAGAGGTCTCATCCGTAATTAACTGGTCTGAGATTTTCCCAAGAATGATCTTAGGATGGCGATCATCTCTTCGCACAAATCATCCTGCGTCATCTGATTCTTTTTTATGAGCTGTCCCATTTTCCTTCACCTTGTGAACATTTCTCTTTCTTCAATCATGGCGAGACTTGTGATGTTGTAGTTGTTGGCTGTCTAGAGTAGATCCCATTACATCAAGTAGAGCATGCTAAATTATTATCGCTTCTCGTATTTTACAGGAGAATGACCGACAGCACCGCGCTGCCGCTAATCACTCGTAACACTTCTGACCACAACCGAGACAGCTCAAACTCGCGAGGTATTCGTCAGACTCAGACGCGTGCCAGGGTTTAAACCTCCGCAAAGGCTACAACACTAGTCAACCAACAGATAAACGACAACATATTCGAAATGAAACGTGTCGCGGGTGGCAACAGGAACAGTGTCGCCGTCGAGTCGAATACGAACTCAATGGATTCTTGACGATGTTCCGCTTTGAGAGCTGAAACAGGTCGTGCTTGCAGTTGTAAGCAGTTGTTCATTTCTCTCGCTGAATGTTCGTCATCTTGATCTTGTTCGTGTGCTCCAGCATCCTCTCAAGTAGTAGATCACCACAAGTCTCCTGCGAAGATCCAGCATTCTTATGAGTCCATGAGAGAAAAATAAGTACTAGTCGTAGGAGTTTGTAAAATACGAATACCTCGATGCCATTTGAAGCTGAAGCCTTTGCCCACAGGCGCGCTGATAATAGGGAGCAAGGAAACAACCAAGAGGAAAATCTCAGAGCCTGGCGCGCCTGGGAGTCCGCAAGCAGCGCAAGAAGCCACGCGAGGGAAGGGCTCGAGGGGCCTCCTCTGTGTACACATTTCACGCTGGTGGCGCTGCCTGCTCTTGCTTAAAGATGGGGGGGCGGTCTTTCTAAAGGGGAAACTAAAATGGGTCGTACTGGGTTGCCAGATGTCGACAAGAGGCGTCGACGTTTAGTGCTCTGCGACCCATTTTCTGAGGCCCAAAATGAGCCAGAAACCACTGCGCTGAAGCCTAAAAAAGTGCCCACTTTGCAGTCACAGGACAAGGAAATCATGGGTCGTACCCAAACACTGATCGCCAAAACCGACGAGAAACCGACCCAAAAAAATGGGTCGCGATACGTGTCGCGAAGCGCGACATTTGGGACACTTCTGGCGAGCCAAGCCCACACCAATTTGGCCCCGAGTCGGCTGCCTTTGTCGAATGTTTTGTAGCTGAACAGCAAATCCCGCGGCACAGCACCCAGAAGACCCATGGGCGAAAGCGTGAAACACAAGAACCCCCGGAGCCGCTGTCATGCCAGCCACTGACCGCTCACTCAACTACCAGCACCAGCCCAGTGCGCCTGCCGTAGTCGGTTGCCCCCGGCAACGGTCGAGTTTACAAAATTCTACGACTAGTACTTATTCATTCTACGACGCGTCATATGTCGGTAAAAATAGAGATTGTGCCTGACATCTGACCTTAAGTAACAAGTCGTGGGCATGACATGCCGCGATCGACAAAACCAACACGACAGAGGCGACTTGGTACATGGAAAGAACAAATTGACGAGGACAGAATCAACATTCCACTTTCATCTGTCAGCGGGTCATACGGAGGTCTGTCATGAGCAGCGAAGCGAAATCGAAAAAATGACTGAGATGAAGTAATCATAATATGCTCTGACTGAGGTTGAGGATAAAGACCAAAATGTTGCATCTCTGTCTAAAGAGTGAGGTTTTTAAGCTATATCTTAGAAAGTCCTAGGTTCATCTTATTACTATATCTGTCCTTAAAGAGCCGAGGGCGCGACGTCTGTACCCACACCATGAGAGATGTGTGAATTGCCTAGAATTATCTCTTGATTTTCGAACCGGAGCTCCCACGCTGGTAATATCCCGTATGCAATACCGGCAATGTTTCTATTCTTGCCGTTGTGTTTCGGTCTCTCCTTGTGAACGTGAGTCAAACATACGACCATCAGGGACAACGCTATAGTTGACCACATCTTCATCGATATCGATAAGAAAGGGAAGATTTTTGAGTACTTGTGAAAAATGGCTTCCATCATCAATTTTTACCTAGATACATTTATAAGTATATAGATCTCCATGTATTGATAGGTGGCACCTCGCCACAATTATCGTACATCTTGAGATGCATTGTGAACAATGACAGAACATCATCTTTTTTATAGGTGGTGTGGCGTCATTCCGTTTTGAAATTTATCTTATTTTACGTGCATCGTCAAGTGAAATGAAGGTGAAGAACCATCGACACGCATCTTATCTACGCACTTAGACTTGCTAATACTGAAATGCAACGAACTACGTAGAAAATAGAGCTTTTTTCATTTTCAATCGTTGTTTGTGACTGTGTGACAATTGATTCTCATTGATTTCTCTGAGAGTACTACTTGTACTTTGAGTTATATATTTACTAAAACTAGTACTAAAGTGATTAGTGACTCTTCAGACAACAAGATAGTGGATCGATGCGTATCCACTCCATTTGAAAAATTATTTTTCTTGTTTCGAACGCGACGGGTTGGCTGCTCGTCCTCGTCGTCGTTTTTTTTTAGTGTGAGTACATAGTAATTACCACTGTTTGTACAACAGTTATTTATAAGGAAATAAATCAAAATGCAGTTTTTTACCGGTGCACTTGGCACACCCCGTAGCGGGGCCTCAGTCTGGAGCATTCCAGGCACGCCCCGTGGCGGCTCCGCCTGCATGCCGAGTACCCCACGTGGTGGTGGGCCTTCTTGTGGCGCAGTAGGACCTACCCTGGTGCGTAGCGGGTCCACTTCTTCGCTTCTTGGCACTATGACACCCAGACCGTCGTGCCTGCTGCATAACCTGCCAATTTCGTCGTCGAGCGGCTTCAACATCTATTTGCGCCCGAAATCCACTCCCCGCGTGCCCAAAATCGAAGAGGAGCCGCCGAAAAAGAAGGAGAAAAAAATGACACTCAAAAATTTGGTGAAGTTGACCATGCTCTTCACTCCGAAAATCAAGCTTTACGTGCGTTTCGTTGACTACAGTGGTGGAACCCTATCTGAAAATCAGGCTTCGCTCGTGGTACTGTGCGACCTCTTGAGAGAAAAAGTATCGGCGAGGGAAGGGGAGTTGCGTACTGTGGGGGACATAGTGCGCATAATAAGGACGCAGCTACAACGGAATGTGGACAACTACTACCGCACTTTACAAAACCTATTTCCACAGTCGCAGAAGAGCGGCAGAGCAACGTATGGGATATACTCCGCACGGGTAGAGGACCTAGAAGATGAAGACGCGGGTGTTGGTACAACAGCACTTCCACTTGATAGTGAGACACATCATTAGTGATGAAGTATACCTTTACCTAGGATGCTTCAAAATCAAAATTTCTAGATCATAGAGTAGAACCATAATACTAGAAGAAGACTTTGCTGCCAGAGTCTATTGCTGCTTCTCTTATTCGGCTATGCTATGGGCTGCATAACTGCCGCTGTTTGATCATGTTGTTGTAGCCATATTGCTAATGACAAATTTGTCTTTTGATAAAGATAAACTTAATTAAAAGCTAGGTCAATAGTTATACATAGTACTTTTGTGTTTTCAAGAACTATAAAAAGCCACATGATGGTGCAAGAATTATCGCGATGTTGCTCTCAATCTCATCCGCTGATCGTCTACCAGATCGATAAAGTAGAAGATGTCGCGTGCATGATTTATTTTCCCACCACATCTACAGGTTATGCGGAAGAAGATAGCGATGACAATGCCGGTCGCCGTGCTGCAAGTCAAGTAGCAGCAGGAGCTGACCCGGAGCAAGATGTAGCGACAATAGGCGTGTTCGCGCCCACGATTCGCCTGACATATGTGACCAGCGCCAATGAGGTCGCGAACTTCGACCTGTCTGCTGTGTGCCCCCGACGCGGACGCCCACCTATGAAATTGAATTTGGCCAGCTACACGTACTATCCCTGGAACAAGCAGGTAACGCGGCACAAGAGCGAGCAGCTACCGCACCCCCCGGGCAGTAAGAAGATTTTGTTTGAAACACCTAAAAAAAAGAGCATCTTAGTCACCTTCCTGCAGGAAACCGACTGGGAAGAAATCCAACAGCTGCTGCGATTCCTCTTCGACAAACAAGCCGCGAAGCACCAAAAGCAGTTAAAAGAGACATCTCGGACCTTCGCGGAGACTTACTTTACATTATGGTTAGCTTTTATCCACCTTTCTCGGCATCTTGGTCCCCTTTTGCCTTGTATTCTCATGAAATACAAGGGGAACGAGGTCGAGACGGGGGACCAGGATGGGCGCAAGCTGAGTCTAATTACAGAAAAGCTGCAGCGGGAGTCGCGAGTCACCTTGGAACTTCTGAAGCTGTCGCAAAATTTACTGGACGCTTTGGAAGCGGGAAAGATGAGGCTAGCCTGTGACGACAAACCCCCGCAGATGGTCGGTGAAAAGCAAGGCAAGCTAGGTGACAACGCATACATGCAAGAAAACATTCGCGGGATAATCGATGCCTTCATAAAGTCGGGAAGAGAAATGCCCTGGGACGTGTCTCTCTCGCCCGCATCAAAATAACCCGCGAGTCACTGGAAAAAAATAGCTGTAGCTTAGTAATACTATTTCTGGAGTAGAAGCTCCTGTAGTAACGATAATCGGAAATCTTCGTAATGTACAGATTATGGGCACGATCTTCGTAATGTACAAATTATTGGCACGTCAAGTACCGCCACTGCCTGTTCTTGTACGCACACATCAGCGCGCTCCCAGATGCTCCCTTATTTTGACTTTTTTTTATTGTATTAGAATTGGATGGCTTCGTAGAGGGTGCCAGTGGGTCGAGCCTGCTTGTGCTGATTCTAGTGATATACATTCGCAAATGAAGTGAGTAGGCTGAAAATTCGTGATTATTTATTTTCCGCTCAAGATGTGCATGAGCAGCTTGAACGAAGATCATCTACTAGTACTACATGGTCGTAGATTTGATTCTAGGTCTAGGAGTAGGACACACTACTCAACGGCAACGAAACGCAAGTTCTTATTTGGATGGTTCTAATTTTATCTTAATTGAGAATCGAGCACCAATAAGATCATCCACTTGTTGTTGTCGTACTTGATTTTGTAGAAGACACTCCTTGCGGACGAGCAGTTGTCTTGTGGTGTCTCATGATGGCGAGTACTTTTTCCTGCCTCGACCAAGGCCAACGACAGGAGCTGCAGCATTGGTACTGGCTAACACAATTACGATAAGCATGCGCTCGTCGTCGTCGAGATTGTAAAATTATTTTCTGCTTTCTCATCAACAGCCTTCAAGATCAAAGTAAGCCTCAACGTAATCATGCATCGCATCGAATTCAACATAGACGACAACAATGTTCCTGCATCTGCCTAACCCGTTAAAAGTGCAACGTTTATGTGTGATTTCAGTCATGAAAGGAGAGAGAGAGTCGTACTAGAGTCCGTAGAAGATTGAAGAACAGGATCAGCAGCGGGTCGTGAGCATTCGGGTTGACCCGTAAGTGACAAGGCCTTCACGGAAAGAAGGCGCGCCAGTAGTACAGAATTCAGCGACAGGCGACAGCGTGTGTTCATCTGCCGATTCGTGAGAGAGCATTGCTTTACGCGATGGACGAGCTTCCACTGATAATCTTTATTCACGGCGAGTGATATTTTGTCAGTGGGCTTATGTTTGATGATTTTCATCACTCTCACGCTCCTCTTATGCTTATCATCTTCGTCCGGATGCAAATTAATGCAGTGCGAAATAACAGTCGTGTATGAGTTGAAGTGATCGATCTGTTAAAACGCAGCTATGTAGAGTGAGGTAAGTACATGTACACGAAATTCTGATGCGTTTGACTTCTTCACCAGTGTCAAAGTGCTAATGTCATGAGAGTCTTCTCGACACATCATTGACGTCCTAGCAGAAGGTGAGGATACAAGTTCATCTTTTGAAAAAGACAACCAAGAACAATTTAAGTAGTTCATCTAACCCTAACGTGTACGTGAGGACCCTCATTGTGCACGAGCACAAAAGGTTTCTGTGTGATGAGGATGACCAATCTGACGGAAGATCCAGTTCCTCCAGGTGAGATATAACCTAGTCGACGAGCGTCGTCGACGACTGTCTGTTCTGCATATTTTTTATATCTGTTCTCCTGGTCGTCGACGTTGAGTCCTCGTAATAGTGACGAGCTTCAAAGAAATAAGCTAAAGCCAAACTCAAGGATCAACATTGAGAGAGACGGACGAGATCGAGAATACAGGATAGGAGTTGGCTCGCCGTCCACAGTTTGACCTGTATCCTCGGGCGAACGTCCGTAGCCTCAGAGGGATCGCCAAACCGTAACTATCGTCAGCTACAACCTCTTGAATGTATCACGCCCTCTCTACTTCCCTCTACTTGACCGCGTGACCGATTTATGCGCTGCAGAGAAACGCATGACAGATCTGCCGGCATTCATTCGCCTGATAGATCCCGGCCCTATCCTTCGTGTATGGTTTCACTCGACTTATTCGATTATCATTCCACTTACTTTCACGCTCTACTTAGATCCTTGTCCTTCGCTCTTGTCTCATCTAGGCTACCACCTACAGTCCACAGCACTACGTCCTTGCTCATCGTTGTCGACGTTCGTGCACCTCGCGCAGTCCAAGACTATTAGAAGAAGATGCCACGGCTATATCTGAAGACGCTGCGCTTTTGCTGGAAAAAGTAGAGGCTAACCTAAAACTATTGAAGTGTAAGGAGCTACTACTTGACTCAACAACAACAGTAGCACAACCACAGAGGAGCCGAGCAAGAACTCAAAGAAAGGAGAATACGGAGACTCTAGCCGTCTTCGCTCGTTAGCAGGTCGAGAGACGAGGTAGGCTACTTGAACCTGAAAGTTTCAACAAAAAATGAACTCTCTGCACTCTAATCTCAAACGACAGCTTTGCATATTCTGGAAAGAAGATTCCGCGTTTTTACACTCCCAAAATTTGTGGTGAAGCTCTAACTTTAGGGGTGAAGCACTAGCGGCTTCTTCAATCGACGTCGCACCAGCGCCCTCTCCCTTTCGATTTTGTAAGTGGTGAAAATAGTTTGTAGATTCTAACTGAGGAGTGCTGCAGTTGGATGTCCGTCAAATAAAGATTAGACATTCGATCTGAGTATCTTGGCCTTCTTGAGTCATCTCTTACATTTTAGGTAGCCAAATAATATTTGCCTACCGGATCCCTTGTGATTCCTGTTGTCTAGAAATATTCTTTGACCCTGGTATTTTGTTTTTGAAAAGTATTATACCATAGTACCTCTTCCAAGTAGAAGCATAATTGTTCGAAATTTCAGTTGATATTTTTAGATGAACCAACGAACATTAATCACTAAATTAATTGGTCTTCCTTGGACATCTATTCGTATTCTTGTGAAGCTCGTCAACTTTGATATGCTTAGTTTTGGTAGCACAAGTAGGAGTACCTTGATGATAATATATATAAAACATACTAGACAATCTTGTTCTTGTGAATCAATTTTCCACACCTTGCAATAAAAAGGATACATATGTTGATGATTGTCTTCAAGTCCTCCTGCCCTGTCGTTTCTTTTTCTTCTTCTTCTTCTTCTTCTTCTTCTTCTTCTTCTTCTTCTTCTTCTTCTTCTTCTTCTTCTTCTTCTTCTTCTTCTTCTTCTTCTTCTTCTTCTTCTTCTTCTTCTTCTTCTTCTTCTTCTAAGTAGTTGACTATCAGACTTTTTTATTTGCTTCGGGAAGTAGTCACTGATGAACTCGATAAGTTGAACCGCGAAGGGACCACCACTGACCACTAGCACCAGCAATAGATCATCAGTTTTCACACAAGTAGTCTCTGCCTCTAGTACTTCTTGAACAAAGTAGCCGGATTTCTTGATCTTCATCTTGTAAGATAGAAAAAATACACCTAGAAATATAGCCACATCACTGAAGTTGTTTAACTCCTGTTGTGTTTTCAAAAAGAAATAAATCGACCATGATGGCGACATCAGCTTGTGAAGATACTTGCTTGCCTTCTGCTGATGCCAACGGTGCGCGCGAGCAGCAGGCGGCACCAGAGGAGTCCTGGGCAGACTTTTTTCGTCGTCTTGATGAAGAGGATGCAGCTGCCGCCGCGTCGACAGTAGAGCAGAAGGCCAGTACAACTACAAGTGCAAGCAGCTCGACCAATAGCACCGAATGTGAAAGGGTCGATGCTGTGATGGCTGAGTTCACGCGCGAATCAACTCCCTCATGTTCATCGACCGGCCCCTCGCCTCGGTTATCTTCATCGGCGACAGATGATGGCGAAGGAAATACTGGCGCATCTTTCAGCAGCAGGAAGAGAATGAACGAGCAGGATCAACATCAAGACGAGGGTGGCTCCTGCAAAGCAGCCAAAGATGCACCAAATATGAAGAAGAAAAAAGCGGCCCCAGTGCATCCGTACTGGGACGGCATTCCAGCGGATGAACAGGGTTTGTACAAGCCGAAGTTCGAGGGTGAAGCCTGCGGCGTAGGCGCTATTTGCGACTTCCAGAAGCGCGCATCGAGAGAAATCATGGAGCAGGGCAAGGAGATGCTCATTCGCATGACGCATCGCGGTGCGACGACCCGGCCTATGGACGGCGACGGTGCGGGCATTCTTTGCTCGATTCCCGACCGCTTTTTTCGTGAAATGACCTACAAGGAGTTCACCCTGCCGCCGGCGGGCGAATACGGCGTCGGAATCATTTTTCTCCCGCGCTTGCCCGAAAAGCGCCACGATTGCAAGGCCCTCATTCAGCGCGTAGCACAAAAGCTGGGCTTGATGGTGCTGGGCTACCGCCAAGTGCCCACCGACTCCAGTCACTTGGGACAGTATGCAGCCTTCACCGAGCCGTATATGTCGCAAATCTTTGTGAAGCTGGACGACGACTACTTCGAACGAAACCAGTACACGCTGGACACAGCGTCGGTCTACAGTGTGAGCCACACGGCTTCGCGAGGGCCAGGAGGTGCAGGAGGAGGAAGCCATACTTTCACAGCCTCCTACGGTGGCGACGGTGGAAAGGCTGCGCGACGCGGCATCGACGAAATCATTTTCGAGGCTGATAATTTCGCCGAAAGTGCTACCTCGGAGACTGGCGTCGAACCGGCGCTACAGCCTACGGCAAGCCTGAAGAGGACACCATCACCGAATCCTTCACCTTCTGTTGTATTTGGCAGAGATCATGACCAGGAGGGCGAGGGCGACGCTGCTATCCCATCATCTGCTGGCATATCGCCGAAGAGCGTAAGCGGAGCTGGGCCTGCTCGATCTCTCCCGCGGCAGATCTCGGCTAATCGACCGCGAGGACTGTCAACAACGAGTGCCGGCAACTCGGGATATACTGCGAAAGAGTCAGCGGAACGCCAAAAAACGTTGGAGCTCAAGCTCTTCTTGTTGCGTCGTCTGGTATCTCTGCGAGGAAAGGAACTCTACTTCTGCTCTCTCAGCAACAGCATCATCGTCTACAAGGTAATTGCATCTTAACTACATCAACTCTCCCATTCTTTTTTTGGTAGAATATTTTGAATTTCAAAATCAATTTTATTCATGATCTCCTTGAAAAACAAATTTTTGATCAAAAATCATGGCCTGCATTCAACATCCTGATCTCGATCAACGTTATTGCAAAGCGAGTACCAGTTTTCCATTCTCGTTTTGCTTTTTGAACAAAGTCTAGTAGTACTACGACAATTTTCAACAAGAACGACATTTTTTTTTCTCCACCTTGGTTGCAACTACTTCCATACGTCACACAGGGCCAGTTGGTGCCGGAGCAGTTGTTTCGTTTTTTCCAGGATCTGGAGGACCCACGATTTGTGTGCCACTTGTTAGTGGTCCATTCCCGCTTCAGTACGAATTCCTTTCCGTCGTGGTCCCGTGCCCACCCGCACCGTTGCCTTGCGCACAACGGCGAAATCAACACGTTTCAAGGGAATGTGAACTGGATCCGGGCGAGGGAGGCGGCGATGGAGAGTTTTGGATCCCCCGTTTTGTCGAAGATTGGCTTCTCTGCAAGACACTTGTTCCCTGTGAATGAGGACGTGGGCAGCGACAGCGGGTTTTTGGACAACGTCGTAGAGCTGCTGAACCACTGCTCCGACCGCGACCTGGTGGAAGTGATGCTCATGCTCATTCCGGAAGCCTGGCAAAATGATTCTTCTCAATCCGCGTCCAGGCGCGCGTTCTGGGAGTACCAAGCCTGCGCGATGGAGCCATGGGACGGGCCCGCGCTCGTCATCTTCACCGACGGCAGTCAACTAGGTGCGACCCTCGATCGAAACGGACTACGACCAGGAAGGTACTGCCTCTGTTTCATTTTTAGACCTGCTTGAACCTGATATACTGAGAAGTTAATATTTGTTCTTAATAATTTAATAGGTACATTTACATAGCCAGTGCCAGATATTAATAGAGGTACTAGTGGAGGTATTGTTAGAAATAGTAGAATATTCAAAAATCATCAACCTTCTAGTTCTTCATCGTCGCTCGTATAAATGCTGGTGGCTTTTGCACCACACACATCATCAACACACCAAATACAGGTATTACATTACGAAAGACGATCGCCTGATTCTTGCGTCTGAGGTCGGCGTTGTGGATGTCGATCCCAACATGGTAAAATCCAAGGGCAGACTGCAGCCGGGAAAGATCTTGCTGGTTGATTTCGACGAAAAACGTGTGATGCCAGATGACGAGCTAAAAGAGAAGTATGCGGCAAAGTACCGCTACGAAGACTGGCTTCGTTCGACGCCGCACGTCAAGGACTTCTTTGGTGTTTTAGACCAGCATGGCACGCCTTTGCCTCCCGGTGGAACGGCAGCTGTGGGAGCCACAGGTAGTACCGTTGTGAACCAGAACGCGCAGGCACCAGTTAGTACGGCTTCAGATGCACGCACTCTAGAAATGCTTCTCACGAGCGCCGCTGATCTGGACGACCTAGAACCGACTTCGCCAGGGCGTAAAGTCAATTTTTTCATGGGCCAGCGCAGATCATCTCGTAGTTTCGACCAACTGGCTGCGTCCTACGAGCCGCAAGCTGCTGAGCGTAGTTGGAAAGGAATCGAAATTCCCTACCTGACGCTCTTTGGATTTTCGCACGAAAAAGTAGAGATGATTCTCGCGCCCATGGCGCTCACAGGGTCGGAGCCTCTCGGTTCTATGGGCAATGACGCTCCACTTGCCTGTCTATCCAGACTTCCGAGGTACTTGCTTTAACTTGTGATGTTATCTAAGTACTCAACAACTGAATTTATGATATATAATGATGTTTGCATTATCAACTAAACTTCTGCTCCCGGCCGAGGACAAACTTCATTATATTCTTTGTACAAAGCAGCAGTAGGGGGCCACCATCGATCTTGATCTTTATCAATCTTTCTTTAAATTTTTAAGTAGATCGTCTTTGTCTCAGTCTTACCTGCACAAATAGTAATACACCCTCCAGGTCTCCGTTCGATTATTTCTACCAGCTGTTTGCGCAAGCAACGAACCCGGCTATCGATCCGATCCGGGAGGCGAATGTTATGACTTTGGAATGCCCCATCGGTTCGGAGGGAAACCTGCTGAAGGTCGGACCGGACAGCGTGGTTAACCGCTGTTTCTTAGATGAACCAGTCCTAGACACAAAACGTTTTCGCGTACTTCAGCAGCTCCCGTGCTTCGAAGCCTCCTGCGTCCTCGACTTGACATATTCAAAGTATTACTTCTATAGTAGAAGATAATGATGTCGAATATGAATATTGAATGGAGATAACCTAAGCCTCACAGACACCCAGACTCACAGCACGCTCCGGAGCAATGTAGCAAGAATTGTCCCTAGGTACTTGGATCCTCTATTCTTGTAGTTGGCTGCTCCATTTTTCCTCTGGTGCATAATTTTCTACTAGTGCAGTAGTTCTACAACTACAACTCTTCTGAAAATCTACCATAAAGCACCTTGGATGTCGGGCGTCAGCAGTGGAACCAGAAGGCTTTTGAGAACGACACAGTGCTCGAGACGCGGCTGGACCAGCTGTGCAATGAGGCGGAAGCCGCTATCAAGATTGACGGCACTACTTTGCTGATCTTGTCGCACCGTCGCACGTCGCCGGAAACCATTCCGATTTCTTCGCTCCTTGCTGTTGGAACTCTTCACCAGTACTTGGTAGAGCGGAAGTTGCGGACCGAAGTTACGATCTTGGTGGAGGGTGGCGACTGCTTCGAGATTCACCACTTCGCCTTGCTCCTGGGGTATGGCGCGGACGCCGTGTACCCCTACATGGCGTATTTGGCGTTGCAGCGCTGCCGTCGCGCGAAGTACACGCAGGACGTGGCACTGCAGACGAAAATCGAACAATACCGCAAGAGCGTTCATCAGGGGCTCTTGAAGGTGATGTCCAAGTGCGGGATCAGCTGTCTGCAGTCCTACAAGGGTGCGCAGCTTTTCCAGGGCGTCGGTATCTCCAAAAAAGTCGTCGACAAGTGCTTTTCCGGGACGGACGTAGCCCTGTACGGTGTGGGCTTCGACATCTTCCACTTCGACGCCGTTCGGTTGCACCAGTTCGCCTTTCAGCAGATGCGACTGCCTCCTTTGGTAGACGAGGAAACGCGAGAGCTACCGGACTGGGGTGAGTACCACTTCCGATCCGTGGACCAGCAAAACGAGTTCCACATGAATTCCCCGGATGTCATTGCGAAACTGCAGCAAGCTGCAAAGCAGAACAGCACGAAGGCGTTCCGGCTGTACGAAGAGTACCAAGACAAAATCTCGGAACAAAGCGAAGTCCGCGGCCAGCTAGAGTTCGTGCCCCACGACGACGGGCCTCTTGACATGTCACAGGTCGAGCCGGCCTCCGAGATTGTCAAACGCTTCGTTACGGGTGCCGTTTCTTTGGGTGCGATCAGTGAAGAAGCGCACAAAGCCTTGGCCATAGCTATGAACCGCGTGGGCTCCAAGAGCAACACGGGCGAGGGCGGCGAGGAAAGCGAGCGCTTCAAGCCGCTAGGTGCCGGCACGGTGAAAGCCGGCGCGGCGGAGTGGGAGCTTCGCGCCGACGACTCTTTTCGGTCCAGTATCAAGCAGGTAGCCTCAGGCCGGTTCGGCGTGACTGCGGAGTATTTGGTAAACGCAGACGAACTACAGATTAAGCTTGCCCAGGGCGCCAAGCCCGGAGAGGGCGGCGAGCTGCCTGGCTACAAGGTGATCGGGCGCATCGCAGATGTGCGGCGTTCGACCCCGGGCGTGGGTCTCATCTCGCCGCCACCGCACCACGACATGTACTCGATTGAGGACGTCGCGCAGCTGATCTCCGATTTGAAGCACGTAAACCCGGAGGCCAGAATCAGCGTCAAGCTGGTGTCCCGCGTGGGAGTGGGTATCATCGCAAGTGGCATCGTAAAAGGCAAAGCGAACCACGTGACCATCAGTGGCGGAAACGGAGGGACTGGAGCTGCCAAGTGGACTTCCATCAAGCGAACGGGCTTGCCATGGGAAATCGGCCTCGCGGAGACGCATCAGACGTTGAATCTGAACGGGATTCGACATCAAGTGAAACTGCAGACCGACGGACAAATTAGAACTTCTAGGGACTGCATCGTAGCGTTTCTGTTGGGTACTACAACTGATTATAATACTAAACATAGTTGTGTACTACAATGAGTTTGAGTCTGCACCAGGTCCTCCGTGATAATCATTTGCTGGGGTCATTGTTTTCCATTTCCACGTGATCCAATTATACGCCTTTTGCTCTCCGATCTCTCCCTCCGACCTTTTTCTTTTCTTTCGGCTGTACTTTAATTTGTTAATATGAGACAAGTTTTTGGACTCCAACAGCTCCGCCGACCAAGAAATTTGACCACGCGATCGATGAGCAGCACGCCGAACTCCTACAACAGGTTCCGACGAGGTCGCAATGACGACGACGCCGCTGATCACGCTCGGATGCATTATGATGCGCAAGTGTCACCTGAACACGTGCCCGGTCGGTGTCGCGACACAGGATCCGGAATTGCGCGCTAAGTTTGACGGTCATCCAGAACATTTGATCAACTATCTGTTCCTCGTCGCGAACGAGATCCGCCAGCATATGGCAGCACTGCGTGTGGCCACAGTCAAAGAGCTCATCGGCCGTGCAGACTTGCTGCGACCGCGCGCTTCGAATCTGATGAACCGGAAAACTGCGCATTTGGACTTCGACGCGCTGCTCACGCCAGCGTGGACCCTAGAATCCATGGTGATGCCGGATGCGGGTGGCTGTGCACCGGATCACCCGGCCAGCGTGTCCGTGCCATCCGCGGGTGCGGCGATGAACGAACGCTCCATAACCCCTTACCCCGCTGATCATCGTGGGGTACGCCGTGCGCCAGGGAACTACATGTGCTGCGGAGGCTCTGCCACAGCAGACGCCTTGGATCACTTCCTAGTCTCGGAGATCCGCGTATTGAAGGAATCGTCTCCCGGATACGTCGGGAGTATCACGGGTATTTTCTCCTGCGCCCTTTTCGTGCTGTTCTTGGTAGACCACTTCTAAGGATTTTACTTTTCGGAGTTATTTCCAATAGTGCATGATTCCCCCGTCATCTATGTCAAGGATGACGTTGACCATTCCTTCATCGCAACTTAGTCTAAGTCTTATTTGTATTATTTTTAGTTTTATACTCATTCTCATATAACAATGAATGACTATAACTGATAAAGATTCAAATGATTATATATAGCGAACTTCTTGTTCATCAGATTTCTCGAGGACGATCCGAAGCGTTCGAATTCCCAACGTCCGCATCACAAATCGCGACCGCACTGTTGGAGCTATGCTTTCGCATATGCTGGTCAAGTTTCAGGAGCGAAACAGCGAAGGAAAGACCCTGGCTAAGGACACGATCCGTGTGCAATTTCACGGAAATGCTGGCCAGAGCTTTGCAGCTTTTCTAGTTGCTGGTGTTACGTTTGAGCTAGAAGGGGACGCCAATGATGGTACCGCGAAAGGGCTGTCCGGAGGACGGGTAATCATTTATCCACCCGCGACTAGTGCCTTGGTACCCCATCGCAACATCCTGATTGGCAATGCCACGCTCTATGGAGCCACGGGAGGCCAGGCGTTTTTCTCGGGCGTAGCTGCGGAGCGCTTTGCGATCCGCAACTCGGGGGCGATGGCCGTGGTAGAAGGCTGTGGCGACCACGGGTGCGAGTATATGACGCGCGGCCTGGTGCTCGTCCTGGGCCCAGTGGGTAAAAACTTTGCAGCTGGCATGAGCGGAGGCATCGCTTTTGCGCTAGACCTGCATCTCGACAATGTGAATTCTCAAACGGTCTTCGTAGAACCCGTGAACGAAGACGACTGCCGCACGATCAAAGAGCTGCTAGAAGAGCACGTTGACCTCACTCGCAGTGCGGTTGGGCAGGAACTCTTAGGCCTTGCTGCGGGCGTCGGCGGTTCTCGCGTATTTGCACAGCGATTCAGTCGAATTTTCCCGAAAGAGTACAAGAAAGTTCTAAAAGAAGCCATCGTGGAACACACGAAAGTGGGATCCAAGATGGCAGGCAGAATTTTGGACGAATTCAACCGCATGCGGAACCCGTTGCCCGAGCGGCGCACGGACCTCTTCACGAGCGCGTTTCTCTTACCGCTGAAGAGCAGCCGGGGTCTCACGAAGGAAGGAATGCGCCGAAATCTCGCCCACCATGTCGGAATGCCAATCGGAGGACCGCTCCAGGAAGTCGGCGGTGTGGGTCTTGTGCGTCACCCAACACTTGCGGGTCTAGGCCTCGGGACAGTCACAGAACAGTTCTTTGCGTCCGCGGAAGTGAACGAACTTGCGAACGACGAGATGACGCAGTTCCGTCAGGGGTACGCGCTCTGGCGCAAGTACTACTGGATGACGGGAGGCGTCAATCCTATCACGAAGGAATTGAGAAGTGCTGCTGGCGGGATTGCTGACTCAGATTCTCCTGTTGCGTTGGAAGAGGCAGCTGTAGCGGCTGATCGATCCAAACGAAGCAGTGCTGGAGGAGGTTCTGCGAATTTTCTTTCCGGATCTTTCGGTCCGCTCCAACGCGTTTATATGCCGAAAAAGGAACGAGACGAGCTTCTCAACAACCCTCGATGGACAAAGATTATGCAGCGTCGTCAGAAAATTATGACTGCTGCAGCATCGCAAGCGCCACTTCCCTTGGTCTCTGGATCCAGTACAGCGCAGTTGTCGACACTCTCCGGGAGTAGCGGAGGCGAAAATTCACCCGTAAACGTTGACATTGCTGGCATCGGAGGGCGCCGCGTGTACGGCCAGCGTGCATGTAAAGACTCGCTGGACGCAACCGCAACCACAGATACTGGTGGTGGAACGAATACAGTCATGAGTACTAGCGACAGTAGTGCTACCGAAGACCAGAATTCCGGGGAGCTGCCCGTGCAAAAGTCCATGCCCCAGCTTGCCTTCGTGACAGGAGATCAAGAAGCTGTCGTGGCTGCCGCCGCTGTACAGCAGGCGAAGCGGGAGGAGCTATTCGATGGCGCTGGTGTATCAGCCGCAACGCCTTCTACCTCAGCCACACAGTTTACCACTGCTCTGGCGCTTGTGGATAAGGACAAAAAAACCTATCTGCAGAAGATCAGTGATGTAGAGGATATATTGGCGGGAGCCCATCTTCGGCACACGGCGGTCTCTCTCCCGACGAAACGGAAGGGCTTCCATCTGTACCAGCGCAAGACCGCGGGGTACCGGGATGCGAAAGAGCGGCTTCTCGACTACGAAGAGATCTACGCGGGTGCCGGAAAGACCACTACGACGCGCAAAGCAAACCTCGTCCGGACGCAGGCGAGTCGCTGCATGAACTGCGGCACTCCAACCTGCCAGTTTCCGAACCAGGGTGGCGGCGGCTGCCCGCTAGCGAACCGCATTCCGGTGTGGAATTCGCTCGTGCACGAGGATGACTGGAAACGTGCTTTGGAGCGCCTGCTGGATACCAATAATTTCCCGGAATTCACCGGCACAACCTGTCCTGCGCCCTGCGAAGAAGCGTGCGTTCTGGGTATCAACGAGGGACCAGTGACGATCAAAAGCATCGAAAACGCCATTATTGAAAAGGGATTCCAGATGGGCTGGGTGACGCCAAAACCACCGTACTACCGCACAAAGAAGAAAGTGGCCATCGTCGGCAGCGGGTACCACTTCTTCCCTTTTACACGTCGTTGAAGGTCGTTATATTCAACAAAAATCGTTATCTCATCAAGAAGAGCAGCAGCAGTTTATATCTATACATAGAACAGTTTATAGACGCTGGGTGGCTGGGCGGCCACGCTGGGCACGCTGGGCGGCCACACTGGGAACACTGGGCGGCCACACTGGGCACGCTTGGCTGACGCTCGGCGGACTACTTGAGGGCCACGCATTGGGCACGCCGAGCCCATGCGGCTGATTCTTTTGCGCCTCTAAGACGTGGTGTGGCGCGTCCCTTGAGCACAAACAATGGCGCGTCGCCGCCTTCAAGGTTCCGGGCTGTGCGAGCGTAGTGCTGCGCCGGCTTGCGCAGTGGCGGGCTGCCCCCACTCTGTGCAGGCCTGCCCCTGCTCTGTGCAGGCCTGCTCTGCGTTGTGCTTGTGCTGAACTGCGCTGCTCGGTGCAATGCTGCGCCGTTTTTGTTCATAACGGCCCCAGCGGCTGCGTAGTTCGCCAGCGTCGTTGGCCTATGCTAGACTAGCATTGCTGGGGGGGGGTTCTCAAGCGGGCGCCCGAGACGCGCCCCGCATTTTGAGACGCCCAGCGTCACGCTTGGCGCAGAATTCAGCAGATCTAGTACATTTGGGTCGCCCAGCGACCCAGTGTGCCCCGCGTGCCCAGCCCAGCCATGTCGGGATAGGTTATAAACTGTGCGCCTATCAGTATCAATTTCCATATCCTGTCGATGTCAGTTTCTGATAAATTATTGATACACCTGACGACTCGCAGTTGGACTTCAACAAAAGCATATTTTTTACCACGAAATTGGGTTTTGAGTACTACTTTTGAGTACCTCTAGTATTTGATCGACATACACCACTTACGCTTACCAACTCATACTTCTGCATGGTCCATAATCGATGAACTATACAACAGCCCTTGCGGCCTCGCTGCTGCGCAGCAGCTTAATCGTGCTGGACATTCGGTCACTGTGCTGGAGCGAGAGGACCAATTCGGTGGGTTGCTTTTTTACGGCATTCCAAATATGAAGCTCGAGAAGCGGAAGGTTGCACGGCGCATCGACTTGATGAGGCAAGAGGGGATCTCGTTTGTCGCTAATGTGAACGTCGGCTACTCCGTAAACTACGATCTACCCGCTCTTTCGAGCAACTTCGACGCTGTCCTCTTTTCGACAGGTGCAGCAGCGGCCCGCCGTCTCGACGCAAAGCTACCGGGCCACGACCTTGGCAACATTGTGCAGGCGATGGATTTCCTGACCGATGCACAGCGTTTCGAAGTGTACCAAAATGGCGTTTCCACCCATGGGGGCGCTGGTGCACCATCCCAAGCCGCACTTGTAGCGGCGCAAGCGCAGTATGGTGTCACTGCAGCTCCGCGAGGGGGCGGTTATGGTGTTAATTCCAGTGGTGCAACAGGAGGAGTAGTTGGCAACGTGACTGCACCACCAACACGCGAGTACGATTGCTCCGACAAGGACGTGGTTGTTATTGGTGGCGGGGACACCTCGGTGGACGTGATTGCCACCGCCCTGCGTCAGGGCGCGAAAAGTGTCACCCAGTTCTCCCGACGGCCAAAAGCGTCCGAGACGCGCCCCACACACACCCCGTGGCCCTCATGGGCGGACACATTCCGCACTGACTATGCACACAATGAGTACATCTCAGCGACGGGTAGCGACCCCCGCACTTACTGCATCAGAACGCGTGCTTTTCTCTCGGAATACCCTCCGGGCGCAAAGACAGTAGCGAATACCACAAACGGTGGCTCACCTGGCACAATTGTGAAAGCAGTCCAAGCAATTGAAGAGATTCTAGATGCGGACGGCAATCGCACTGGAGCCGAAAAGGAGGTGATCTACAAAGCAGACTATGTCTTCTTGGCCATGGGCTTCACGGGTGCAGAAAAGATTCCGTCGAGCGGGGGCGCCGTGGGACTGCGGTCTAACGCGCTCTTTCACGATGTTGACGACGGCATGGGCCTCGGCGCTACAGCGCGAAACTTTGATCAGGACGCGGCTGCCTCAAAAGGTTTGCCTGAGAGCAAATGCATCGCGGGCACCGCAGACCAGGGTGGGAAGAACAAAGCTGGTCCGAACGCAGCAGGTGTAGTTGCCACAGTTGCTGACACGAAGAATTCTGCGGGTGGAACTGGCGTAGGAGGTACGTCTGTCGTGGAGCAGGATGGCTACTTTCTTGGCGGCAACATTTTCTATGCAGGTGACTGCCGTCGGGGCGCGTCGCTCGTGGTCACTGCCATTGCTGAAGGCCGTGACGTGGCAAACCGAATCGATGAGTATCTTCTGGCGAAGGACACCTTCTATCGATCGGGTCTGGCGGCGATGAAGAACGCCGGCCAAGATGCGAGCTTCCTCTTCAATCGCGGACTTTCCGCACTTCCGCGTTGCATTCCGCTTGCGCAAAATCCTGCGCTGCATACGCGCAACGACGTCCTGGAGACCGCAGACCCGGGTTACGGCCGCAAGAAGAAGAAGCGAACCCGCGAGGTGACTGAGAGTTTTGAGCGTGGCTTTTTACTTTCAGAGGAAGGAGGTGCCGATCCGGGGGCAACCAAAGCGATGCCGCCGGCTCCTCCAATGGAACATCACAGTGCAGCGCTGGAACAGGTCGTCGAGGAACCGGATCAGGAAGATGCCGAGAAAGGACGCTCTGCAATCAAAAGTGGCGCCAAAGTTGCCAAGAAAGCAACTACGGCGAAGCCAGAGGGCGAGAGTACTTCATCCACGACTAAGCCCGCGCAAAGAGTAGTCGGAGAAATTCCGCTAGGAATGAGCAGGGCGACATCAAGCCGATTTATGTCAGAAGACGACGCTGTAGCATCTGCCGAAGCAGCCCCACCTCAGAAGCGTGGCAGAGGACACGGCAAAAACCGCAAGCGACGGTCAACTGGCCAACCGTCAACCCCCACTTCAGGCAATTCCAGCAGTGGTGACGAAGACAGCGATCATTCTGCTAGCCGCAGTCGTGCCCGCTCGTCCCGGTCGGATCGGCGCTGGCACAAACGACCTGACAGAAAGGGCAACGTTGCATCGGCATCTATCAAACGAGCCTCGAATGACGACGTGCAGCTGAAAGAGAAAGTGCTTTTGGCAGGCGTCAGCCTCTCTGTGCTCACCAATATCGCCCTCGTCGGAGTACTGGCAGCGTTTGTTCTCTGCAAGAAATAAGAAACTACTCTGTTCAAATCTGCCGAGCTGACGTTGAAGATACATAATATTGGGCACTTCTATCAATATCAAATTCAATCATGCTTGACCTTAGTATAGATTGATCATGTATTTTCAGATATTATTTTCCAACAGTCTAGATGAAACTTCATCATTCTTCATATTATTTTCCAACAATTCTCTTCATCTCACAAAGGCAAAGTAGTTAGTAGAAACGAAGAAATGAAAAAACCTGTCTGATCTCATTTTTTATGAGCATTCGGATTCGGCTTTTGATATTTTTATCGTATTCTCTCAATGAATCACATGCCGCCTACGTAATCCTATTCTGGAAGTACCAATATATTTTGAAAATAAAAATTGATCCTCCATATTGATATATAGGATGGATACAGTCTTCACAGGCAGTAATTGTAGATCTACATGTTGTAGCCTGCTCAACACAAAAGCGGTAAGCAACAACTACAAAATCAAAAACTATGATTTTGATCAAGAACAATTAGTTACGATTAGTTTAAGATTTAAATTTATCCACTACAGCAACACGGTGCTGTGAATGTTTCGTCGTGGAGAACATTAACTAATACCAATCAATCTATTCAGCAGTGTATAGCTGATCTTTGCTCGAAATATGCTATTTTTTTTCTCAGTTCTTTTCTACGGGACCGAGGATCATGAGTGATACTTTTATATTCTTCGCGTCCTCTGGTCAACAACAAGAGGGTGCGTGGTGATGCAGAAATTGCAATGTTGCTTGTATAGCTCTAGGAACGAATTTGAATTTCATAATTGCTCATTAGAACTATTGCGGGCGCGGTTGGTACTAGTGATGCCAAGTAGTTAAGAAGATTTGAGATGATGAAAGAAGGCACTACTTTTTTTTTGATAGCGCGTCTGTCAGAGCCGGATTCAGAAGTAGGGCGACCCTGTTGCGAGACAAAGCAATGTCTGTGCCTGCCCTGTCAACTGATGACGCATGGATCTGGATGTGTAAGGAGGTCCGTTGGAGATGCCCATCAAGGGAGTAGGCGTACGCCATCCACCAGTGTGGAAGTAGAGCCTGCAATTGCTCACTGGTGCTGACTGTACTACGCTTTTTTCGCTTCCAAGATGAGCGACTATTATTGTACTTAATCGATGGTCGATGTGCCACCGAATACATTAGTTGTTATAGAACAAAAAATTATAACCCTGAGTGAAGATTCGTCATTGCCTTGCTATGCATCATGCGCTTCATTGCCATTCATCATGAATAGCAGACGAACAGGAACGATTGCCATGCTTACTTCTGAGTATTCAACGAGAACCACGGGTGTATGCAGTCAAATATTCAGGAGTAGCAGTTTTTCAGTTTTTTTCAAAGCTTCTTGACTCCTAGAATGGATTTGCAACACTTATCTATAACAAGAAAGAGAAAGTACGTACTTGATATAATTCATCGAGCTATAATAGAAGACGAGCCATGTTGCCGCGAAGGTTGGATTACGTTTAATATTTTTTTTACAAATATGGAAAACGTAAATAACGAAAATAAAGATTTTTTATTTTCCTTTTCGAATGTCGTAGTGCATACTGTTATTTTCCTTCTCGAATGTCATGTGTAGACGGTCGGACGACGTCGAGCTGACAAAAATTAATGTTCCTTCCAACGAGGGGGAAAGGCACCGATCATGACTGGCATCAACGTATGGTTGACAGTGCGCCTTTGGCTTCAATGTTGCATGGATTCGTATCATGTAGTTGATGAATGAAGAATTCTGAATTACTACGAGCTCGTCAACGGCTTTTGGGGAGATGAAACTAAAGCAAGAAGATTTTGATCAGTCGTGGTCCGTGTTGTAGTATATTGTCGAGGTGCAGCTATTGTAGATCACCCTTATTTTTACGGTTGATAGAGCTATGTAAATGTATGTATGAACTGAACAAAAACTAAAACGAGGATCTTGTTTTTAGATTCAATGAAATTATGAAAGTTCTGGGTTGGTTTAAACACGGCGGATCTGTCGTGAAGCTGAAACTATCCCCCCGATGTGGTTCCGCAGGGGAAGGAGGCGATGGGAACCCGAGGCACTTGCTAGACAAAACACACACGCGGGCGCTCTTCAGCAGGAGCCAGATTTGACAAGAAGCCTCAGAAATGTCGCCGAGCTGGATGGTCGATAACTGAAGCACTACGCTAGATTGGAATAACAATGCGGCGCGATCCTGTGCGGGTGCGTTACGGCTGGAAGGGTTCGGGGCGCCTGCGGGCCTTTCTTCCGGCAGAAGACATAGGCAGGCGCATGCCCTTCGGGGCTGATTCGTCCGCCGGGTTCTGAGGCTTTCAGAGGCCACGCGGGTCGGCCCGCGGGGGTTAAGGGGGTTCAAAGGTGTAGGGCGTTGCCCGTCTGTGATTCATGGCGCGCCGGCGTGGCGCTGCAAGCAAGTGAAGGGACGCGACTGCACTGGGCCGCCGCCTCGCACTATCGGGCAGCGTGAGCCCAGCGGAGGGGAGAGGAGAGCGGGGCGCCAGAGTTTACGCCCTAGCTTTCAAAATTCACGCACTAACTTGCTTACGAAGTTTATGTCTTGCCTTTCTTTCAGAGTTCACGTCTTAACTTTCGCAATTCATGCCCCCCCTGAATTTCAAAGTCCAAGTCTTATACCTTTCGATATTCATGCTTGAACTTTCAAAAGTGACGCCCTTACTTTCAAAATTAACGCCTTAAAACTTTCAAAGCGCATGTCTTAACTTTGACAATTCATGCCCTAAAAACTTCCAAAATTCATGGCCTAACTTTCAAAGTCCATGGCTTGGCTTGTTTCAAAATTCACGCCTTCCCGAAACTTTCAAAATTCACGCACTCCTTAAACTTTCAAAATTCATGCCCTAACTTTGGCGCTTCATGCTGAGCATACTAGCATAGCAAAGCGCTGCGCGTTTGCTTTTCCAGTTTAGTAGTTTATTTTCGAAATCAAAACCAAAACTCGAAATCAAAACGCAAAATCAAAACTCAAAACCAAAACTCAAAATCAAGACTCAAAGTTCAAAGCTCAAAATTTATCATCAAAAATCAAAATCTAAATTCAAAATCTAGAATCAAAACGTAAAACTCAAAATCAAACCTCAAAAATCAAAAATCAAAATTCAAAAGCAAACAAAACTCAAAATCAAAAATCAAAACGAAGGCAAAACTTTACAAGTAAAGAGATTACAGAGGACGAGGACAGAGAGAAATGAATCATTTCAACAACTACTTTTTTATTTGATATTAAAAAAATAACTAACCTAGTAAGTACTATCATGGGTGGCGAATTATTCGTGGTCCTTCGTGGTTCCTCGATTATTTTTTTGTGAGTGTGCAGCTGATGTTCCTTACCACCCAGACTCTGCTCACGTCATTCTTATTCATCGTATCTAGATCATTTCATATCTATTCATACAATGTGAAGAAGATTGCCGCACTTTCCACCTTAGAGATGTTCTATCGTTGCCGCAAGTTGAGCCTGCTATTATGTGACGTATTTTCCTCAGAACAAATGTGAAGAAGATTGCCGTACTTTCCACCTGAGAAAGATAATGCTCTTGGGTAATAACTTGTTGTCGAAGATTGCGCTTCTTTTTGGTGCGAACGGTCGATAGATTGCAATACTCTGGAGCAGCGTGACGAATTGACTGTGCGTAACTTTTTGAGTAGTTGTAGTCAGAAAACATAGTCACCAGGAGGCTGTATTTATCGTAGCCTCATCCAATATACTCTTTAGTGAGTAGTAATATTTGCTTCTAGAAGAACAACCATCATCGTGAGCGGAGTCCAAGAATGAAACAAGGTCGCGATTATACATATATCAAGGACAACCAAGGGTAGCGCGATTCTATAATTCTTCAAAAAGAGAAGAAGGAAAGAAGGGCCGCCTGCTAATTAAAATTTCTTCAATACCCCACGAATGGGTCGTACACGACAGGCTTACTTAGTGTTGATGATATAAAATCTCTAGGATTATTTAGATTGATCGACATGTTTCAATTTTTCGACTTCCGTAGTACATACAATTTACCAGGAGTTCTTGTGTCTTCGGGGCACTTTAGTGCTGCACTTCTTGGCTGGTCGTCTCATTCTCCATACGAGGCACGAGAAGAGTGCCATCATGACATGATGACGCAGTGGTTACTTATCTTATTTTACTGTCATCGAGTTCGAGATTCATTGTTATCTTCCTTATCTTGACGATTCGCTCTCATACCCATACTAGAGGACTATTGATGCTTCTGCTGGTCATTTACGTTCACCTTTGACCCTTTTATCTATTGGGGACGCAGATCGGGTTTGCTCCAAGCTAACATGGCATCAACATCGACACAGCTGGAGCAGCACGTTGAACAGAAGTTGTGGCGTCTTTATTGAATAAGGTGCCTGCCACCTCGTCATGCGAAGATGGATCAACCATGCCTGCATTTTTGTCTACTGCTCTCCGTGCTCTGTGCGCTGTAGTACTAGCATATTATATATCATAGATAATCGTGGTACTTATTTATATTAGAGAGCAGGTAAAAATTGCGGAGGTCGAGTTTGATGCATGGAGTGTCTCTGGTTTGCTGGCAGCAGGCATGCCCGATTAGATTTCCTCTGAATATCATGAAGATTTTGTTTTCACCACCGGCGTGTAGTTTTTTTGTGCTTTACAAATCGTGCTGACGTAGGAGAAGATGGCTACCAACGCCAACAGGTGAAGGTGAATATGCATAACGGAATATATATTACCTCAGAAAACTGTATGCAGGCGGTTTTCCGGAAGGCTCGACTTCCCTAAGTAACGCTTGATAACGATTTTTTCAGACGGACCAAGTAGATATTTGATTCACATGAAGGACTAGAAATCTGATCCATCCAACGACTCTAGAACTCGTGGTGCTCGAGCTCGACGAGTCTGATGTGTCGCATGCATTCACACAACAGCGGGCGCCACACAACAATTAGAACGAAGAGCTGCAAACAGATCAAATGTGAAATCATTTTTTATGCTGCTACGAGGAGGGAGTGCCATCATCACCATCCAAAAAAAAGGAAATGCCCTCATCGTGATCCAAACATCAAGTATGTCGCGACGAGATGATTCCAGAAATGCGCTGTCGTGTTCGACTGCAATGCCACAGTGTACTATGTGAGTCTCATTATCTCCTTCATATCGTAGACGCGGTGCTGATTCTCATGTGAATGTGTGTGAAACAAGAAGAAGTCTGTTGAGGCCATGTGGTCAAACAAAAAAACTTAACGTCAGGCAGCAGTCCTGATCAACGGGGTGTTGGACTTCTGCGATCATATTGAAGACAAAAGTTTCGTATCGCATCGGTTTGATTACTCGACGTCAAACACCAGCTTTAAGAAGATGTCACATATGAAGTTGGATGGTCGTTGCAGGTCGTTGATGTAACTCTAAGGAAGAGACTGCTGTACAACGAACTAGATGATAAAGGAGCTTGATAGTGTAAAGAGTTGCAGCATCTCATCGGTTTTACTTGGTGAGGTTGAGTGTAGTAGTCTGATGCATAGAAAGTGTACGTCCTTTCTTAAACAGAAAGAGCAACACAATTAATCATGAGGAAGTTCCCGCAACACCGAAAACGCCTAAACCCGTACAAAAACTATAGAACCTCACAAGAAAGCGTCACCTCACGCAGAAGACGGCTACTTGAGTAGTTATGGAGCGATCTTAGTTGCGCAACCTGTTGTTCTTACGTAGCCCCGCGATGCATAATGTTTCTGACGGAACTAGGAAACTGCGGTATTAGATACTTCATTTAGTCGTTAAAAATTTTTAAAGTATGGATTCTTGTCCCGCGGCCGATAGCCTAGCAGTACTCTTTGGGACAGTGTAAGATGCTGTTAGAGTCGCAGAATTCCGTGAGTCTTTTTTTTACAACGTCGCTGGTGCCTGTCAATGGTCGGATTCATTTTAATTTATTTGATCTCACTGGTGTTCATCATCTTAGTCTGTTTCATTGCAGAACGCAAATATCATGCGTTGGATAATTGGATACACGTATAGCACACCCTCATCCTCAGCCCGAAAAAGATTTGTACCTGAAGACTCAACGGCTTGGATGATCTTGTTCTTGTTTATTAACACTAAAGACGTTCCTTCCACGCATTCGCATAACCATAACAAAAGAATGTTTCTTTCGTCCTCTGGTAGTGTTTGGTGTGTTTGCGGTGGGTCTGGAAGCTGGGCAGGAAAAGGAGCCTTCAGACGCAGCATGATGTCCGGAATCTGCAGTCGCATGCTCGTCCTTGCAGCGTTCCTTTTTGCTTCGCTTTTGCTCGTTAGCGGAAAGACGGAGTTTTTTGTGCAACTGTACGAGAAGCGAAGGGAAAAAAGCCACAAGCCCAGTTACGAATGCAGTGTTGTAGTTTTATTTCATTAGCATTCAAATTCAAGTTGAAAATGAGCGGCTCCGGCTGTAGCTGCTTCTACAGCTACACCTTGTTATTTATATCGTATTTTTCTTATGCGACTAGCTGTAGCAGTAGCTAAGTACTTTCATTTGGCATAATTTAGCACTAGTATTACTGATAACCTGTTTTTTTACCGATACCGCCTCAAGGGCGTGGAGGTCTGCGAGTGCGAGCTGTGGACAATTATATTAATATCAAAGTGTTAACAGCATAAGATTAGGAACCTCTACCTCTTATTACCTACAACAGCATATTATCGAAGATGCACCAAGTGAAAAAACTTCTCAACTGTCAATATCTAACAAAGAAGTTACAACGAAGCAGCCACGTCGTCAGGAGCGGGAGCAGGAAGCTTGTTCGGAGAGCATGAGCAGTCTTCTATCCTAGACAACAATTCCACCTGGCCGGCGCTAAAAGATGATGATTTGGAGCAGCTCGAAGACGAATATTTTTGGGCCACTGTGGCACAGCATCCAGAGCTTCCGGCAATTTTTGGCCGAGGAAGCAATGGTAAGCGCTGGAGACGGAGGCCGGAAGAGAAGACCGAGAGAAAAATAAAAGAAGAAACGACAACATCATCGTCAGATGGAACGGAAAATAAAGGTGAACAAGATCATGATGCTCTGGGCGGAGAAGGTGATCATGATGATGAGAAAGACAGTAAGAAAACGAAATGTAGTACGACGACAACGACGAAAAAGAATAGCAGTGTGCTCGACGAAGAAACTCAGATGAAACCGGTGGGAAGTAGTTCAGCAGCTACCAACAAGGACGCAGCGCACACCTCTCGCTGCCTCGACTCATCGCACCTCGGCAACAAGTGTCACGATTCGGAGCAGACAGCGGGCATGACACGTAGAAGATCGGAGCAGGAGGTAAGGAGCACGAATTTCGTGTACAGGGCTGATGGCACTGTGGGTGTCGACCTGCCAATTGGACCTACGATTAGATTCGGGCCAACTGTGCGCGGCTTTCGGTCACCTTTGCGTCTTGCTGAGGCCATTCGTAGCGCTGATACTCTGGACGATTATCGGCGTTCATCTTCAATCAGAAAGGGCAAGGGAGACAAGAAGAACGATGTTGAGTTTTGGGAGGAGCACGCTTCTGCTTTTATTGGTTCTACGAGTACGACTAATGAAGTGAAAGAAGCAGCATCAACGTCGCCATTCGAGGAGGAAAGCACTGGTGATCAAGTAGAACAAGAATCCGAGGTAGAAGAAGAAGAACTCAAGGACCACAGACATGCGCAAGCAGGACCTCATCTCGTCACAGAGAAAAATGAAAAGAATCTGACACCGGACGTCGAGCAGCAAAGAGAAGGAGGAGTTGCTGCATCGGAGCAGGATGCTGATACGGCAGATGGTCGTGTGGCGAAGGTCATGACTCCGAAAGCTGCACGTGTCGTCCTGAATGCCTCCTCCAGCGACCGCAAGGCGCCGTCTGTGTCTGCTTCGTCAGCAGGTAGCAGAGAAGGTGAAGACAATGAACTCGACGCATCACATCAGACGAAGTCTTCTTCGTTGGTCGAATCCCGTACGTCACCTGCTACTTCGGCGAGAGAAACTACGCAACACGCAACTTTTCTTGATATCGAAGCGCCCGCATCCTCTCCTGAAACGACTGCTGCTCCAAAAAAAGGTGCTTCTCGAGAGTTCGCTACGACACAGGATGCTTCAGTGGCTGATCAGACCGACTCGGGCAAGAGTTATCGTAAACGAAACACGAGACCGAAATTAGGCGCCTTTCCTACGGACGTCCTCGTGGACGAAATCGTGTCTGCGCCTGCGTAGTACTTACATGATACAATACTACTTCTACTTGTTGCTTTTGCTTTTAGAATAAGTCCACAAATCACGCTGACATTTCTCTGATACTTTTCGTTTTCTCCAATCTGCGTATTCGTATTAACAGGAGTAAGAGTATCGCTAATATTTTCTTTCAGAATGAAATCTTTTCGCTTTACTGCCACCTTCTTCAGCAAGCGCCGCGTGAAAAAGCACAATACCCAAAGTAAGAAGGAACGCCTTGGTCAGCAAGTTCTCCAGGAAAGGATGGAAACAAGTTTAGCCATTCGACCGGAGTCGTTGTTGGTCTCGCCTGGTTTTCCGGCTTCGGCAACATCAGCTCTGTCGTCCTATGAAAATGGATCTTCTTCCGCACCAGTCCTCGTGCGGCGAAGCTATTCTTGTTCGATCGGTATGGAGCTTCCCAGTAAGCTCCGCTCGTCTGCTTCTACCTCGTCTCTCTCGCATGAGACTTCTGCATTGTCCTCATCTCGAGACTTACAACATCAAAATTATCGTCGAACTAAAGCTGAGGCATTGCGGCGGCGCTGGTCAGTTTTCACGAAACAGTGTCAGAATTTGCGCCTCGACACGAGCTACGAATACCGCTATCGAATCTGTTTTCAGGAGTCGTTGACGGTCCAAAATATTCGCACGCAAGTGTCAACGACCTTGGGACTTTTCCATCCAACTCGAAGTCTTGGTGATAGGATCGACCTCGATATTGTTGATGAAGAAGAGGTGGAGGGGGTTGAAAAGAACCAGCACGTCGAGGATCACGTTCACGAGGGTCAGTCAGCGAGTCCTTCCTACGAAGCAAGAGACTACGATGGTCAACTGCATGCAAACCCAGGACCGTACTACTATCCTCAGTTTCTTTTCGACCCGAAGAATTTTGACGTTGAAGATCATGAAGTAGAAGCTTCAGGAACAAAGCTGCCGAGGATCTCGTCAGAAATTCGCTGTTTTTGTGGACTTGACGCACCGACATTTCATTAAGGGTAGGTTATTTAAAGGCGTTCACGTTGCCGTTTATTTTGCCGCTCTTAAGGGGGAGAGGCATTATAAACGGGGAAGCGAACACGAAAAGCCAACCTCTAATCTCACTACTTGGACTACATTCGACTTCCGCAGGCGGCAAGAAAACACAAAAAGAAAAAAGGTGGCGAACAAGTAGAGTTTGGGATGTTGAAGAACCAACAAGTTGTAGAAGATGAAGATGCCAACATGATCAACTACAGGAACGCATCCTCTTCGACACCATCAACTCATTCTTATGACATCAAATCGGACCACGAGGATGTTGAAGAAAGTGAGCTTCTAGATGTGGCTGATGTCGTTTCCCCGGTTGAATCCTCTTCAAAACTTGCGCAGTTTCATCGCCTTGTCGTGAAAATGACGCATCCAGCTTGCTGCAAGCATCTTCGTGCTGGAGAGCTTCTCTCCGCCATCGACACGCCTGTAAAAGGCTGCCGCGACACGACCGCGGACGCTTTCGAGACGCATTCGCATGTGTACGGATTCCTTTTCTGGACACGTCTCAAATTTTTATACGAATTTCCTCCGGTGAACGTCCCCGCCCAGCTTCATCACCGTCCTGGTAGTACAAGTGCAACAAGTGAAGATATTAATAGAGATCATGTAGCTGGCGCAACCGCAAGAACGGGAGGGGGAGCTCATCTTCATCTTGGCTCCTCTTCAAAATCAACCGTGGTGGAACATCCAGCGTCTTTGCGGACCGGAGCCACTGCGCTTTACATCGTTGACTACGACGAAAGCCAGGGAGAAATTTTGGACTCACTGCCGCGAAGTCTTCTCACACGGATCGGCCCGCATCGAGCGATCTATGGCGGTCTTCACCGAGGACGCAGGGCTTCCGTAGTTGGCCCACCTGGACCTGGGGCAGCTGCAATGGTTAAGGCTTGTTGTTTTTCTCCACGTAATAAATTTATCTCCACGCACACACTTGCTTCCACATCGATCAGCTTATAGAGGCAATGATCCAATAAATCCATCCATCTACTTCAGAACGGGAGCCACATCCTAGGAGAGAGGCCGAGGCTTTTCAAATTCAAGCGGAAAGAAAAGGGTCATGATCATCATCATGTTCATGAGATGATGATATAAGTAAGTAAGTACTTACAACTAGAACTATCTCAGGGTGAGGATCATGCACTACTGCTATCTCAGGATGCTGAGGTAGGGTGAGGGTGAGCTCTAAAATGTGGACTGGCTCTGAGCAGCATTCGCAGCATCCAGCCCTCCGAGTTCCAATTACACACTGCCCAGGATCCTGGATTTACTTTATCTGTCCTTAAGGCTAGTCAGTCGTCACTAACTACACTACCCGGGTTCTACTATCAAGCTGGTGATGTGGACTATGGACTCTGAATTGGTGGAGTGTGTTCGCTTTGGTTATAGAAGTCCAAGTCAGCAGAGGGATTTAAAAAAGGGGAAATTACTATATTAAATTAATCAAGGGAGTGATGCACTCGAGAACCTCGAAGGACTAGCGATAGTGATTGACATTGACTGGCGTTAATGTGTGTTGTATCCCAAACGAGTGCTGGAGGAAACAAACCATCACACGCACGTCGCCTTGGTCACCGACGGGTACGAACTATCCAATTTTTACAACAGTGGGGACGATCCTACTCACCTAAGTGAAGAAGCAGAAGGAGAGCAGGATCCGGGACACACAGGCGAAGATGAAGCTGTACTTCAGAATGGCAATGGAGACGAAGCTGCAGCGATCAAAGTCAGAAGCAAGATGTTGAAGAGAACTGCGCGATCGAAAAAGAAGGAGCAGAGTGATCGACTACTTTCCTCTTTTCCAGGTACAGTTCATGTTAGCACCGCAGATGGTACATCTGCATGGCGTTATCTTCAACAAACTGTTGACGATGAACAACTCGGCAACAGGAGAAACTACACGACCAATGGAGATAACACCACGACAGCAACTAGTACAACGGATCATGACGAGTTGTTCGAAGAAAACAGCAACGCTTCATCCTCTTCCCCTTTGAACGGAAGTGCAAAATCCGCAGCAGAGCAGAAAAAGCGTAGAAAGAAGGAGCGAGCGGGAAGAGCGCGAAATATTCTCAACCTCAACGAAGACGATGATGATGCTCAACATCCCTCCCTAGCTCGTGTGACGAACAAAGATCACGGCATTGGAGGACGTGGAATCGAGTCCAATTTGAAAATCGATGGTGAGACGCTTCTCGCGGACCAGATCGCGCAACCTGACGCTTACAGGCGACAGCGGAGCAAGTGTCCGTTACCCGCATACGGTGTCGAGGTTCTGATCACAACGACGCTGCTGTGCGCGCATCCGTTACTGCAGCCGCCACCGACCCACGAACTACCAATCCAATGCAGCGAAGAAGATGCAGATTTTTACCCCTAAAGGGCACATTTGCATTGCATGAGTCTGGCACTTCATCGAATGAATATTTCATTTCTTATAAATATACCTAAACAACGATCTCCATTAGCTTTAACGCTAGCTAATAAAGTAACTAAAAGTGAAACAACTGTAAATTTGTTATTTGTAGTACTCATAGTTTGTCATACACATGATATTGCTCCGGCCCCGTCCTCCCTTCTTGCAAGAACGTGGTGCCAACTTCCAGAAGGTATCAAATTTCAAACTGCTGCATATCACGATAACGCTTATCGTTATCCCCTCATTTGGACACGCAGGCATCCATTATTATCATACTACAGCAACATCAACACCAAGATCTCCATCACCAACACGACTAGTTTTCCCAACATCATCAACATGAATCCAGAATTTATATATATGACGCAGGGCCGCACGGCCCCCTCCCTCCCCCCCTCCTGTGGTCTGGTCTGTGGTGGCGCGCCCGCGCGCTTTTCCGCGCGGATTTTTCGCGGATCCTAGTGTTGGGAGGCGTCAAAACTTGGCGCGGGCCTCCCCTTGGGCCTCTCAGCGTATATGAGTTATGGCCGACCGGTCCCCCCCCTGTGGTATGGTCTGTGGTGGCGCTCGCGCGCTGATTTTCGCGGATTCTAGTGGTGAGAGGCGTCAAACTGTCCGCGGGCGTCCCCTTGCGCCTCTCTGCATGTTCCTCAGGGGCCTCCTGGCCTCTGCTGACCCTTGCAGGCTGGGGGCCTCCGGGGTAAAAGGCCGCCGAAGGCGGCCACGGTCTCAAGAGCAAGCAAGCCGATGACCAAGGGCCCGGAGGGTACAGGCCGCACGGCTCAGGGGGTCCAGCCCCTCGCCTTTTGCTGCCTTCGGAGGCCTTCCACACCCGGCGCACTGCTGCGGCGGCGAAGCATATCGGAGGCATGTAGGGCGCAGGCAGGCAGCTGGAAGGGAGCGGAGGCGGCCCACTGGGCCCCTTTTGAAGCTCTCCACCTTCGTCGGAGGTCTGTAGGGTACAGCCAGGCGGCCGGAAGGGAGCGGAGAAGGCCCCTTGGGTCCCTTTTGAGGCTTTCCACCCCCGGCAGACGGCTCCCGAAAGGGTCCGGGGCTAACGGTGTCCCCCCCTGCGCTAGGGGGAGGCGCCGTAGCCCTGATCCTTGGACTATATTTATATATGTACCAGGGAGGGAGGCCCCCCCCCCTGTGGATGGATCTGGGGTGGACCACGCCAGAGGGGTCCAGCCTGGCCACCTTTGCGCGGTCTGTATGGTTGGCCACATGCAGCACGCCAAGGGGGTGGGTCCCGCCTTGCCTCCTCTGCCAGCTCTGTCGGGTACCGCAACACGCCAGAGGGCGCCAGCCTTGCCATCTTTGCCAGGTCTGTAGGGCACAGGCAACAAGGCAGCGGGGCCCTGCCTTTGCCACCTTTGCCAGGTCTGTAGGGTACATGCAACAAGGCAGCGGGGCCCTGCCTTTGCCCCCTTTGCCAGGCCTGTAGGGGACATGCAACAAGGCAGCGGGGCCCTGCCTTTGCCCCCTTTGCCTGGTCTGTCGGGTACATGCAACAAGCCAGCGGGGCCCTGCCTTTGCCCCCTTTGCCTTTGCCAGGTCTGTAGGGTACAGGCAACAAGGCGGGAAGGGGTCAGAAGTGGGCGCTTTGAGGCCTTCCCGCCCGGCAGCCCCTCGAAAAGAGGGGCCGGGGCTGGCAGGGCCCCCCCCCCCAAAAGTTGGGGGGGGGGGGGGGGCCTCCAGCCCTGAGCCCTGGAACATATATCAAATATAGCTCCTTCATCTTCAGATCAAGTGGAACGTCTAGTGATAGCAATCAACAAGGGAAGAACTTACCATGTGTGATACAACTCAACAAGAACTTATTACCATGATTGCAAGTACGTAGGTGTAGCGCGTGAAAAGATTTTTGCACAATCTCGATCTCTTTTCATGCAAATTCATAAATCTACAAGTTGGATCATGTTGAAGAGCTACATTATTCTCGCGCAGAACTGCATCTACTTCAAAATTATTTCTCGTGACAAGAGCATGACCATCAACATTTGCATTTCTTTTCAGCAGCTAGACTGAGTTTGTCAATGTCATTGTTTGCAATTTATCCCATTCGTTTTCCCACCCCGCTGGCTTGAAATGACTTCATATTAAATTCATTGCTGTTGCGTACAACACCTGCCTCAACATGAAACTTCTACAACACGCAAGAAGTTTCGAATGTCTAATGATGACCGCAGATCGCTACCCTCCAACATGTTGAAAATTTCACAATTCAGCAGTCTAGTTAAATATAATAACACTAACGCTTCTGATTCTCCTTTTGGCACCACTAGAAACTAAGTACATATCCAAGCCGGAACAGTCATACAACCACAACTTCTGCCGATCCGGTGCTCAACGCGCAGGGCTGAGGCGGGAACCTTCCCTAAAAATCTAAATCTAAATCAACACGTGAATTCAAGATTTCATGATCGTCCAACTTGCTTATTAGGAGCTCCATTCCGTACTCACGGTCACGACTTCCCGCAAGTGCAACAAGAATATTGCCTCTTCGCATCATGTTGAAGATCTGGCAGTGTACTATATGGTGGACCTCCAACATCCACGCTACCCACCTCCGTCCTCCTGAAAAACAAAAAGTATCAACAATGAACAAAGAGTAGATCACAAACCCAAGTTGTACACAGAGCTATCGACCACAGAGACAATGGTCGCGACTTTTTCGTGCGCGAAACGATGTTAAAAAAAAATGTGTTCCTTCTAAGACCACTAAGAGCTCCTTTTATCATGTGGTCCTAATGTATGATTAAACTACAACAGAAATTATAGACAAGCTGCAACTACAACGTTGCATTAATTAGATGATTTAGCAAGCTGCCTGCTCCTCGTCGTCCCGACAAAGCTAGAAGTGAAGGTCAGTAATCCGCAAGCTCAACAAAAGGCATTCCGCATTTAAAAAGTAAAAACAGACGAGATCAGTAATTTTCATTCTTCTTTCGAAGCCGTTGTGGCCGTATCACGTACACCTTCCACCACTTCAAGAAGATCAAACCAAATGTGTGTGCTGCAAAACGGACCTGAACATATCGAAGATGAGCTCGAAAAAACCACAAAATTCTTGATGTTGACAACTACTACGACATCATCAGTGAATGTGATGACAAAATTGTAGTATAATTAGTAGACATGATTTTCAAAAAATGTATATAAGGTTATTATGACGAACGAACCATCTACATCTTCTCCTTTGTTCTTGATTGATGCAACACTTTTTCGTTCGCGCGTGATCGGACAACGGTTAATAATTGAGAATTTATTTTCCAACAAAGCAGCATGTGTTGAGGCGAGCAAGCTCAAAATCAAATGTAGAATCTTAAGCTTTTTGTAGCCCACGTCTAGAGAATTCTTTCTACTCATCTTTTTTCTTATCATACTACATCGAGGACTTCTCTGGAGCACTTCATTTACATACACTTATCTTTTTTCTTGATGTACTAGTCCTCGGTCCAGCGGTCGTAGTTTTTCGGCAGCAGGCGCTTTATATCGATTTTCAACTCGGGTTCATTCTTGATGACGAGCATATTGATGAATACACTTAGGGTATTACTTAAGCCGTCGACATTTTTTACCTTGTTCATCTCGTATTAGCCCTTATTCCGGTTCTCGACCCAGTATTTCTTAGAGAGCAAGCGCGACACCTCTTGTTGTTCCGTGAAGCAACGCACTCTTAGCGAGGCAGAAGCAGAGCAGGACTTCGAGCGAAGAAAATCAGCGACAACGACACCACGACCACGTGTAGGTCTAGAAGCAGAACGCCTTCTATTTGATGATATTATAGCCTCTCTGATAGAAGCCAGCCTTCACATGTATTCTTTGTTATTCTAATATGATCCGCTAGAAGAATTTTCTTGAGGTGTGAAGACAAGAAGAATAACAGACTTCAAGTCATATTATTTATTATTAATATTACAACAACTGTATAATAAGTATCGCAAAACAGCTGAATCAAAAACTTTCTTTGCTTGTGGTCTGAGAAAAAAAAGAAACACAATGGCGGCTTTAGACGACTCACACGGTTGTATGACCGACGGGCCAACGTGGCAACGAAGATTCCCTGGTCTTCCTGCTTCAATCACGCTCCATACTGTAATTGGTGGAAGAAAAAATCAGGTAAAAACCGTACATCGTCATGAATCGATGTCAATGTCTTGTCTGTGCTGTAAATTTTTTTTTTTTTTTTTCAATACCATAATATTGATGAAGATCAGTTGTTGTGTTGATGTGTTTCATCCGGTTGAGCAGCTGTCACTCATTTTGCATGGAGACTACAAATCCTTTATCATTATTTTTAACTTTTTTAACATTCTTCTTTAACAAGTTGCATCCGACTTGTATTCGATACTTCCATAACAGGAAGACCGTTTCGTGGTGTGTCCGAAAGTGGTATCACACATGGATAATGTGGCTTTCCTCGGTGTTTTTGATGGTACGGTCGGCGATTTTGCCAGCGATACAGTCAAAGACTTGGTTGTGCCAAACCTCCGCAACAGCTCTCCCTTCAAACAGGTACTACTTGTACTACTTTGATCTTGAATTGATCTTTTTTTACTCTTCTTCAAGTTCTTCAAGAACATCTTTTGAAGATAACTAGGTAAATTTATTCAAAGATCATGAAGCTATATTAGAAAACTGATCTTCATCTTCAATCATGCTCATCATTTTCAGTCTTCGATCTTTTCCAGTTGATCTATTTTTCATCTCTTGTACTCGTAATCGCTGAGAATCTCCATTGTCACTTTACACAGTTGGAAAGCACGTCTGACGAGTGCAGCGAACAGGACACAACAAACCTATTGAAACGGGCGATGCGATTAATGTATCACCGGTCTGATGAGGAATTATTGCGCCGCTGTGGCGAGAATGAGAAACACTATGCCGCTTCCACCAGCGTCACACTACTCCTGTACCACGACTTCATTTGCGTTGGGCACCTCGGCGACTCTCGGATCTGTCTCATCTACCTCACCGATGAAAACCTCTCCTCCTTCCAAGGCACCCCCGCCGTCTCCACACCCACAGATGAAGAAAAGAAAAACGAAAAAAAAGGTACTTTTTATACTTGTTTCAAGTCTACTTTATTCAAGAATCTTGATGCACAAGCTTTCCTAAAGGTCGTACTCATTATAATATACAACCACAGATATTTTCCAGGGGTGGAGGTCCCCCCCCTGTGGATGGAGCGGTGGTGGCGTGCGCGCGCCCTTTTTTTCGCGGTGGTGACATGTAAGGACTCACGGGGGGGAAGGCCTCAACAAAAGGCGGAGCCGGAGGCCCCTGGCGGCTCTCCGCCTGTACCCCACAGGCGTCCCGCCTCTTGGGTCCTATCAGAGGGACGGCCTGCGGGGGAAGAAGGCGGTCGCGAGGCCTGGCCCTTTTGGCCCTCCTGAGAGGCAGCAGGGGCCAAACTCCTCCAGTGAGGAGCCCGCACGCGGGAGGCCTGTAGTGTACATGCAACACGGCAAGGGGTTCAAGCCTTGCCACCTTTGCCGCCTTCGGAAGCCTTCCACCCCCGGCCGTCGGTGCTTGAACGGCCTCAGGGGTTTGGGTTCTGTAGGGTACATACAAGAAGCCGCGAGGGCTCGAAGGTGGGCGTTTGGAGGCCTTCCCGCCCGGCAGTGTCTCGGGGAAAAGGGTCCGCGGCTGGACGCCGTCCTTCCTCAATAGGTTAGATCGGGGGAGAGGCCTTGGCCACCGGAACCTATGTCAGAGGATTCAGCTTCTACTTGTTGTATTTTCATGTCGCTAGAAGTCCTTGTGGTGAAACGAAGGAACATGTGACTTTTTCACCCGATCTTGTTCCTGCTCGTACAAATTTTTCCATCCACCAACGTCTGCACAGATGGGAGCTCTGTACGATATGTTGTGGACCCAGAGTTTGCAGCACCGAACAGCATAAGAAGCGACAGCATTCCAGCGAACAAGGTCGATGATTTGGTCGAAGGAAATTTTGTGACACACGATCACAAGCCGGATCATGCCGAGGAGCGCGGACGCATTGAAGCTTGCGGCGGCAGCGTCGAATACCTCCACAATCATCAGGTACTATATTTATTTACTTGATTGTAGTTCGTGATTGTTCCTTTCGCTCGGACTCCTTGGTGGATCAGAATTCCTATTTTGACGCTGTGCTTCTTGACTTCTTTAGATACATATTGCAATCATGTTGATGACGGGGATCATCTTCTGATCATGTTCTTGCGATCATGCTTATATTAAGACTACAAGAAATGCATCTTCACACGTATCTTGGTCCCGTTTTTAGAGGGAAATGGAGGCCCAAGATGCTGCTGAACCTGAAGATGGGTTGCCCTCTGTCCTAACTATACTTCATCCTGAGTTATCCTTGATATGGTTTTGTTCAAAAGTAGAATCTTCCTCCACCAATCGACAATCACAGAACAAGCCATTTATCCGAGGTGGGGACTTTCAGCAGCGGAAGTTGTTGGGCGAATCACCAATGCAGTTGCAGTACAGCCGGGCCTTCGGCGGCAAGGACTTGAAGCCTTTTGGCTTGATTGGTGACCCGACCGTGAACTGCACCAAGCGGGAGCGACAGTTTCTGGGATTCATACTTGCATCCGACGGCCTGTGGGATGTGATCACAGCAGACCAAGCTGCGCGAATTGCCACCAAGGCCTGGCTGCAGAAGGGGAACCCAAGCGAGGCACTCGTTAACGCCGCACTCCACGGCTCCTGCGACAACATCACGGCCCTCTGCCTCTTCTACGATACGATTGCGGGAGAACGCTAAACCACGACCAAGAAAAATCAACACGATTCATCTTGAAGGAGCTTAATAAAAATCCTTCAGTTCTTCGTTAACAAGATCTATTCTCGCATGGATGATCTTGGAGCGAATAGAGTCGGTCTCAGTTTATTTTTAGCTTTGTTTTTACTTGAGTTGTCGTAGTCGTCTTCAAAACTCGATACTGTAATTACTTGTTAATGATGAGAAATGGTTGTCTATGATGATGTCCTCATCGATCTACATTATTTATTGGTAATCAAGTTCAAGTCGAGTTATTTATTTTCAGGATGTGGATGTCGAATAAATGGTAATAGAGTATGCGAGGGCATAACTCTGTGTCCCCTTTTTTACTTTCATCAAGATCGATATTGAAGTTGTACTTTTAGACTCCCCTTAATGATGATGTTAATGAATTATGAGGCTTCGTTGCTCGTAGTTGTGGAGCACAGGAGAGGCAACTAATTATATACACCGCCAATAATTTTTTGTAAACAATAGAATTGTGACTACAACATGTACAGGATCACACGACTGGCAGAAACCTAATTCCGCCTTCTCCACTTCTAACGAGAAGAAAAAGAAGTACACCTGGTAAACATATACTTTTTAACCCTCCTCATCAACGCCCTCTACTACTTGAAGACACCGCCGACCTCTTCTTGGGGCGACGTGAGCACACCGAGCCACTGCAGAGGGGAAGTTGAGATCCAATGTTAGGGGGGGTCTACAACTCATACGTCTTACTGAATTAGTCTAGTGCTGCTTTTACTCGTTTTATCATGTAATTTGTTCCTCCTGTACATGTATAATTAGTTACAACTTGTTATTTTTGTGATAAGAGGACGTCGATCAGCTTCACCAGTATGGGTATATTTGTCTTCCGTTTGTGTGGCTTAGTGGGGGTAGATAACGTCCTGATCACCTTGGTCTTTGTCGTCCAACGTCCTTATTGGATGAGCCTCATCAAATGCCAAACCGAAGGCCGCCACGATGTTTTTGCCGCAATGAATACATATTTCTAAGGGTTAATGTCAGGCACTTATCTCACCCTTACCACGTTATTTCTAAGAGTCAATAGCTTCATGATCGAGGCCAAAAATTGCCCGGGAAGGGGGATGACATTCAAGACGGATGACACGTCCTGCTCCTGCGTCAACCTTCTTCAGCGACTACCATGACTACTGCAGATTACAAGCAGGGCCAGCCTTTGCTAACTACACGCTGCACTTTTTACTTGCTTGATGTCGTCGTCCAGTCTTCGTCGCCCGGTCGTCATAGTCGACCATGATGAAAGCGACTAATCCTTCACCCTATTGCGAGGCACATCACCTTCGTACAACAGTCTATGAGTAGTTACCTCTACCTAATCTGCAGCTACGACGCACATCGTACATGAAGATAAAGTAAGGTATTACAACTGTGAGACGGACGAGACGCTTGATTGATTCGTTAGCAAGAACTAAAAACAGCTACCCGTTCTTTGTAGTAGACGCAGTGTTGATGTTGTAAGGAAAATGCCAGACCTTGACCTGCAATCACTTCATTGGTGATGAACGTCGAGGCAGAGCAGTAGGAAGCTCGACAGCAAAATTCTCATTTCCGCGGAAATTCCGATGGTCAGCAAGCAACTTGCAAATCCTACAATGTGGAGATGAGGAGCATATAAAATGCTTTCTTTATTGATGGATTCCTGAGGTGAAATTCTGGACTGCTTCGAGTAGCAATCTCGAAGCTTGTATCAAACTGTGTAGAAGAAGAACAATGCACATTCAGCTTGATAAACAAGCAGACTACTGCTTTTACAAAGTGGCCTCATGATTTTTATACATGTCTTAGAAGTGATGAAAAAAAAAAGAAGACTGATGGATGCTGGTGCTGTTGCCCTGTGGTATCTCTTTCGGATTTGGCAGTGGATGCAGCAGCGGCAGCCGTAATCAATACGATCGTTAAGTTTACAGTTTTCTGTGCGCGCTTTCACTTCTCAACATCGTGGCGGCGTTGTTGTATCCATGCTGCGTTGGCAAGTTTCATTTTATTCTCCTAGTGTTAATTGCTAGTCTAGTTCTTCTTCATAATCGTATTTTTTCCCCATCAATTCCTTCGATTCACTACAGAGCATCGTGCTTCGATCAAGGATGCGATCCCGGAAAGTGCCTTCCTTCACTAGGAAGAGCGGTTTTTCCTCGCGATAAAGATAATTAGTGTGTCCGAAGTCCCACTCCAATTGGAGCGTTTTGAGGGCCGGTATTTCTAATTCGTCTTCGTAAGATCCAGGGAGGTTGTTGTAATACGAATAAGGCAAAAATTAGCTAGAATGGTGCTGGAGTACTAGTACAAGTACAGGATGAACGATGAAAAAAAATGCACAACAACTTAAAAAGAAGCTTGTTCGAAATTATTCGTATGTAGGCAAAAGACGACGTTCTTCCCGTATAAACTCAAACTTCTTTTGCATTTGCATCCTTTTCTCTCTCTGATAGAGAGAGGACAAGAAATATATGCATTTCGCAGATATTAATCTCTTTGTGGCCGACCATCAACTTCAAGTACTCGTTAAGACTCTTCTCGCTAGATTTTTGATGATGTGTAGAAGTAGGCATAGATGGAAGACCATGATATCAAATATCTTCTGTCTGATTGTGAGCTGTTGGAGTATCCGTTGTGGGCATACACGGTGGCCCGACGATAGGCGATGCTCCGACGATCGAGATACCCATACAGATACAGAGATCGAAGATGAAATGAAAAATGGTACCACTGATCATGAATTTTTTCCGCAGTTGTTGTAGTGAGTCTGTTAGGTTTTATGAAAACCTTAGGTACTTCTCGGGGAGGTCGTCGGTGCGGAGGCAACCTGATCGATTAATTGACTGATTGCTTGACTTCTCGTAAAAAGCCGCGTAACTAATAATAATATAACTTATTTGTCTTTATTAGATTTCAAGCTACAGCAAATACAAAAGCAAATACGACCGAAGGTGGTTGAGACACTCGTTCAGCATATCAACCATCTTTCCCACTTTCTTCGGAAACTACATGTACATTTTCAAGTAGAAGTGACAAGAAAGAACGTCGAATATCTGCGGTAATATTATCTTTATGTGAAGAAGTCAACAAGATCACGATGTGTATGTGATGATTTGAAAAATTACTGCGCGCTTCTCAGCGCCCGGGTGGCCTCCTGAAGAGTATTTCTGAATAAGAAGATCGAAGATGACACGACGAAGCATCCCGCTGAAAACTTGATGCCTTTTGCTCTTTCTACCCTAGAAGTTCCCGCCTGCGCCTTGAAAGTTGTATACTAATTTAATCACGTCGTGATCAACAACAAGAGCAACACCCTCCTAAAGCGTCGAGTGACACTCCCTACTACTTGAAACCCACTGTCTGGTGACCCCACTTTCTAGAAGAAGATTTTAGATATCTACCTATTTGATAGACCTTTGCTGCTGCAAAGAATTATTACTTTGCGCAAAAAAGGCGACACCGACACATCGACAGCAAATGCGACATCAAGGAAGTAATTTTTATGATCTGATGAATCTATCAACAGATGACTCACAAAAAAAGGAGAACAAAATATCGTCGTTGTAGTAGGACGAATGAAATTCAGGGTGTTCGCAAAAGGACAGCCGGTACTACACAACAAGGCAGCCCACACTTGCGTCTCCTCGCACTAGACAACACCTCCCGAACAGGTAAATGAATGGAGGAATGGCGTGACTTCGTCGAAGTACTTACTCAATCTTAATAAAGATCTTGAGCAGGAGCACGGCTAGTAATACACCAACGTCGTCTACAAGAAAATCTCCGTGTTTCCAACAACACCAACAGTCGGTGGAGAATGTCTAAAGGTGTTGACCTTCTCAGCGGAAAGAACAAGCAGATCCACGGACGTTGGCCGATGAAATCCAATTCCAAAGGGATCCATTTCTAATTGCACTCAAAGAACTTTTGTTGCTCGCTCAGCAGGTCGTCATCTTTTTCGCATTCAATGGACTGCGTTTCTTCTAGAATTGTCCATAAAGAATCAGTTGATGCCAATTGAAGCTAGATGAAACAGAAGCTTATCTGGGATCAGCCTCGAGAGAACTCAGTGAAAGATGCTACTAGAATCATTAGAAGATAATTCAATGTGTGACTTTTTCTTTTTGCGCTCAACTAAGTAGCTACAACATTTATCTTTCGTGTGATCCTAGTACGTTACACTAGAAGTTGTTCCTGCTAGCACTTACATCTTGTCCACTGTACTTCTTGTGATTTTGAGGAAGCAATCATGAATTACTAGATGGTATAGGTATTCGGGGAAAAACGATGACCGCCGCCGCTCCTCCTACTCCTTCTTCCATACGACAGGAACTGCCTAGGTGTAGAAGCAATACGCGGAGCGACTGCGACGTCGACTCTCAATAAGACCTCCATCACCAACAGCAGGCTTCTTCTGGGAGTAGAATCAATTATTTGAAAAACGGAAAGCCAAAGATGCAAGAGAACTCAACCCAAGGGATGTCGGAATTGAGCTCGACAGAAGCCGTACATTATGATCGGCAGCTGCGAGTCTGGGGCGTCGCAGCTCAACAGCGACTCTCTCGCGCATGCTTACTCTTTCTTTCCGTCGACGGCATACAAGTTGAGCTGCTGAAGAACCTCGTTCTCTCAGGCGTTGGCAAGATTCTGTTGGTGGATTTCATTGAAGACGAGTCACCAGGAAATTGTATCTCCACGGGTACTAGGGACGGCGCCATCATGGATACACACACGACATATATCAATGGGAACAATGGCGCTCGCGCTTCGACGAGAACAACAAGAAGAAGTAGAAGTCGATCACGAAATAGGGTCGTGTCGTCTTCTAGAAGTCCTCGTGCATCATCTCCCAAAAAGAATAATGGGACCAGCACCACGCTCACGTCTACAACTAATACCGCGCCCGGAACGACCTCTAACACTTCTCCTGCTTCAGGAGCAGGCGCAGTCCTTGTGACAGAGTTAGATGTTGAGAGCAATTTTTTTCTGGAGCCAAAGGACATATGCAAGCCGAAGATATCCTGTATTGCTGCGGCTGTTGGTGAGCTGAACCCGCTTGTCAAAGTCGAAGTAGTGCGCCTTAATTCAGGAACGCTTGAATCGTCGGTCTCCTTTCAAGCAGCGGACGTAGTTTTCGGCACCATAGGTGGTCGCGGATTGCATTCAACAACTAAGGCATCACGCTCAGAAACTATAATCGACAATTCATTTCTTTTCCAAACTTGTTGATCCTATTATACTTGCGGGTGCTACTATCTTGTATCCTCGAGAGATCTAATTGCGGTAGCGATGACAGTGTAGGTGGAATAGCTCTCAGCGGCTCATGATCAATCTCTATTTTTACGAGACACATGTTGATGTTCTGTTGACCGACTAGACTTACTTGTTAATCGAAATGGGAATATCCGCCTCCCCACTAGTTGTAGTATGCAACTCCTGCAGGTGGATATTACATCCACAAGACAAGACGTACGACATGTTGATAAAGACTAGCTCTAATCTAGGCGATGGCGAGGACAGAACAAAAACCACGGGAGTGAGCTTCTGTGAAAGCTTGTCAGAGCTCTGTGCCAAACACGATACTTCCTTGTTTCTACTCGCCCATAGTGGCGTGTATGGTTTCTGCTTTTCGCGCTTGGCAGATGGATGTTGTGGCGGCCATCCAGCAACGCAACTGGCGTCACCAGGACCGACTTTTGCGGAACTACTGGCACAAGGACAACAGCAGGTCAACGTCAAGAACACAAATACGAAACTACCAGCACACCCTGAGACTAGGATCAAGAACGATCATATTCGGCGGTTTTTCGAAGAGTTTTTCCGAGAGAAAGAACGCAAAGGCGCAGATGAAGACGATCATTTCAGTTATGGAATATTTTTATTTGCCAGCAATAATTAACACTTTGTTTTGTTTCTATGCATACCAAGTTAGACTGTGGCTGCCATTTCTAGTCGTACTCTAGGTATGGCATACTATGATGCTCCTGCTTCAACTTCTGCATTTTCCATAAAGCATCTCTAATTCTATCGATGCTTTCGTCTTCCCGCGCCCCTTGTTACGGTTTCGGCAACACTTGGCGGCGTTATTTCGCAGGAAGTGATTAAGGTGTTAACGGGCAAAGATAAACCCCTGAGGAATTGCGTCTTAGGGGATTTGACGGAAATGCTAGTCATTGTCGAGGACATCGTCGGAGCAGGCCAATCGTGTGACAGGCCCGGTGTTAATCTTAATGCCACCAAGTCGAAGGGACAAGGAAGTGTTTCGTTAACATCAGGCAATCTTAGCAGTGGCGCTGGTGTCGGGATCATGGGTGAAAGACCTACTACAACTGCAAATACAGCAGCGGGAGCCGCACAAGACGCGGATGAAATAGTAATATCTGACTCCGAGAATGAGGATAAGGAGCCAGGTGTAACTACAGAAGAAGCTATTAAAGGAGGTCCAGTAGAGAATAGAGGTGTCAATGGTGCCACGAGTCCAGCCGTAAAAAAGGAAGATGTTGTTGATGTGATCTCTCTGTCAGATTCGGACTGATTTCGTGTTGAAAATCAGGCTTTGTGGTATATTATCATGGTCGTGACGATTCTCGCTACCCCTAGTGTGCAAGAACGCCACGATATCAATGTTTTGTTCACTTCAACATAGCGATTTCCTTTTTTTTGGTAAAGACTTTGATGGGATGTTCAACGTGAGGTCAATGTGTTCCGGTTCCAGACGAGATTCAAAATTAGAGAAACGGGTAGCTTGCGACTGAAGAAAAGGCGCGGTAAGGGCGAATTGTCGTTATCCGTATCCGTAAGATGCAACATAAAATCTCTCCCTCTGTCGTGCCACATTCTGCGTGTGCCGTTTCTGACTTGTTAGCTCTTGTGCGTGGTCAAAACTCTGTCCCAGTCCCTGTCCTCGCATTCCCAACCTTCTATTTTGACTAGGTTGATCTTAATAGAAGATTGATTAGTACCACAACGACAACCACATCCATGTACAAATATGAAATAAGGATCAGCATGATGAATAACTACATTAGGGGGACGAGAGGTGCTGGGAGCTGCAAGCCCGCTACCCGTCGTTTTCCGTTGCGACATGGGAAGTCAGCCTTCAGGCGGTCGCTCTGCCTCGTAAGGCAGGACTCAGTAACAAGAACGATTACGTCTCGAAGCTATTCAGGAGTGGCTAGCGCCGCTTCTTCGAGTTTTCATCGACACCAGCGACCTGATTGTGCGACACCCTCTCCAAATGTCGCCAAGCGGGATGCGAACAGCGGAACAGCCGGAACAACAGCCCCAGCTGCACGTCAAAATACAAGCTCTGGCGGTGCTATGTTCGGAAGCGGTTTAAGCGGAGCGGAGACCGACCAACAGGCTCATATGAAGAACGTATCTTCATCTGCGTCTTCCGTTTCTTTCCCATCAAGTTCATCCGACTTGCATGCGCATTCCTCGCATTCGTATTCATCAGAAGAACAGGCTGCTAGAGGCAGGCCTGCTCAAACAGCAGTTGTATATGCCAACCCCATTTGCAGACAAATGGATGCCCTCATTCTTCAAGCCCCGAGTAGAGATTAAGGCCCTACTGTGTAGTTTTGCATCTCATGATGTTGAGGCTACGTCCTTATAGTCTTCCTTCCTCCTCCTGCACCTGCGACCCCATCTTCGTGTACTTGCTGTAGTATTAGACTCATTAAAAACTACTACTCAGGAGTACTTCTCAATCCACATTTTTCTGCATCAGCTCAACATTTGTACCTGGTGCTAGGAGGTATCTTGAATGGGTCCTCCTCCGAATGCTTTCACCTTGTAGGAGAATCCTCTTTCATCACGATAATGCCACTTGTTGTAATGTTGCTATTGTTCTTTTTCATCCTTACTAAGACTAACATCATCATGACCACCATCAGGAGGTACTACTCAACATCATCATCAAGTCCGGATCAAGGTGAAAACCTCGATCATCTAAACAAAAGACGTCCTCTCCTTGCTGGTATCGCATCGTGGGGTTCTTTTCGTTTACAACCTCGTAACAGCACTCACTCACATCGCAACACTCACCACCTCGGGTAGCAGCACGGACACGAAGAACAAGACGAAGACAGTTATTAAGGCTACAGATTGACTACTTCTTGATCTTGGAGGATATATTCTTGTTCTGCTTATTTCGCTTCAGTTTGATTCTCATCAATAAAAACAAAATCAAAAAAAACCTATATATAAATCAGGAGCAAAAAAAATGAGGACGATAACTATTCACTCACCACCTGCACGTATTAACTTTATATGTTGGCCACCAACGCCATACACATCATTGTTACAACTCGGAGCTTCGAGAAAAAGTACGCGACCATTAGCCTAGTAGAACTACTTGACTCGACTTCGACATGATGAAAGTACACATCGACGTGGATACTGAAAGGGCAGGCGCAGGAGTTCTACTTCTAAGTAGAGTATGCACGGGAGGACGTACGAGTGGAATAGTGCAGTGCATAGTCGTCTTCTGCGCGATGGTCGATTTGAGTTGTTGTTGCGGGACCTGCGCGATCATGTTCACAAGATGGATCCCGAGTCGCTACTGAGCATTCAGGACGCCCTTCGCGCTTTGGATCATAGGCCGTTGGCGCTCTGGAGCCGAATGCTGTCCGTCTTAGGAAATTGGGAAAAGTCGAATCCTAAGCTCGAAGTTGGGGAACTTGGCGGGAGCGCAGAACAAGGTGTAGAAGATGTAGTGCAAGACAATCATGCTATAGACGAAAACGAAGTTGGAGATTATGAAGTCCAACAAGTTGTAGAAGAACGAGATGAACAAGTAGGCTGTAATAAGTCGGACACAACAAGAATATCAACTACATCTTCAAGAGCGCCCGAAGGGGGTGCTTCTGGTGTTCATGCAGCACTAGGCTCATCAGGTGTTAGCACTTCTTCTACTTGCAGAAGTACAAATAGTTTTAGTAGCGCGTCCTCTAGTATAACTTCTTCTGGTACTGCTGCTAAGCCTAGTACGGATGCTCTCTGTGGTGCTCAACATTTATCATCAAGTACATCCGATACGAAATTGAGAGGCGTCCCGCGGTCCACCTCGTCCTCTGCATCTGAGATGGAGGACTACAGCAGCCACGAGAGAGTATGCCGGACACTTCCACCAGGACTTACAGTTCGCGACACGATAAGACTCCTGCACAACTTTCAATGGTGCGGTTTTCACGGAGACAATTATGGTACCACCAGTATGAAATAAGTATATTTTTAATATATAATACTATAAGTAAAAGCATTGGGAGCATCCAAAGGCATAGAAGATTCCCACCTGCAACTTCTTTGAGGCGTTCTCGGAAGATACACTGAAACTAGAAAACGCATTATAGGAAGTTATTGGGGTCGTCTTTACTGGGATCTGTTTCTTGATGCCACTCACTCTCTAAGACAATAACTTCTATCAAAAAGCATCCTCTTTCTTCCTGGTGTCTGCCGCGACGCGACGCGGCGCATCGTGGGCAAACGGGGGCTGCTTCGAGAGTCAAGCGAATGGCAGCAATGATGATGCGCAAGACTTAGCTGATATTGCAGCCTTTTATGGTGCTTTGGAGGTGTATCAATCCTGTTTATTTCGCCATATTGCAACTAGAGTGCAGGAAAAGCTGAAGAACTTCGCAAAGTGCGACAGTGATGTCAACGACAAGAACAACGAGCAGAACTACCTCAGTTTTCACGCAACAAGTAGACATGACAAAGTAGAGCTGCATCATGATCAGAATCGAAGTCGTTCTGCGATGAGAGATGGTGGAACAAGAGGAGCTGTAGCTGGAGGAGCTCCAGCAATAAGCTTGGCCTTCACGCTGGAGCAGGCTTCATCGCTTCTCGATGCCTTTACCCGGCACGCACAGCCGCGTAACTCCGAAACGGTTTGCTGGGCCCTTAGTGAACAGATTGTTAGACCGCACGCAGTCCGACTGATGAACGAACTTGCCGAACTGCGACAGGCTGGACGAGGACAGATGCTTTCTTCCTCTTCGAAAACACCGCAAACAAGTTTCGTCCAAGTGAGAGCCCGCCTCGAGAATCACATACGCCGTGTGCTCCCGTTTTATTTCGTTGCAGTGCGGAGCCTACGAAAACTAGCGTTGTGCGACGCGGTGCTATACACGGCAGTCGTGCGCCTCACCAGCCACGTCGCACGCGTTGACAACCACCGTCTCACGGAAAGCCTTCGAGTCTCTCACGTCTGTTCCTTGCTCGAAGCTGTGGGTTACTTCGGAACGGTCGCTCTGTCGCTACCCCCGACTACTGCGACAGCTGGCGCAACGGTGGAACTAGTACAGTCCCCTTATATTTTATCCACCTGCCCAAGGTCTACACCAGGATCTACTGCCACAACAAGAAGCATATCGGGAATGACTACGGCGCATTGCGTCCTGCCACTAGACAAGGTTTGCAGTGCGAGTTCGTGGTCTGCTGGGTCGACAACTACTAAAATCTTCCATGATCCAAAATTATCAAGTTGCATGTCTGGCGGCGCAGATGTAGCCGTTGTACATCGAGCATTCCAATATGGCATGCTAGGACAAAGAAACAGTGAGGCGACAGAAGAGTCTTGGTCTTTGTACCACGCGGATGACACGCGTGAGTATCGATTGATATGTCGTCGGTTGGTAGACGAGAACGTGGATAAATACGATCTCGTGATGAAAGGGGGCAGTAGACGAGGCAGCGAAGCTGGTCAGCCCAAGAATGTGGCCATCACCAAAACAGATCTTGCCGAAAAACACGAAGACGGAAATTCAGCAGAGATGCAGCGGAAGACAACGAAATTGGAGAATCACGTCTTGCATTCGTCATCCCTTCAGCCAAGTGGTAGAATAAGACGTGATCAGACCAAGAATTGTGCCGCTCCAAATACACACTATGGTTATTATGATCACTTCATCTCTAATGTTAATATGCTATGGGGATAGTTCTTCAAGGAAGTAGTGCTGTATGATTCAATAATAAATTAAAGCTCAGCATTCACTGGTCACTGACTCTGAACGGAAGAGATCCCCTTCAAAGCTCTCCCCTTTCCCCTCGTTTTCCCCTGTCCTCTCAAGGAAGGGGTCGCCTCTTCGATCTCAGTGACCAACTCCGATGACCCTTGAAAGTTGAGCCTTAATTAAAGGGATGCGTGATCTGCATGTGCTTGATGAAGGAGCGCCCGCTAGTAGGATGCGTTGTCGTGGACATCTCTAAAGACGCTTGCCCGCTGCAGTAGAAGAGTTCATTCTGCAACCTTGTCACGCTGTTTTGTTTTCGCCGCTTCTAGTGTACATCGAACGCTGCATTGACACTGTGTGTGAACAGAGCGCGATTGACGTGAGTTTTTTCTTGGCATCCGCGGCGCTCACAACAAGATGTCGCTATTTATTACGCCTCGTCATGCAGAAGGTGGGGCTAGGAACTGTTTGGGAACGGCAAAAACGCAAGGTTTTCACCTTGTGGATTGCACAGTTGATGCATTTCCCACACTTGGACACAGAGCTTCCGGGTCGCTGCCTCACTGAGGGATTGAGGCACTGGACACTATTTCGAACCAACAATCAAGAAATAGCAGAGGAATTCGCTACAGTTCTGAAAAGAGTTCTACAGGACCACCTGGCGGGTAATTATTCAAATGCGATTGGCGCTTCCAATGTTCCGATTGAAACACAACGACCCACGGGCACAAAAAGGGAAGAAAAAGGAGAACAAGAACGTGGTAGAAACAAACCGTCCGACGCGAGCGAAAGTTCTCTGGCCACATTGGATCGCTTTCTCGGTCGCTACGATGAGATCGTTCTCGATTACTATTTTGAGGATTCGCCGTACAGCGTTGATATCTTCTTGCCGCGGCAAAGGCTGGGTATAGTTTTCACGAACGAGGTAAGTAGAAATTCCATCGCAGGACGTCGCTTGCCCGTCGGCGGTCATCGACTCCAAGCACTTCATATCGCGGATCGCGGTTACAAGTTGGCCGTTGTCTCCACGTCTCAGTGGAGAGCACTATGTGAAAATGAAGAGCCTGAAGTTGGAGATTCCGGTTTCGTGCTTGAGAATTTTGTCCGCTGTCTCGCGCGCGACTGGAACATCGTATCCTAGAACCTGAACGGGAAAGCGCGCTGGTGCTGGAGGTAAGTAGGATGCTGGTATGGAGGCAGATTCAAATCATTCCACGCGCTCGCGTCTTTCATGTTCCTGTTCCTCTGAGCAAAAAACGCACAAAATCTAATGACCTTGTTCTTACCAAAAACTTCATGCTACATATCAGTTCATGGAAGAAGATACGCTTTTATTATCATTGATACGCAGAACTATCGATCCTGTTTTTCCATCGTTCTCCGTGTTTTGGCATACACCAGGTGGTCGCAGCATCGCAGTGGAACTATGTATTTATAATTAGAATGCTATTGCCTCTGTCATTGATATATGTGCATAGACTCGACCGTTTGTCTACTTGCATGACGACAATGAAAGCAATGCCAATCGCTTTAGTGAAAGGAATTTAAAGGAAAAGAAATAATGCAGATGATCATAAAATTCTGTCGATCGGCGTGTGTTGGAGATTCTTGACGATCAGCACTGTTGAGCTGTTCTAATGGGAATAGGACACGGACCACAAAGCAAAATTCTAAAGGATCGCTTTTAATATGCAGCAGCGATCATGTGCCTGTGCGACAATTCGGAAATAAATCATTTGGAGGTTCCTGCATGCTTCTATGCCTCCAGTAGGAGGTTTTAGTGTTCTTATTCCGTTGATGAGCCGCATTTTTTGCTGCTTCATCATAATCGAAGATTCCTGCTTAATGTGAGGTCGCCTTGCAGAATATCATCAATGAATGTTGAAACTGTCGCACAGTGATCATGAATGATGACAGGCTTGATGAAGTCCTGCTCCTGCTCGGCTTTTCCTTGGCAAATAATCACAGGACAGAGTTGTCATTTCTCGGGTCAATGATCCGCTGTGCTCGTGCAAATAAGAAGAATCATCGTAGATGTTCATGTTCATCATGACTTCGAAGAAGGATCATTTTGCAATAATAAACAGGACGAGGAGGTGGTGGATGAGATGAAGTCTAATCGTGTCTGTCTATGATTCATTCTAGTTTCGGGTACTGAGCAGCAGTTCGTCTTTCAGCCCATGGTTCAACTTCAATATCAATGTTCTTGATATTTTTGAAAAATCCTCGCTGCATCATTCTGCGCTGCTGCGAGCAGTCGAGGCTTTCTAATCTAGTGATCACTTTTTCTATGGAGATGGCAAAAGAAGCTAGTATTAAACTACTACGTCTTCGTCACTTCTGGTAAGACAAGTAGATTTGACTACATAAGTATTTCAACTAGAAGACCCACACTTACACATGAGCGTTTTTTAGAGTGTGACTAGACTTTACGCTTCATAGACATATCGTCCGATAGTTGACATAGGGGGTATTTCAACTTCATCAACTAGAACAGCCACGTCGTCGACGCCTGCACCGATAAATACGAATTAGTAGAATTATGGCTCGTCTCGTTTCCGCTGCTGATGTACGTTCCTCGTGGGCTGCTGATTTGCGATCATCGCGGACGACGACGTCAAAGACACGAGATGTAGACAAGCGCTACGAGGCGAGTGAGAAGACATCACGCGCTTCATTGCTACTAGTACCTGGACTGCCTGCGCCAGGCTACTCGGGTATCCCACGTCGGCGCACCACTGCTGACAGTGCGAGTGAAGAGAATAGCAGTGTGGACGACGGTTTTGCGGAAGTGGACCGTGATTTTCGCGCTCCTCCACAGCCGTCGAAGGTCGTGCTGACGAGAGCAGCACCTCCAAACCAACGAGAGCGAGACGACGAGGTCGGAGAAGAGGAAGAACAGGAAGGATCTGCGAAAAGCTCGTCATCTGGAGCAGCAGTAGAACTCGGTGCAGGAGTGTCTCGTCGACACAATCAAGATAGAGGACCTGCGACTGTGAATGAAGAAAAGGATTATGATGATAGTCCTCGGACAAGGAACGAAAACGATGGTGCGCATCGCCGAGCGCGACGAATCCAGCACAACAGGGAAAGAGGGCACTGTGAAGGTCAGGCTTCCAGTAGCGAAGACGATGGCAATAGAAAAGCCAGCGTTGCGTCATCAAGTGGTGGACATCCAGAAGAAATCGAAAGCGACGACGAGGTTGACGAACAAGCAATCCGGCCTAGTGCGAGAACGCGGAATGAGAAGGCCCCCAAGATACAAAGCGCGTCGAGAAAACAAGTGCGGCACCGACGACATAGCATCGACAGCGTCGACAGTGTTGCAAGCGCCGTCAGTTCTCCCGCGAACGAAAATGAAGAAGCCTCGGGTAGCGGCGAAGAAAAAAACGCTAGGAGCGACGCTTCCGCAGTTTCCGTAGCATCAATTGGTGAGAATTCATCTGGCGAAGAGGAAGAGCAACGCCCGGCGCAGCGAATTGGTGAAAAACAAAATCGCTCCCAGATGAGAGCAAGAGGTGAGAACACAGCTACAAAAAGTTCGAGCCGACAAAAGACAGACGCGAGAGCCAGAAACTACAAGCAGCCAGAGCTATTGCGGCGCCAGCAGCGTCAGGAGAACTGGCATGATCGAAGAATGCCCGCGAGGTTCGTTGCCGCTGAGTCCTCTGACGAGGAGTCTGTGCCGTCTCTAGGAGCAGGACGCAGCGAGGCGGCTGCGGACCGAGAAAGAGACGGCACTACTGCAAGGCGCGACAGCAGAAGATCACACCGCCGTGTCTTGAATTCTAGAAATGATCGTGATCATCATCACTTTAATAGAAATTCCAAGCCGATTCCAGGACAAAGAGTTGTAAGAGATGATGATCCTCGCTTTCCGAGTGGACGGGGCTTCAACTTCGATAGGTCGTCCCGACAACGAGGTCGTGATGGGCGCGGCGATGGTGCTGGTCTTCACAGACGAATGGACCAAGAGAGTCGTAAATTTGAGCTAGAGGATGCTGTGGGAGATGATCATGCGAAGGACTCTCCTGAGAAAGATAAAGGGAATGCAGATGTTGAAGCTAAAGACGCTGCGAACCGTCGAGACGAAAGCAGAGCTAGAGACGCGAACGATAAAGGAGAAGGCAAAGAGCGAAAGAAGAAGATCTCGACTCCTCCCAAGATTTCGGATAGTGTGAAATCTTCCGCAGACGAAGAGAAGAGCGACGAAAATGAAGCACCGGAAAACGCTGGGATGGAAGCGGGCTCAAACAACGTGGACGTCGGTGCAGAAGTCCCTGACGAGAAATCTCCGCGTCGATCATCTCAAGCGGAAGCCGCGGAGGAGTCTGGCGACGAGCAGGCGGATCCCACGAGCAAAGCGGAGCCGATTCATGAGAGTGATGACGATCGTGTCGATTCCCGCTGCCCCCGGTCTAGCGAGAAAACCACACAGAAGAAGGAAGAAGCTGACGGCAAGAACGTGGGGACAGCGCGTCGCAGGTCTACGCCGCGCGAGGCTTCCAGCTCACGAGCGAGAGACACGAAGAGTAGAAGGGACGATGAGGAAAAGGAAAAATTACCTTCAGGGTCTCGTGCTGCCAGAAGAAAAAGAGACCCTAGTCAGAACCGAAGCAGAAGCAGAGCTGCGAGCCCTCGACGAGGTGTCGGACGCGGACAGAACGACAAGAGAGCAGACTCACGTACTTCCAGGGTCAAGGGTGGCCATTCTCAAAGCAACGGGCAGCGCGAGAAACGCGATCTCAGTCGGCGCCGCCGCGATGGTGCGCGAGCTCAGAAAGACGAATCTGGGGCAGCCGATCGAAGTAGAGGCCGCAACAAGAAGACATCAAGGCCGCGGGAGCAAGACAGGCATAGTGCATCGAGAAATGCAAAGCGCAATAAACGGTCTCCATCCAACGGCGCAAGACGTGAGAAGCGATCCTTTCCACGAGGACACCGCCGAGGCAAGCGCTCACCGTCACATCAGAGGAAGCGGTCCCCATCACGCGAACGTAAGGTGGAGCGGTCGCTGTCTCCACGACTGGATGAGAAGAAGCGATCCGTATCGAAACGTCGCGACTTTGATAGGCGTTCTTCTTCTTCGTCACGACCACGAGGAGCACAAAAAGACAAGCGATCAGCGTCACATCGACGGAACAAAAGGCCATCGTCGGTTAAGAGAGACACTGCAGGAGGTTCTCGCTTTCGTACGCGACGGGGCAGGAGAAGCGATATCGAAAAGAAAGCTGGTAAAGAGGCAGAGAGCGATGCTAAAGTGAAGACTGATGAAGAACGCAAAAGAGCAGATGATGATGATGATCCCTCTCTTCATCTTGGAGAAGGAGACTCCGCCAGAATGAATCTCGTGGATCGCAATGCTTCCGGCGAGCCGAACATTGAGGAGTCGAACAACAAGATGAGCAGCTTATTTGTGATGGACTTCAGCAACGCCAAGCCTTACAAATACAATCCTGGAAACATGAATCTCGTCACAGAGGGTGGTAATCCATCTGTCACGGCTCGATCGAGCCCGGCTTTATTGGGCACAGACAAAGCGGAGAATCTTCACGAAGTAGCAAGTGCTGCTAATGGTGAAGTGCCTGCCTCGTCTGCTGCTCGGCCTACAAGGGCTACCGCGACTCCTGGAGGCCAGGACGCTGAGCACAATGCTGAGGACTCTGCAGTACCGCTGTCTCGTCTAAAAAGATTGGCGCAGCGCTCAGTGTCCCCCGATCGGCGCAGCGACGCGAAGTCACGCGGCAGAGCAGAAAAGTCAGAGGGCCGCAGTCCGAGCCGAACTAAACAAAAGATAAAAGCTAGCTCACGGGCTGGCCCTTCTTTGGGTCGAAATCGCCATTCTCGTGATTCACGACGAGGACATAGACTGCGTCGCAAACGATCAGACGAGCGAAAAAGTACAACTAGAGACAGAAGAGATGACAGAGGTCGTAGAAGGAGCAGAGCGAGAAGTCGCGCAGGTGCTCGATCTCGATCCGCTTCACGCGCACGTGAGAACAGGAGGCCTGAAAAAAGAGGAGGATCCAGTCGCAGACGTCGTGCGGCGAAAAGATCGAGAAGCTGGAAAAAGTCTAGAAGCCGTGCCGGGTCGTCAAGGAGATCTTCCGTGGCCAACAAAAGACGCCGAGAAGACAAGAGCAGAAAAAAAGCGAGCAGCTGTGACCGTGAGCGCAGCAGCAACAACGAAAAGGCCGCAACCTCTTCGAAAGAGAGAACAATTTCCAAACAGAGGAGAAAAGCGAGTAGAAGTCGCGAGGACCACGGCGCGTCTACCACGAGCAGGGGCGACGCGAAGAAAAGGCGCCGCTCCACTGGAAAGCGCTCCGTTCTGCCACCGGGTCTAGGAAACGTTGATCCAGACGTGTATGCCTCTGTCATCGACTCAACTGTGGCAGACGAGGTGGACGAACGCGACTCGAGCATTGCTGTGGAGCTGCTCGATGGGATCACATCAGCGAAGAGTATGGCAAAGAAGGAACGCGCCCAGCGTCGCAACAGACTATTCGAGCATCTGGTGGACCAGAGCACACTCGGTAGGGAAAAGAAAAAAAGCGTCTTCCAGGATGCAAAGTATCCCCTTCTTATTTGCTTTGTTTACAACCTATTGAAGTTGGTGCTCTATACCTTCTTCTCGAACCAACAGACTGCCTTGTTATCGTCCAATTCTGTTTTTATATATAAGTAGTACTCAGAAGTATTTCCATTTTTCAGCTGGTGAAAGTCGTGACGAGTCTGTTGTGATGAAGTCGTGTATTCGGTTCTTATATATATCATTCACTGTGATATTTAGCTCTGTAAGTAATATTTTTGCCTACTCGTAGTCGTAACGAGTCGTTGTACAACTAGGACGCCGCGGCGAAGTAAGTAGAAGACGTCGGGATGTAAGGGAAATACCGTTGTTATTGTTGTTGTAGAAGTAAAAGTGAATCTAAATGTAAAGTACTCATCGGTATCAGCATCTTCAGGTCTGCCGCAAAGGGCGTTGCTGGAAGCCTGAAGCCATTGTCAACCGTGATTTTGGGACCGGGCAGCAAGAAGGTGGCAGATTCTATGAAGAAAGCGCTAGCAGATGGCTGGCTTCGAGACGGCGTTCCTGATCCTCTAGACAGTAACATTCGCATCAGGGTGCCGGCTAACCGTACGGATTTCGTCGCAGAGCTGTTGAACATCGACAAGTGCAGTTGGAAGAAGGCCTTTTTCGAGCAGACACGGTGCAAGACGTTTCTCGTGGGAGATAGCGCGCAACATGCGAAGAACAAAAAGAATGCTAAAATATTGGATTCCGGCGATGCAAGTGGAGATAGAAAAAGCGCTAAAAGGAGTTCTGACAGGAGAAGCCGGTCCATTTCAAATCGACATGGTCGAGTGGGCAGAGGTCGTGGTAGAACAAGTCGTAGTCGCAGTCGACGAGGTGGTAGACGAGCTGGTGGCGAAGATGATAACGAGGAGGACAGCAGGGACGAGGCCGCGACGCTAGTTGTGCAGGGCGCAAGCTGTGAGGAGCTGCGAAAACGAATCGACGACATTCTCGAGCTTGACGAGCGCGGCCGCCGAGATCTTATAGCCGGTCATCCACCGGTCAGTGTGGAGGCAGCATCTAGACGAGACCAGAAATCTTCGGGTCCTTTTGTTCAGGTGCTTGCAACTGAGAAAGCGGGAGCATCGCTTGCGGATATCAATGCAGCTGGTGGTCTACAACGTAATGGCGTAAATGGTGCATCGAACAAAAATGTTGGTACTAGTACTGCCAACAACATGTTGTTGATGAATGGAAGCACTGCTTCTGTAACAGCTGGTGTGGTGACCAATAAAGGCAACAGCGCTGGCGTTCTCATACCTGGTACTGTAGTGGTTCCTCCGTCCTCGCACGGTGCGGGTGTCGTGCAGCGCACTGCGGTCTTGGGCGGAGACGCGCGGGACAAAGTGAAGTGTCACGAATCGGTGGCCTTTTTCCTGAAGACGAGCGAGCACGCGCAGATTTTTGAGCGGCACTGCAACGTCGCGGTTCAGTGCTCGCCGAGCGAGAAGGACGTCGTCTTCATTAGCGGTACCGCTGAGACGAAGGCCAATGCCTTGAATGTGCTGAAGCGTGCGATCATGCACGCGCAGTGGGGTTCTTCTACACTGCGTTTGAAGCAACTGTTCGCTCCACGGCAGGAGCAAAAGAAAGACTCTATTTGTTGCCGGCTCACTCCCATGACCAACGCGCTTCCCGCCCACGAGAGTATGCTATCCGCGGCGAAGAGCCGGATCAAAGTTGGCAAGGACAAAGAGAAAGTCGACCTGGTTTAAGGCTCGTCCTCCTAGTTTTCGTTCATATCCCATGGCCACCATGTGGGTGTGGACATGGTCCACATCCTAGGCAGTGCTGGAAAACAAATTTTTCCACCTGTAGATATTCAAAGACGAGCCTCGAAGGGAACTAACCCTCCCCTTCGAGGTGAAGTCCAGCACTGTCCTTTGGGTAAAACACATCATGATGTGGATATTAATGAAGAACTACGACTAGTACCTCGTCTAATTTGTGCTCGAACATCCGGCCATCAGTCGCCAGCATTGCATTATCGACTACGATCATCGCAAAGGAGGTGTTTTCATCCATGATTACTCGACCAACGGAACCTACCTCAACAGCAAACGGCTGCCACCAAAGGGAAAGCAGCGTGTTTTTCTCTGCCACGGTGACGAAATCCTATTCAAAAATGAGCAGGGAAAGGACGAGGAATTCGGCTACATTGTAAACCTCGTAGCAACCGGATGATAAGGAACCCGTTCCCAACTATGACTAGCGTTTTCTTGTTCTCGTAGCAGCGGGACGACTCCAGAAACCTGCTCGCGACTAGGGCCAACGGCTGTAGTTCTTGTTGTTATGTATTAGCTAACGTCGATCCGCAAATCAGTTACTTGATGAGTAAGTACAAGAACCCATACACACACTGTACTAGACGAGGCTACAAGATTCATTGATGTAGCCCAGTGGCAGTTGTAGCGCTGACATACCCCATCCCCCTCCTAAATTTAACACGCCCGGCCCGGGTTTGTGAGTTTTTCGTTTATAATATGAAAAACGCCGTGTCTCCGCAGGTTACAACGTGAAAGTGTAGACGTTGAATAAAACGTCTGCTACAGATAGACACCTACTGCTATATAGGAGGCTCCATGACATGACATGACATGACATGACATGACATGACATGACATGACATGACATGACATGACATGACATGACACGATGATGTCTTCAAGTTGTAAACTCGACACGCAAGGAAATTTTTGCTGTGTTAGTGTTTATCATGTTCTCGAGCACAGAGAATTCTTGCAAAATTACGTCGAGCTGCTCGTAAATTCTCAACAAGATCAACCTCTGATCAAGATCATGTTGATCATTGCTACTTCCATCGGTTATCATTTCTGATGCTGATCTATATGTCTACAAGTAGACGGATTGCATCTTCGCGTCTGTCATAGGTCGCTTGCGCCAGAGGTATGCATAAGTGGAGAGAGAATGGAAACACAACATGAGAACATTTTACGAGTACTGGTGCATAACGACGTTGACCTTGTCTTCATTAACATTATCGGTGTTCCTCTAAGCCCGCCTTTGATGTCCGGGAAGACTTTATTCTGTGGGACCGTGTAGTAATTCTACTAGTGCCTAAAGCGTGTTCGTTCCATCCACAAATTCTCATCGCAACAGATACATCATGATCATTATCATGAAAAGTACTGAGGCGAACGAAGTAGATGACCACGACGAGTGTGCCCAATAAAGCAAACAAAATTTAGATTTAGATTTTTTATCTCGATTATAACACCTCAAGCTCAAAAAACGAATAGTACGATCACGAAACACATTGCCACTGGAGGGTCTTACGTTATTAATGAACGAGGTAAAGTATTTTCCCATTTTAAACATCGAAATTATAATTCGAAGTAGTTAGCAACTCCTTGATGAAGTATTAATGCCCTATAGTTATACTAGTACACCGACTTGTTCGAAATAACATCATTGCGACTTTGATTCCACGTAAAGAACAATGGCAAAGTCAATATGGAGTTGCTGCAACTTGCTCTCGATGTGGTCGTCGGTCCCGCTAGGCGGAGTGTTCCGCTGGTTTTACCTGATCATCATTCTTCTTGCTGTGTTGGCAGGTCCTGGACAAATCACAGGAGTCATCGCTCTTCGGTTGCAGCAGCGCAGCCCCCGGTTGATAGGACGAGGCGATCTACAAAGGGACGATCCAGTAAGTTTTCGTGCGGAATTTTACAGGTGGTCGGTTTCCGAGGAAAAATATGCTTTTTTGCCGACGAAGTATGGCAACTTGTTCTATCGCTACCAGCATTTTGACCCCTCTCCTACGACACCAGTTACTCGACATAGCAAGAACCGAAGCGAGGACCCTGCTTCATACGCAACAAGTTTAAGTCGAAGTACAGCAGAAACAGGCTGGGGCGTGGATCATACACGACCGGCGTCTGGAGGCGCGACAGAAAGAGCAGGTTGCAGGCTGGGTACATCGGTTCAGGTAGCAACGCCGCTAAAAAACGTATCAAGTTCTCTGGTTGAAGAGCTCCAAGTCGGGGAAGATAGCAGAAACCCAGAATGCGGAGGAGATTCTGGCCTGATGGATCCTTCCAATAGCGCGTCCATAACGCAGTCAGGCGTATCGACACCGGTGACATCATCTAGTCGCCAATATCCTGCAACCGCAGCTACACCAGCTAACCCTACCAACCCTGAAACCGTTGCTGACAGTTTTAAGTTTCGAGCCACGCCAGCTGCACCAGATTTCTTAAACGCGACCACGGGACTCACAAGTAATGACCTGCTGAGAACACTGGCTGGATCGGTCTCTCGAAATGTACTTCCGCATGTGCATGAGCCAGAAACGTATAATTTTTCAACAATAGTACCAACCGTCTCGGTACCCTCTGGCTCCTCTCCTTGCGGCTCCTGTCCTTGCGGTGGGATGAATGCGTCTATGATGTATGCGCCGGCGTATGAAAATTCTCGCAACATGCAACATCAGTCTCACGACGGTCTTCCGCACGACGTGGTTCAAACCGTTCCGCATAAGACTGCTCCAAAAGCGGCGGCCACAGCACCAACGACTCAGCTTCGTCACGGAGCAGCTACTGTAAAGATTCCCTCGTTGGACCTCTCTGGTACGGCGACAGTGTTTGGAGAAGGAGCAGGAGCTGCCGCGAATCATGCAACAAACACAGCAAGAAGTGCAGCGGCTACCGCAGGTAATGGAGGAACGACTTTGCGTCTCCCTGATGGCGCCCTAGGAATAGAGGTAACTCCAGGTGGATGGGGACGAGGAGCAAAGGAACTAGTGTCTGCTGAAGTTGTGGATGAGATTCGACTTGACAGCAGAACCGGTCGCTTCCAGTTACCGGATGGTGGTCGGCTCATTCTTTTCTTCACCCACGGCAATCCTGGCAGCAGCGAGGAGTTTGACCAGGTGATTAACGAATTCGTCTCGTCATATCGAAATTTCAAGGAATCAGCAGATCTTCCCTTCACATGGATCGCGATGGACCTTTTTGGACAAGGCAGAAGTCAAAACGCGAAGCTTTCTGGCGACGAAGATTGAGGCTACTAGTCACTCACAGTCACTATCTTACTTGAGGTGCGTGTGAGGTATCTCTAGGTATCCCGATGGGCTTTCGCGTCGCTCTTGAACAGTAAACCAACGGGGAAAGAACTCGAGTAATCACTCGCCGAGATGGGATAGTGACTGGCTGGCGTTAAGAAGCGTATGTTTCAGTCGAAAAGCATGCTGAATTCGCAAAAGAGATCGCAAAAATAGTTTTAAAGGACAGTGAAACAAAAAAGGTCAAGACGACCTGCTCGTCGGCGGCCGCTGCAGGTTATAGTTGTTCTGCCATGATGACCATGACAAGTAGTGCACATCCTTCGACATCAAGAACACCGTCTTCAAAGCTGCTGCGACAAAGGCGAGGCCGCTCCGCGACGACGAATCCTGCCATCACAAGCTGCACCCCGCCAAATCAAAGGCACGCTCACTCGTCTAGCCCTCTGTGCGCTATGATGAAGTCTACGTGTAATTATCACGATTACAACACCTCCACATATAATCATCCTGCTGAGAGGAACTACATGCAGACAGCTGCGAACAAGCAAGACGAGGACAGTTTTTCCTCTCCTCAATCCACAGCTGGAGGTGGAATGACAACGGGAAAAACCACCGCGGCGACTACGGAAGTAGATTTCTGCGGTACTACAACTGGGGGAGGTGTTTCCCATAATTATCATGAAGCTGATCCCGTCACAGGCCAAGGCATCTTTCGATCTTCTGGACCTGGATGCACTGCTGGTGTAACAAGTGGGCAGAATCTATATTCTCCGTTGGCAAATCATGAAGATAAAGCTGAATTAGGACCAGGATCATGGCTGAATGATGTCGCTGATTCGACCCCAGGCAGTGCGCTTTTCAGTTTCAGCGCAACAACCATGCATTCTGCTCAGGGGGGACCCGCTATAGACCACCGTCCTTTGCGCGGGTTCGTCATCCCAATATTAAGGCAATTGCTTTTATTCCTCAGAAAGATGACAATTCAACGAGACATTAGATTCAGAAGGATTCGAATTCACAGACATTAGAGGCAGCCTGCTAGTAAGTTGCATCGCTTGATGCGACGCAGGCAAAAACTGGGTAGTATCCTACTCTGTGTCAGCGTCTATCTCTGTCTCTAGCAGCAAAGGAAGATGGCTTGAGTTCTAACAACAAAGCTGCGTAGAAGATGTTCATTATGAACGTCTCGCCATTATATTTAGAGCAAACACATGAATTTGAATAGACGAAAAAGGACTGGTAGGGTGGTTTTTTACGAGAGATGAAGCAAGAAGGGCGCTCCTCTAACCACAGGCTCGCTGACTGGGACAGGTGTGGCACTCTCGCTAGCCTATCATTATGCGCAGGTCTTTAGTCACTATATTTCTGATGATGGTGTAAATCTATCGTGAGTGGAACTTGTCAAAGTGACCACTTATTTTAAATTCCAGTGGGGTCGTCTCACTGGAAGAACCACAACGAGGGTCGCGAAGATGACAAGCTAGCCTCTTGTGCTCTAATTGCAGCTATTGATTGGAAGGACATCTGAGCAGGTCCCTCTTAGCGCGCGTAAGCTATTGCGGAGCGCGAATGAGGTGGAACTCGAACTATTCACTACTGTGCTGCACGCACCTGTGTACTACATGAGCACGCGAATACGAGAAGCAGTGGAAGATCATGCAAGCTCGTCTCGTGATTGGACACCTGATCGGAAGTTACGGATCTTCATACTCAAGGCAACTTACTGCAATATTAATGGGTAGTTAAGATTGAGCAATTTAGTGCAGGGGTGAGTTCACTTTACGGCCTACAATCTAATCCTATCATCATATTGATTTTGATGGGTAGTTAATCTGATGTTCATCTTCATGATCCAGTTGCAGTTGGCGGCTCATGGTACATTGTAGTTGTGAACAAGACGAAAAAAAGCATTGAGATTTTGATTTTATATTCTCGTCCAGATGATTGTTGTAGATCATGTGATGATGATACTCATCGATCCCCTTCTTGTCGTCTCATGATCTTGTTGATTACATATGTCTTAGTTGAAGTTGTAAAGGTAAAAAAGCTGATAATTCAGGTTCAGACTCAGGCTGCAGTTCATCTTGTGTGATAATTGTAGTGAACTTCAGAGTCATAGAAGGCGAGAAGTCCAAGCGCTCTAAGAGTTGGGGACTTTCTGATGAGAATGTGGAAGAATCCGAGTTACCTGCCCAATCCCCAACACCCGCTATCGGACGAGATTCGCACAACAGCGATGAGGGATATGCTTCGTGCCGCAAAAACGCAGTGGCAAGCTGTCGCGGCACATTTGGTACTTGATCGCGACCTTTTGAATTCTACACATGCTGGAGGAGCAAGGGCTGCTGTTAAGAACTCTACTTCTTCGAGACAAGTCATCTCCTGTTCGAGCAATTTATCTTTGTCTCATCCATATTACTAAACTTCAGCAGAAAAAGGAGCAACATATAAAGATATAAACCGTGCGAGAGGGATTAATAAATAACAATAAATGCTTTTGGAAAATCAAAATTTTTCATTTTCTCGTTACTTTTGAATACAACCAGGTGTACCAGGAAAAGCATTTTTTGTATCATTTGACTGCTGTGAGCAGGCTTGCGGAAACGAGTGGTCAAGGCAATGCTTGCGTTATCTGGGGTGACCACATGCTTCACGATCCTTTCTGGGCTAAAAATTGGATGATTCAAGAAAGCGCTCAGCTCATCTCATCGACTTCACGCACGGAACCAATACTGATCCTTACGGACTCGGACCACGAATATTGCAGATGTATTTTTTATAAAACCGATTACAAAGAATAAGAAATTTTTTGTCAACTTTTCAACAACTATAAAACTAGCCTCCAACAGCAGCACAAGCTTCGCCCGGCTCCAAATTCTTCGCCCAATTCTTCTTCGCCCACGGGCTACAGCTAGAGACAGCCTACGGGCTGGGTAGTGCACCTCGATGAATTGACTACGGCGCGATTGCTGGCACTCACATAATTAGCACTCACGTACTTAGCCACGTCGATCCAGGGGAAGGCCAGCGGGATGCTTTCGGTTTTTTATTGAACCGCCGGGGGGGTCAGGCAAATCCTTCAGAATCTGCAAAACCCCCACAGCAGTCCAACAAAAAGCTGGAAGAGAACCACCCGACACGCATAAGGACCCGCAGGGCCCAACGCCTACAGCCGGCCCGCGGTGGCAGGCAAGAGCGGGGGCAGGGGGGCCTTGACGGGCGAAGAAGAAAAAGCAACGCATGGCGTGGCCGCGCTGGCTGGGTCTTTCTGCGTGCAACAGTTGCGGCTCTCTCTTTCGTCTTTCTTCGGTCAGAGAGGCACCGCTTGCCGGAGGGGTGTCAGCCTTTCGGTCTTCGGAAGGCTGACGTCTTTCGTCAGACCGACGCCCTTCGTCAGGCCGTCTGTCTTTCTCTTATCGTCAGGCCGGCACCTTTCGTCAGGGCGACACCTTTCGTCTGGCCGACGTCCTTCGTCAGGCTGATGGCGTTTCGAGTCGTCGGCCAGATGTCTTTCGTCAGACTTCTATCCCCAATTTGCGTCCCTACCCCCGTCGGGAATTTTTCCGGCTTCTTTTCTGCGAGTAAGTATGCCCGGGGCCTTTTTGTAAGCTTCCGCAAGAAAACGGTCGGGGACTATCGCGGCTGGAGCTGGAGGGGAAAGAGCGAGAGACTGTAGGTAAGGACCTCGAGGAAGATGCGGACAAATCTCCGGCGGCGAGGAGTTGTGGCGGTTATCAGTGGGGTGATTAATAAAATAGATGAATAAAATTAATCATGTAGATCAATAGCATACTTTTTGCAAGACTATCAGTATCAATTATATTATAATTCTATTATTTATTTGCATACCTAACAAACTATGGCTATGCATAATCCTCACTTCCATGCAACTGTTGATTTTTTGTTTCCAACAATATGAAAATGAATAAGAGCTCTAAATTCTCCGGTGGAACGGAAGCGAGCTTAAGTGAGGAGCCTCTACTTGCGGCACTGGCTATTCTCGGCCATATCGGCAAGCGCTTGGAGCACTCCGCGGCACTGAATATCCGAAAGAAGAATAAGTGACTTTGTGGCATCAACCGCTACAAGGAAAGTAGCTTTGTCGTGGACAGTGAAGTATACCTATCGGAGATGCGCTGGCGATGAAAAGAATCAATCAGAATCGTGTTTCGACGCAGGCCCATGCCGTATGATGGCGAGCGAGATCACTTGGGCTGTCCCGTATGTGTGCTATTCTTGACTTAGCGATTCTATAGATACATCACAGTCAATAACTTGCACTTCAACTTCCACTATGTTAAGAATTTAACTACCAGTATGTTGAGAATTTAGATGATCATGGTTCCGCACTCCTGGCACATTGATGTGCTAGTGCAACCAATTTTGTTCTATTGAACGTCGTTCGCCTCGGTCGAATCCGACACTTGAATCCGTCTGCAAAAAACACCATGATGAAGAACACCACGTGAGTGATCTGTTTCCACCTCTTTGTGATCGCACATCAGCGACTGATCGACGTGAAAAAGAATAATCAAGAGCAACCTCATCTTGGAAATTCATGGATCAGCGGAAGGCTATTCTGGAGACACTCATCTTGTGTGACGTCTTGGTGATTGTTCCGGGTAAGTACTCGTTGCTGCATCGTTTGCACATCTATTCCTGCTGCATTGACTTCACGATGCTGGAATAGCTGCAATAAACAATGATTCCGGCATTTCCAGTTTAGTTCTAGTTGAGTTGAGCGAAAGTCATGCTCGTGTTGACCTACTGAAATTGATGTTGAAGTAGTCTGCACTGAACTTTGTGCGAGATAAATTGTATTGTATTGTAGACGACGCTTGTCGGTGTTCCATGAAGATGAGACAAGGATGCTGGAGCCGGTGCCTCCTCTGTATTTCATGAATCAGCGTCGGTAACTACCATAATGTTAATGAGGACCTACAATTGCTAGAGTCGCAGAGAATTCCGTCTCAGGTTCTGACGTAACCTGGTGCATCCTCATCTTGATCTTCCATTCTGTAAGAGATGAATCTCTGTCGGTCTCAAGCTTTGTGAGCGCACTGAGAAAGAGACAGAGTTTGATATTGAGCTCCTCAATGTAATAGTAATTGTGAAGCTGAAGACCACGTAGACCTTCCTGCGAAGTACTTGTATTGTTCCCAGACCCTCATCCTCTCCATTTTCTTGCAGTTTTATCGCAGTTTTTTGTCTGCAAAGTAGAATGCGAGGCGCCTACCAGTCTTCCTGAATCAGGATTAACAGGAACAGTCGGGAAACCGCTGGCAATTCAACGACAGGCTTACTAGATTAGCGGGTAGATGTCGCCAGGGGGATCCTAGGCAGGTCACCGAATGGATTCGCATCGTCAGAATACGAGGCGCTCCCCCTTTCAACCCCCCGACGCCTTTCCTTTGTTCTAGATTATATTTTGTTTTTTGGATCAGCGAGCTTCGTCTCTGAAGTGTTGCGGTTCATCGCTTGACAGTCCTTGTCGAAGCTGATTCTTCACACAAAACACGTTTTTGATCTAGCAATCTTGGCCATAATAATCCTGCTCTCTTGCTTCTAATAAGATCGTGGTGGATGTTGATTTTTACCTCCGGATCAGCGTGATTGCGGCAACATCCGTGCATTTCTACGAGCTCGGAGCAAGAACATCATCAAGATTATTCTTCTCCTCCCGCTTCAACATCATAAACATCAACATCGACAGCAACAAAGTTTAAAAAGAAAGATGAGAGCTTGCGCCGCTCGTCAAATCGACCGCAAGGATGGTGAAGGCAACAAGGAAGGCGAGTCGACGCCTCGTTCGGCTCAGCCCGCTGAGAAGCCTAGCCTGCCGATACAAGAGCCTGTCGTGTCCGGTCCCGCTATCGAAAAGGTGATCGCACTCCTGAACAAAAATCTCGATTCGCGTGCACGGGGGGCGAGGCTTCTGAACCTCACAGCGATCAAGCTGACCAAGAAGGAGCGCGCGCGGGAGACTGACTGGCTGAAGGCAGTAAGCAGCAAGATCGATCCACCAAGCCTCAAGTCCAAGCTTGTGAGCCATCGGGGCTTCCACTATTCCGATGATCGCCTCGTCCGCCCACTCGAAAATAGCATTGAGGCCTACGCCGCTGCGTGGGGCGCGGGCTTCACGCATTGTGAGTGCGATATCATCGCGACGGCGGACGAGCGGCTGGTGCTTTTGCACGACGAGACGGTAAAACGCATGTGGGGCCAGGGCCTCGCAGCTACCTCGGCTCCTGCTGCCGTGCTTATGGCTTGTTAGTCTTCAGTCGTACAACATCACAAGCTAAAACTGTGTCACAGCTCGGTGTGAGTGATCGCACGATGACGATGCCAACGCTCCAATATTATTGTTGACTCTGCCAACCTACTTTTATTACATCTACGTGTACGTAGGAGCAGTCGTTTTGATAAAGATAGAGTTGTTGTACTCGACCGCGCAAATAACATGTAACTTGTGGCGGGGCCGGAAATGATTGTGCTGGTCAACCTCAACAAGGAATAATAACCAAAAAATGAAAATGAAAAAGAGTCTTAGCTAGAAGTCGGAAGGTAAGAGTACCAGGCGAAGGCGAGGCAGGGTACAACGACAACATCTATGATGACATATTACATCTTCGGTCGTTCAATTTAGAACTACAGCTAGGTGAAGAAATCATCTTTCTTGGCACTAGTACTACAAGAAATTGTAGATGATGAGAATCTAATGTTGCGACTTCTACGGGTGAGGATGCTTCTCCTGCTAGCGAGAAACAGAAGCCAGCGGAGAGTGCGGTTGACCAACCAGCTCAGCCTGATCTAGGGGTCCTAGAAGAGGACGACGTGCCTATGATTGTGCAACGTGTTTTCAGCACTCCAGCTCTCGGACAGGAAATCGAAGAAACTGCGAACACGCAAGAGCAGGGTAAAGCACGCGACTCGGCGATTGAGCAGGAGCTGCACAAGACAAAAGCGACACAACTTACAAGAAGTATAACTACACATCAACATACATTGACTACCGGAAGGGCAAGAGACGAGACTGACATCTTTACTTGATAGATTGACTCATCCTTCCAACAGTGTAACAATAGTTGCAGTACTAGCTGTTGCTGTCCTTATTTATGTCTAAGACTGTCAAATCATGCCCTTGGACATACACCAACATACTTAGTTATTCCATTTCGTCCGCAAGTGCACCCGCCGTGAAGTTCAATATTTGCTCCACGTCCCACCTGCATCGGACGATCATTATCATGCAATTGCCATCTTCAGGTTATCTCGATCGGTATGCTGCATTGAAGACGGAAAGTGGGAAGCTGACAAGCTTGACCGATGTGCTACAAAGTGCGCGTGATCTTCATCAACAAACAGGGCAAAGAAAATACATGCTAAGGCTACATTAAGTATCGCATCCATTGTCCGACTTCACAATTTAAACGTAGTACAAATTACTACTACGTAGATAGTTGTACTAGCCTCGTTGACGCAACAGGCATCAAAGATGAAATGGTTAAAGCTTATAGTTGTTAGTCTGTAGTAACTATTACTAGATCTAAGGAACTTCGTCTTCCTCTTCGAATACACCGAAAATAGAAGCTGAATTTGAACTTGTTGGACCATCACAAAAAACACTTGATCTTCGTAGCGATGTAGTGACCAACTCAGATTACAAGCGAGTCATCTGCCGCGAGTGTCCTCGTGATTCTGTCTAATCACTGTTGTGGAGGTCAAGCAAGAGCAGGGTCCAGACGCTGTGGTTGAAACGGAGCGACTACTACGTGTGCTTTTCCGACGCATGGGCGAAAAGCCGGAACTGTATTTGCAACAAATTTCCGTGATAATGAGTTTCGATAGAACGCTCATCATAGAAGCTTGTCGGCGTTTCAAGGGGGAATTTCTGCCCTCTCTACCGGAGAACGTCCGCAACAGCGTCACGGCGCCGAAATTCATGCTCTTGCGCGTTTGCACTCGAGAAGATCCGGCGGAAGAGGTACTTGATGTTGAAGATTCGTTTCGCTCGTACACTTGAATTATGGATGTAGGGAATTCATCTCCAAAACCAAAGTCATGTGAAGGAGAAAGACAAGAGGAAAAAGGGACCCAGATGATCCCGGAGATGAATTCCCGAGGCCTCTAGTTAAAGTGCTGAGATTCCTCTTGGGCGGTCCGACATAGTATAAGCATACGGACTCGAGAACCACGACGCTTTCTTGCATTTCGCTTTGACTGCGTAGCATTCTATCACCTCACAATGTACTAGTGACTACGATCTTCGAGTTCTGACGAAACCTAAATGACTACGGAGAAAGCTGAGCAGATAAGACCAATATTAAGTAATCAGGTGATCGTTCATCTGACGAATCCTTGGGACTCCCGTTTCTATATCTCCTGAGAAATATTCAAAAAATACCATCTTTACGATCGAGTAATCATGAAACATTTGTTTCTTCATCAACAACATTAGTGGTTGTGGTTTTCTACTTTTTTATCAGGGACTTCAACGGAGGTAACGGATGAATTATGTTGATCAACATTATTATGTTTTGGATTTTTTATTTTCCTTATTATGTTGATCAAAAACTACAAACTCAACTTGCACTTCAGCACCTCTACTGCCGCCTCGACGCTTCTACTGAGCTTTCGGACGTAACGTCTTTGCTCGAAGATGGGAGCACATCACGAACCCGTTTGGATGGAATGTACGTGGAGTGGCAGGACGAGTTTATATCGGACGAGGGTACCAGAGAGAAACTTAAGGCTAATTCATTGAATAAGTACTCAGAATGAGCAAGTAACAAACTACACGAACAATAACTGAGTATCTGAGATTATCCTCCAGCATACTTGAGTATCTCAGTGGTTTTTCGATTACAAGAAGTCCATCTTACTTTATTCCCAGCTATAATATCTTGGTCGTCCTCCCGTTTGTTTTTCCACACCAGGAAATCAACAATTACAGGGAGAACCAAGATGAATCCGAAGATGGATTCAACATTCTCTTAGTTGTTCTAAGACACTCCGAGACCTGTGCAAAGTGCCAGACTGCACTGTGGGAGTGTGGCTTCCTGGCGTTCGCGAGTACATCGACCGTCACTCGACTGCTGCGCTGCTCTCTGACCTCGGCGTCACCTTCGTCAACACCGACTTCCCGAAGCAGTGGCTTGACATTCCCACACCAGAGCCGGACAACACAACTAGCCTAGTGTAGAAGTCATTAAGGGTAGGCTAAAGGTGTTCCTATTATCGTTTGTTTTGCCTCTCCCAAGGGGGAGAAGAGCATAACAAACGGGATAAGCGAACACCAAAACCGTACCTCTAAAGTCGAGCAGGCTTCGTTGTACTTAATCATTGGTAGTGGACGAGCTACACGAAACAAGCAGAAGCACCTACGACTTACTTCAACGTCAAGAATGAACATCAATATCAAGTAGAAAGAGTTCTATCGAAGTAGTGCTAGTGCTAGTGGACACCAGGAACACATCGAAGTACTTGGAGGTTGCGGTGGAGCGCTCTAAAAATATAATATAACAGAGTAGTTTATAGCACGCATGGTGCATGGAGTAGCATGGAGTGCATGGAGCGCAGAGCTTTAAGGGGCGCAAGAAGCTCCCCCTTTAGCTCCATGCTACTCCATGTGATCCATGCACTCCATGCCATGCGAGCTGCAGCTGTGAAACCTTATAAATTGCTCTGATATAAGGCGCGCCAGCATTACCTAACCTAACCTAACCTAACTAGCCAGATGAGAAGATGCCCACTTCTGGAGACGCATCACGATAGATGAGGAGGTGGACCAATCAGCTGGAACTGTAGCTGCGCCCGGGGCTCGTGAGCAGAGAGACGCAGCAGCGGCATTTGACTGGCTACTAGCTTTTCGTAAGGAGGACATCACTTTTGCGGCATGTAGTACTACTCAGTTTGACTTTATTTGGTTCATTTTGTACTAGTTAAACTTAAACTGTTTGTTGCTATAATTCAAGTAGTGGTGCTGCAGCTTCTATTTGACAATGAATTGCGGATTGCTGATCTCGCCATTGCAAGACTTGATCATCCATCCGCTGTGCTATTTGGAGTTCGAAAATCAAACTCCATGTTCATTCGGCTCCTTGTCCTCGCATATGCGGTTATCTTAATAGTTTAAACCAAGCTATATCCTCCACCTTGCCTTCAAGGACAATGCAACTCCTAATTCATTATCGTCCTTGACCTTCAGTAGAATTTTACCTTCAAGCCGATACGAAATCATCCTAAAAAAAGCTGGAATGAAAATGACTTTGGTGAAGTGACTTCCTGACTCATTGATGATCATGATGCTTCTTTCGCAACACAAATTTTCATATTAGATAGTGGGTCCCCTATCCATCTTCTTGATAACAACTACGTGAACGTGCACAACAATAACAAGATACTTTTGGGATGTTGACGATAACAGTACTACATTTCTAGAAATTGAACAAATAGAACTACAAGTCGCATGATAGTATGGTAAAATTCGCCTTGATGTTGGCACCATCTGCTTCTAAAGTATTTTCGGGAGATTGAACCGACACCGTTGGTAAAAATAGTGCATGCACCCTCACATCGACATCTTCATCATTCAGTAGGAACCTAATTAATTTTGATGAATAAGAGTTGCATATTGTTCATCCCGGTGTAGTGGAAAGGAACTGGACGAGTCATGGTCCATGAGAGCGCAGGGTCGGAATGCGATTACCTTCTCGGATAAGGACAAGCTCATAATTGCAGGTTGTGTACTAGAACAAAGACAAGCGGTTGTACTAGAACAAGATGCCAGCTCTTGTCTCTTATGGATGATGATCATGATGAGCAAAGCAAAGATAATTATCTAACTGTAGTGATCATGCCTTCGCCTTGGCCTTCGGATTCGACGATTCATAAAAAAAGGATGCCTGATGCTGATATCGTTCCTATTCATAAAAGAAACAGCGAGTACATGTACATGATCATCATGCTTGGTCTTGTATCCAACTTCTCTTCATCATACAATCAACGTCACTTCGACTTCTTCCTCATACATAATACTAGACTTAAGCGCCCGACAGCTCTGCCTTCACTAGAATCCTCCGCGACCTCCTTCAAGCGCTTCCTCCATCAGTGCGCGCCTCCTTTGCTGCTCTTCAGCCTGATCATGGTGCTGACCTGGCGGAGATGATGCGCGGGAGAGGAGTCGGAGCAGAGACGCCGAGGCATTTAAAAGACCAAAGCGCACAGTCAAGCTCTTGGAGGCGAATTTTTGGAGTTTCTTTTTTTTTGGATAGAATTATAATTATTTAAAGTTCTCGTAGAAGTAGATGAAATTTCGTATTTGAAGCTTCGATTTTGGCGCTTCGAGTTTGAAGTTTAGAATTTGGAACTTTGAACATGGGACTTTAAGTTTTGCATTGAAGTTTCGAACCTAAAGCTTCGAACTTGAAATAGCAAATTTGAAGCATCGCGCCCGAAGTCTTGGGCTTGGCGTGGAAGCTTTACCCTTGAGACTTGGAGCGCGGCTCTCAACTGCAATCTTTTGTGTTAAAGTCACAAGCTTTGTCTTGGAATCCAAAGTTTTTAATTTTAACGCCTGACATTGAAATTTCACTAATCGCATTTCCACATCAGTTGCTAACATTTATGCCATGCCATGTCCATGGGTTCGGAGGCTTGGGGGTTTGGAGGCTTCGGGATTTGGGGGTCTGGGGGTCGTTTGGAGGTTCGGAAATTTGCTCCGGGGGTCGCGTGTTGTAGTTGGTTCAATTTTTTTTGTTCAGGTTTTTTTGGTTCCAGTCAGTGTTTTTGGCTCCAGTGCCTTTGGTTCAAGTATTTTTGGTTTGGAGGATTGTGGGAAAATTGTTGAAATGAGCTCTTTAATGTTAAAGATAGAATGCATGGGGCTGGTAGTGTTACTTCTTAGTAAGTTCGTTGTAACATTACAACGGGCTGACGACAAGCTAAAGCAGTCAGGGCAGGTGCGTCGACGATCGTGATGTCTTGAACATTTGTCTTGTCATAGTCGTGGTATTGTACGTGGGACTGGGAGTATTCACACTCTTGGGTAAGATGAACCCGAACATTCATGCATTCACACAATGAAACGCGATCCCGATCATGATGCAGCTTTGCCTGCAGTAGCACAACACAAGACCTTGATGGCGCATCCTCTTCCTCCTCCTCACCATATCTTTTATCGAGTTTGGAACTTTCCAAACAAATATACCGTGTTGCGCCTTTGTGAAGTTGGTCCCGTGCCTACAAAAGGGGCACCACACTGAAGAACGTGAGCAGCTCTACGAGTGATGAAGTCGTAGAATTCATGTGCGTGAATGAGCGGGTGAGTCATGTACTTGCTTTTGGGAGCATGGATCTATCATACCGCGTAATTTTCGACAGCGAGGAGGCAATGCAAGGAATCATGTTATTCTCGATCATCCAAGTATTCATGCCACTGGCCATGGCCTGTCTACCCTGTAAGAGGTTTTAGTGGGGCGCGCGAAAACTACTACCACGATTAGAGTCAGAAAGAGTCCGAGCAACACTTGACGAGGCACCACAACAGGCAGTGTGTGAAACCAACTTGCGCCTAAAGGATAGAACTATTCATGATCCGCCAAAACCAGATGAATTACTTTGAATCCTACTGGTGGAGGCCGAGGTCTCTCTAAATGCTATACCGACGAGTCAATGAGTCACAGTACGCGTGGGACTGAGAGTGAAAGTAGACGAGGCCGCTTAAGAATCGCAGTGTGTCGCAACATGCTGACAAAGATATAATGAGAGTCAACTACACCACCAAGACTCTTCTTGATCCTCGCGATCAGATCCTTCATCAGAAAATGAAGATCGGTGGAGCGCGTAGTAGAAGAGTACTTGTACTCTCACTAACACTATCTTCATACGCCACTAGTGCAGGACTAAAATGTTACTAGCTGTTGAATTCTATTTTTAGTACTTATGTGTTGCTGATGCTTCTGGTCCGGCTGCCTCATAGAGTTTGTCAATCATAAAACAGAGACACGGAGAGGATGGGACTCAGGTTCTACTCTTTCGTGTCGCGGGTCAGCACACTCCTCGCTGTGACGCTTTCGCCGTTGCTCTTCCCGCTAAGCCTGCTTTTTCGGCTGCAGCTTCTGTCTGCGGGACGAGAAGTTTCTGGGTACCTGAACGCGGACAATTCTGAGGCTGTGCTGCAGATTTTCTATGACGACTTCACGAAAGACTTTGTGCTACGCTTTTTCCGCGACGTGGGGAAGCAACTTCGGTCCGCGACCCAAACCGGCGCTGCGGCTGTTGGGGTTTTCGAAGACGTGCTCCACACCGAACTTTGGTGGACGCATCTGCTCAAGGAATACATCAAGTTACGGCTACCGCGAAACCACCCTCAACAAAATCCCCGGCTCTTTTCTTACTTGAAAAAAAAGCCAAAGATAGACTCAGGGATGCGCACACGGTAGCTCTAATCAAGGCACGGGATCAAATCGCTCTCGCGGAGGAAGACTATGCGTGGTGTCTTCACTTCCTGTTCCTTGTAGCAATGTAGTAATCTACTTGGAGGCTTTAAATAAGCATAAGGAGGTAGCCCTTCATCAGACTCACTAGTCCGTCCTCTTCTCTTAATTTCGCTTTCAGCTACTTCCTCGAAACTATCTAGGATCACATCGTTATATTAAAGTGAGAGTGCGCTGCTAGAGCTAGTACTATGATTTTTATGACACGAGCACCGGCGCCCTCTAATACTGGAGAATTCGAAACGCGTTGCAGCAACTCGACCATGCTATCAGCAGACCAAAGACCCCTTCGACATCATCTACATCGTCTCCTGTCGTGGTAAACGGATCATCAGAAACACGAGCGGCCTCGTTAACAAATGATTCGGGCGACCACGGCAGCAAAGCAGATGATCATGAAGAAAATAGTTGGTACAGGAGTTTTCGAGGCTATCAGTGGCCATCGGTTATCGAGCATTCCCCGGACCGAGCCATGGCACGGTTCATTGCAATTACAGCCTTTTGCCATGTCGAAGGCAAAGGAGCGGGATGCTATCATCCGGGACGCATGATGCAACTACTCTTTTCTCGTCATGGACAGGAAGGGGATGTAGTTGGGCGAGCAGAGGCAGAGCAGCAGGAGCAGGGAGGCTACATGTAGGGCTAGTTTTTCACTATCCCATGTCTTCTACTTCTATGCTGAGTGCTGGGTCCTCCTGAGTCATCGAGGAGAAATGCATGAGGCGGAAAAAAGTTTCTCACTCGAACAGGGATAGTGAAAAACTTAAACTACCTTTAATGTACTGATGACGATACCAAGAGGCAGCAACGACGTTTTTTAGACGTGATCGGTGAACAGGAAAAGTTCGACTCTTTCTGGGTGAATGACGTGCGACGTGGTTCTCCCACATCAGCCTCATTGCCCAGCGAACTACTCCCATCAGGTACAGCATTGCGTAAAAGTCCAGTAGGAGATGTTGGTGATCTTGTTTCCGAAGGAAGCGTGCTAGATCTAGAAGAACAGAATTTAGAACTTAGACGCCGCGTCGTGGACCAAGAAGAGCAGAGAGCCAAAGAACTTCGGCTGAATGCCGCTCCAGCAATAATCGACGTAGAGGCGCTAGAAATTGAGAATTCTCCTCAGCATTTCCAGTGGCGGCTGCAAGCCGCTTTTCTATGGATGCGAGTGCGCGCATTGGGCGAGGACCACCCGCTGTGGGCGCAATGGAGGGAGATGATCCTGCTGGGTCGGTTCTTGGACGAGCGCTGTGCATTTGAGACGCGTGCGTGGTTCAAAAACGTCTTGCCCACGCTAACAGAGCACGTTAAGGCTTGACGTCAGTCATTATCTCGTTTGAGGAGTGGACTTCCATAGTCGCTGAGAAGAAGAAACCAACATTAGAACCAAAGGGGAAACTCACGGAACAAGAACCACTCAAACGCGGATATTAATTGCCTGCCGTTAAGCTCCGATACGAAGCACTGAGAGCGGCCTACGATCGTCGTGTCACGGATGCCGCGCGAGTCAGAGAAGATCGCCGAAGAAACGAAGAATGGGAAACTGCTAGAAGAAACGCGGACAACGCCGCTGCCGACACAGGAGTTCTTGAGAGCAAACCTCCCGAAAATGAAAATGCTCCTAGCAGCACGACCAAGGCAGGTAATGCGGAGCCAGGAGATGGGGCACTCTTGAGCTTGAAGGTGATTGAAGACACTCCGATGCTGATTTCCATCCAAGATAATGGAGCCGAAGGTCCGGTGCTCCAAGCGTTCAGGCTGTTGCGCGCGTTGCGCGTCTATTACAGTGCGGTTCTGTCAATGCTTGACTTAGGGCATTCCCCAACAAAAAGCCTTTTCATCAGTAGAAGCAAAAGCACTAAGAATAGACACTCATGATCTACAGTAGAGGCGACTCATGCGTCTTGTAAATCTAAACTTTGCATTTGTTGTTACTTAGTTATAGCGCATAGTAGAGTACGTAGCTTGATGCGGTTGCAGAAGCTGTAAATAATAAGTATGGAGCTGTAGCAACTTTGTTCTTGGGCTGTAGTTATAGTATGGTCTTCAGGCTAAGCTTGAAGCGTCTTCCTGCTTCCAGGAAACCACGGCACAAGAACTTTTCATTGTGAAGATGGAAGGACGGAAAGTCTTCTTCTAAGCGTGGTTTTCTCACAAGGCTCAGATCCCTCTATATTTGTCCTGAACGGGCAACAGGCTCACCGAGGCGACTTTTTCCAAGATTCGGATCGTCTTTTCCGCCCACCTTCTTCAGTTGTCTCAGCGTCTCCACCACAAAACCTCAGAAGTAAGGAAGATCAAGGAGGTCAAGACGTAGTCGATCAGGTGGAGCAAGATGCGCAAATGACAAAATCACCTACACATCATAACGAGCAGAGCGAACGCGCACGACAAAGCAAAATAAGACCACAAGTGCATTATTATAGCACGCGCGCTGGACAACGGATCTTTTACATCCCCGAAAGCCATCGAGTGCGACTTTTCGTCTCAAAAGAAGACGCGGAGCAAGCAGAAAGGGAGTGCACGTCGAACCAAGGAGAACAACTTTTCCAAGGTGTCCGCGACCCGCTACTTTGTGCTTTTTTTCATCTCCAGGACCTCATTATCGTCGAGGACGGAGGTGAGGATCTTTATCGTGAGGGCGACGAGGAGATGAGCATGATGATGAGGAAATCTAGGACAACATATGAAAGTTTCAATTCTGTGCTACAAGACGGTGCTGGAAGTAAAAGTCCACTTGAGATGAAAAGAGTTCGTTTGCAGAGCGAAATACTGAACATCGAGGAAGGAAGCAGTTTATCGCTGGCGCAACTTTATAGGAAAGCGTCGCAGACCAAGGAGACCGGTGACCACGACTTTTTGGCTTGGAGTTACCCCTTCCTCCAGAGCACTCTGGCTCGAACTACGGTTCTTAGGGCTACTGCTTCATTAACATCCAGTGTGGTCTCTCCTGGCCCTGAGTGAAAAAACTTTGCTTATTCCAGGGAAAATTTGCAGCCGCAAGAACACAAAGTATTTCACTCAAGTCACGAAAATGAAAAACTAGTCCTAAGGTACAGAAAGTTATAGCGCTATTCGATCCTGTCACGCCCGTGTCCTACCCAGCTGCTGGGCTCGGCTCGTCGACGAATTCATTACGCAAAAGTTCTACGTAAAAGTGAATGAAGTGCTTCTGTAAATAGTAGATTTAGACGTTCACGTAAGTCTTCTAGGTATGCATAATAGAGATAGAACAAACCAGACCAGATGAATCCCTAAGTAATTTTGAAGATGTTTATGTTCCTTGAGCCACAAAGCAGAAGACATTCAACACAGTCAATCATTTTACACAAGATAGTGTATACTTATGTAAATGTAGTCCTTATAAAAAAAGCTAAGTCTAAGGTAGACTTCCACTAAATATCGTTGTTACACGATAGTGTTTTAAGGCTGAACATTAGTTCCTCTAATGCGGAGGTGGATGCATGAAGCTGATGCTACGACCGCGCAACTAGAATACGTCTTACCTCCAACTGGCGCAGCAATGATGCACCAAGGAGAAGCGGCGCGACCGGATGTGACTATCCCGGCACGTCGTCGCGTACTGCTCGCGGGCCGTTCCTTTTTATGATGGTGAAGCTAAAAGTAAAATCTCGAAAATAACACTGTTATTGTTGTAAACAGATACATCTTTACTCTTACTTGTTCTTGGTAGAGGACTTGGAGGAAGGCAATGGCGTCGGAATTGATTAAACTCATCTTGAAATTGATGATAGATGTACAAAAGCGGAGTTTCTATCCGATTGCTTTTCTGGTGAAGCAAGGTGTGAAGACTCTATTTCTCTTAATTTCCATTGTTCATCTCGCGCTCGTTTCATACTTTTGTCCGCCAGGCTACGCGTTCAATGCGCTCACCATCGACAGCAACTGCCGGTCTTTAGATCCAGTTGCTTACCTTTTCGTGAACGAGGAATCCTCTGCAGATATGCGTGCCGAGACCTTTGCGCGCCTAGCCGAGGAAACACTTGACGAGACAGGAGAGAGTCACATCGAAAGTGGCGCAGCGACGACATCTTCACCTAGCACAAGTAGTAGAACAAGCTCCTCTAGTACTACTATAGCCAGCGCGACCACAACAAACGGCCGAACATCAACTACTATCACTTCTGATGCCACACCATCCACCTCGAGGAAAACACATTTCGAATCACTTGCAGCTGACTCAGACGCCCCTGCTCGAGGAACTCAGCCGCCAGATCGGTACCATCATACTTGGAGAAATTATCAACGGGTTGTGCTGACCCAGCTAGAAAAGTCTGCTCTTCTTTTCACGAGCAAAAGTCCCCATGGTCCAGGCGGTGGCGAATCAGATCTTCCAGATCGTACGTCGGCCCATGGATCTTTAGGTCGTGCAGATTTCCTCGAAGCGCTGGAGCAAGTGAATGTGGTCTCGGTTGTTCGATCATCAGCATCATCTACTACCACCACCAAGAATTCGAAGGGTGGAAGGCGAACCCGAGGCGAAGAAGTGGAGACAGTTGGCGAGGAAAGCATGCCCTTGCAAACCTATGGGGATGTCGTGTGCCAAGCAAGGAGGCCGACGGCGGAGGTCTACTCTGCATCGTCTTCTGAGCCTGATGGTAATCTTCCACGCCGTGCAGGCCAAGAAAACGAGAAGGAAATTAGTCAAGGGGGCAAGAGTAAGAGCAGTATGAAGAAACTCAATTATAGCAATGCAGTGGAGCAGGACGTCGCGAACGCGAAAGTATGGTCATCGTGGCGCAACATTGTTTGGAATTTTGATTTGCGGAGTGTGATTCGGGACTGCGACATCTTTGCGTGGCGGACACCTGCTGTTGCGCGTTTGGCTCTTGCCCTCTTGCTCCCTCAGTCGCAGGGTGAAGAACGTAAACTACGACTGAGACTTCATCTGTATTTCGTTTTCGACTAGTAGTATCTCGGCACAAAATGATCAACATGCTCATGCTGTAATGTTTAGAAGAGCATTTTTCTTTTCATTTTTATTCTATTCAGCAAGTTGCAGAATCAAGAACTACAAGATGATGGCTCACTTATCATGTGACTGTATATTTGTGAACTACAAGGACTGATCTGTTGTACCTTCATGAACAACAACTACAACAAGAATTATTCTTATTAGAAGATGACAATTATTCTTATTCACGATATTAGCGGAGCACGATTGTTCATTCTCAATCTCAACAACATACTAGCGTAAGAACTCATTTTCCGGGGACAACTTTAATGAAAGCGCTTCTAGCTGACCTTCGCAATTGCGCTGCGAAGGCTGCGGCAGATACGGAAGTGGGCCCCATCGAATGGGTGTCAGCCGTGCCTATTGAGGATCTGCTTGCCTACTCCAACCGACAGCTATCACACCAAGTGGACATGTTTGTTATGCACGGTAGTAACTAATGGTTCTTGTTCTAGAAAAACGTCCCCCTTAAGTGGTTACGTCTATCTTCACACCAAGTGGACCTATATATTAAGCAGGGTAGTACTGGTTCTCCTTCTCGTACTAGAGAAACTAAATGGCGACGTCTATCTTCACACCAAGACCATCAAGTGGACATATTTATTAAGCTGGGTAGTAGTTGTACTAGTTCTTCTTCTACTTGTTCTAGAAGCACTAAAGGAGATGAAAGAAAGAGTCAACACGGGTCTCGATTGACTCAAGATTCCCCACCTTGTGTGAAGTCAATCTGCCGACTAGATTCGAATCATCATGATCCTAGTAAGGGAGAAGATAATCATCGAGGGGAACCGAACGTAGAGAGGGCGTTGAAAAGATCAACAACTCACTCAACAAGCGATGAATAGTCATGATCTTCTACAACCTCTAAGTCTGGCATCGTCCAGCTGGACGACTGGAAGCACGATCCTCCTGGTCACGTGGAAATGACATGTTAAGGCTAAAGGACTTGCTGCCAGAAGATGAACACCTCAGAAAAAATGGAATAAAGAACTGAAGTATTGTATCTATTGGATTGTACAACTGTACTTCTACAGGCTGCTAACGTACTTGATTCCCAAGTACTAGGAGGACGATGAAAGGAGCACAATGAAAGTGACACAACTACAACTATTTCGGCCAGTGAAGTAGAAGATGTGCTCAGAGTAGGTGGAGGTTCACCTACTCGTAGTGGTACAACAATTCTGTTACTGTTAATTTTTTAGTAGAGAAAAATACTGAGGTACTTCCCTCAGTGTGGACTAGGTACTTCTCTCAATCAAAGACTACTGAGGAAGAATACAAGTGAGGTGCTTCTCTCACTCAAATCCGAGAAATCAGGATCATGAAATCAAACAACCACTAAGAATCGCGAAGTTTCGAAAACTACTACCTTCTGAACATACGTAACGCGACAAGTTTGGTCGCTTATCTACCTCACCCAAACCGTACTGAGCTCTCTACTATGGCAGCGTTAATATTCTTCTAAAATGGTTAATTCATCTCCTGATTGCAACTCCTGTCTTTCATCATCACCTGCGCGGTTGACGTTAATTAATTGTTGGTAGTCCCTCTATGGCTGCACATCCGCATATTATCCCAGACGATACAGGGCACACTGTGGAAAGCGAGTCAACTCCTTTCCGATCCTATCCTCTATCCTATCCTATCCTATCCTATCCTATATGTATATATATTATAGTATCGTCCTATCCTTCCCCCAATGGCAGGCTTTTCAAAATATTACACAGGATTCTGGCACCCGAAAAAATCTCATTGCTGTGCATGATACCACGGCTTTGTTCTGCTCTAGTTTTATTATCTGAGAATCTGAAACTCTGAAATCTGCTCTGGGTTTATTATATAATGCATGATCATCGATTTCGATACCAAGAGCAGAACATATTTCATCCGTTCGTTCATATCTTCTAATCCGCAGCGAAAATGAGTTCTAGTTTAGACTTGGACTTGCATTGAGAAAATATAAGTACAAGAAGTATCAGCGCTGATCACGTCAAAATAGACTTACAAAGGATCATCCGAAGACTTCGGTGGCCTCCCTATACTTAGACGTCTAAGAATACTGGAGCAGCTGGAGCAGGTCGTACCAGGGAGGCGAGCTTGACGTCAACACTCGTGTACCGACCGCAGATACTTATTGATGAAGAATATTTTCAGTTGCGGACTGTTTTGCGTGCACTACATGACTGGCTTACTTCTGGGGAATATCTCCACCGACCCTTCACCTACGCGGAATGGGGCGCCAGCTGCGGCCCTTGGACAGTGCGCGTAGCCAAGCTGGTGCAGTATTGGACCAAGAGACTCATGTTCGAAAAAGGTGAGAACAGCAATGAACGATATTTGCGAACGCGCGACCACTCACAATCTCGCCTAGACGACCAGGAGATCTACAGCAAGAATACCAGTGATAAAATGAATCATGGTAGGAGGAGGACGCGTTACCTGCCGCCATACCTGGCGCGCTTGGAAGAGCAGGGACTCTCGCCATGCAGACTTCTTGTCTTGGAGCCGAGCCTTGGCGGCGTTGCGACTGCCTTGGAAAATCTAGCGCTGAACGACGTCCGATGCGAGTCCGTTGTCGTCTGGCAGGGCTACATAGGTGGCGTCGTGCGACCCAAAAAAATAGATCCCAGAGACAGGGGGAATGAAGAAAGCGAAGCACGAGGACATCAAGTAAGAAAAGACCCGCGTGAAGAAACTAACTACAACGCAAGAAGGAGCGATGAAGAAGGCCTGCATCAATATCAAGCAGATGAAACAATAAGTGACGACCGGACCACAGCGCTTAATGAAGGGCTGACCACCGTAGGTTCTGAGCGTGCTGAGCCGACACCACTTGTGCAACCAGCATCCTGGGTCGGCGCGCAGATGATACCCGATGGTGTGGCCTCACTGCGTGTGCGTAGGCAGCAACACGAAGGCTCACTACAGCATGTGCAGCAAGATGAAGCATTGCTTGGAGTAGAAAACGCAAGCTTATCTTCAGCAGCAGCTGCACTGTCTTCATCTCGTAGAAGTCGACAAACGACAAGTCCACTTTGCGGAGACTACGAGGACGACGAGACTGATCCACACGATGATGAATCTTCCAAAACAGTGCCACCGAAAACAGGAGCAGCAGCTTCCACAACGCGTACAGAAAGAGGGAGAGATGAGACCACTTCAGGCACACATATTGAAGGAGGTGATGTTGAGGATCAGCGACTCCTTTTTTCACGCCTTCTGCGGCCGGAAGATGTTGGCATCGTCGATTTTTATGGCTACCGCAAATGCATCCTCTTTGTTGGTCATTGTTGGCGCTTTTTCGAGTTGAAAAAGTAAGAGCTCGTCCCTAAGGCAATCATTGAATGAGAATGGCTCGCAAGGAAGATGCGACCGTGGCAGCTGCTCTAAGATTTGATTGATATGGACATTCAAGGGCAGGAGGCACGTGTTGCCCCTCTATTTCTGGAGGAGTTCGCCCAACGGGTGCGCCGTGTGCACATTGGGACACACGGAAAGAGCATTCACAAGACTGTGAAGAGCCTATTTCTTGGCCAGCTTGATGCCTCGCCACCGTCAGACGCAGTAGAAGCGTCCGAACAAGCCGAAAGCAAGCGAGATCTCCAAGACTACCGCCCTCAGCCAGTATGGTCGGTAGATCAAGACTACCTAAGTCTTACAGCCCGCCGAGTGGAGCACTACGGCAATGTACTCTTCCGGGATGGCGTCTTTAGCGCCTCCAATCGACTGCTTTCCCCATGGAAAGACACCTCAACGTCATAACTACGACATACATATCTTATTACATAACAGGATAGTCTAAGAGTAAGAATACATACACAGACCCGGCGCAACGACAAACATAGTAAACTTCGGTGACATACATGACGACAACTACGGCCTGAAGAAGTGATTTAGTTCTCGAGTCGACACGGGACAATAGTGCCAATAATATATTCATTGATGAGCAAAAGTATACTCAAAGTCAACACCAAAAGCTTCAGGTCCAACATGTTACATTTCACTAGCTGGCTCGGAGAACCGGGCCAAGAATTTAGATAAACGTAAAGTCACTGATGTGTGATGTATAATTCTCGCGAGTTTTGATTTTGACTTTTTCATCTAGAAAAAAATGGCAGTATCGGCCGCGTCTGCGGCATTTCAAGTAGTATATGTTTTTCTTGAAAATAAGTAGATGCTGCCAGCTGGTCCTATGAATTTCCATATTTCCAAGGATCGCATATTTTCTTGCAAATTCCATGCAAGGAGACTGAGACGATGACATCATTGTAATAGAATTAGAAGAGCAAGGCCAGGAAAAAGCGACGAGCGCCGACCTGTTCTACCAATACTGACTGAAAAAGGAGTGGGCATCTCTGAGTTGTAGCGATCATTTTTTGGAGTCACGTTTTCCCTGTGTTCGAATAGCAACAAGATAGCACTTTCTCTTTCCCCTGAGCGAACCTGAAAAGGCTAGAATCGTGCTCGTCGTCGTCTTCCTCGGTAGGCTTCTGTCACTGGTGTTCGCAACCTGGGAATATCAGCTTGCCTTCGTAGGAAAGAGTGTTGCTATCAATCGTCGTGCTTAATCGCTTACGTAGTTTTAGGTGCCTGGCCGTCGTGCTTCAGGCTCCTCGCTGGGTAATTAAATGGAATTGTTGCGAGAAATGTCGACCAAGTTAACAAGAAAAAACATCGTATTGGTGGCAGAGTGAGTGAATGAATGACTGAACTGGAACTACTCTTCAGCAAAAATAATGTTAAGTGCTGGGTATGATCGGTTTCATTGCTATTCTTGTTGAGGAGCATCAGAATACCTATTCCACAGATTGCGATGCACGGAGTCATGTCGTGCTACACCTACGAGTTCATGAGAAAAGATAACAAAGAGTGGGACGGTAGAGTCCGTGACATTCGTTCTTTTTGCCCACCCCTTTGCTGTGCCCGTGCACCCCTGTCGCGGCGATGTCGTCCCTTGATGTTCAACATATTAGTTTTTAGCTTTAGAGGTAGGTATATTCATACCCAGGATGTGTATTTTGGGCACATCAATCATGGCACTTAGTACATCGACTTACACAACTATCATCATGTTTATGTTGTTTCACCTGCGAGCACAAGTATTAACTGGCCTTCAGCGCTTCTTCTACTCATCTCCATTCTCTTCTGCGTAGTCCTGAACAATCGCATTGTCTAACATCTTAGAACTTGATTTTGAAAGATTTCCTCGGTTTGGTCTTACATTTTTGGACAAAGATCATTAAGCTTCATTTGAAAAAACCATCACTACAGATAATACATTCAGAATTCTTTTGCACTTTACTTACCGGGAAGATATCGTTAGGGAAGTCTTAGGCTAGCTGCCGAATAGATTCGAAGCGTCGACTTGTCTTCTCGATATCGACTCGAACACATCAGAAGAAGATCCAGCGCCCCGCCACAAGATGGATAACAATGCGAGCGCCCTCTTTCGGGAGGGCCTGGAAACCGAGAAGCGGATGAGCTTCAAGTGGATGCAGGAAATGGATCTCTCCGATGCAAAAGATATCCCGACATTATGGCCTCTTGCCACTTGTTCCACTTCGTGGTCTTTCTTTTTCTTTTGATTATGCTTCTACTCATTTAGTTCGGGTGAGCACTGAAAAGAACTACAACCACCTTTAGTATAGGTACAATCATCATCACCATCATTCTCTGCTACGTAGCTGCTGGGGGTCTGGCCTTAGCTCTATGTAGTCGCATTCTGTCTTGTTCGCAAGATTGAGAATCCGACTTTTGGCGTTATGGAGATGAGCGCATTTTTCTTTATTTCTCTAATATCTGACGTCCAGTACCAATCTAGTTCCATCGCAGCGCAACCATTCAAAAAGCACCTTGTAATGGAGACAAAAGGATTCAAGCCGCAGATCAAAAAAGAAAACTTCGAACGCTCAAAGAAGAATTTTGGTATGTGCAATTCCGAACTTGCGTACCAGAAAGCCAGGAATGACCCAAGGCCAATTGCGCAATGCTTTAGGTAATATACTAGTTTTTTTAAAGACTAAAGTGCTATCATCCTGTATTTTCCTTTCGTGGCTTTGTTAGCAAATATACAAATGGAGGCAGATGAAGCCACAGGTTGTTCCTCATTGTCTTGTCGTCGAAAATGATTGATTTTAGCATAAGCTGGGGGGTTTGCGAAGTAAAGTACTTTATTTTTTCTTCGTTTTTTAGTCTGTAACATTTTTGAGTGACAAGCAGACAGGACAAGGGAATAAATGTAGGAATATCTGTGCATATAGTTTCGCACCCAAGAAAACTACTCCGAAGTCGTAGAAATTAGTGATAGTATCAAAGAGCTAGCATCCACAAGCTTCGCCCGGCTTCAAGTTTAGCACTTTTCTGCCTCCCACGGGCTACAGCCGCCAGAGCAGAGACAGCCCGCGGGTGAGCTGTTGCAATCTGCGAACTGACTACGAGACGACCCGCGTGCCGGCGCTGGCCGACTCAGGTGCGTCGACTCATGGGCAGAAAAATTGCGCTGCCTTCGGTTTTTTTATGGGACTGCCGGGGGGGTTATGCAAATCCTTAAGAATTTGCAAGACCCCCACGGCGTTCCAACAAAAAAAACCAGAAGAGAGCCACCAGACACGCGCAAGAACCTGCAGGCCCCAACGCGCGCAGACGCCTCGCGGTGGCACCAGGCAAGAACGAGGGGTGACTTTGACGGGCCAAGCAAGAAAATGCAACGCATGGTCGCGCTGCTTGGGTCTCTCTGCGCGCCTACAGCTGGCGGGGCTTCTTCCTTGCTTCGTCGGACGTCGTTCGTCAGAAACAGAAGCAAGGGCGCACCTCGCGGGAGCATGGGGCGCCGCTCTTCGGGCTGAGGCTGACGCCTTCCCTCGGGCTGACGTCTTTGGCCAAGATGGGGGCCGACGCCTTTCGACAGACTGATGCCTTTCGTCAGACCAACGCCTTGCTTGCGCCGGGCTGACGGCTTTCGCCGGGCAGGCTGGCGCCTTTCCTTCGGCAGATGTCTTGGGTCAGGCTGCGGGTTTTCGTCGGAGCGACGTCGCTCGCCAGGCTGACGCCTTTCGTCAGACTGAAGCGCTTCGCTTGAGTGACATCTTCCGCCTGGCCAGGGCTGGCGCCTCTCTCTGGTTGGTCATGGTAGGTCAGGTTGATGGCTTTCTTTCGCTTGGCGCTTTTCGTCAGACTGAAGCACTGACCACACCGGGCGACGCTTATCGCCAGACTGGCGCACTACTTCGCCGGGCGTCGGCCTTGCGTCGGATCAGGCTCGGCGGAGCTTTTCCCCGGGTTGCGGATGTCTTTCGTGGTCATCAGATTGAAGCTTTTCGCCGGGCTGACGTCGTTCGCCAGACTGACCCCTTTCGCCGGACTGCCCCTGCCGTGCTTCTTCGGGGCTCTTCTCTATCGTCAAGGGCTTGTCGCCACAGGCTTTTCGTCAGTTTTTCTGGCCAAGGTCGTTCGTCGGAGGTCTGTCGCCGCGGATCTCTTGCCAAAGGTCTCTCGTCAAAGGTCTCTCCTCGAAAGTCTTTCGGTTTCGTCAACGGTCTCTCGTCAGAGGTCTCTCGTCTAAGGTCTTTTGTCGAAGATCTTTCGTCGAAGGTCTTTCGTCGAATGTGTTTCCTCAAACTCAAAGGTCCCGCGTCAGAGGTCTTTCTTCGGAGGTCCTTCGTCGAAGGTCTTTCGTCAAAGGTCTTGCGTCGAAGGTCTTTCGTCGAAGGTCTTGCGTCAGAGAGTCTCGCGTCACTCAGGACTTCTCTCCCTAGCATGCGCCCCTACCCCCGTCGGGCATTTTTCTGGCTTCTTTTCTGGTAGTCGGCCAGGGGGCCGCGGCTTATCCCCATCATGAAAGCGGTCGGAGGCTGTCACGGGCGGAGATTGAGGGGAAGGGGCCGGAGGGTATGGGCAATGAATCGCCTCGCGGGAGAGGTGAAGGAGTCCCCGGGTGGAGTAGGCGGGGAGTTTTGTGGCGGTGATTAGTGGGGTGATGAGTCTAGCTTGATTACTTATATCTTTTTTGCAATGTTTGAGCACTATCTATCAACCTATAATAATTGACAATCATTGATTATGATTGTTCGGTCAACCCTTTTATCTCCGCGGCTACCTTCAGGACCGGGCGAGCAGATGAGATGCAAATGAAGCAAGCGCCACCGGCATTGCGGCAGACAGAATATTATGGAAAGCCCGACGCTACCGCTGGGTTCTATCGCCCGAGTGGAGCCTTTGCCGCCGTCGAGGACAAGTGATGCACGAAGGCAGCTTAGGCATGATGAGTATGTGAGACTAAATCCTAGTCCAACTAGTACAGCTCTGAGACTCAATACTGAAACTGCAAGCAACAACTGTGCCAGCATATCCTTCAAACAAGTGCGTACATCGATGAATGACACCAGGAAAATGAAATCCTGACGGTGAACAAAGTGTAAGCTAAACTGACACCATCTGGATCGTAGAGAAGGTATTGAACCTGCTACAGCGCGTATTGCATTAACACAACAAAAACAGTTACCGCGTTAATGAGAAATATAGATGAGCGCCACATTACTCTGTATACACATTGAGTGAATTGAACGTGTGTACTAGATTGAGGACAAGCACAAGCAGCAGCAAAACTCATATCTATCGAAGCAGCAATTTTACTAAATCTACGAGAACTATGCCCTAACCCTATTTCTATTAGTTATGGTATCACACGGAAAGCAAAGAAAAAGATTGACTTTCATATCAGTAGTACTTAATTGAAATAGCCCCACCAGCAAATAGGGGGCTGATCTTTCACTTTCCTTCGTTGTTTAAGAATGTCAATATTATGTTTAAGCAGAAACACGAAACGTGGGTGATTCCTCTCGATTGTGTTGCACCTGTGTTCTGTTGGGCTGCTCGACGCGTACTGTTTTTTTTGACGAGAATCATACACAATTAGCTACAGTACCACACAAAGTATTACAAACAAACGTCGTAGCAGAGCCGACTGATGTCATAATCCCCAGACTACAGGATCGCGGAGAGAGATACTGAGGCATTCATACATATATATGATTTCCTATTACTCGGTTCAAACTACAGCTGCTAGTGCGTGTTTGCGATGAGAAGGAGAAGAGCGGAGAGTGACATGTTTTTTCTTTGCCTTTGATAAACAAGGCCACGACTGGATGATAAAGCGATCTCTCGGTCAGTAGCATGATATGGTTGGGCACCGTTGCCGTTGGAGATCAAGACCTTTTTTCCGTTTTTCTCCTTCCGAATCTGAATTTTTTATTTTTTATGCGTTTTCAAGGTGGCTCCTCTCACTCTTTCTTGATCATCCATCTTTAGATCCTACGGATAATTAAGTCACAATAATGAGTATTTGATTCTTTAGAAACTCTTGATGACAGACTTTAGAATTAGAAGTTAGATTTGATTTATTTTCAGAACAGTTTCCCTCTCTAGTGTGTGCGTTCTATCTTAGTGCACGGTAAGTGAGGTTAAACAACCTACGGTCTAGTACAATCATCAGCAATTATTCTCTGAACAGTTTCTAATTCTATTTTTATGACCGTAATTGACACAACAATTAGACATACCTCTTGCCAGGCACATCAGTCAATCAATCGATTGCGCTCCTTGTGCTATCTTTCGCCAGAGTTGCTTGCAGTAAGGTAGGCAGCCAAATTTTAGCATCGAGCGTATCGCGCAGGTCTTTGAAACGTTTTTGTCTTTTTATGAGCGTGCATCCTGCTATATCTAAATCTACCTCTTTTATATTTATTCTCCGCCGCAGGTGGAAAGGGAGAAAAGTGCCTCTTAGAGGACAAACGCCCGCCCCTGGTGGGACAAGATGCCGCCACCTCTGAGAGGGAGCGCGGGCATTGCGCGCCTAGCCTTAGGCGGAACACAATTAATCGCCGCAGCGCTTTGCGAGAAGTGCGCCGCGATTGGTGCGCAGCGAGCATGGGGAAGCCTGGACGCATGGGGCCCCTGCGTGCGTGTGCATACTACGGAGATTTTGGGATAGAGCCCCCTGGCATGGCTGACGGCTGTCCCACCTGTGACGCAAGAGAACGAAAAAGAGACGGCCAGCCCGGTGCGTCCTCTTCCATTGCGTGCCGGGGCCTTCGCTTTTCTGATGAGATGAACTGCCAACGGCACAGCAGGAGAGGCGGCGCGCTGGCTTCTTTGGTCTTTGTCTTCTGTGTGTCCAAGGTGAGGAGAGCCCCACAGCCTCGGCAGGCTGGTGCCGCCTCGTTTTCTTCCAAAGAAAGCAAGACCAAAGGGCAAGGCCATGGCGACGAAGCCGTGAGGAAATTCGCCGGGCTGGTTGGCTGCCCGGGTGTGATTGCTTTCTAGACCCTTGCCGCCTGGTGTGCGCGGCTTGGTTGCTCGCCTCGCCCTTGTCGGGATCTGTCTGCCCCCCTTGTTCGCCTTCTTCTCCTTTTCGTTCTTCCCTCCTGACCTCGGTTGCGGTTGTTGTGAAGTGTTAACCCTAGCCACGGACCCGCGCACCGGTCGCCTGTGGGTGCTCAGCCCCAGGCTGGCAGACAACGCGCCAGCCTCGCACTTCTTGGCGTTGCTTCTTTTCTCGGGTCTGATCGCTCGGCCCGGGCGGCTGGGTTGACTTGGGGACGCCCAAGGCGGACCTGGTCGCTTGGGGTTGTGCTTCTCTGACGAACACCGGCCGCCGGCTCCCCTGGTGGGGTAATCTTGCGCCAGTCTGGAACATGCGCGAGCGTGACGGTAAGGCCCCCGGCTTGGCCTCAAGTTCCCGCGGAGACTGAACACGGCCAAAGGCCTATCGTGTTGATGGGTCACCTTCTATGCCTCCACTTCGTTCGTTCGTACTCTGTGCCGCTTGTCTTTCTCTATTGTGACTCATCTACCGACTTCGACTAGTTACGCAGACTTCTCTGGGAGGTGCTGGCAGGTCTATTTAAAATTGTCTATATAATAATTTTCAATGTTTGTTTTTTTGTTTGCTAGTTAGGAGTGCTCCACCGATATCTATAAATATAATAATTTTCAATTGTCGCCTCCTCACCTCCTCATCGACGCACCTCCTCATCGACGTTAAGTTTTTTTTTTCATGTAATCCGCTTGTAGTACGCGGAAATTATGCCGTGGATGCCGAAGCATTGAAAATACAGACACTCACACTCCCCCGCAATCCAATAGAAGATCCCACATATTCTTGTGTCGAACAAACTAAAAATTTACTGTCTATCCCGATACGGACACCCAAAGTAACAAGCGTTTCAAAAGACAACCTAGATGAAGATCATTTTTGATTTCACGTTTATGGTTATATTTCAATATAAAGTATATATCAATCAGAGTCAGAGTTGTTGTTGTTTTGTTGTAACGCGTACTACACAAAGTCAAAGTGAAAGTTTATCCACATATTATTACTAAAGCACCACAAGAACGACCACATCACTCATCATGGATCGCTCCAACATGCGCAACATGACGGTCGCCGTCGCCGGCCGGCAGTTCAATCCCCTAGAGCAAGACGAATCTGTGCTGCGTAAAGGCGAGAGATCGAACACCTTGCCCACCAGCTTTCGCCGTGGAGATGTGGAAATCAAGGCTGAGGACCTTAAATTAAGGCTCACGCCAATTGTTCATTTATATTGGGTCAACATCTTCAGGCTTCTTTGCTCCTAAGGTAAAAAAACTGAGAAAATGAACTTGGGTGGGAAATGAATTCTTGCGATTTCTAATTCAAGAGCTCGAGCAGCGACAGCAAGCGCTCAAAGGTAAATGAATCAAGATAAAACCTTCGACTTACGTTGAGTGGGCTTTCAGCAGGATGTGGGGTCAAAGTTGATCCTACCGAAAAAAAGAGCTTGGCTCTGTTTCTCTGCTTTAGCAAAAGCAGTAATAATGCTCTCATTGTTCTGTTTTTCTTGGACCTCATGCAACTGAGGTACGGTCGCACGCTACTCCTTCACTTCGAGAAATATAGCGAGATTTACATTCATAATCAAGACAGTTGATGACTCAAATTCATGACTTATGTCAATGATCTGAGCTAGCTGAGCTTGAAGCACGTGGTCGTGCCGCCAGTCAAGCCCATCAACTAATGAATTGATAAGAATCTGCAGGTCGTCAGCGCCGAGGGTCGATTACCTTGTCGAAGGTTGAAGAGAAGGATATGGGACAGTTCTGGGAAGACTGCGGGCAAATTGAGCTTCATATTTAAGGTCTCCACAAATCTCTCAATTGGAAACGCGTGTAAGCATATTAGAGGGCATTTTTTCTAGTAATGGGAGGTTAAGATCGAAGATGCCGATGCGTTTCAAGATGAATATTAGTCTGCGGTCTAACATTTGCATGGTAAGCTGGGCTCCGAAAACATTCCCGGTGCAGAGAGGGAAGCAGTTCTCTACAAGTTGAAGGTAAGCCGTCTAGGTCTACAACAAATTGAAGTTACCTGTAGCTACACGTACGCGAAACCTTGAATAAAATATCCGAGGACTTTTTATGTTCAAAGCCCAATCCATCTGGGAACGGACTCGGCTTTAATTTCTTCGGCTTCAGGTCCGCTCTCTTTCAAATAGCTCTTGAAATTGAATATTTGACAGCATGTCCATATTGCGTACACTTTCTTTATTATAAACTCAGTAAACGTAAAGAAAATGTAGATATGATTGCTATTTTTTGCATCTGCTCTTTTACAGATTAGGATGCACCACGCAGGAAACACTTTTAGGTTACTCAGGCAAAAGCAACGTCACCGTCGTGATCACTGTCGTCGGTCGTCATCTACCACCTTATTTGCACTCGAGGCTAATCCTCTAAAAGATCAGAAATTTCGATTCCGGATTTCCTTACATCACTCTCATCAAGTTCACGTGTAGTCACACTCATTCATATGCAATATTGCGCCATAACTCATTTCACAATGCAGAACGTTCTGCGCGTGTTAGTTCCCCTTAGAAAATTCGTTCTTTTCATTCTTCATCACTTCATATCTCTTCTTCAATGTGTACTTAACATCTTAACTTGTGTGTGATAGTAATAGCGCTGTAATTTCTAGGTATGAACGTCTCCTGGATATTGTTTAGTCTCCGGGATAGTATGTGTAAGACTATGCGAGACTCGTGCCTTGCCATATAATTTCGCTGACTTTCGCTTGTTAATATAATTGAATGATACAAGAAAAGCAAAAGGATTTGCTGTCTACTTTCAGGCCGACACGAAAATTGACTATAACATAATTCCTCTCCATTCTTCTCCCAAACCCAAACCAACGCTCGCTCATCTTAGGAACCAAAGCTCCTGCAGGAGAAGTTCAAGTTTATCTACAGTTGCGTGAAGGGGTCCAAGGGCTACAACGATAACTCACCGAACCAAGACAATTTTTCGTACACGGTCTTCAATGGGTGTTAAGGCGATCAAAAAAAATATCAATCTCCGTTATACTATAATTTCTGGATTTTCCACCAACTCACTGGGTCACCGTAGTACGTTCAATGGCTTGACTTTCAAGTGATATAGAGTTTGTACTGACTATATTTCCTGCGAACAGAATTCAATCCTGTGCATCGCCTTTCATAGTGTGTTATTGCATTGGCCATACTTTCTTCCAGCGACGTGCTTGTCTTTCATTCATAGGGGAGAGATCCTGAAAATAGAGGTATAACTCACACAATGACTGGACTAAATCAGTGGATGACGCTAATTCTGGGATATTATCATCGTGATGGACGGCCACGGTCCGTGCGGTCATCGAGTCTCTGCGCGTTGCGTCGAAACTATCGCTTACTAGTATGACTGGTGGTGACGGCTGTTGAGCGTGTTTCATATCATTTTGATAGGTTCAATCTGTCCACAACAGTTACTTGACAGGCGCTATTCATTCGGAGACCTAGTAATGTGTATTAGGCATGAGCTGATGTATTTTACTTACTAATCCGTGTTAGTGGGCCTTCCTTCATCTTCATCGGCGTGTGTCTGCCTTCGGACAACGCTTTCACTGCGCAATCGGGTGGATACACAAACACACGAGTCACCTATATAGTCGCCCACAGTATTAGTTATTGAAGTATTTTCATGTATGATATAACTTTTGGGGTTATCTTTACTAGCCTCCACAAGCTTCGCCCGGCTCCAAGTTTAGCACTTCTTCGACCACGGGCTACAGCTAGAGACAGCCCGCGGGCTGGGTAGTGCACCTCGATTGATTGACTATGGCGAGACGGAGACTGGTGGCACTCACGTACTTAGCTACGTCCATCCGTGGGAAGATAAGCGGGCTGCATTCGGTTTTTTATTGGACTACCAGGGGGCCACGCAAATTCTTCAGAATTTACAAGACCCCGACGGCAGTCCAACAAAAAACTGGAAGAGAACCACCAGACACGCACAAGGACCCGCAGGGCCCAGCCGACGCCTATATATAGCCGGCCTGCGGTGACAGGCAAGAGCGAGCGCAGGGGGATCTTGACGGGCCAAGAAAAAACAACGCATGGCAGCGCTGGGTCTCTCTACATGCCACTGCTGAGGCTCTGTCTCTCCTTCTTCTTTCGTCGGTCAGAGAGGCGTCGCTCGCCGGAGGCATGTCCGCCTTTCGGAATCGGAAGACCGGGGTCTTTCGTCAGACCGACGCGCTTCGTCTGGCCGTCTATCTCTCTTCTATCGTCAGGCCGACGTCTTTCGTCAGGCTGATGGCGTTTCGTGTCGTCGGTCGGATGTCTTTCGTCAGTCTTCTCGCCCCATCGTGCGCCCCTACCCCCCCGTCGGAAATTTTTCCGGCTCCTTTTCTGGAAGTATGCCCGGGTGCCTTCTCGTAAGTGTCCGCAACAAAGCGGTCAGACACTATCGGAGCTGGAGGGGATGGAGCCGGAGACCATAGGCACGGGCATCTAGGAAGATGCGGACTAACGCTAATCTCCGGCAGGGTAGGAAGGAAGTCTTGTGGCGGTGGTCAATGGGGTGATTGATAATGTAGGTTGCCAATCTATCTTTTGCGATGTTTTAGGACTATCAATTATACGAATTAATTTTTCACGACAACGAGAATGAAACACCTCCACTCGTTTCTGAACAAGTTGTTTTAGGACAAGTATCATTTTCTAACGTCGCATCTGTAAGAGTGCGAAATGGGGCAAGGATATGAAGGGCTGCATTAGGGAGGCTTTTGCGAAAAGCTCTGAAGATTTGCTCGGCTACGCCATTGATCAGGATATAGACGTCCAAGCGAGTGGCTCCACATGCGTCATGTACATGCAGAACGGTAACTCTTTTTTTCTTGTTCGTCTTACTGGTCATTTCTCATCTGCCATGATCTCTCAAATCCCCATGCATGAGTCGGGCGATATTCTCTCTTCACGTTTTCCATATGGTCTTGTCATTGTTGCGAATTTTCTAGCTTTTACAAATAATCATTCAAATCTTGGGAAGACACCGTTCGCTCCAGGTGACACGTATTACACGGCAAATGTGGGCGATTCGAGAGCAATCATCGGGTATGAAAACGAAAAGGATGTTGTTTTCGAGACTATGGATCATAAGCCTAGCTCACCGGAAGAGAAAAAACGTAAAATACATTTTCATCCATTCATTCACATGTTTTTTGTTGCCTCTTTTTTTTTGGTACTCTGAGCAGTCTCCTGTGAGGCAGTGACCCTGGCCAACGGGGTGCGCGTCTGTTTCTTGCTATGTATCGTGTGGCATAGCTGTTTTTCTCATGAGACAGCGACGGACACGCGCACACGCTTACAGCCTACGCCCCTGCTCTTTATTTTTCGCCGCCTTTGAATTTGCGCGGAGCGCCGCTCGTCTCCGGCTGTTACACGAAGAAGATATCTTCGTCGCCCCTTCTGATATGTCTCACTCCATCGCAAGGGGGCGGGCTGGTGCAGATACGTGTGAGATTGATCCTAGTCATGCAAAGCTTAGGTGATCGAGTAAGGATCGCAACATGAAGCAGACACATGACATGACATGTACAGCTATAGCGGTTTCACTCTATCATTGAGATTGTTTTTCTTGGTTCACTGGCCAACCGTCCCGATCATTTTTCCTTTCGTGCCCTCCATCCGAAACATTGCAACGTTAACAATCTAACCCCTCCCCTTCCTCTACTTTACTTCGGACTGCCCCGTGAATGGGTTAACTACTACTACTACTACTACTACTACTACTACTACTACTACTACTACTACTACTATTCGCAACCAGGCATCGAAGCATCGGGCGGTGAAATCCGAACCTTACGCTATGACGACTTCTCGGTTGACCGCATTTTCGTCAAAGGATACGATTACCCAGGACTGTGCATGTCGAGATCCTTCGGAGATGAGTGCGTGAAGCCCTGTGGTGTCACCAGTGAACCGGAGATATCTGGGCCAACAAAGGTAAGTACTTATTTTTCATGATTTTTAATTTTCAACATCGAAATATAACGTAAATGATTTCATTGAATTCTTGATGAAAAACCATTTTCTTGTAAGTAGATGCTGCAGCTGCAGGTTGTTTTTCACTTGCTTCTGCCTAATCCATTGTCCGACTGCTTGCATAGTGCAAATCACGCTACGATCATGTAGCAAATGCAATGGACGCGCCTGTGACAAGGGCATCTCCTGCTCTCTTTCGTCGATTTGTGCTCGCAACATTTCTTCTTTATGCATGCCCCCTACAAAAACCACCTTTCTTTTTTTATAAAGGAGAAAATTCAACTAAGGACTGCAAAAATCCGGACAAAATTCCATCTTCTCGGGCATGATACGAATCCGCAGAACACTCGCCGCCTACTGCGCTCCCTTCTGGAAAACCCTCACCCAATTGCGAGCCAAGAACCTCGGGCGCCCTCCAAATCCCCGCGCCCCTCCAGAATCCCCCAGCATACATTTGCAGGCTGGTGCGGTGGACTCTGGAGGGGCGCGGGGAATCACATGAAACGAAACCAAAAGACAGAAAAACCAAGAGGAAGCAAGTTGCAAAAGCCGCTAAGCGGAGCACTTCCAGGACGAGGAGGCGACAATAGTGACCGTTTTTGTGCAGTTCTTAGTTGACTTAGCGCCATTCTAATCAGCCATCTGCGGAAGCACCAGAGGCACAGCGAGCACGCCACACCATCGAAACTTAACAAAAAGAGGAGGCGCGAGCCCTTTGGAACTCAAGCGGCAACCGGTCCAGCCCTTCTTGAGAAATGCCACGAAATTGAATAAACCTCTCTATTGTTTGCCGCTTTCCTGCTCGCAAGGCCATTTTTGGAAAAAAATCTGAAGACATCTTTTCACTTTTTTCATCAAAAATGGCCTAGCGAGCAGGAAAGCGGCAAACAATAGAGAGGTTTATTCAATTCTGGCGAAACCCCCGCAAACTTCCCCGCTGAAATACTTCAAAAGAGTGCGAACAACGCCAGCAAACCCCCCCGACAATCTGCGCACAAACGGCGGCGCGCGTGAGTGGTCTGACCATTTGAAGGCGGCAGCGCGTCGCTTCTCTTTGTAACTAATCCCACCCGGCGCGAGAGCTTCGGGGCGCCGGGTGGTCAAAAGTCCAACACTTAACAACATGAAAAGACCCAAGAACGAAGAACCTCGGGCGGAGTGTCTCAAACCTTTCCGATTATGGCGAAAAATTCGACCACAGACAAGTGGAGTTAGAATGGAGAAAATTCAACTAAGGACTGCAAAAATCCGGACAAAATTCAATCTTCTCGGGCATGATACGAATCCGCAGAACACTCGCCGCCTACTGCGCTCCCTTCTGGAAAACCCTCACCCAATTGCGAGCCAAGAACCTCGGGCGCCCTCCAAATCCCCGCGCCCCTCCAGAATCCCCCAGCATACATTTGCAGGCTGGTGCGGTGGACTCTGGAGGGGCGCGGGGAATCACATGAAACGAAACCAAAAGACAGAAAAACCAAGAGGAAGCAAGTTGCAAAAGCCGCTAAGCGGAGCACTTCCAGGACGAGGAGGCGACAATAGTGACCGTTTTTGTGCAGTTCTTAGTTGACTTAGCGCCATTCTAATCAGCCATCTGCGGAAGCACCAGAGGCACAGCGAGCACGCCACACCATCGAAACTTAACAAAAAGAGGAGGCGCGAGCCCTTTGGAACTCAAGCGGCAACCGGTCCAGCCCTTCTTGAGAAATGCCACGAAATTGAATAAACCTCTCTATTGTTTGCCGCTTTCCTGCTCGCAAGGCCATTTTTGGAAAAAAATCTGAAGACATCTTTTCACTTTTTTCATCAAAAATGGCCTAGCGAGCAGGAAAGCGGCAAACAATAGAGAGGTTTATTCAATTCTGGCGAAACCCCCGCAAACTTCCCCGCTGAAATACTTCAAAAGAGTGCGAACAACGCCAGCAAACCCCCCCGACAATCTGCGCACAAACGGCGGCGCGCGTGAGTGGTCTGACCATTTGAAGGCGGCAGCGCGTCGCTTCTCTTTGTAACTAATCCCACCCGGCGCGAGAGCTTCGGGGCGCCGGGTGGTCAAAAGTCCAACACTTAACAACATGAAAAGACCCAAGAACGAAGAACCTCGGGCGGAGTGTCTCAAACCTTTCCGATTATGGCGAAAAATTCGACCACAGACAAGTGGAGTTAGAATGGAGAAAATTCAACTAAGGACTGCAAAAATCCGGACAAAATTCAATCTTCTCGGGCATGATACGAATCCGCAGAACACTCGCCGCCTACTGCGCTCCCTTCTGGAAAACCCTCACCCAATTGCGAGCCAAGAACCTCGGGCGCCCTCCAAATCCCCGCGCCCCTCCAGAATCCCCCAGCATACATTTGCAGGCTGGTGCGGTGGACTCTGGAGGGGCGCGGGGAATCACATGAAACGAAACCAAAAGACAGAAAAACCAAGAGGAAGCAAGTTGCAAAAGCCGCTAAGCGGAGCACTTCCAGGACGAGGAGGCGACAATAGTGACCGTTTTTGTGCAGTTCTTAGTTGACTTAGCGCCATTCTAATCAGCCATCTGCGGAAGCACCAGAGGCACAGCGAGCACGCCACACCATCGAAACTTAACAAAAAGAGGAGGCGCGAGCCCTTTGGAACTCAAGCGGCAACCGGTCCAGCCCTTCTTGAGAAATGCCACGAAATTGAATAAACCTCTCTATTGTTTGCCGCTTTCCTGCTCGCAAGGCCATTTTTGGAAAAAAATCTGAAGACATCTTTTCACTTTTTTCATCAAAAATGGCCTAGCGAGCAGGAAAGCGGCAAACAATAGAGAGGTTTATTCAATTCTGGCGAAACCCCCGCAAACTTCCCCGCTGAAATACTTCAAAAGAGTGCGAACAACGCCAGCAAACCCCCCCGACAATCTGCGCACAAACGGCGGCGCGCGTGAGTGGTCTGACCATTTGAAGGCGGCAGCGCGTCGCTTCTCTTTGTAACTAATCCCACCCGGCGCGAGAGCTTCGGGGCGCCGGGTGGTCAAAAGTCCAACACTTAACAACATGAAAAGACCCAAGAACGAAGAACCTCGGGCGGAGTGTCTCAAACCTTTCCGATTATGGCGAAAAATTCGACCACAGACAAGTGGAGTTAGAATGGAGAAAATTCAACTAAGGACTGCAAAAATCCGGACAAAATTCAATCTTCTCGGGCATGATACGAATCCGCAGAACACTCGCCGCCTACTGCGCTCCCTTCTGGAAAACCCTCACCCAATTGCGAGCCAAGAACCTCGGGCGCCCTCCAAATCCCCGCGCCCCTCCAGAATCCCCCAGCATACATTTGCAGGCTGGTGCGGTGGACTCTGGAGGGGCGCGGGGAATCACATGAAACGAAACCAAAAGACAGAAAAACCAAGAGGAAGCAAGTTGCAAAAGCCGCTAAGCGGAGCACTTCCAGGACGAGGAGGCGACAATAGTGACCGTTTTTGTGCAGTTCTTAGTTGACTTAGCGCCATTCTAATCAGCCATCTGCGGAAGCACCAGAGGCACAGCGAGCACGCCACACCATCGAAACTTAACAAAAAGAGGAGGCGCGAGCCCTTTGGAACTCAAGCGGCAACCGGTCCAGCCCTTCTTGAGAAATGCCACGAAATTGAATAAACCTCTCTATTGTTTGCCGCTTTCCTGCTCGCAAGGCCATTTTTGGAAAAAAATCTGAAGACATCTTTTCACTTTTTTCATCAAAAATGGCCTAGCGAGCAGGAAAGCGGCAAACAATAGAGAGGTTTATTCAATTCTGGCGAAACCCCCGCAAACTTCCCCGCTGAAATACTTCAAAAGAGTGCGAACAACGCCAGCAAACCCCCCCGACAATCTGCGCACAAACGGCGGCGCGCGTGAGTGGTCTGACCATTTGAAGGCGGCAGCGCGTCGCTTCTCTTTGTAACTAATCCCACCCGGCGCGAGAGCTTCGGGGCGCCGGGTGGTCAAAAGTCCAACACTTAACAACATGAAAAGACCCAAGAACGAAGAACCTCGGGCGGAGTGTCTCAAACCTTTCCGATTATGGCGAAAAATTCGACCACAGACAAGTGGAGTTAGAATGGAGAAAATTCAACTAAGGACTGCAAAAATCCGGACAAAATTCAATCTTCTCGGGCATGATACGAATCCGCAGAACACTCGCCGCCTACTGCGCTCCCTTCTGGAAAACCCTCACCCAATTGCGAGCCAAGAACCTCGGGCGCCCTCCAAATCCCCGCGCCCCTCCAGAATCCCCCAGCATACATTTGCAGGCTGGTGCGGTGGACTCTGGAGGGGCGCGGGGACTCACATGAAACGAAACCAAACGACAGAAAAACCAAGAGGAAACAAGTTACAAAAGTCGCTAAGCGGAGCACTTGCAAGACGAGGAGGCGACAATAAAGACCGTTTTTGTGCAGTTCTTAGTTGACTTAACGCCAAACAAAAATGCATACTGATCATACTGAAAGAAAAACATAAACTACAAACATAATAATTTAACGATCAATGTTGAATAAGTTGATTTCGCTGCTGGCTATGTTGTAGTCTCGATTATTTCTACTTCAATCATGGAAGGATAGAGATATTGATCACTAGTAGAGCTCTCGCTTCCGTTTTTGTAATATTTCTCCACTTCTATCGCGAGCGATAACCAAGTAACCTATCTTCTATCTCCGTCATGTGCTTACTCATCTGCCTTCGTACCTATCTTCTTACCCATCATCTGCCGCCCTATAGGCCTCATGATCGTCATCTATGAATCGTTGTCCTCACCGCAAATCTATCATGTCACCAGATTGACTTATCTCGCAAGCCGTTCCTTGTCATTGCCTCGGATGGGGTATGGGAATTCATCGAGAGCGCCTGGTGCATCAAAGCGATTGTGAAGAAGCTGTCGCAAGAACCAGCAGAACGCATCATGCAAAAACTCTCTAAGGAAGCGCGTCGCCGTTGGAAACAGGAAGATTATGAGCACTATCTCTCATCTATTACTATTCTAGATCCTTCACCCCCTTCTTCCCCCTTCCCTGTTGCTTTTTCTGATGTGCCCCTGGGTTGGGTTTACTACTACTACTTCTACTCCTACTACTACCACTACTGCTGCTGCTGGGCTGTAATTGATTTTGGCAGGAGCTTACATGTGATGGCTCTGCTGGGTGACTGATTCATTGTGCCCCATGATCGCATTTCGTCATGACCAATAATCATGACCATTCTGAGTAGCGTCATCATCATTATCGTCGGCGATTTACAGCCCTGTGCTGCTCTAAGAATTAGGCGAATACTGTGACGATATTACGGTGTGCTTTCTCCAGATGGGACGGCACATGTAGAATGCGCTGCAGCTGCTAGGCGCCGGCGAACTGCTCATAATGAATGTCTGTTGCACCAAACGAAACTAGCAGTTGTTTCTTCCAACAACTTTTAGCAGTAGATTATCTATGAGTTGATACATCTACATCTTCTTAGTTACTTATTTTATTAAGGGTAGCGAAAAGCCAGCTTCTCCATTAAGTCTTACAAGGTTAGTGCTCCTGCTGACCGCATCATGAGTTCGACACTGCCGGAAAAACCATCTTCGAAAGAACACATCTTAGTATACGTAGTGAATGTAGTAATAGTAAAACCCACTTGTTAGTAACAATTAGGAAGACGTGCATCATATTGTATAACGAGGTGCATGTTGATCACAATCATATTCATTGATATTTGTTGTAGCTCCTGTAGACGCTAGAGTATGAAGATTTTTGCTCTCGTCATGATCTCTTGTAGTGCTAAGGCAAGGAGGGTTCATTAGCATCCTCACAGCAAGTAATCATTGTATTCCAGTTTGAATGTATGTGTCTTGTCATAGAAGAAGGAATCCGTTCTCACGCCAAGTCGAACTCAATCGTAGTCTTTCAATTTTTGCATGGTTTTGAAGTAATGTCCGTAATCATCAAGAAGTTGTTGATCCCGAAAAGTCTTGTCTAAGTATCAGTAGTGGAATATAAGTATTACTGGGCCGGAGTAGTTTAGCTTTAGATTTTGTCGTCCCGTCGAAGACGCACATAAAGCATTACAAGTATGATGCACGTGCATGTCAATTTATTCGTCCATAGTTAGTTTTCGATAGTCTACAACAGCGCACTGTTGCGCGGATAGTTTCCGAGCAGTTTATATTTTCGCATTCCGCTTTTCTCGTTCTATTTGTAGAGCTTTTCATTCTTTGTGAGGCGGAAGTGATCACTCACCACTGCTCAGCGCAATTGAATAGCCTCTTTTTTCACTTTCGTTGCATCGAATGTTTCCACCTTTCACAGAAATATGTGGTTTGGAGTCGGCAACAAATCAACTGAACACGAAGATGACTCCTGCGAGGACAGAAAAAAATCTTACTAAGTTCTGAATTTGGTTGTTGATCTTGATATCGGAAGCCACTGTCTGTCTGTATATTTTCATTCACACACAAAAAACGACAAGGAACAATGGGTAAGCCAAACACTTGCGAATATTCAGTTGTGTAGCGCGAAATCAATAAACGAATGATGGAGTGCAGGAAAAATCCTGGGCAGTCTTTGAAAAGAGCAGCCACAGTAGCTGCTCGGGATACAAAACAACATTGTTCTCCGCAAGAAAGACGAGTCGCACCTGCTGTCAATATTCTGTAAGACGAAGCTACCAAAGACGCAGCCGTGGGGCCACTATCCGTATCGGAACACCCTCCTACAACACATAGAGTCAAACTCAATAGCTTTTTTCTGATTCAACTCCCTTTATGGACTCCACCCGTCGCCGGCAGGTACACCGGATAACACTGGGATCACCCTTCCGGCGATCTTGGCATACAAAAAAAAAGTGCGATGCTTTTCTACTTGGGCTTGAACTTGTTCTCCCTTCAGTAAGATGCTTTGTACCGACTCCGAGTACGTTTGTAGATGATAGTAGGCATTCTTCAATGATACTAAGGAGCAGCACCACGACCACCAACGCCATTGATTTGAGGTTCCAAAAGTGCTTGAGTGTGTGTGCTCAGTTATTTGAGCAAATACTATCATAAATGGACCTGCAGGTCTATAGAAGAGGTTCCATGATGTGACATCCTTGTAACGGAACGGGATGGTGAAGTTGAATCTCAAGAATGTATTTGGAAAGTTAGCGACCGAGCGGCGGCGTGCTCAATCGGCCGCAGAGAGCCGAAACAGCGGTTTTCGTGAGGAGCCTCTTTCAGCCACGGTTAATACTGTTAAGGACTGATTAAAGGTCTTTCGCTTATCGTTTGTTTTGCTTCTCCTAAGGGGAAAAGGCAGAACACCAACACGCGGGTGGAACAGCAAGACCAAAACTCTACCTCTAATACTGCAGAAGGATCCACCTGCTCGCCATCTCTCAACCGTAAAAGGCCTAAACACGCAGACGAGGACGAGGCAGAACAAGAAAGCATAGTGTTAAGGATGTAGGATGTACGAGTCTTCTAGGAGTAGGACTACCAAAAATATGATCTTCTTGATGAGGAAGATATCATTTCTAGATGCGCACTGGCAACCGTACATGTGGTGCCATCGAAGGAACTCATTCGCTGGCTTGAAGGTTTCCTGATTCTGCGGAAGCTGTTTGCTTTACTCAGAAACCAGGAAGAAGTGCTGAAACACTACCGCTAATTGCGGGAAATACCAGTGAAGAGAAGACCGCGAGTCCGCAAGAATCCAATAATGTTGCTGTTGGCGACATTGTCTTTGTGCATATGCTGCAAAAAAAGCCGCAGTTTAACCGGCATGTGGGCCGCGTCTTGAGCTATATGCATGACAGTGGCAGATTCGGAGTTCAACTGCATGATGCAGGAGATGGCGGTGGTCGTGATAGTGATCGTGAAGCCGAAGGACCACTAGAGCAGTACGCAATGGAAGCAGGCGAGAGAGGCCCGTCGGAAAGAGGTTTGTCGTTGGCACCACGCTCTAATGTTGTATGTGGAAAGAGGCTGGCAGATTTTTTCGGAGATTTTGGAAGGACGTCAGAAGAATCCACGACCAGAAGAGCGCAACAACCGGCGCAGCCAGGCTCATCTCCTCTCATCGCGGTTCGGCCTCAGAACTTGACCGTATTACGCCACTTCTGTTGTCGCGAGCCGGATGAGGGCGCTTCCACCGCTTCAGCATGCTCGAGTGACCCTAGTACCGATATTAAGGGCAGTACTACGCATTATCCCGCATGGGGTATCCTAAACGGATGCCACTCAACCACCAAGGGGATTCTGCGGTATTGACGTCACGACGGAGAAAGAGATAGAGAGAAGTTACCTCAAGAAATAGAGGTAATACCAATTCTTTTTTGGATGTTGGCACCAGCGAAGTGAGGACCCTAAGTGACTAGGACTAGGTAGTACCTCTCTAATCCTGATAGCTTTCAAAATGGCCTTTCATCGTCGAAAATCAAGGAAGTATCCGCGCTTGGTAGATCCAAAAGTATGATTAGCATCGTGAAAGAGGAGGTAGCAGTAGGAGATACAGATGTAGTTGCCGAAAGGGGGGTCGGGGAGGCCATAGGTGGAAGTGAGGGAGCAGAAGCGGAAGATACCTCTAAAGGAGCATCCAGTACGAAGCATGAGCAAGGCGAGCCGACTCGATTTCCACGCGTATGTTGGAAAAGTGGACACGTTACGGGGACGCAAAGCTTTGCCTTCCAGCGACAGCGCTTGGCTTCACTCTTCGGCGAAAATTTAGCAACTCTGATCGACTGCCCAACAATTGGTGACTGTGTCGCGTCGTTTGCACAGGTCGCTCGGATCTTAGGACGAAAACTCGAAGAGCCTCTGGCATTGCAAGTCGCTTCGTTTCTCCTCATCAAGCGTGCTGGCGCACAACGTGACGAGAGGGCTATAGCTGTAAGGACGAAAGATGAAGAAAACTTCAGCAGTTGTGGACTGGGAGCTGGTTCTCAGGACCAGCTCAAGACGAGCAAAACGAGAGGAGCCACAGATCCACTAAGAGAATATCAGGAAGATGATATCTATGGCGTCAATAGAAGGCACGCAAGGAAGATGGGGCAAAAATCGCGGTACTCTCAACACGACAGGCTTTTTTCGCATGCAAGCTCGTCTGAAATCTACGTTCACACCAACTCACATCGTGGCGATTACCCCCTAGAAGAAGTTCTGACAAATTCAGATGCGCGTTGGTTTATTTCTGGCGGCCCTCTGCGACGCACCGGACCAGTCAAATTGAGTTTCGAGTTCATTGACAGGAACGATCTGAAAACGTACACGGGCTGGCGCCGCTGCAGGATGCTCGCGATCCGCATTCCGCCCCTGCCTTTTGGGCCACTCAGTGTTCGCAAGTTTTACCTCCAAGCAGCGTGCGCAACTCAAGACGGCATAGTAAATTTCGAACCTCCACGGTCATCGGCTTCGGCTGCAGCCGGCTTCTCTGTCTCTCCGAGAAGAGCCACAGGAATTCAAGCATGCACTTCAGTTGTAGCCGGCTTCTCTTCGAGGAGAGCCGTAGGCATTCAAGCAGACCAGGAGGAAGAGGAGGCCGCACCAAGGAGTGCAGACCAACAAGGGCACGGCAGAATGTGCGACTTGCTCCCAACCGGTTCCCTAGGCCAACCGCTGTGTACCTGGCATCGCATTCCTCACAATAAAACGGAGTATTTCTCAACAATAGATGTTCCATGTACACAATACTTTGTGATTGACCCACCCGTTGATGCATGCAAAATGCAGGTAGTAATGATCAGCAATGCGGCTGATGACGACTCCACGTCCGTAGGCTTGTACTATGCTGGCTTCGCCTGATAGATTGCTTACGGGAATATGCAGTATGACTATCGGTGATGATGTGACGAGTCTGAAGTTGTGGCTGGTTTTTTCTTTTTCCATCAGTGAGAACCAATCAAAAGCATCATCCGTGTCATTCCAGCAGCCTCCTCCGACTACTACTACTAGAATCTCTTTCATATTTGTGTTCTGCATGGATTACTTTTACATTTACCGACTTCATGTTTATCACACCTCGTGCTCTTAGGTAGCTAAAGTATCATGAGCAACACAAGACTGCTGTTACAAGCAACAAGTGCAAATTGTGCGGAGGCGAACGAGCTAGCAGTGCTGTCAGAATGCAGAAGTCCCTCGTAAGAACAGAGTCGAAATGCAACCTCATCAATCGCATTTAACACAATAACACGAATGAATAGCTGCTCAGGAGTCCCATAAAGTTACTACAACTTCTTATGGTGCAACGACATACTTACTTTTCGTTTTCTGTATGCGACGCATTACATAAAATTACCCGACAGGCAATTGATTCAGTGATAGATATCTGGAAATTTGTGACGGTTGGATTATTCACCACACGAGAAACTACTCTGAGGTTGTAAAAGTGGTGAGTGTGGAGATTGTACCAAATATATTTAGTGAGTTGCGAAATGTACTATGCTGTACATCTGTTGGCACAGCAAACTTTTAGTGGTTGATGAATCGTAAGGAATGCGGATGAAACAAAGACAAAGTCACTCATTCATAGTATAAACTAGCCCCCTGGTGTGGTTCCCCAGGGGAAGAATACGATGGGAACCAGAGCCACATGCTAGACAAAACACACGCGCGGACATTCTTGAACAGGCGCCAGCCTTGGCGGGGCGCCATCGGGCGCGTTGCCGCGGGGCGGCGGCCCAAATTAGTTGCGTGCCGTTTGCCTCCGGAGGATAACTGGACGCCTGGCAGGTGTGGAAGCGCTTGCGGGCCTATCTTCAAGCGGAAGGCACAAGCAGGCGTATGCCACGCTTTGGGGGTTTGTTTGCTGGGGTCTGAGGCATTCAGAGGCCACGCCGGTCCGCGGGGGTTCAGAGGTGTAGGGCGTTGCCCGTGGGGCGCGGCGCTGCAAGCAAGTGACGCGACCGCACGCAAGCAAGCGACGCGACTGCATGAGGCCGCCGCCTCCCACAATCGGGCAGCGTGAGCCACGGGCCCGGGTGAGAGGGGAGCGCGGCGCCAAAGCGGGCGCCTGAATCAAAACCCACGGCCCAACTGCGTGGGCCCACGGCTGGGGGGAGAGGAGAGCGGGGCGCCAAAGTACGCGGGCGCTTTAACGTTCAGAACCCATGTCCTAACTTTCTAAATTCATGGCCTAACTTTCGAAGCTCGTGCCTTCCTTGTCAAAGTTCATGTCTTAACTTTCTAAATTCATGGCCTAACTTTCTAAATTCACGCCCTTGCAACTTTCGTCTTAACTTTCAAAGTTCATGCTTTAACCTTCGAAATTCATTGCTTAACGCTCAGAGTTCACGACCTAACTTTCAAAGTAAACTCATGGTCATGGCCTAACTTTCAAAGTTCGCGCTCTATCAAACTTTCAGAATTCATGCCATAACTTTCAAACTCATGCCATTACTCTCTAAGTTCATGCGCTAACTTTCAAAGTTTTCATGTCTTACCTTTCACAGCTCATGTCATAACTTTCAAAATTCTCCACGTCCTAAATTTCAAAACTCACGCGCTAGCGCTAACTTTCAATATTCATGCCTTAACTTTCAAAATTGACTGATGCCCTAAATTTCAGAGCTCATTTCCTAACTTTCCAAATTCATGCCCTAACTTTCAGCATCCACGCCCTAAGTTTCAAAATTCACGCCCTAGCTTTCCTTTCAAAGTTCAGGCCTTATTTATCTTTCACGATTCATGTCCTAACTTTCTGAGTTCATGAGTATAGCAAAACGCTGCGCGTTTTTGCGGTGTTGTCTCCGCGGGTGTTGGTCTTCCTCTTCAAAGCTCAAAATCAAAACTCAAAACCAAAATTCAAAGGCAAAACTCAAGCCTTAGACTCTGGATGAAAATCCAAAATTAAGAAATCAAAACCAAGACAAGACTTTCCAAGTAAAGGGATTAGAGGCACACCAGCTACAGCCAGGCCTAGAAGGGGTAAGAGCCAGCAAGTGAAATACATAATTTTGGAGTAATGTTCATGCAAGAATAGTAGACCCAGGTAAGAAAAAAAGTAATGTTTGATATTCGTGATGAATAAATTTGAATTATGATGAATGAATAGAAGTCTGGTAGTATTCTTTTCATTATTAACATGATGTTGCTGTGGCGGTTGCGTCTTGATGTCTGTTTCTTGTGTTATTTCTTTTGTGTCTTGCACAGCGTTGACCATATCCACAACGTCGTAGCGACGGCTCCTGCGGACTACGACACGGCGAACTATGATTCTGGTGGAGCTCTTGACGCGGACCACGACAAGGTGGCGTCACTATCTACAACAAGCAGCGCCTCAACTATTATGGGTGATGATGTGGGAAGTGCATCGTCCCCATTCTCCGAGGAGGTTATCTTGTATGAGAGAGCAAGAAGGGACTCAGATATCTTGTAAGATTGTGTAGAGAGAGAGAGCGAGAGGCACTCAGATGAAATGACTGCCAAGATGCATTTCCTACACCTCTAAAACTATCGGAAAAGACGCGGGAGCCACAGCCACTCCAGATGGAAAAGATCCAGAAAGCTATATTCCTTCGATGATTGACGGAGCCAGTAAAAACACAGAGAGAACTGCCCCTTCGCATATCGTGGAGTCCTCCTCCTCCTCCTCATGGGCACAAAGTGGCGAATCTAGTGTCGGACAAGCGTGGTCACCTAATAATCCTGCGCTCGTGGAGCTAGAAGTAGGTATCGCCGAAAAGAGGCGCATGCGCCGATCTACACAGCATGGCCATGAGGGTGACGAGCTGCATGATCATGATGGTACACCGGACGAGGAAAAGTGGCGTCATTTGGTCAACAGGCTGTACACCCCGAAAAGGGAAAGGAAACTGCTTTTGAGTCAGCCTCGAGACGGTTCGACGGAACAGAGGGAACAAGAAGCAGAGAAAACCATGACTCGTGCTACACCTGCACTGGATTTGAGCAGGTGCTTAAAGTATGTTCAACAACAACGTGCGGCCGACGACGAAGCAGCGAGTGGAAAAGCACCTCCAGCGACGCTGTCAAAGGAAAAGAGCAATAACCGAGCTGAAGCATGTTCAGACATTCGCCTCCTGATGGAACCGGATTCCATCGTAAGGCAGATCCTTTGCTTCGAGCTTCCAGGTAACATTGCTGCGGAGGTCGACTGCACCCACGATCCGTCGGACGAAGGCCAGAAGCAGCGAAACAGTGCCGGAGATGATCGTAGCACTGCTACTCTTGCAGTGGAGGGTGCATTTTCTCTCGGCCGGCCCGCGACAGGTGGCGGCACATTGTGCAGCGAAGCTTGCGGGAAGATAACCCGCAGAGACATCGTCGCCAAAGGGGCTAATCTTGGCGAGGATCAACAGAAGAACTTTGCAAGCAAGAAGTGCAAGTTTCAGGACCCAGGTGGCGCGTGTCGCCTAGTGCAGGACAACCACCATAGCGCATTTCACGAGAACACAAAGGACTGCGCCATCCCGCCTGAAGAAACGGAAAGTGTAACAGCCGACGCTACGAGAATACAGGAGTTTCTTTCGAGTGACGCTGGCTACGTTCCAACTAGACGGATTCCCGACCCTTTGGTGTTGCCATTGAAAGAGGCAACGCGGGCGCTGAGAAAGACATTCGCAATCACGCCACCGAAAACGATTCAGGACATTTTGGACGCACACAAGACGCGAGTCGCAGGCAGGGCAAACGCGAAGAAATATGAAGGCTATGACAAGCGCTTGTTCCGGATTGCGATGGCTGACCCGACTCGATCACCTTCCTTGGCTGTGCAGACGATGTTGCAACAATCGGGACCGCGGGCCACATCTGGCATGTATGTAAGGCACAATCTTGATACTTGTTGTATCATCTTCGGCCTACTTCTAACTTCACTGGGTGGCTTCATAAAGAGACAGAAATAGCTGCACAAGAGGCACAATGACATGACAGGATGACGATGGCTCTTGCTGTTTAAGTTCAACTACCTCTGCGCGCAGTTTTTACGCTAAATAACTACTTCCACACTTTTACTTCAGTACAAAGTTAGCAGTGGCTGTGTTTCAATCGTCTCATGTGTATCCTTTCTCGGCGAGTCGTAGCGCTCCTTTGTAGGTACTACAACTTCACTCCAGTTCACTGAACTGGCCTCACGTATCTTCAACGCTTGCCCTGTGACATTCTACTTCTAGGGTGATTTATTTTCACAAGTACCCCTTGCCCCTTTCAATTCGTACGACGAACGCTGCGGGAAAATCACGAGCCTCCGGAGTGAGTCTCTTATTAGGGCTACCGCCGAAGCATCCTCAGCGCCATTCTTGCCCTCTTTTTCAAGGGGAAAAATGGCTCAAGGATCGATGGGCTCAGGGATGCAACGCGGTAGCTCTAATCTTAGAAAGCATCACGGAACGGCTAGTCGTTATCTATGCCTCTTTATGGTGAGCGTGAGCATGAATCAGTACTTCTTCAGGTTACTTCAAGCAGAACGCTTTTCAGTAGTTGCGTCGTACATATTTGTAGTCAGAAGTTGTGAGACTCATGTTCCAAACATTTTTCAGTACTAATCTAGGTCTTCATAACGACCAGAACCAATAATTAGTGCAAAGTGGGTGCTCAAATTTGTCAGTACAACAGAAGTTTTACGGTTTCGCTTCAGAGCAAAATGCCTTACATTCAGTACAAGAATCAGTCAATGAAAGTACGCGAATCCTCCACCAGTTGCGTTTCTTCTTGAACATCAATCAGACAAACAGCTTTCCAACGACGAGTATGTACAATCTTGGACGTATTTGAGAATGAGTTTTTACACTTTCATATTGTGGTCCTTTTTCTTGCTACTCTTGGGTATAGTTGGGTCAACATCTACCGAGGAGTGTATAAAATTATGCAACCACAATCTGTTATCAAGAACAGCCTATTTATCTAGTAGAATATGAGCATGAGAGTAATTATAATTTCGGCACGTCTGGGTCTTGGAATCCCAAAGTATCCGAGCGCTCTGGCACGAACGGTCCGAGACCTTTACATGGACCTGCCGCAACTCAAGCACATTCTGCATGCCACTAGTGAGGTTTCAAAGGTTATCACATTCCCGGCAGTGCTCTTCAACAAGCGGGATGACCATGATGGAAATTATGAGGAAGATAACAATAATGAGGACAAGAGCGAGTCCTCTGTTGCTTCTCCTACTGGGGAGACAGACCTCCAAAAGGATGAAGCTGAGACGACGATGGACGAGGACGCTTCTTCGGAGGTCGTGCGGCAGGCAGAAATGCTAGTCACAGTGCGGTACGTTTGCGGTGAGGACGAGATGCGAGGCGGCATGTCTCATGAGGAATTCGGAAAGCACATCAGCGAACAAGCAGGGTCTGAAGGCATAAATAAAGCTGTTGAAACCGGACGAAGTGGCTCGACGGGTACCGTAAGCAACGAGGCTTCCAACACTTTTCGCCAGATGCTCCAAGAAGGCCACTTTTTTAACTCGCCTCTGGCTGTTGATACCGAAACCGAATACCCTGAAGCGGATGGGGGCGCACGCTTCCCGCGAGATCGTTCGGCCACAGGCGAAGCGGCATCGCTGAGCTTAAGAGGCAACGATGGACAGGAGAACGTCATCAAGGAGGAGCAAAACCGTGAACCAAAGCATATGCATGAAGATGAAGCTCGTGCAGTTCACGCGCAAAGTGGTCTCCGCAGTCTTCGAAAGAAGACCTTCACTGAGCGCTTGCATGCCTTGAAGACGTGGCAGATTCAAGTGGTATTTCGTGCGAAAATCGAAGGCCACGAAGGTGAGAATGTTGCAGCGTCCTTAAGACATGATCTACAAAAACAACTAGTACTTGCAAGATGATTAGCATGCATGCAGATAAATAAAAATATGATATACTTAGCTACACACAGATTGGCATACATGTTATAGCTAGAGTAAGGTAAGTAACGGGTTTCGGCTTGCCACGGGTTGATCGAGTTGCCGAGGTGAAGGGTTTCCAACTCTGGAACGAGTTGCAACAAGTTACCAGAAGAAGCCCAGCCCATCAAAATGAGCGAAGCGGGGCGGTGTGGGCGTAGGTGTGCCTTCTATGCTGAGGCCCTTCCTCGGGGCCTACTTCTCAAAAGAAGGCGGGGGAGGCGCTGCCTCCTTCCGTTTGGGATCGATATTGGAGCGCCGCTCCCCACTTGGTGGAGAAGAGAAAGTGCTTCGCCTCCCCCTGTGGTGCGGGTGCAGGGTTTCGAGTCGGGAGCGGGCTTTCGCCCCGCTGTGTTGCGGTGTGAGTGAGGAGCTTTTGCCGGGTTGGGTTTGTAGCGGGCTTGCGGCTGAAGCATGCGGCGGCGACATAGAAGAAAATGCGGCGAAGGCTAATGTGGGGGCGGGTAGCGGTGGGCTTGGTTTCACACTGGTGCGCAGCTGGGTGGGCTGGTATGATACATGCCAGACCCAGCAGGGCCCCCGCGTTGGGTTTTTTATTGCAATCATCTGACTGCCCTCGCTTGATTGTCTTCCCGTTGCGAATGCCCCTCCCGGCGGCCCGGTGGAGCGTTCTTGTTCTCTACTGCAACACCTCGGCAAGGCTGGCGGGTGCGCCCGCAGGACGCAGCGAAAAACTTCCATGGGCACCCCGAGCAACCCGAGACACTGAGCCCGATATGGGTCAAAAAAATTATTCTACTATACTTAGTTACTCGCTGCACGCGACAGCATAAGCATTTTATGAATCGTGTAGTACTACAAGTACAACAGAAACCAGAACTATCCATTAACTTTCCACAACATGCTTCTTCGTAACCTTACCATGTTCTTGATCAGGAAAACATAGACTAAATTTCTCCTAGCCGCGTTGTATTCTTGCTAGTTCTAACGTTAGGTGGCGACGATGACGCTTGGGTTCTTCGCGGCACCGAAAACACGAAACAGGTAGTGCTGTTCAACTTCCCTTCAAGAAAGGACGACCCATTCTTATGCATGGTTCACAATCCTCCTCCATCATGATCTCGACAGGAATTCCGAATGAAACTACCAAAAATAAATTACGTGAAAAAGGATACATCTGTGACATGACAAGACAAGCGCATTCCGCAATTTATATCTGCTTAGTCTTTCTCGCACTTTTTATGTTTCTTGGAGAAACAAAAATAGAAAGTATTGTCCTTTGTCAATGTCTGTGATGTCTAGGATTTGTTTGATGTGATTTGATGAACGTGTAGATTAATGGCTTGTGAGCTCCAACATTCGGCTATCACCCTGTGATGTCTTGGCCGTTCCTTTTTGGGCACGACGTTCTTGCAGACGGGAACGATGATTATCAAGTAGAGGGTGTAGATGTTCTTGGGGCCGAGAAGGATGAAGGAAGCGCTGACGGGTTGAACGCATTGAAAGAAGACAGGGACGAGGATGCTCAAGGAAAGAAAAAGGCTGAGGATGAGATGAAACGGCAGAAAGAGCACTTTTTATGGTGTCACTGATAGTTGAGAACGGAGATAGGCGCATGTCGTTGTCGTTCGTGTGTTGCAAAAACGAAAAGAAGGAGTGGCGTGAGCACACTATTAACATTCATCTCATTTTTCAGTAGCGTAATTCATAAGTTCCAAGGCAGAAAAAGGAAATCGAGAAACGCCGACATGCGCAGCAATATTGGGGTACTTACATAGCTTTTGAGCTGTCTCCGTGTTTGTAGTACTTACTTTGGGAGATTTTTCAAGTGGTCCAAACTGATGATGACGTTTAGTCTGATAAATATTTCCTTAAACAGATTAGCATGAACGAGAACTGACACCAAGACTTGCAACAATAACGGTTAGGTTGCTAGAGGTGGTGAATGCACTAATGATGTCCTTAAACTTTGGCACATTCTTTCACTAAAGGCACAACTGGAGCGAATCGATGGGGAAAGGATTTCGGCTTTGCTTTGCGTTTTTTGCCGAAGGCGTTCACAATTAAGGCCACGTGATCTGATGATCCACCTGTCTCGATAAAGGTGGATCTGCCTTCAAGCATATTTACACAAGCGAAAGTCAAAGTCCACATACCACTAGGGATTTAAGTAGATATACTGCAACTCCTCATCAAGGATGGACTGTGGCTAGGGACAGAGCTCTAACCCAAGTATTATCGAAGATACAACTGGCAGTAGCGACACCAAAGGTTTGCAGTGGGAGCGCGAACACATTCCCTGGTTCTCCGTGCTTTCCCTCGATATTCGACATTTCCGGAGCTTGCTAATCCTGGGAGACGAGGATGCTGATGCTTATCACGCAAACCTAGCGGCAAAAGTTAAGGCTTATCCCCAAATCCAAAGGCGGTTTTCTCAAATTCTTGTGGCTCATGCTGTCCCATGATAGGTAGATGATGAGGGGAATATGAATAAAAAGCGGCTCTCTGGAGTTCTTCTGGCTGTCCCATGTTAGAGTTCGTGATAGATGATATTGATGGGAATCAAACTTCTACTTGTAGCCGCAACATGATAGATCATCATGATAAGGGGAAAACAACTCGAAGATGAGTCTCGTAGATGGGAGATTTCTTGGGTGAGCTCTAAAAAGACGCAGGAAGTGGAAGGTTAAGGCTATCGATAGCTCATTCCCGCTTTACCTCTCAGTGGGGTAGACATAGTCACTTTTTTCCATTACTCCGTATCCATTCCTCCACCTGCTACCTTACAACCATGCAGTAGTAGTGGATGTTGTTGTCATTTCCCCTCTAAGGAGGAAGACGATTTCAAGGTCGTAATAAATAACTTAGTAATAGTATGTTGTGTGTGCTCATAAGAAATGAAGTAGCTCCGGGACGTCGAAGCCTCTGCTTCCACTGAGTCTAAGATAAAGAACAACAACAACAAGATCAAGATGAAGCACAAGAAGCATCAACGGCTCTAGAGGGTTTGCAAATTTTTTCTGCCGATCGCCCCAAGTACTGGACAACATGTCTTGTCGCTGAGCGGGGAAGAGAAAATCCGATTCGTCATCTCGGAGCTGATACACATGCGTCGTTTGATGCGCAGTCCACAGAGTCTGTCGCGATAGGAACTTACACGTCGGAGCAAGAAGAACCACAACTACCTCACTACAAAGACCCTTCAAGAGACACGACAACAGGGACGAGCCAACCTCTACCGGGGCAAGCAGACGACGCGCAACACCGATTCGGCAGCAATAGGCATTTTGGTTTTGCCAAGACATTGCTATGCTTTACTATCGACGTCTACCTCGGTGTTTAGCATATGGTAGAATAAGAATTTTCGATACCCATTTTAGTATATGCATGGTAAGGTAAGCTTATTCTGATCAAATCGAAATTCAGAAGCGCAACGTGGGAAACAAACTACTCACTCAATCACTGAGATGAAGAGTATACTTCCTCTAACCTCGACTATCAACGATTTCAAGGTTCCTAGAATGATAACCAGCGGCCCCGCGCGAGAGCTCAAGCTCTGGTTTCTGCCCTATCCCGGTACATCACTTAAGGCTACCACTCAAGCATCCTCCTACATGATGATCCTTGGCCCATTTTCTATTTGAAAAAGGGGCGAAGAATGCACTCAGGGCTGCTAACGCGGTAGCTCTAACTCACGTAGCGGTCACAGACAGCAGACCACAGGGCCGTCCGAACAGGACACCATGAGGAATATCTTCAATTGGCCGCCAGCAACCAGTGCAGTCTACGGATCAACAGACCACTACACGACAGAAAAATCCACAAGGATTCGAGAGCTCTGAGCAGCTTGAGCTTGCCTAGTTTTTGATGAATTTTCAAACGCGTAATTTTTACGTGTAGTACCGAAAGTAAGTACATGCAGCCCAACCATTTCCAATTACTGAATTTCTTCCATTCTAACACACCACTCACTGGAGACTCGATGGGCATATCCCTAAGCTAGTCCAGCCGACCCATTTAGAAGTACGTCTCTTCTTTTACCTGACAGACTTGCGAACTGCAAAGAATGGCGTGGACCGAGGACGAGGTATGATTTTATCTTTCGTCGACATGTACAATTCACCTCCACGACCAGAATGAACATGAAGTATGTGCATGCTTTCAAAGCCGTGATGTCGTAAAATTCAACTCCGTATGTTGCTCCGTCTGAAAGAAACGACGATGCTAGTAGCAGCGGGGTCTGTGCAACCTTGCTTCGATATATTTAGGCTGCGCTAAAGGATGAAGTATGGTATATATGGCGAGTTCATCAACCGTTCATTAAGTGTTGACTTGCAGATTAAGACTCGGTAAAGGAAGATTACGATTGCAAGAAAACGATAGACGGGCCAGATACTGGCGTGAAAAATACTTAAGTGTCTAACCAGAGAGTGAAAGGACGAGCGACATTATTGTTGGGAGCAGTCGTACAAGCTATTTCTTCCATGTTGTCCTCATGTGTCCACTCGCTTTAATAAAGTTTTGCCTATTAGCAGATGAAAACCGCTATTTTCTCGTAAAGACTCATATTACCACGATGTGAAGACTCTATTGTATCATGTAGCGCCGGAGATTGTCCCACTCAAGTCGTAGTTCAAGTCGGCAGGCAAATGCGATTCCTCAGCTGTTATATATAATCAATTCTATCTTCAGCTATAAGTGTGCTTCGAGAACTCCTTCCAAAGAATGGTCGGCTTCCATTTCCATAACCAACATCTTCATGTTGTCGGATCGATTTTTTTAAGTGAACAATACTGAAAGAATCATCAAGTTCATGATGAAGTTGATGCTGCGTTTCTCTATCGGTGATCGCATGTCTGGTCGCCTCTGCTACAACCACGCCTGGTCCGTTTTCTTGCTGTTTTTCTGCAGCCGCATTAACGCTCATTTATGATGGGGCTACGCCTACGGGAATTTTCTTATATTTTCGTCGAGCATCTCGATGCCCTGTTGTTGTAGTTGCCATGTGGAAAATAGGAGGATCATGAAGAAGAGGCATCTGTATCATGACGAGGGAACTAAGATTTAAAGATAAAAGCGCACGCTAATAAATGGAGCCGGTCAATCTGAGGATGATGGAGGAGACAACGTGCTGCAGGAGGAACATCGCCAGGCCTGTGCCGACCCCCGCACGACAGAATCGGGTGGCAGTATCATTCGGATTCTCTATTGCAACCAACAGCCGCTCCACAACAGCCACCAGAGTTATGTTAAAGTTTGCCGCTCCACAAGAGTTATTAAGTTCCGATTCTTCCAACGATTGGTCTATTTAGGCGTTCTGATCCTTTTCAATGATGAAATAGAGCAGCAAGTTAGATACTTGTTTCCTGAGATGGCTTTCGACGGAGGTTTCTGGTGGTTTATTCTAAGGCCGTAGAAAGGAGAATCAAGACGAGGAGGTGGAGAAAAAGTTATGGGTGTGAGAAAGAAACTCATCTCCGAAGTCATCTGGAAGAACATCAAGACATCAAGGGGAAAAAGGTACTCAGAGTCGGATGATCCCTGAGATGAATTTCTTGCACCTCTAAAAAAGGCGGAACAAGATGAAGAGGCCGAAGGCAGCGGTGATGGCAATGAGAGCGAAGAAGATTTTGGCCTTCTGAAGAATAGAATTCGGATTGCTGCTTCCAAGACGACGATTCGTGACCCCTTTTGTTGTTAAGGGTATTCAAAGGTTTCCCTGTTACCGTTTGTTTTGCCTCTCCGAAGGGAGAGAGGCAGAACAACAAACGGGAAACGCAAACACCAAAGCCCTACCTCTAATGCTGGAAACAGATGAGGGGTCCTCACGGAAGTTTCGAAACGTCTACTCTTAAGGTTGCCTGCTGCTCCGATCCATTTTTCGGACTTACCCCTCGAATGGCGGGTACACTAGTATCAATAGAGATCCCTCAACCGACAACCGACGTTGCGGTGCAGGGGTGCCTTCGCCAGGGCTATTTTTGACGGAAGATTCCTCAACCGTATGCTAGAGACATTTTTGAGGGATCCTCATATGTTGGATGAACTCGCGGGATTGGGTCTAATGCTGCTCTGGAAACAAAACAGTTTTACGAGATCGCCCCACGCGTACCATTCCACCTACTCTCAACTATGTACAATCTGCCTCCCAAACAGCAAGTCGATGAGGAATACAAGGATCTTCTACAGGAAATGTTTGTGATTCAAATACCTACAGCACGAGACGGTGCTTCTGAGAGCAGTTTGCCTGAAGAAGGGAACACGCCGCCAGCGAAACTAATTGGCATCTCCGACGTAACCGAAAAGCCTCTGCGCGAACATAAGGACGAATCCGCTCTGGTCTTGTCAGATCTGTTTCGCCGTGAACTTTATTCTCAGTATGGCGGGATTCATATTCTCAAATAGAGCATGATCTGCGCTCTTCTAGAACCAAAATATGACGCGATATATAATAATTTCGATGGTTTGAATAATTTTTAAGTATCTCAAAAATCTCTTTATCTTGAATCTAAACAAGTAGAATTCAATGACAAACGTACACCAAAAACAGAATCCTACATGCTTCACTTTTCCGTCGTCTACCTCTAAGTCGCGTTCTTTCCGCAGATGTCGGCACTAGAATGGGCTCAAACGATGACCCTGACTTCCGCTGGAAACCATGGCAAGGCTGCCGCACGAACTTCGCCACACCTTAATGTTCTATTTGACCATCTCCGCTTCGGTCAGAGCGGGCCTCGAACCCCCGCTGTCGCGTTTCAGCGAAGGATCCATGCCAAAAAGATTAGCGGGGATGCCTCAAACGAGTAAGGCTCGTTCTAATAATGAATGAATGAGTGAATGAATGAGTGACTGACTGAATGAAGAAGCGCTAGCGCAAGCCATGATCATTCCTGGGTATCTAGGTGAATGAATTGAGAAGCGGTAGTGCTGGCGTACTCCTGATGGCTTATCTACTGTATCTAAGTACTTATATTATAAGTATGTTTTTCGCGTAAGTGCAAGTGCTGGAACTTTGTGTGACCTATGTATAGTGTTTTAGTTTTGATTTCTTCAATCATAACTAGTAATCAATGCGAAGGTAAAAGGTCAATTACTCGAAGAATACGGGGACGAAAGCGAGCAAAGGAATACGAGGCAGCAGCATCTTTTGGCGCCTCCGCTACCGACCTCTTTTTAAGACTACTTGCACTTTTTAATCTTCATTGGACTCAACGAGTCGTGGAGTAAGTTTTTGAAACTTCTTGTGAATTTTTGTTAAGGATTTTTCCTTAGGACTAGGATATTAAACTAGAAGCAGCTGGTCGTGGAAATCTTCGAGAAAATCCACTTAGGCTCTTTGCCCAATGAATAGATGATTTGTCAAGTTATCTCCATCAGTTACGACTAGCAATCTGTGGGTTGTACTAGTGGAGACGACAAGAGAAAGCTAATGCTAAGTGGCGCGCAGTGTTGCCTCTGTCCTCTAAGAATTGCTCGAAGACATCACAGAGCGATTACTGGTCATCTATGCGATCGGGAAGTTAGGCCTCGGCATCCCAGTGCACCCTTCCGCCGTCGCGGCTGCCGTACGTGCTGTATACGAGGAGTATGAAGAGAGGAAAATCATTACTCGTACTCAGTCTTCAACGTCGAAGGCAATCATATCTTCGTAGATTTGAATATGTCGTGCTCGTCAACATAGGTTGTCAAAAGACTAGATGTCTTGGGGTGGAATGTGAAACAGTCTTGAGTGAGTACGCTTTTCCACGTGATAAAAAAGCGACTGACTTTATGGCGGAAGAGGATGATTTCGATGATGCGGGGCGTGATCTTCAGGGTGGCCATGCAACGACAACAGATAGAGTACAGCAAGGTCATGCAAACGAAGCATCCAGCTCCAGCACATCTGAGATTCGAATCGAAAGTACATCGACTAGGGAACGTAAAAGAGACGACTCCACGGGAGTCGCTGCTCGTGAACTTCTGGAAGAAGGGGGAGGAGAAGTAGAACAAGGTAGTGGACGACGTCAAAATGAAAATGTTGCTTCATTCGATTCAGAAGACGAAAATTCTGTTTCCACATTGCAACGTCGGACGCAACAAACGGAAAGGGACACTCATAAAGCTGAAAAGGACGTGAATTACGGGAATAAAGGGACGTGAATAATTACATTTACAGACCCTCAAGAAGATAGATGAACAAGATTAGTATAACTCTAATTTTGGAGAGGAATCAAGTTCAAGATGATTCAGATCGAAGGCTAAGGAAACAAGATTGTTGACAGCGAGGAAAGGACTACAATCTTCACATAATTTTCGTTTTGTTATTTTCTTGGCATGTGCTCCTGACTGCTGTGATGTAGTAAACTATGATAAAAGTGGATCAACTAGATTAATGATGTAGATCATGGTGATGTTCTTGCAAATTGGCAGGTTTTAACCTCAGCACGTAAGAGATCCTCCTCTAAAAAGTGGCGAAGAAAGTACTGCTGCGTGCACCGCCAGAGGCCTCGCGTATAATCCGTTTCAAGGCTGTACGATTCAAATCTTCACAGGAAAATTTAGATGACGAAAAAGACAGAAAAATATCCGTTTCGGCGAAGACGTACGATTTCATCGAGGCACAGGAGGTACTCGTCACTGTGCGTTACGCGTTTGGAATCGGTCATAGCAGAGTGCGCGTGCCATCGGGTGCCTCGAAGGACGATAGTCATTCCAATACCGGCAAGCACCGAGGTGCATCGGATTCACATGAAGTTGCCGAGGTTGTACAACAAGGACAAGAAATGATGGGGTTGGAGAGAGCTGCAAAGCAAAAAGAAAATGAAGAGAATAACGAGGAACTTCAAGAATTCGCACGTCCCAGCTTCGTGTATCATCCTTCCGAACTGCATACTGAGATTAAGGATACACTTACCCCCTTTACCGCTAAGCCTACCATTTGGTTTTGCTCAACATACCGCTTGTTTCTTTTTGGAACTAATTAGAAAGTAGTCGCTCAGCTATCAGAGTCTGTCACATTGTTTCTTTTTGAAACGGATGCGTACTTCAAAGATACCATAGTTTATAAAACTAGTAGGTATTTCATCAAACATTGTCCTCTAATAAGACCTACAGTCTCTTGCGTGATTACCGGTATCTGAATGCGCCTGGGATCCATGGGGATGAAGCGAAAGACGTAGAAAACACGGACAGGCAAGACGTGCCAACTGCAGACTCAGTCAAAGACGGCGTTAGTTAAGCTCAAATCTACTACAACAAGTGGAAATAGTACTTGTAGTTTCAAGTTTTGGTAATGGTACTACAGCTTAAGTCATGAAAGTAAGTGTAATACAAGTACAACTCAAGTAGACAAGTTCAAGTTAGTACAACAATCAAGTGCTTGTTTTAGTTTTACCACTTCTACTTGTTTTTTCCATCTTCGGAGCATCGTAGCATTGGAGCCCTATTATGGATTGCATTGTCGTCTAGTGTTTGTCGGGGGTCATTCTGATTGAATTCCCCTCTGAAACATAATTCTTGAAGGAACTGCGGAAAGGCATGATGCCATTAACTCAGTTCAGGATAGGGAAAATTCGAATCTCCTATACCACTCACTCAGGTCAGGATCGTAGTGAAAATCGAACTCTCCTATTCTAGCGCTAAGTTGAAAAAGACTTTACTGGAAAGATTCGAGTGGACAAGGATCCTACAAGAGCAAATGAAGCGCGAAATTCGTGGCGCATGCAGCTTATCTTTCGTTGTCGCAGAAGCGACCAAGTGGCCGAGCACGGTCCCAGGAAACCCTTATGACTGCCAAGAACGATAGAGGGTAGCATAGATAGATCATGATCATGTTGCTGCGGAAATGTATGGGGACGGCGCATATACATTTTCATTTTCAACGTCATCATAATTGCCAGCTCTTCTAATTTCGGATGCAGAATCCCCTGAAAAAAGCATCTCTTGGGACCTTGAGCACTCGGAAGCGGTAATCTTCTACAATCATCCTGCATGGCACGATGACCCGTTCGGCTTGCGCCCGCCCCTTCCTTTTAAGCCTAGTCAACATTTTGATTTTGTGAGTAACTTTGAAATACTATCAGATATCGTCTCCATGGCCGTCATGAACGATGCCAACAGGGACCACTGCATGCATAAGGGGAGGTAGTCAACATTAAAGTGGATTATCCACAAGAGGAAGTTCCTCCTAGAAGTCAACAAGGGGCATGCGTGGTCGACGATCGCTATCCCGAGTGACTCTTCTCTGCAGCAGTCTTGACAAGAACGACTGGAAGTTGAGGGGAACGCAGGCTCTCCAGCTCCACTCAACCTGCAAGTATGATTGACCACCTTTAATCCTTGGCCATTCTTCTTCGCACAGGACCTAGAATCTGGGGAGAGGTACGAAGCGACAGAGGGAGGTGCAACCGCTGCGAAGCAAAGACTAGTCCATATGCTTGACCAGCGAAAGATCACAACAAAGCCAGAATATCCCGATCGAGCCAAACTTCGCACGAAATACGGTACAACTTCTTCTTCCTCTTCGTCTTCCACCCCAGTTATTGTAATTTAATGCTTAGTTATGCTCTTATTTTACTCGTAGACGTGGTCGTTGTACAACTTTTCTATCCATAGCTGCATGAAATACAATCTTTTCGAGGCGGTCGCGAAAGCGATGATCCAATGTCCTTGTCCCTCCGACGTGGTGAAGTACAAATCTTGCACCTAAGAACCCGATGATGAATCTCGTTCCTCCATTGAAATTTTTCATTATTTGTTCTCAACATCATGCTAGAACTTACTACTCGTTATCATATTTATTATCAGACTGTTCCCATCCACATCATGACTGTCTTTTCAGGTACAAATTTAAATGGACGTTGGGGGGTTGATTTTGGATTTGCGCTTCGCTTCGTCCCGCACGCAATGGTGGAAGCTCCGGCATTAGGTGCGGAACCGGCGCAGACTGAGGACGCAACCAAGAAGGAAGAAGAGCAGCAGAAAAAGCGTCGGAAAGTGGAGGAGGAGACTCTCCCGTGGTTGGCCCCACTAACGTACGACATTAACATGTACTTGCAGCTCCTCGACATGGGAGCAGAACGAGGACGACAGAGAAAAGCTGCAGAGGACAAGAGGAATCCGAAACCTGGAGACTTGCATGATAAAATGACGCAAGAACAAGAAGCTGAAGATGGACCTTCGCCGAAAACAGCTGCTAACGATGTTGGTACATCATCTCATCCGAATCATCTAACGAATGACCGACTCCTGACAAGCGAGCACCCTGCTCAGCGCGGTTGCCTCTTTCAACCGAAGGAGGTCCCAAATACAGGATCAAACCGATTAACCGAAGAAAGTGACGCTAGTGAACAAGGCGATCGAAAGCGCTTGAACAACATGATGGTTACCTCTGATGAAGGTCAAGGACAAGGTTTTCCTGGTCCTGGCAGTGAGGCTGAGCACGCAGGACCAGGTGCTTCTACTGCTGGTGCGGCACCTACCGAAAGTACCGCGGCAGCTGCAGGCGACGAGGCCTTAATAGAAGAGTACCTTGCTGCTGAAGAGCAAGAGCAGCAACGCAACAGCGCCTCACAAGTTACCGATCCTGCTAAAAACAAGAAAGACGACGACGGAAACAAGAACACCGGCACGGAGTGGATCTGGACCGAGGATGGCAGTAGTTCGTATAACCAGCTCACCGACGCTGCACTGAAGATGCGACCGCCGCACGTGCTTAGAATACGCCGAGAGGTTTTGTTGTGGTTTCCACCGTATCCATTTCAAAGAAGTCTACAAGACTTACGAGTGTAGGAAGTGCATCTCCGAAGTCATCTGGAGGAGAAAAGGAGGAAGAGAAAGGTGTCCAGATGATCTCTGCGATGCATTCCCTATGCCTCTAATAGACGCTGACTTCAACGCTGCTTCACGGACCGCAGTAGCCTTCGACTACAGATGGCCCCCGGACCGCACCAGCATGCCTCATGAGGAGTTCTAGCAGTTTTAAACAAATCCTGTCCGCAAGCATTGAGGATGATCTCCATTGTCATCGCATTGAGGATGATCTCCATTGTCATCGTTTCTCTGCTGGCGGCTGCACGAATTATAGACACCGAAGGTCATCAGGCAACCTCTCGGGTGAAGCTCTAGCTCTTCCCGAAGTGCGCGCTACAGCGTGAGACGGTCAGCACGAAGGAAAAAAGAGGGTCGCGCATCGTGTCGGAGACGAACAAGCAGATTAGGGAAAATTTGAAAGACCCTACTGCGCCAATGCCATGGGCGGAACCACGAAGTACTAGATTCTAGAAGAGGAACGAAAGAGGTTGCACTTCTACGGGAGAGCGTCTGCTAGAAGATGAGCATCTGATACCACAAGGAAACGCAGAGTATTTCTTCATCACATTCACCCGTTTACCTTACGGCTTTGCGGCCAAAAATAGCTTATGCCAAAGCAACACTCTCCGTCTCTCATCTGTCTTCTGATCTCGACGACTGTCACTCTACGTCATTTATCTGTCTTCCGATCTCGGCAAATGTCTTTCATCGAGAGATTCTGACACTCTCTGAGAACACGGGACGTAGAACATCTCGATAGTGTGCTTGTGCACAACAGAAAGATTGTTTCACTTTCGAGAGATGTCGAAAGAGGAGTTGGAGTCACAAAACCATAACTAACTTCAGGTTTAGAGACATTGTGGTGGAAGTAGTCGTAATGAAAATACGAGTAGTTTTTTCATTTTCCCTTTCACATGTTGGCAATGATAACGTGCCTCAGCAGCTAGAATGAAATGGATTCGCTTTTACCTGTGTTGTAGAAGTACATGACATCACGATGACAGAACTACGTACAGAAGTACTAGAAGAGAGGTACTGGTGGCAAGCAAGAAAGATCCAAATTATATGATCTGATGAAACTCTACTGTAGGTAATTTTTATCTGTGCTCTGTGTGCTCCGTAGTCGTGAATCGAAAGCTTAGCGACCACTTCCCTTTGTCTTCGCAACCATCCGCTAGCTGCCTTTGTGTCTTTTGGCTTCTCCGGTAAAAATCCAGAAAATTACTACAGGAACACAAAGAACATGACATGACTTAGTGCCGCTTCTTTTAGATGCCTTCCCTTGTCGTTTGCAAGGGGTTGGCAGATCATGCGTTTTCAGAATGTGTCATTTGCCTTCGTTGTTGTCCGCACCTGTACAAAGCTTAATGTTTACGTCGAGGAAGACGAAGCCCTTGGTTCGGGCTCGCGGCAATCACGATCCGCAATTTCGCGTCCGATCACGATGTGTTTCGCAATCCTGCATCATCAGGTTCAGGACGACCGAAGCACTCTCGGATCCTACAACGTGGCAAAGATTTTTTTTTTCAGAAAAGTATACAAGCTATAATTTTTTCCAGAAAGTATCACAAGGAAGAGGATAGGGCGGCGATGAAAGGGCTTTGCTTGCGCAGAGCAGTCGACATGTAACCTTTCATGAAGGAACGGGGTTCGCCTTCGCCTATTCGTAGGCCATGTAGACTTTCAAGCGCAGGGAAAAATCTAGCGGCTTTTGCGTGTCTGCTATAGCAGTTGCAGCCCTTACCTTTTTCGTTACAACAAGGCTAGCAAGAGCGCACCGGTTGACCATCATCATCAAGACTGCGGATTATCTATGTATTTCTCCGATCCATCATCTCGTTCTCGTACTCGTACATGATCCCCGAGCTGCCACCAGAAGCTTTGACATTGACAACTTTACTCATCATAGAACAAGCCTCTCTGACGTTTAAGATTCACTGCCCGATATCTACTCAAGATGGGTGCAGGTTCTTCTTCGCTGCAGGGCTACCTCAGCGGCTTGCTCAAGAAGTACCTGGCGAGCTTCGTAGAGGACAGTGTGGAGCCAACCGATTTGCTGCGGAACCTGTTTCTTTCGGGTCGGCTGTCGTTGAAGAACGTGAAGCTCCGCAACCGCATACTCGAGGACACGATCGGGGTGATACTTCCACTACGCTTCCACTATGCGCATTTGGATTCTCTGGATATCGAGGTGCGCCTGCTCTCCAGGCGGGTCAAAGTGGTGGCTCGCGGATTCACGGTCGTCTTGGAGAACCGGCGAAGGCACGAATGGGCTAAGGAAATCGACCCGATTCGCGAGAACGGATTTGGCTACTATCCCCAGTACTACAACGACGAAGAAGACTTCCTCCTCCACGGTTTTCCAGGAATACCACCGGTCGCAAGCTTATGCAGTCGTCGCCCTATACGTACTATTCCAATTTCAATTTCTTGTTGTATTCGATAGGTGCGCCAGGGCTTAGTCATAGTCGTTTGATTATCTTGTAATATTTCTTGTTGTAAGTATTCGGTTGTTGCAGTTGTTCAACTTCAAACATCATGCATGTTGTTATAATGCTCGTCAATCTGTAGGAGTGAGAACAGAGTAGATCTGAGAAATATGAATTGTTTAGACAATGTTTTGGTTATTGCAGCGCCACAATAAGAAGAAGATCATGATATCCTCTAGTCTCACCAGCAGAGCTTGCACCTCTGGGCAGACCAGGACCGCTACTTTTTAGAAGTCAAGTGCATAATTTATGCTTAACACTAGTGCAAGGGTGGTACTTACTACTGTACAATTATGAGTTCCGTCTAATTCCTTGGTGGATGCCCACGCTGGAGACATCGTTTTTGGAGAGCAGCATCCGACTGGAAGACTGGAGTACCGACTCGCACGATCCATGGGTCATCACGACGAAGATAGACGCGCTGCACATGGGTGACCCTGCCTACACAAAGCAGCTTGACGGAAAGCCGCGCAACTTCCTGCAGTGCTTTGCGGAGGGTGTCGCAAAGTACAAGGCGGTGGAGCTGTTCTTTCGCGGGCTCACCATGACTGCAGCGCCAATTTATCGGAGGACGACTAAGAATAAATGAATGTGTACTGAAGCAGTTGTATCAGTATCCAAAAAGTAAGATCGTTTATCCAGGTAATTGAGTTGTGTGAATTTGTATTTGTTGATTTTGAACGAGAGAAACCATGTTGTTCCTTGGCACTTGGCTCTCTTCCTTGTGTGCTGTTACTTTTGTCTCACGTGCTCTACCTCTAACCCGAAAAAAGGACGAAACTGGTTGACACACAGCAGGCACTTCAAAGCGCAAAGGAGAGGCTGTATAGAACAATACTAAGCTGCAAATATGGTGATCAACATAGAGGCTTGGTAGACCACTCTAACTGAACATGTTGACCGCGTAATGTCTGCCAAATCTTACTTCCTTTTTTTGTGGAACAATCATTTCAAAAAATAGTCGTTTTTCAGTAAGTATTAACAAAAACTTTGTCGTAGATTTACATTCGTTTTGGTATTTGTTGTATAGCATTGTGACTTTGAGCATGAGTTTGTATGTCTCTGCTAATCCTAGTATGCTTAATGATTATCATGAAAAGTGACCTTTGGCTTTGACCTCCTTATTTGTACTCATGCTCATTCATTCTCATGATGTTGTGTCTCGTTTATTGCTGTATTGGCTCTATGAACAATGGGTTTACAAGTTGTAGTCGCTGTAATCATTGTTATACGCTTCAACAGATACGTCTATCCAGGCCCCGATCTAGAGGAGAAGCTTCCACGGGACTGGGCGCAGAGCAAGCGTGGGATCATTACACGTGTTGAAGGCCAGGACGAGCAAGGCCAGCTGTTGGCGCGAGTGCAGTGGTTTGATGTGGCAAGGGTGCTCGACCACGGACACACCTCGAAGAAGAGTACAACTTCCTCTGGTGCTAGTCCCGAACGGATGTCTTCGTCGACTACGAGCCATTACAGAAATAGCGGTCACGATCACCTTGCTGTAGATGAAAGGATTCCCAGTCTCGACTCGGAACAAGCGGTAGAGGAGTGGATTTGCCGCAATATTTATGAGAAGGGAGATGTGTTGTCCGACGGCACAATGTCAGAGGACGCCATAAAGAGACTGCAGGCCACACGCGAACGTCATGAAGCCCGCAGAAAGTCAAAGGAAAATGCGCTGAATGGAGACAAAGCAGCTGCAGAGAGTGCGCAGACCGCGAACGGCGCGCCGCCGAAGCCTGGCTACATGCGAAGCTTTTTCACCTCCGTGACTGGCGGGGCGCTTCCGCGAGCCCCTCCGCCGCCGATGAAAGCAAAGGTGAACCAAGAACGAGATGAAGGACAAGGTAGCGCGGTACCGGCGGCCGCATCCGCCAAGCGGAGCCGACCAACAAGCATGCGGCATATCCCAGTCAAAAAATTTTGGCGCATCGGTCCCGACGTGTTCGAGTTGAAAACAACGCCTGACGCCTGGAACTTTCTGCCCACAACCGAATTACAATTAAGGCTCAATCTATTTCATTTTCTACGAGTCAAGAAATTAATTGTTTTGAGCTCTAATACAAGCTTCGTACCGAGCGCACGTGTGGCACCAGCACGAAGAGGCCGCGGATCCAGCGGCAAACGCCTGCTTCATTCGCGACTTGCCTGTGTTTGATCTGATGATCCAGTTGAACAACGAACCAAACACGATGCTGCGCAGTGGGCTGCGCATGCTGCGTCCGTGGCGCCTCGAGACGCGCCTTGTCGACGCCACACGAATCGTCGAGCGGACAGCGACGGCGGCCGACGCTACTACTGGCGACCCGGTCGAGGTGTCAGCCGCCGGGGGAAACCGGGCTGCCGCAGTTCCGATGTATGAGCATGAGGAAGTAGACTTGCTGATGCAAGAGGTCCACAGGAGCCGCAAGTCTTCGGGGCCAGACCTTCACACGCAACCTGCCTCTAGGCGCACAGTACAGTTTTCCGGATCTCACGAAGAAGATGGGCGCGGAGGTCCATGGGGATCGACCCCGCATAGCAAAAAGGAGTATGATAGCAGGAAAAGTATCATGAAAAAGTCCGCGCGCAACTCGCACCAGGTAGGTATGGTTGGACGACACACCCCGGAATCAGCCACTCTCGAGCAAATCGGGGACCCAACGGCACGTAAGGCTTTCCTTGACCACGCCCGAGGCATTACTAGCAAGTATTGTGCACTCTCCAAGCATCGCCTGCAGGAGTTGCGGGAATTGGTGCTTTCGGACAGACTGCGCCGTTGCTTATTACCGACTCCTGCGGACGAGACCGCCGATGCTCTGATGGCTGGTGAACCTGTTGCGGGCAGTGCCGCAGCCGGTCCGAGGTCCCCGAGCCGCAGTCCAGGGGCTCGCGGCAGTGCTACAAACCTTGAGAATAGGGCGGGCCTTGACGTATATCAAAGTGGAGCAGAGGCGCGAGAAGTGAAGGAAGAGCTGGATGGCAAGTTAAGGGAAGCCACGGACACAGTCTGCACCGGCAGCCAGATGGCGGGGATTTTCATCCATTTTCGGATTGTGGGAGAGGACGGGAAGCCGACAATCAACTTGAGCGTCTCGCAACTACGATACCTGATTCAGTACGGCATCAGCTGGGGCATGTGGAGCGTTTTTAAGGGCGGACTAGAACGAGCAGTCTTCCCGTGGCGGCCCTCGGAAGCAGACAAAGTTTTCTATAGAACGTGGTGGCTACGCAAAATGGAATACCTCGCTGCACGGGAACAAAACAAGCTTGTTACGGCGACGAAAGATAACGACGCTTCTCCGAAAAGGAAGAAAACTGTGATGCGGCGTACGACGGCGAAAGTCAGTACTAAAGATTCTGCTGGTGGCGCTGCGGTGGATAGCAAGGGACAGAATCTGGGGCGGGCCGAGGCGCCTCTTGGTGATCCTGCTAGCTCAACAGGAGGACTTGGTTCTCCGAAACCGCGGGTCGTCCATATAGAGGAAGATTTCACTACCGAGGAAGAGGAGGACGACTTGAAGACGAAGAAAACACCACGCAAACGGCCATCTCGGGAAGCACGAGCGCTGCGCGAAAGTCATCAGAGGGTGCTTAGAGGGCATAGCAAGAAATCTTCGCTTTGTGGCTCCCGGAGGCGGTCCAGAAGACAGGCGTCCTCGTGGCAACCTACCGACTTTCTCTATTACCTCGTCCCCCCTAGCTGTGAAGAGGACCCTGGTGGTGCCTTTTGCCCACCTTTTCGAGGCCCTTCGGCGAGCAGCTTTGGCCTCAGTTTGGACGGACCCGATTTTCAACTCACAGAGGCCGATATGCGGTTCCTGTGTGAGGATAATGAACATGAAGGCGATGATACAACGAAGAAGGAGGCGGAACAAAAAGAAGCAGTAACCACCGACAAGAAGAAGCCCACAGGAGAGCAACCCCAGACGCAGCCGTCGCCGCGGGGTGGAAGCACAGAAAGCACGTGGTATCGACCGAGCACGCCAGCACTCAACGCAGCTGAACGCTCAAACGACCCCCGAAAGAGTGCTCAGATACCGCGGCAAATCGGCTCAACACTCAGCAATATGAATATGACGCCACGCGCTGTGAGCCGGCAAAAAGTGACGAGTGCCTACAGTACGCCTGTGGAGGCCGCGGCACAACCTCCAAGGCAGCTGCAAAGTGCCTACTAT